GGTTCTATACCCGCGTGCGTCAGATTTTTTTTTTTTGTCACGATTTAATTAAAAAAAGTTAAAATCGTTAAGTAACAATGTTATTTATTAATAATTGAACTTGTTTATTATTAATAAATAATGAATTTATTAACTTAATTTTGAAAAATAAAGGTGAGAGTAAGTTGAGGGCAAAGATGAGGGCAAACGCAAGGGCCACGCAGGGGGCCGACGAGGGCGACCGCGTGGATCGCCCATGCGGGCGCCCTCATCGATCAGCATGTCGTTTCCATGAGGGGCCTCGCCTGGATCACCCACGTGGGCCCCTCCTGGATGTGGACGATCCATGCGGGCCCCCGGCGTGGGCCAACACCACTTTTTAACACGGGCCTGTACAAATTTTATTATTTATGAAAATAATTGAATATTGCGAAGAAATTTATAAAAAAATTTGTAAATAATGAAATTCCTGTAAACTTTTTATTATTTTTTTTGAAAATAATTAAAGGTTTGTGTAGAATTTGAGGAGATTTTTTTTAAATAATTGAATTCTTTTGGAAAATTTTATTATAATAGTATAGATACCTATTAAAAATCATTGAATTGAGGAAAAATTTTGAAAATAATTGAAATTTTTCCAAGAATTTTTTTAAAGTTTTTGAAAATCATTGATATTTCGGAGAAGAATTTAATTATTTCTAAAGACAATTGAAATTTTGACGAGAATTTTTAAAAATTTTTGAACATAATTGAATTTTTGCAAAGAATTTTATTACTTTTGAAAATAATTGAATTCCTTTAATCATTTGTAATTTCTCTAAAATTATCCAAATTATATCATATAATTTACGTACTTTACGGACCTTTTTTCGAAAAAACGGACTTTTACGGACTTCAAGCAAAGTTACGGACTTTTACGGGATTTACGGACCTAGTTCGAGCCCTGCGGGGAGCGAACCCGGGTCCCGCTGGACTAAAGTCGCACCGCTTAACGCACTCGGCCGTTCATCGCAATGGATACTGAGAATTAATAACCACTGCACATATGTTTCAGTTCAGTGCCGTAACTAGAGATTTTAAACATTGGTATATACTTTTAATATTTTCTATGTAATAAAACATTTTAGATGATTTTTTAATTATTATAACTTTTTAGTAATTTAATTTGCAACGTTAACAATTAATAAATAAATTGATTGCTGTAATTAAATTTTTAATTATTTTTATTAATTTATTATAAATTATTATAAATATTTATTAATTATTTTTATTATTTAATATGATTAATTAATAATAATAAATTCATTAAATTTTTAATTAATAGATGGAATTTAAAAAAATTAATTTTTAACTAATTTTATTATTTTTATATTTATTATAAATGGTTGTAAATATTTATTAATTAATTTAATTAATTAATATTATTAATTAATTTATAATAATAAATTAATTAAATTTTTAATTAATAACAAATTAAAATGAAAAGTTTTAAAATATTGGAAAGAATAAGAACAAATTTATCTCTATAGCAAATAATCAGTCGAGCTGAGCTGTCTAGCTATTAGACATATTGCAGTATCATCGACACGACAAACTTAGAACTATAATTTCTAGGAGTACTTTAAAGTAACATTAAAAAAACTAGACAGAAGTTATGTCTAGCCAATATCAAATTCAACTTGAATCTTTGACGAAGAGCGTTGGTCAGTAACTTTACAGTTATTTACTGTAAAGTTTTGCGTCCGAGACAAAAACTGCCCAGTAACTTGAACAATCGAGTGGCTCCATATGACAAATTTCTACTAGGGTACAAGTTCGTTTGATTTAAAATCCCAGCTGATCATTTAAGCTAAAAAAAAGCGTTTCTTAGCTATTTTATTGAAGGGGAACGAAATGATTACAGTAAACGAAATTTTAAGATGATTTTTTTTAAGCTTAAAAAAACAATTTCCCCAAGCCATACAATAATCCTTTCTCTTCTTCAGAAAACTTGTTTCAAAATTGATTTTTTGAAGCGTGTAAAGCAGACTACTGCTTTAAGAGGGGGGAGGTAAGGTCTATTCGGTGAAAAAACGCATGTTTTTATAATTTTTTTGTCGATACGCAGAAAGTTAATTTATTTTATCGCTTTGCATATAATTATATAACATTTGAACAATATTTCTCTAAATTTTAATTAAAAAATATTAAGATCTGAGCGAAATAATAGGATTTTTTTAAGCGCCTCCAAAAAATCAAAGTGCATCTGTTAAAGGAGATGTTTTTTGAGGTAACGCTGGGAGGAATTTTTTTTATAATTTTTCGATTTTTCGTAGCACTTGAAAGCCAAAAAGTCGATTTTCGCTATAAAAAATTGATTTATTTGTTATTGTAAAAAACGTAATTTTTTATTTTTTAAAAAAAGCTCTAAGGGTTACCTGAGGAATTATGTGAAGAAGCTGTGTGCAAAATTGCAGAACAATTGGTCAAGTAGATTTTGAGATATCGTGAACACGGACTTTAAAAATGCCTAGTTTTAGAAAAATGCTTTAATCAGTAGGGTAATGTCACCTTGAGTGGACCGCCTAAGCTTCTAAGTTATCTGACAGCGGAAACGTGAAATAAATAGTGCGAATAGCAGCACCGCACCTAGAAACCGTAAGAAATTAAGTTCCGCGATAATCATATACGTTATCGTTTGGTGTAACGCATTTTTAAGAACACTAACCAAAAAAGAAGTCGCTCTTACAATGAGTAAAGTGATTCAGAAGTGTAAAAGTAGTGTAAAATTTAAGTTTTAAAAGGTAACTTATTTTTTTCCTACTACTTTGGACATTGAAATTGATTGTCTTAGTTTAATTAAGTGATAATTTTGACTCATATAAAAATTATGGTGGCTGCCATGAAAAGTTGCATGTCACCATAAGTGGACCACAGTTTATAACCATGAATGGACTGTGTAATGATTTAAAGTTGAATTAATAATTTAATTAATTAACAATAAAATAATTTAAAGGAATGTTACACAGTACTAGCTGACACCTTTAAATCTGTTTGGTAGTGGATCCCCTCCTTCCTACTTATTGTTCAAGTAGTGAGGTGAGAATCTCTACTTTTTTTATTAGTGGAATTTTTAGGAAATTAGAATTTGATTTGTGGATAACAATAAAATTAAACAAATAATTTACACATAATGATAATATATTATAACCATTAAGCCCTAATACAGTTATCTAAATTTCCCTAATTTACTTTAATTTAAATATTCCAATGTTTATTCTCTTTAAGTGTGTGATTCTACACAAGATCTATATTTTGATGTATGATGTGTTTTTATGCATGTATTTTATTTTAGTGTGTAAAACAACTTAGCTCACCTTTGTTATATGTGTATATATATTTCCTTTTTTATTTTATTTCCTTTAGTTAGTATTCTCTATTTTGTAACATGTTCGCACTTTATTTATTATTTCACTTTTCGTTTCTTATTTTATTTTCACTTTATTTTATTAACCTTTTATTTGTTCACTTATTTAATATCTTTTTGTTACGGTCTATTATTCAGACCTGCAGTTTAATTAAACAACAAGAGCTTCGTACTATAGCCCTAACTCTCCGTCTTGGTCACGCCGAGACACACGGGCAAATGCCCAGATTTCCCTGTGTCAATCGATTTTATTAATCGACATTACAGTGGTGAAATCATACTTTAGTTTATTGCACCTGCTCGTTGCCAGGCGCTTTTCTGCAAGCTTGCAGTTTTAGGCAGTGGTGTGATCATGGTTCATTAACCTAGACACACCACTCCTTAAGTTTCACAATAAATTGGTATCTGAAGCCTCATTCTTTTAATTAAAGTTAAATTCTCATTCTTTTTCAATATAAATTTATAAAAATGTGAAATATAATAAACTGCAATGATTGAGAGAGATATTATATTTTATTAATATTTAAACTCTTTTGAACTAAGATTATAACGAATAGATGAACTAAGTATATTTTGTTAATATTTTCTTGTAAATTGTCGAGTCTCGCTAATGTCATAATCATTTTCTATATATTTTGAATGCGCGATTCCTCATATTTATATTTTGACGACTATAGTCGATTAGAGTAGAAAAGGGACACAGGGGAATTTCCCCACCAATTAAAGGAAAAATTGTAGGACCCGCGCAAACTGCTCATAAGCAAATCAGTGTTTGTACGACGGCAAAGAAAGTTAGACGCATTTCTGTAAATCATACCAAACGACTCAAATATATATTGTTGCAAATAGTTGAATAATTATCAAAGAGTTCAATTATTTCGAAGAGTGAAAAATACTCTTTAAACCTGTTCACGAAACATCACATGGTCCTTCGAGCCGGATGCATTTTTGCCCGGAAACTAGCTGAAATTAATTTCCCACGTGGTGACGCCATTTGCCAGAATACAGCAAAGCTTCTCTCCAGTGGATTATTTCAAGTGCTTCTAAAATAATTAGAAAATTCATCACAACATATTTATTTGTGCGTAACTTTGTCGTCGACAAACAATCTCAAAATAAATAAAATTGAGAGCTGCAATTGGAAAATCTCCATCCGTTCGAGCTTCACGAATTTCCTGTCCTGTGGAACCTGAAACTCTTGGGAACGAGGCAGTCATCGTTGGAAAATTCAAGGAACGAGCAAAGCAGTTTTTACTGGAACTTGCTGAGGAAATCCTGAGCCAACGCTATCGCCTATCGAGGAGAACCAAAGCCAGCCTATTTCGAGGAACACTCATATACCGATGCCTGAGAGTCAGCGTCATCTCCACGTCGAGAGTACAACGAGACTACACCGAGGCAGAAGTCAACTTTAAAATCATCTACCAGGTGAAAGCGCTTCCTTTCTTAATTTTTATCCTTCTTCTCTCTTTTCTCAATGTTTTGTCTATTTAACACATTTCTCTGTTTGACTCATAATTGATAAATATTTTTTAAGTGTTTTTATTTGATCTTGTTATTTTCAAAATATTTAAAAAGAAAAAAGTTTTTTAATTTTTAACAAAAAAACGCCACCATGCCAAATGGTGTAGATACTGAAAATCGCGCAATCGCGGCAAATTTAGAGTCGTTAAAACAAAAACGTAAAAACGTGAAATCTTCCTTGACGCGGTTTGAAACTTTTATTTCGAAATATAAAAATGGCGATAATATCGAAAATTTGAAAGCAAGAACAATAAGAATTAATAGTGTGTTAGACGAGTTTATGGAAATACAAAATAAAATTATAGAAATTGAAGGTGAGGACGAAAAACTATTAGAAGAGTTGACAAATTTCGAGAGTTCTTTCTTTGCGATAATAGCAGCCGCGAATTTAATCATAAACAGAAACGAAAGATTACTACAGACCTTGAATCAATCACAAACAAGCAGCACGTCAGGTAATCATTCGGCTTCTGAAGTAAACACCGCGTCTAGTCATGTCAAATTACCTACGATTAATATTCCGACATTTTCGGGAAAATATGAATCGTGGTTAAATTTTCGCGATACGTATAAATCGTTGATTCATGAAAATAATTCCTTATCGAATATTCAAAAATTTCACTACTTGCGATCCTCTTTGGCGGACGAGGCGGCAGAACAATTACAGTCCTTGGAAACGACCGAGGCAAATTATGAAATAGCATGGTCGATTCTCAAGGATCGCTATGAAAATAATAATTTAATAATAAATAGTCACATAGACGCGATTTTTAATATTCCGGCATCGACTCGAGAGTCATACGATAGCATTCGTCAAATTCACATGGGAATTGAAAAAAATATTCGTTCATTGAGGGTGCTCGGAGTTCCTGTGGACGGATGGGATATGATATTGATAAATATTATAATGTCAAAATTAGACCCGGTTACATTGCGCGATTGGAAGGGGGTAAAAGTAAATGGCTCGACTCCTACAGTTAAAGAAATATTAAAATTTTTATCAGACCGATGTCAAATGTTGCAAGGTATGAAAAACGTAAGAACGAAGGCCAACGATACAAAAAATTCCTCAAACACAACACACTCGCGACAATCATGCAAAACATTAGTTAGCACAGATGCTAGTCACTGCTTTCATTGTAAGGGTTCTCATTTCATAAGCTCATGTCCCACATTTTTGAAACTTCCTGTAAAATCTCGAATTGATGAAGCGCGCAAACAACACCTTTGTTTAAATTGCTTAAAAAAGAGACACAGTACACGCGAATGTAGAAATGAAATTAGTTGTAAAAAATGTTCAAAGCGGCATAATACAATCCTTCATTTAGAAATTGCGAAAAATACAGGTGGGTCAGATATATCGACAACAAGTCATGAGTCATCCACTCTTTCGTCTCTCGCAGCTTGTAGTGTAACGTCTCAAAGAAAACAAGTGTTATTAGCAACGGCGCTAGTTTATATTAAAGATAAAGATGGCAATTCTCATGAATGTCGAGCTCTTTTAGACTCAGCGTCACAATCGAATTTCGTTACCGAAGATTTGTGCAAAAGACTCAACTTGAGTACATCGCCAATAAAAATAAATATTTCCGGAATTGGTCAAGAAGAATCGCGAATAACAAAACGCGCAAATATAATGATAAATTCGAGAATAAATTCGTTTAAGGCTAATCTTTCATGCCTCGTTTTACCTAGCATTACGACGAATGTTCCTAGCGTATCTTTCGATATAAATAATTTTAATATTCCCGATGATTTGCGATTAGCCGATCCGGAATTTTTCGAGTCGAGTCAGGTTGATTTGTTGATCGGCGCGTCTCTGTTTTGGGATATTTTATGCCAGGGACAAATTCGTTTGGGTTCAAATTTGCCCATATTGCAAAAAACACATTTTGGCTGGGTTGCTTCTGGCTCATTATTTCTTGATAAAGAATCTAATAAAACTCTATGTCATTTAGTAAAAACATTTGATTTAAATGAACAAATGCAAAAATTTTGGGAGATAGAGGAGCAATATGTAAAGTCCAAGGTCAGCAATCCAGAAAATTGCCCCGTTGAAGCTCATTTTAAAGATACGACTGAATTTGCCCCCGATGGGCGCTTTATCGTCACATTACCACAAAAAAAGGGTGGGGATTCCGTATTGGGTGAATCACGGGAAACAGCTGTGAATAGATTCTTGGCTCTTGAAAGAAAATTAGCGAAAAACAAAGATTTAAAAATTCAATACGATGAGTTCATGAAAGAATATATAGATTTGAAACATATGACCAAAGTTGATAATGAAGATTTAAATTGCGCGTGTTATTATATTCCACACCATGCAATTATCAAATTAGCATCTCTTACGACTAGATTACGCGCTGTTTTTGACGGATCGTGTAAAACTACGAACGGTAAATCTTTGAACGATATATTAGAAGCCGGCCCTGCAATCCAAAATGACTTATTTGAAATTCTTATGCGTTTTAGAAAATATAAATTCGTAATCACGGCAGATATAACGAAAATGTACCGTCAGGTCTTGATAAATGATTCGCAAAAACCATTACAGCGCATAATTTGGCGTTTTCAGCCACATTTGCCTCTCGAGGTTTACGAATTAAATACCTTGACCTACGGTACAGCTCCTGCTGCTTATCTCGCAATACGATGTTTATGTGAGATTGCCTTCATGGTCAAAGATTCGTTACCGTCAATAAGTAAAATAATTCTCGAAGATTTTTTTGTAGACGATATGTTAACGGGGGGAAACTCAATCGAGGAATTAAAATACATTTACGAAAATGTCTCATGTATTTTAAAGGCGCGGGGTTTCGAACTTCGTAAGTGGTCGTCAAATAACTCTGAATTTTTAGAGCATATTAAAAACGGTAATGAGCAGGAAGCTAATTTTGTTATCGGCATGGTCGAAGATTTTAAGACACTTGGTCTTTTGTGGAATCCGAAGAAGGATATTTTATTTTTTACGGTCAATTTTACTATAAAAGGTCACACTATCACAAAAAGGCAAATTCTATCGTGCATTGCACAAATTTTTGATCCTCTAGGTTTCATTACACCTTTCGCGACAGTTGTAAAAATTATTTTGCAAAAATTATGGCAACTCAAACTTTCGTGGGATGAATCTATTCCATTAGATTTACGAACGCGTTGGTTAGCTTTGCGTGACAATATTTCTGCTTTGGATGAGATAAAAATTCCCCGACACGTATTATGTGCGAATCTGTCAAATGTGCAATTGCATGCATTTTGCGATGCATCGGAAAATGCATACGGCGCGTGCGTTTATATTAGATCTTGTGATACTTTGAACAATTGTACTGTGCGTTTTTTAACGTCTAAAGCTCGTGTAGCTCCGTTAAAAAAGTTGTCAATACCAAGACTTGAACTCTGTGGGTCACTCGTTTTAAGTCAATTAGTTCGAAAAATAAAAAATTCATTGCAAATACCGTTTGACGAGTGTTACTACTGGACAGACAGTACAATAACTTTAGCGTGGATTAGATCGTGTCCGAGTAGGTGGAAAACGTTTGTAGCAAACAGGGTGAGCGAAATTCACGAGAACGTAGGAAGGTCAAACTGGCACCACATCGATGGCATAGAAAATCCCGCGGATATTTTGTCAAGAGGTTCTGATCCGAAAACACTCAGAGATAGTGAGCTCTGGTGGAAGGGGCCAGCTTGGTTGTCACGCCCAATTTCTGTTTGGCCGATTCATAATGTAAATGAGGTCGAAAATGAAAATGTCATTCCGGAAGAAAAAACAATAACCTTGATAAGTGTCGATCAAGAAAATTCGGATTTTTTATGTAAATACTCGAAATTTGCAAAATTGCGGAGAATAATCGCGTATTGTTTAAGATTCTTTTATAATACAAAAAATCAAGGTAATTTAAAACTCACCGGAATGTTAACCACTAAGGAAATTTCGGATGCCACTATAGCTATATGTAAATTTGCGCAAGGGGAAAAATTTTCTTTTGAAATTGCCGCTTTAAATAAAGGGAAAAATATTTCAAATAAAAGTAAAATTCTCGCGCTAAGTCCGTTTTTAGATAAAGGCCTTTTAAGGGTGGGTGGAAGAATAAAAAATTCCGAGTTTGATTATATGAAAAAACACCCAATTTTGCTCCCGAAAGGTCGATTAACAAAAATGATTATTGAATATGAACACGAACGTTTATGTCATGCCGGTCCACAGGCAGTTCTAGCATCACTGAGAGAGTCATTTTGGCCCATATCAGGGCGAAGTCAAGTGCGTGAAGTAGTAAGAAAATGCGTCAGATGCTATCGAGTTGATCCGAAATTAATTGCTCCATATATGGGAGATTTACCGTCATCGCGCGTTCTTCCAACTCGGCCGTTCTTGCGGACTGGGGTTGACTATGCGGGCCCGTTCGCCATGAAGGATCGTGTCACTCGCGGCGCTAAAATGGTAAAGGTTTATATTTGCGTATTCGTGTGTTTTTCAACAAAAGCAATGCATCTGGAACTCGTGGGTGATTTGACGACTGAGAGTTTCATTGCCGCTTTAAGACGTTTTGTTTCGCGTAGAGGAAAGCCGTCTGATATTTACTCAGATAATGGCACCAATTTTATTGGCGCGAAGAGAGAACTCGCGGAATTGAATGATTTTTTATTAAAAGAAAAAAATTCTATAGTAAACTCGGCTAACGCACTGGACATTCAATGGCATTTTATACCCCCACGATCGCCACATTTTGGCGGCTTGTGGGAGGCCGGAGTAAAGATAGTAAAAAACCATTTAAAAAGAGTTCTTGCAAATGCTTCTCTAGTGTACGAGCATTTTTATTCAGTATTAGTGCAGATAGAGGCTTGTGTGAATTCACGACCATTGAGTCCCTTGTCGAATGACCCCAATGACCTTCTCCCCTTAACCCCCGCGCACTTCCTGGTAGGTGAATCTCTACAGACAATACCTGATCCAGATCTGTCTCACATTTCAGAAAACAGATTGTCGAAGTTCCAGCAAATGCAAAATTTGGTTCAACACTTCTGGAAGCGCTGGTCAGCTGAGTACATAGCTGAACTGCAAGTCCGCTCTAAGTGGAGAACTAAGGAGGAGGATATGATCAAAATTGGATCATTGGTCATAATCAAGGAGGACAATTTAGCCCCGCTCCAATGGAAGTTGGGACGTGTCATTGAGGTCCAAAAGGGTGCTGATAATGTTGCAAGGGTAGCGACAATCCAAACGTCTCTAGGCACATATAAAAGAGCCGTGGCACGATTGTGCCTGCTTCCAATCGAAGAAAATCAATAACTTGATCATTTTCGTTAGAAAACAATTATAGTTCAATTTTTTAATTTATTTTCTCTTTTTAATCTGTTGTTATTGTCGACGTTTTTTATTATTTTTGTTATTATTGAATTTTTTCTGTAAATAATGTGCAATTAGAAAAGAGAAAAATGTTAGATGTTTTTTAAATGCATTGATAACACGGTGTATCAATGGCCGCCGGTATGTCGAGTCTCGCTAATGTCATAATCATTTTCTATATATTTTGAATGCGCGATTCCTCATATTTATATTTTGACGACTATAGTCGATTAGAGTAGAAAAGGGACACAGGGGAATTTCCCCACCAATTAAAGGAAAAATTGTAGGACCCGCGCAAACTGCTCATAAGCAAATCAGTGTTTGTACGACGGCAAAGAAAGTTAGACGCATTTCTGTAAATCATACCAAACGACTCAAATATATATTGTTGCAAATAGTTGAATAATTATCAAAGAGTTCAATTATTTCGAAGAGTGAAAAATACTCTTTAAACCTGTTCACGAAACATCACATAAATATTATATTTGTATTTTGTTATCACGAAGGGATAAATCGTGACAAAGTCCGTTCGTCACAGACGAACGTTTTTTATATTTTTAATGTCAGTTTATCATTTTTATGAATATAAATTGACAATGAATTAGTTTGAAACTATGTTTTATGTTCTTTATTAATTTTTTTGTGATTTTGATGTGATATGTGCCAAAATTATTAAAAATGGTTTCACTTGTAAAAATTGCGACACATACATGGTTTGAAGCTGCATAAGCATAAATTTTGTTTCAATATATCAGAAATATTAAATACATTGCAGAATTAAGAATAACTTTCACATTTTTTTAGGAGTGGTCCACTCACGCTTTTAGTACGGCCTGCTCATGCGCTAAGAGCAACAGGTTTCTCTCCGTGTAGGGATCGGAAAATATTGCACATTTAAAAACAAACAAATTACAAATGATTTTTTAATGAAGAACATGAAACCTGAAGCCTGGACCTACAGAACTAAAGTACTCATAACTTCGTCAATTTTGCTTCGATGACTTGAGATTTTAACACAACATTCTGGAGATATTATGTAATCATTAAAAAAAATTCAAAAAAATGCAATACAAAATTTTTAAGACCTTACCCCTTCCTTAACAGAAAAGATATGTTCTTATTGTAACAGATTTTATAGATAAAAAATATGACGTCCTCAATGGAGGAATTTAATGAAAAATTTATTATGCCATAAGGCCTACTTTTGACCTATAGTTAAAAATAGGTAAAATTAGTATAAATGTCTATATACTGTAACGGCAGAGTAGGTCAAAACTGCCCTTAAAATTGACCTAAATTTTGAGAGCAGACAAACTTATACATACAGGTTATCCCTTGCAGTCACACAATTAGAATAATCGACAAAACATTATAAACTCTATTGTAGATAGGGTTTCTTGGGTCGCTAAATTCGAATTCAGGGTCAGATTTGCAAAATTGTTAAAATTCAAAATGGTGGATTTAATAAGGCGACGAATTTTTAAAAATTAAACGGATTCACTAAAAACTAGTTACTCAGAGATTTTTAGCTTCACTGATATCGAAAAAAATATTATATTATTATATTATTATTATTATTATATTATTATTATTATTATATTATATTATTATTATTATATTATTTTTATTTTTTATCTCTCTCTTTTTATCGATATCCTTTTATAATATAGGTGGATATACGTTAATATTCGTACCAATCCTTCCTGTTAAATTTCATTTTTTTTAAATTGAGGCGTAAATTTACACATTTTAAATTGATTTCCCGATATCTCGCTTAAATGATCAGCTGGGATTTCAAATCAAACGGATGTGTAATGTCCAAACCTTCCTTAAAACATCCCCGTTTGTCGATTTTGTCGTCATTTTTGCTCGGAACTTTCCGCCTTCTAGACCACCGTGTCCCCTAGTCTTTGAATAAGTTTGAAGGTATGTTTAAATCTAGTCTAATTTTTAATGTAACTTTTCAACTCATTTCCATAGATATACATAGATTATATTTATATTTGAGATAAAATTTTCTGTAACTTACAAATCCTTATTCCGTAAATTTTGAAGTAACTTTACTATCTGCCTACCAACCCTGATCAGCCGATGAATGATTCGCAAGTTGAAAATTTGGTAGAACTCCCTGTAGTAGGTAATAAATATTTAAAGGAAAAGGAAATTGAAATAAGCGTCAAACTGACTTAAAAAACTTTGATATATTCATCAGGACAAATGAATATTTACAGCCTCTAAAGCTTCAAGAACCCACGTCGGATAAGTTTTATCTGGATACACTATTGACATAAAATCTTGCACAAATTCAGGAAAAGTTTGTGCTTTTATGCTTTCTCTTATATCTTTCATCAAATTTAATTGAAAAGCAATATTATGTACTGTGAGCAAATGGCAAGCTACAGTTTCCACTGTAGCAATTTGATAAAGATATGCTCTCGTGTATTCTTTGCAAGTGCTGCAATTACATTTCTCGTCTATTGGCCTCTTGTCATATTTGTATTGTTCTTGCTTTAGATTTAGTTGTCCATGTCGAACCAGAGCACATCCAAATCGCTGGAAAAAATTAACGAAAAAGTTTATAATTATTTTTTTCAATGATAAAAGTATTCAACAATGATGAAAAGAATCTTGAAAAATACTAACAGCTGTTCTTGTCGGGAAGACACAGTCGAACATGTCAACACCAAGCGCACAACATACAACTAAATCAACAGCAAATCCAACTCCCATTAAATATCGTGGTTTATTCTTGGGAAGAATATCAGTAGAAAGATGGACCATTTTCCAAAATTCATCCTTACTTTCACCTCCACTAAAATTTTCAAAATTCATATTATATATTTACGATCCTGTTTTGGTAACCTTTACGTTGTATGTAAATATACATTATTTTATGCTTGTAAAACAAGATAAAAAATTACTTCTTTTTATAGTTAATTAAAAATTATGATAACCTTAATCCGCCGATAGCATATCCATTAACTTTACGTTCTATTAATTGCTGGGCACATTTTGTTCTCAGCTCAGTATTGAGACCTCCTTGAACTATTGGAAAAATACTTTGTTCTTCTGGTTTCTGATGTGCGGATAAACATCTGTCAATCCATCTTATTGTCCTATTTTAATAGAAAGTTGTTATTGAGTGTAGTTATTTTTATTTATTCAATTAGATAAATTTGTTATTTTTTTAAATTGCAAAATATTTTTAGTAGATTCAAGGCACCTCAAAACGCAAAGATTTCATAAAATTAGCAAAGTCAATATTCCACCAAATCTAATACCTTCTCATGTGATAAGAATGTAAAAAACCATTTCCAACAAGATAGGACCAAAATATTTTTTCTGAACAAGAGAAAAAGATTAATTTAATTAATTTGTAATAAAACCATTATTATTTAATTAATAATAATTCACCTTCTATCAAAAATTCAAACTATTTTTTAAAGTTCTGATGAATCACTAAAAAATTAAATGATATAAAAATTATAACAATTAATTGTTTTAACTTATCATTTTCATTTCTTAACATTTTGTAAATAATATTCTTATTGCAATATAGCTTTAAAATATTTCTTAACATTATTAAAAAGCAATATTACGGAATTTAATTTGCTTAAATCTAGAACACCACAAAACCTGGTAGAAAAACAATACAAATATCAATACATTTGTATTCATATTAGCTTGAGAAAAAATTTTACATTAGAAACATTATTCAACCTCGTATAATATTTTACACTCTTAGAAATCTTGTAGAAAATATTAGGATCCTTCTGAATCATTATTTTTACAACCTATTAAGAACACATTAAAACCTTGTAAATTGCTCATTGCTACAAAAACCTATTAAATGGGGCTTTAAGCCTAAAAATGTTATCTTATTAAATAAACAAAATCTTTCTTCGACAAGTTGTCATTCAAAATCTTTTTAAACTTTCTATTGAAAATCATTGGAAAATAATATGCGAGAGGAAAATCCTCTTATGTGAAAACTATTACTTTTGATGTCATATATATATATATAAGAGGAAAACATCCATAAAATCAAGATTACTTTCTTTAGGGTGCAACATAGCTTTGAAATATTTCTTAATATTATTAAAAAGCAATATTACGAATCTAGATTTACTTATAAATAAAGAACGTCATGTTCTAGCGACCCTGAAGTAGTTCAAGACTTGAATCATGTCATTTTGGGCCTGCCCCAAATTTTGCACTCATTGTGTCTCTTTACTGAAGTTATTCTCAAGAGGTCTTAACTGTCCTTCCCCTTTTTGTAATCGAGAGTCACTTATGTTATTTGCGTCACAGATGGACAGAGAAGATGAGCCTAAAAAACGAAAAACAATGAAAATGTCTCAAAATGAAACTCTTGATGATGCGCTTTTTAAGTGGTTTATTCAAAGACAAAACCTCGGTCAGTCAATTGAAGTCAGCTCTATCAGCATTGAAAAATATCTAGAACAGGAAGGATATTCTAGAGATGATATTTATAATGCCGATGAAAGTGGCCTTAACTGGCGATTATTGCCAAAAAAAAATCACTCACAACTCGTCAGGAAATGACAGGGTCAACGCCAACCTGCTAATTCTCGCGGAGTGGATAGGTGCCCTTAGACTCGAGGTAGCCCCATCGAAAACTACAGCTTGCGTCTTCTCCAGGTTCAAGTTCACTTTTGATCATCTTTACATTAACCTATTTGACACCCAGATAAGTTGTGAAAAAACCCTAAAATTCAACATATCTCTAATCTTCTGCCTACTTTAACTTTTATGAATCAAACGGATTCTCACCTGTGGCACTCCAATGCAACCTAACATTTCCACTTTGACTTCGGAACTCTACGCCATATTCAGGGCAGTTTTACACTCACTCAAACATAAATATCCTAAAACACTAGTTGTCTCAGACTCTCTATCAGCATTGGAAAAGATTAAAAACAGCCTTTCATTTAAACAAAACTTACCCACAGTTCATGAAATACGTGACAAAATCCTTAACAACCATAACAACGCTAGAGTCTCGAAACTCAGCCTCATGTGGGTCCCCCCACACAGAGACATTCTTGGCAACACACGGGCGGATGGCGTTCGTTGCGGGACTAATCGCTACGCCAATTGCGCATACTTCAGAGCTTCCTTGGAAGGAAGACATTTCAAACACTATACTGACTCCCGACTATACAGCAAGGAAAAAAATTCGGTGACCCTTTGGGGAGGTGGATCGAGCTAATCACCCATACTTTTCTAGAATAACGACAAAGTCCCACAGGTCCTGGTTTGAGGGACTCTCATTTTCAAGAAATTGGATTAATACTGTGTTGGCAATATTATTTGTTTGTTCTGTTTATTATTTTTATTTGGAGGGAAAATCTAATTTTTCTATTGGTTGTTTGGGAAAGCGCGCAAATATAATGATAAGGGGGAAGTGAATAGCGCCAAAATAAAAGGAATGAATGTGAGAGAGAATTTAGAGATAGGATGAGTCGGTCGTGTCGAAACTCAGTCCTATAAGTAAATTTTATATTTATGTGATGGCAGCTTGCTGTAGTTTATTTTCTCAATTTTATAATTATTTTAATTAACTCAACTTTAATAAATTAATTGTATCATTTATAAATTGTGTTTTGAATTATAAATTGTGAAATAACCTCGTGTCTAATTGTTATCCAAAAATTAATTGCTAACAACCGTGACTAGACTACGCACTTGTCATACCTACACCGCAGATAATTTTTAACATATCCGGTGGATGGCGGAGTCCCGCTGTCTATGCGATACCGAGAAGAGATCTCTAACCTACGTTCTATACGAATGCTAATTGAAAAAATTATGGTTAAGCAATAAAACAGTCTAAATAAGTAAAAGTGAAAAATTTTAATACCTATTCATTGCCTCTTCAACTCTTGGTCCAGTTGTTAGAGTACTAACAACATCATCAAGCTGCATGATAATATCAGCTCCAATAGCATTCTGAATTTCGATGGAATGTTCCGGTGTCAACATACATTCCGTATCTGTTAAAAGTGATTACTTTCATTCGCAAATGTTGATAAATATAGGAACGATATAGAATAAGGGTCTAAACTTGACTTCAAATACCATTATAAGGCGATTTAAAATTAACCCCTTCTTCAGTGATTCTTGCTAATTTTAATAAAGAAACCATTTGAAAACCTCCAGAGTCAGTTAGTAAGCCTCTATTCCATCCCATAAATTTGTGCAAACCTCCTGCCTTCTTAAGAATCTCAGGACCCTAAAATTGCACAAAATATGTGTTGTTTTATTTGAATGCACTACCGTTCAAGAGTATCAGGACGATTACACTCGACTCTATGAAAAAACATGCCATCATTATTTCAATCGTATCTCGTAAATAAAAGGAGATACAAAATAAACTTAAATACGGTTAGAAAGCTGATTAAATTCTGCGTAAAATAAGCCGCCTTTGAGTTGTAGAGTGAGAAAGAAATAAAAAAAATTATCAAAGTTTCTCATTTTCGTCTCTTGACTTCAACTTTTTCAAAAATCTAAAAAAATTTAGATAACATTTCTTTATATTACTCGTGAAACATCATTATTTATTATTCCCCATCATAAATCTGTCCCTGTTTTCTCTCTCATTCTCAGCCACGCGAAGTTAGAATCGAGTCGTCACAGTTGAATTTCAATGAACTAATCGGTCGAAACACGGCTTCACATTTTTAATGATAATTATATCGAAGACGGATTAACCTTTTTTAATTTTCGAAGGTTTGTTTTAAACCCGAAATTCTAACGAAGATTTCTGTTTTTTTCTCACTCTACAACTCAAAAAATAGTTAACGAAATGACTTCAAAGACAGCTTATTTTACGAAAAATTTAATCAGCTTTCTAACCGTATTTAAGTTTATTTTGTATCTCATTTTATTTACGAGATATGATTGAAAAAGTGATGGCTTTTTTTCACAGGGTCGCGTGTAATCGTCCTGATACTCGTGGGCGGTAGTGTACATTCAAGTGTTTATTTGTAGAGAGTCACGGAAAAGCATCAGAAGATCTGAATAATCAGAATGTCTGATGTTTTGTGATTCTTGATTCCTCAAATGGCAAAGCCGCTTTTATGACAAGAAGAGTCTCATCAAAACTCTCACATACATACTAAGAGGAAATCGAAAAGTGTCTATGTACATTTTATTTCCTACAATATTTTACTTGTAAGAATACATAATTTCAAAATAAATTTTCCGATTTTCGAAAGAATAATTATTAGTAAAAATAAATAAATGAAAGTAAATAATTGAAATAGGTAGTTAACTTTTGTATTATGAACGTATTGAATTTTTTTTTCAAATCTTGTTATGTGGAATAAAAGTTAAGGGTTTTTTGAAACAACTTGATTTTTAAAATTGTCAGTTTTTAATTATTTTAATTTTAAAAATTAATTTTACAGACAACAAATTTAAAGTTCAAGTATCTATTTGAAATTAATTTTATTACCATTATTTTATACATTAATACATACAATAAAAAGTCAACAATTATAATCATTTTATTCACTATTTAATACCTCCTCAAACTATGTTCTATCAAGAAATATCTTCATGAGTTATTGCGTCGATTTTGTTCATATGTCGAGCAATCATTAATTCTTTTGTAGTAGGTAAATTAAATAAATCAAAAAACACTACATTATTACCATAAATAATTTTTGTCTCGACATTTCTTATTTCAAACTGAATATCAGGAAGAATGACAGTAAGTAGATTTTTCGTTGGCATTACATCATGTAAATCTACTGTTAAACAAGATGTATCTATATTTGATTTATAGAGAAAAATTTGTTGCATATTATTAACAGTTAATTCTTTAGGAATATTAAAAAACCTTTCAAGTAATGGTGATTCATCACCCACAGACAAGATGAAACTTTCAGTGGTTACAATTTCTCCTACCATCTGTGATAGATCAGTGTCCATAGGTAAGCGGTCTTTTATATCGAAATGGTATAAAACTTTATGCTTAAATTCATCAGTGGAAGCTCTCACGGCCAATCTGTATAATGATTCATGCAAGCGCTTTGTGTCTATTGAAGTTGCAGGTAATTTCTCATATTTCCTGTGCCTCCAAGCAAAAACTGCATAATAGTCTTGAAAATCGTAGGCCTTTCTTGACATGTCCACATTGTACTTCTTCACTGCATTCTCAATAAGTTCATTCATTTCATGGAAATGTTTCTGTCCGTACAGTTCTGCAATCTTCTGTCTTGACATATTCGTACTTTCAGTCTTTCTATTGCCAAACAAAAGAAGCTCCATTGTTTTTACATCACGTACATAATATTCATTATACATTGGACTGATACGCCTATTCCTAACCCAATCTACAGCAAATACAGCATAAGTTGGAGTTGATAAATATTGTGTTAAATCTGTTTCATCTATAGGATTCGTTTTGTAACTTTCTAAAACATCGTGAAATTCATCTCGTTTTAATGTATTAAAATTTGGAAATTCAATATTCACAAGATCATCTACTGTAGTTGGACTGTCAGTCGACAAAATGTAATGCTTCATTTCTTTCGTAGCATCACGTATTGACACACCAATTCTGGAATTTACTACCAATTCACTCGCTTCTTTAATACTTTCCGACCTTCGAATACCAAGTGCTCTTAAACCACCCAAACCTTCTGTTTTTATCTTAAAAATATGCCGTCGAAAAGGTTGCTTTGCATTCTCAAGCTTAGTCTGCTTGTTCAATTTCAGTTCAAGACCAAATGGTTCTTCTGTTTGTAAATTAATTCTTCTGTAAAATACCTTGCCTCGTTTGGACACTCTTGACGTGACAACGGGAACCTCCTTCTCAAAACCAATCAAATGTCTTAATTCTGCGTATCCTCTGGACAACTGGATGTACTTTGGGCCATATGGTTTCGATCCTCCAGGGTAGATAAATCTAAATACTTCACGTCCTTCTATTTGAGTTTCTGCTACGGAAACAATTCTTAAATTATCCGCAGACTTTACACCTTGTCCCGTTATGTGCAGCCAAATACTTTCGAATTTTGAATACTTGAAGTTTAAAGTTGGAAAGTTTTTCGACAGTCGCTTAAACGCATTGCTCATGACTTTACCTATGAAAGCACTGCCGCGAACAGTCAATTTACCAACGAGTTCAAATCCAGGATCCAGCGTTCGAATTACACCAACAGACAGTGATCTGAACATTTGTTTGGTGAAAACAACTTTTGTAAATGTGTCACTGAGACCAGTGGCGACTTTCCGTAAACCAATGGTCATTGTTGAGAGAATCGCCTGACGCAAAGTGTAACTTCTTAGAGAGAGTTCGGCAGCAATAAGAAAACGACTAATTGTCACGCTGCTGATCTTGAATCCGACGCTAAAAACTCCGGCTAAAGGTATGAAAGCAACTACATCCCCAATGCAACTCAAAGCTGCCATATCTTGCTCACCAGCCACTGCGTAGCTTATACAGTGATAGAAAGGAATAAACGCCTTTAAAATATCGAAAAATTTCTCCATACTCGTTTCACCATATCCATAATTAAACAGCTGCTTTTTAAATTCTGCCGCTCTCATTTCTGCAAACTTTTCTACAAAAAAATTATAATTCTCCTTAGATTTTTTGAATGGTGGGGCATTAATATAAATTTCCAAATCAGTGTCTAAAGGTAGACCAACTCTTTTATTAAACTCCTCTTTACAACCTTTCTGAAGCAACAAAGTGACATTAGTTTCATTTTGTTCCAAAGCGAAAAATTCTACCTGATCATTGTGCAAAATTCCAAAGAGATGGACATTTGGTTTGTATTCTGGTGGTATCAAGACACACATATAGCAAATAAAATCACCTTTTGGATAACTCTTATGAACAATTGCGTCTGTTGAATTTATAAGGTCTCGAATGTGAGGAAATCGATCAAATGCGGATCGAATGAGGTCCAATTCCATTAGACGATATTTTTCTTTGATAGAATGAAATTGTGCTTCGTAGACTAGTTCAAGATTAGGTAGCAACTTTGCAAGTTTGTGGCAACGAGTACTTGATGAATAGGTTTTGTAGTCATTAATTAGGGATTCCAAATAACTGTCATTGAGGTAGCTGCACTCCTTGTGTAATACGTCCCTGGCAACGACTGTTCGATTTTTGAATTTGGACATCTCGAGGTGAAACTGGTAGAGTGAATTGGTGGCAAGTGCTTCTTGACGAATATCTTCGAATGTTGAACTCAAGTAAGTGAACAAGGTAGAGAACGCGTCGGACCAAAAGTCTTCATTTTTTATCAATTGTTTCATAGGGTGCCGGCTTATTTTTGCTGTTTCTTTGTGAGCATAGTAGAGTAATGCTGGAAGAGCGAAAATTTGCAAAACAGATTTGGGAAGTTCGTCCCCAATTGCCGAAGCTTCCATAGCCATGGCCAGAGTCGCGTACTTCCGAAAAGAGACTTCGGACATGTTCATCTGTGCGGATTGCGCAAGCCTATGTCCGGCTAGCGCATACAGATACTTGACACTGACGACGTCCATGTCGTGGGACGCGTCGGGCAGCAGTGGCCACAGAAGGTTTTCGGCAATTTTGATAGTCGCCAGTTGAGTCAGATTCGAAACGTCTCCATCGTCGTTTAAACTTCGCAAGTAAGAGAGCCCTTCGAATGCGGTTTGTCTAAAAACCGACAATTTCAAGCTTTTCGAAGTACTCACAATTTCTGCTAAATACCCATAAATATTGCCACTCTGCGAGAAGACCGAATTACTTATTATGTAGTCGAAGGTTCGGTTGACATATTCCATGTCAAGGGTCTCGTTGTCCTGTCCTCCATAGAGATCACTGCCTTCCAACAACTTACGAATAATTTGTTCCTTCAGCTCTGTTTCGTTTTTTGATTTATTAAGATATTCGTAAAAGGTGTTTACGATTGTAAACGGTTGGCTCTTATCTTCCTCTTTTATCAAATGGTCAGCGTAAAACAAGTCACTTAATCTATTCATATAAGTAAATAACGTGAGGAACTGCACAGTTTGTACAGGATCAAAAATAGATGCATTCATTATGTGTAGAATTTATAATAAATCGTAATTTAATCAATTTATGTCCAAGTCACTTTAAAACTTGTCGTGGATACTATTTTGATTTTTTTAATAATACACATTTAAAACTTTTCAATAATTGACGATTGCTCTATAGCATTTTCTGAACTAAATGCCGTACTTAAATGTATTAGAAAAAAATTGGAATGCTACTTTGTATATATTATATTAATTAATATAATCAGCTTTACACAGGTGTTTTAAAACAATAATGAATGAGTCTTAAGATAACAACTACTACATATTTAACTGTTTACTTTGCAAACTTTGAAATATTGAACCTTTAAAAAATTTAATCAAACAAAATTATTATTAATTGAATTAATGTGAAAGGAACACATGTGGTATGAAATCCAAAAAATTGATAATAATTTTAAAGAAAATTCTACTGTCCAAATTTGTTAATTTATATATTGAATAGTAATATATATTTTTTTTATTGATTAGAATATTGTAGTTAAAAATAATAAATGATAATTACTGTGAAAACATTAAATATAATAATTTAAAATTTTTGATTTATTACTAATGTCATAGAAAATTGTGAAGCACTAAAATAAGATGGAACACTTTTGTTTCAATACTAAATTACAATAAAATAAAATAAAAATGTCTAGAAATGAGAGCAACTTATTTTAATACCATGTTTTTTAATACCACATTTGTTTTTAAAAAGTAATGGTTAATATTTTAACAATAATTAATATTTTCTATTAACACTTACTGCCCTATTGAAAAATACACGTGTAACCATACATGCAATTATACATATGTTTTCACACATGTCAGCATACATTGTGTAAGTTCTTAAATATATATTTCACAAATGTTTACATATACATGAATTTGAAACAGGAATTGAGGAGTCGGGAATAAGAAATAGCCGAGCGCTCCAACGCATGCGTTAATATCAGCCGGGTAGCAGTGACAGGCCCAGAGGCGCTCACTGCTCGCCGACTGATATTAGAGAATACGTTCCCGCGCTCGGCGAGTTCTTCTTCCCGGCTCCTCAATTATACACGGAGAGAAAATATATATTAAATTTTGTAAAATGTGACGCGACCCGAAGAAAGGTACCTAAGAAGGGTTCGAGTTAGATTTATCTTGATTAAAAGTTCATTTTTAATTATTTGAATTTTAAACCAATATTAATTGAATATTTTGATTATAATGAAAACTTAAAAACCAACAATTTTTAATTAATAATTGATTCTCTTTCTGTATTTTTACTCAAAAAATTTAAAACATAACCTCAAATTTTTTCCTTCTTAGGTACCTTTCTTGGGAACGCGTCACAAATTATTTTAGAAATTGGGGAAAATGTGCCACAAACCGAAATTTTAACATAGAAAATACTACTTAAATAGTGAAAGAAATAATATGAAATTTAGTAAAGTTATATCAAATATAAGAATTTTAGTTAAATTTTAATATAACTTTACTAAATTTCATATTATTTCTTTCACTATTTTTAGTATTTTCTATGTCAAAATTTCGGTTTGTGGCACTTTTCCCCTAAATTGGGGAATTCTTTTACAAAATTTAATATAACTTTCTCTCCGTACACGTGTAAGATCGCACGCGCCATTGTGTACTGTTTACTGTACATATAGGTCAAAGAACACTTTATTAAATGACAGTTTTTACTTCTTTTTTTTCCCTTACCGGTAGACTGTTAGTTGTATCAAATGTAAATTAATTAAGTAAAAAAAAAGTAATAACAGTCATTTAATAAAGTGCTGTTTGACCTACAGTAATTAAACTAATAAATAATAATGCAATATAAATAAACATATTATGAATAATAATAATAATAATACAAACTTTAGGTAATTGTTTAGTTTAAATAAAAAATTATAAGAATAGAATATTTAAAAATTAATATAAAAAAACCAAATTGAGAACCGTAAAACCAACGGTTTTTTTTAAATTTGTTAATTAACATTGGTTTCAATTGATAATTATCTAATTAAAAACATTCGATTAATTAATTTTATTAAATATTAAAAAGAATGTATCACATTTAAACGATATTTAGAAAAAAAATTAATTTTAAACAACTAAAAACAACGTCGCTATTCATTTGTTAATTAACAGTTGTTTAAACAATGCTATGTGTAAATATTAACTATAATTATTAATAGTCGTTTATTTTAACCAACAGTAGTGCACATTGCACCCATTTATTTAAAATTTTTGCTATTCGGAATTGAAATTATTTAAATTGTTCATAAAAATTGCTTAAACAATTATAAATGAGTTCTGATAATTACTTCAACTGGTATTTACTTTCGGATCTCTAATACAGAAGATTAGATAAAATTCAATTACTAAAAGTTAAAAAAAACAAACTTCTTATAATTAATCCACTAAATTGTTAATAACAATTATAAGCGATTTTAAAAAAATGTATTAACATTTAGAATACATTTCTAGGTTATAACTTTAAAAATTTTGGCCTTCGCTGATGTAATAATCGCTGTTTCTAAAAAGTTATGTTGATTTTAAAGAGAAAATTAAAAAAAAATTTTTTTTTAAATTTTGACAAATCGTTGACTTGGTGTTTGATTTAAAGTGAAATTTCATTCATAGTAAAAAGTAATACTATTAATGGATTATTTTAATCCTTTTTTGGTGTTAACTTTATGAGGAAGTTTATTATTTCCAATAATACTTTATTTAAAAGTCTAATAAAATTAATATAATAGGGTCAAAATAAGTGAAACCGGCCACTTGAAAAATTTTTATCTCCAATTTTCAAGTTATCTATGATTTTTAGTAGATATATGAGTACACTTTTTCCCCCTAAAATATTTTTCAAAAAAAAATTTTATTTTTGAAGTAATCAGGTATTGAAGTTTTAGGTCATTTTATTTTCATTTTATTATTACTTTGAAACAAATAAAGATAATTAATTTTTTTTTTTTAAAATTAAAACTTAAAGTCTATACTTTAAAGGTGAAATAAAGCGATTGCTAAAAAATGAAAATTTATAATTGTTATTAACAATTCTTTTGAACAATTGCAAATTGAAAAATGTTCTCAATGTTTTTGAAAGATTAAATTACGATATATTGATGCGCAAAACTATAAGGATTCATTTAAAAAAAAGAAAAATGAGTAACCTCCAATATTATAGAAATTGTGTAGATTTTTCTGCCAAAATGCAGGCCAAAATCGATTTTTAATCTTAAAAATCCGCTTGAAAGCGTGAAGTTTCTAACAAAACAAAAGAAGATCTTATTTATTCGTTTGCAATTTTATCTTTTTCCAGGAACTTGAGTCAATTTTTGCTTGCATTTTGTCAGCAAAATTTACATAATTTCTATAATATTGGAAGTTACTTATTTTTCTTTTTTTTAAATGAATCCTTATAGTTTTGCGCATCAATATAGGGTAAACGTACCAATTGTCGAGGATGGTTCCTGTTGTCGAGTAAACAAACTTTGAATTTTATTTAAACAATGTAACATATTGTAAATGAAAAAAAGTAATAAATATGAATTTTTTTAAGCGTTATAAATGTGAAAAAAATATATTAATATTATATAAACAAACAAATGAGACATTTTAGACAATATTTTTTGGTTATTACCATGGTAACATCGACAAATGGAACACCCTCGACAATTGGTACACTTACCCTATCGTAATTTAATCTTTCAAAAACATTGAGAACATTCTTCAATTTGCAATTGTTTAAAAGAATTGTTAATAACAATTATAAATTTTCATTTTTTAGCAATCGCTTTATTTCATCTTTAAAGTATAGACTTTAAGCTTTAATTTAAAAAAAAAATTACTTAATTATCTTTATTTGTTTCAAAGTAATAATAAAATGAAAATAAAATGACCTAAAACTTCAATACCTAATTACTTCAAAAATAAAATTTTTTTTTGAAAAATATTTTAGGGGGAAAAAGTGTACTCATATATCTACTAAAAATCATAGATAACTTGAAAATTGGAGATAAAAATTTTTCAAGTGGCCGGTTTCACTTATTTTGACCCAATAAAACAAAATAAATGTTTAGAATATGAAAACTTAAAATAAAATATTAAACCTTTTTTAGAATATGAAAAAACTTACAGGTCTAGTTCCTAGATGATACGTATTACTTAGCATTATTTGACAATTTAAATTCTCTAGTTGCTGAGGCAATAATCCTTTCAAAGTTCCCTGTAAAACAAAAATTGTAGTTGTAACATGATTATAAACCAATAATCCTTAAATTAAATTTAATGTGCACAAGGTATATTTAAAAACATACCTGCGTGCCAACCGGCATAAAAACTGGAGTATCAACTATACTGTGAATTAAAGTCATTACGCCAGTTCTAGCTTTTGAGGTGTTACATTCCGCAATTAAATCGAAAATTAAAGGTGATTTTGTTGTATTTGCCATTATTTTCATTTATTATTAAGATCTGTAACAAAAATTCCACTTATAAATATTATTATTAATGAGATTTTCGGTCATTACAATAATTAATAAATTATTACATCCAAATAAATAATATTCATTATTTTTTAATAATCAAATCTCTAGAAACTTTATATATAACCGTGAAAACGTTAATGAACATTAAAGAACGTTATTGTAATTTATAGATACAGATGACAAATTCTATCTCTAATTTATGTATAAAAATTAAAAAATACAAATTTTTTTATTATCAATTTAACTGAATATTTATGTTTGAATAAAATGAATCACGTAGGAAGAAAATTGTTCTGGAAAAAATTTGGAAGTGTATGAACTACAAATGAAAGGTATGTTTAAAATTAAAATTTTTTATTTTTATTAATGAAAATCATTAAATTTCAATTATTTGTTCATAAAAATTAAATTATCTTTAACAATGAAATTTACATGTTTTAAAAATCTTAATTTTACAGAATTTTAAATTAAACCATCTCGAAACTTTAATTACTAAAAAAAACTTTGATCTAGAAAAAATCGATTTTTTTAAACTTCTAATAAAATTCTTTAAGGGATTTAATTATTGTCAAGTGAATTTCACAAAATTTTGTGAATTTTATAATTCTCTAATAAAATGATTTTAAAAATTCAAGTAATGATTTAAAAATTATATTGAATTAATTTTGAACATAAATTAATTCCGAAAACCGCATCTGTTTTTACCAAAGTATTTTTAAAGGTACATAATTATAATTATTAACTTGAGGAAAGTATATTTTAAAATTTATTTATTTACAAAAATCAACAAACAAGGTATTGTTTTTTTAAAATTCGATTATTTTTCGAATTTTCAATGAGAATTTTTTAAAAATACTATTATATTTCAAAATATATTTTAAAAGTAATTTCTAAATTAAATTATTTAAAACTTTTAATTTTAATTAAAAACCTTTTGAAATTTAATTCTTATTTTAAAAATTGCAAACAGTAATTTTTCCAAAATTATTCAAAACTTTAAGAATTTTTATAGAAAAATAATGTAATTTACAATTTTTCAAAATAAAAATTTTTATACTTTTGCTTCACTTAAATTTTTAATAATTTAATTAAAAAATCTTTTCAAATTTAAAAATGTAAAAATTAATTTCTTTATTATAAAATTTTGCAAATTTTTTCAAAATTTTTCACTAAAATTCTTTTTTAAATAAATTCTAATCAGATTTTAACAACGAGAATTTAATTATTTAAATGAAAAATAAGTTAATTTATAAAATAATTAATTATTTTTAATAATTGCACCTCTACCTCTTTATTGAGTTTTTGTAATTGGGGTTAAAGTTTCTTACTCCACTTATTTTATTATTTACAAATGAACTGTCAAACTTTTGACATAATAATTCGGACTATAAAACTAAAAATTGGAATAAAAAAACACTAACTTCACGTGAGGGCAAATTATGTCGATCATTATAATATAATAATTTTGAAAATTTTTTAAAAGGACAAAAATATATTCACATATCTATCAAGAAACGTAAATAACATGAAAATCGGAGACAAAAGTTTTCAAGTGGCTGTTTTCACTTATAATCTTGAAAAAACTTGAGATAGACGTTTGACTAAATTTAATTATACCTACATTAATATCAATAAACTCTGCAATTATTATTGTTGGACTGTAACAGGAGACACCTATAGGGTGAAGGAGCCTGTTGTCGAGTCGACACCAGTTTTCGAGTTCTGGTGACTATTTATGCTTATAAATAGTAAATTATATTAATTACGTAAAATAAAATAATATAAAAATATTCCCAATTAATAAAGTTATTTATAAAAAAATGTTTTACATTGTAATGTTAAATTGTTTGTCTTTAAAAAATAATTTTATGTGCATTACTCACGAAATCAGAGGAATGACACCATTTGCTATTTTCATTCGTAATGTGACTGGTGTTATTTTACTTCCAAAAACAGTATATTTTTTAATATTTAAAAAACTTCTTTAATACCATCAAATTCAGAAGAAAACAAAGAGTATATAACTGTTGATAATTACTTTATACGATTATTTATTAGTTCAAACAAAATTAATACTCGGTAACTAGTACTGAATTTTGATTGCTCTCCAATTGTCGATTTGTTGACTCGAGAAATGGGTTCGGCATATTTTATTATTTGACACCATTTTTCGATTGTCAATTAATAACGTATGCATAAATATTATGTCATTTTCGTAGGTTAATATATGATTAGGTTTATGTAAACATCATCTAATAACGTAAGAAATTTTCTTTAAATTAAATTTTTGATAGAAATCATTTTTAATTTAAAATTTATTTTTTTGGAAACATTTGTTATGAAATAATAAATAAATAATATTCTATTAATTTCTATTATATGACAAAAAACAAAAACGACAACTGGGTCAAGAAATCGAGCAATTGGTATCTGAGCCTCGACAAATGGTATTTTACAAACAATTTCTTTTATATTAATTATTTAATATATAATTAATTTTTTTAACGAAATTTTATCAAGTATACAAGCTTATATACTCCTCTTACTTAAATGATATTTTTTAATTTACATGGATGGCCTTGATTGTGATTAAAAAATGTTCACTTTAACGTATAAGTGATTAAAATTGATTTATTATGTGTAAAATACTTATACTTATAAGAATTAAAACAGTTTATTTACACGTTATTTGAAGGTTCCCTACTTTCTTTTCAAGCGTCTTTTGGTAAATATTTATGTATCATAACAATTTCTATTTCATATTTTGTAAGTGTAATATTTTTATTTGTATACTAAATAACACGTGTTATAGCAGACTATAACTAAAATCGTCAGCTAAAGGCCAACACACAATGGGTTCTCGAAAGTTGTTCGCGAATCAAATGTATGAGATAGAAAAGGACGCAAATATATGTCACTCCTCTTCTAACTCATGCTTCACGTTCGAGAACATATTGTGCATTGGCCTTAAAAACCTGTTTTCAAAAGGAATTTTCTTTTTTTTGTATTATCGCTAATGGCGTGTTGCAGAGTAAACAGCCATATAATGCAGAATAAATGCAAAAGAAAATAACATTATAGCATAGGGTGCAGTCACACGATCTCATGCAAAACTTATGCATGCAGGTTGCCATGGTAGCGTTCAAGAGTGAGAGAGATAGGAAGTTATTTTATCTCTCTCACTCTTGAACGCTACTATGGCAACCTGCATGCATAAGTTTTGCAGAGGCATTAAGTTTGTCTCACTCTACATTTTCTTACTTTTCCAAAAACAGAAAATGCAGAGTGAGACAAACTTATGCCTCTGTCATAGAAGAGAGAAAGACAAGAATGGTTTTTCCAAAAGTCGTGTGAACGTACTCTTAGGTTGAATAATAAATGTGACAAGGATAGAAGTAAATGAATATAAATGCAAGCATGCAAACACAGCTTGTTAATTGTAAAGGCCAACGCACAACTACTTCGCGAACGTCGTTCGCGAATGTAAAGCATGAGTTAGAAAAGGACACAAATATATCTCTGTCCTTTTCTAACCCATGCATTGCGTTCGCGAACAAGCGAAGTGTTTGTGCTTAGGCCTTAAGAATGAGAAAGATAAAGATAGGCATACATATGTATATCATCCTTCTCTTATTCATTCTTACAATTTCGATTATAGATCATTGTGCTTTGTCTGCTTTATCGATCGCAAAATGCAAGAAATAATTAAAAATTGATTAAAATTAAATTAAAAGATAAATTTTTATTTTAGTTTAAACTGTATGCAACTCTTTTGATCGCAGAAGTTAACTTTATATCTGTAAAGGTTTCCAAGAGTCAAAGTCAGGGTAAGAAATTCCAAAAAAATAGAATTATTTTTTTGTGTTTATAATATGATATCTTGCTTTCTATTTATGCAATACAACTGAAAATAGTGTCTTTTCATTGGAAATTTAATAAGCTTTTCAATGCAATTTAAAAAAAGCATTGACAAAGTTATCGCTGTTTTTGTGCGTTTGTGTTTTTTAATAGCTCTACTTAGCGGGCGCACAATTTCCGCCGGTAGCGTATGTTTGTACAATCCAAATTTTTTGTCATATCGCTTTTATAGAATTTTTTAAAAATGATTCGATTTAAAATTTTCAATTCAACAAATGTAATAAATAAATAAATATAATATGGCTTATTTTCTTTAAAAAAAAATTATTCTTTTCAACGTCACCCATCATATTTTTAAACAATCACGCCTTTTTGAAGATATGCATATTTCTTTAAAAGAAAATTTATACTTAAAAAAAAATAAGATTACAATAAAAACATTTTCGACTAAATTCCAGCCTTGATAGTATTATTTTAAGTCCTATAAAATTAACTTAATCTTGTATTAAGCTTAAAAATAGGCTACTTTTCAATCATTTTGGTTTATTTGTTATTAAAAGTTTTAAAATGTACAAAAATATATTTCTGCTTGAAAAAAAATTGAAATTTAAAAAAATTTTGTTGGTTTCGTTTTTTGCAGGTTAAATCAATGGACAAGATTGCGGATATACGATTTAATTTCAAAGAAAAATTCTAAGTTTTTCTGAATTTGTGATAGATGTAGTTTTAGAGTACAAAAGATATTTTAAAAATAATTTTTGTAGATTTGGCAGTGTTTTTTGAAAAAAGTCAATTTCTAGAGGTGAGCATAAACAATCCGGACAACGTAAGGGGGAACCTCATTTATTGCGTCAAAAAAATCGATTTTCTGGAAATAATTTTAATCGATTCTACAACTATTCAACAATATACCTTTCAAATTTTAAGTCGATTTCTGTATTATTGAAGAAGTTACCAAATTTTTATTCATTTATTTTTTTCATGCGTCGTCTGGTGAAATGTTTACCAGAGTCCGGAGTTTTTTCTGTTTTGGCATTCCATCTGCCTTCTTCTTTCATTCAAGGTACCACTTTCAGTATAATTTGTAATTTCTATGTGTCAACCCTGCTTTCATTTGTTTGACCTTTGCGTCACTTTTTAAAAAAAAAACTTCAAACGCATTTTTCTCGAAACACCATTTTTTAATTTCGTGTACAGGATTGAGAACGCCCTATTGAATTAATCGGGCTTTATGATAATTAAATCATAATTAAATAATCTTCAATGTGACATTTAGTGTTTCTTAAAAAAAAATTTTTTTCATATTTTTTTTTTTAATTTTAAAGTTAATTTTTATGCACGAAAAATTACTTTTAACGTAAAAGTGGGTAAATAAATCAATTCTCAAAATTTTTTTTAAAATCGAAATGTCACATCGAAGGTATTATCCTAAAGTTTAAAAAAAAATTTGGTTTCTTATTTGTTTTAGAAAAAAATTCAGAGTGCATGTACGCAGATAAAATGAGGTGCCATGGACGCGGTGTATATTTCCATACTAAAAATGTTTTGTTTTTTATCCAAAAATTTTTTTAGACTGTCAAGACATGTATTAATGTACCCTATAAATTACAAAACGTTTGAAGTTATTTTACCTGAGAAAAAAATCCCAAAAATGACGCATTTTCGACCGTCTAAATGATGAGGTTCCCCCTTAAAAAGTAAACAAAGAATTTTAATTTGAATCCTGTTTTTTTATTAATTTTCTGTATTATTTTAGATGGATCCATATAAAGATGCGTATGTTGGTGTCAATAAAAATTCACTGCATCATGCTGTTAAAACGAACAATAAAAAATTGTTAAAACTACTCTTGGAAAAAGGAGTTGAAGTTGATGGACAGGATAAGAATGGCAAAACCTCTCTGCATCTTGCTGTTGAAAAAGGATATTTAGATATTATTGAGGAAATTTTAAAGTATAATCCTGATATTAATAATGAAATTAATAGTAGTTGTCTTCTAATATCAGTTTATGGGGATAAAGAAGAACACAAGAAGATTGTACAAGTTCTTTTTGAATATGGTTTTCGTGTTGGACCCAGGAACGTGAATAATTCTAAATTATTACACACTGCTGTTGAGAAAGGATATTTGAATATTGTCGAAGATCAGTTGAAGCACGGCGCTAATGTAAATATGTTACGCCATTCAGAATGCAAAGAAGACTTTTCACCTTTACATACTGCAGCTAAACACAAACAAGAAGAAATAGCAAAATTGTTGATTAGCTATAAAGCGAATGTAAATGCTCACGATTACAAAGGAAATACTCCAATATTTTATGCGATTGAGAATGCGGATGTAAAATTTATCATGTTACTACTAAGTAACGGGGCTAATGTAAAAGATTACTCTATACTATTAAGTATTGCTGTTCAAAAAGAATGCATAGAAATAATTAAAACTCTTCTGCAATTCGGTGTTAACATTAACGCCACTTATCAGCATGGACTAACAGCCCTACATTTTACTGCCTTAAGAAAAAATAATTCCAATTGTTCCTTTGATGATTCGAGTAAAGATTATGATTCTAATTTTGATTCAATTAGTGGGGAAATTGCTAAATTTCTTCTAAGTAAAGGTGCGAATGTAAACTCCGAAACCAAAAATGGAGTAACAGTACTTCATGCTGCTTCTCATTATGGACTTGCAAAAGTTGTTGAAGCAATTTTAGAATATAATGGAAACGTTAATTCAAGATTAAAAAATGGCATCACACCACTTCATCTTTCAGCTCAAAGAGGAAATGTTGAAATCTGCGAAATGCTGTTGCTTAAAGGAGCCGATATAAATGCTAAGCATGATGATTTAAAGAGTGCTCTACATATTGCGTCTGAAGAGGGTCATAAAGAAATTTGTAAAATATTGTTAGAATACGGTGCTGAAATTGATTCTACAATGAGAGGTGACATCACACCACTTCATATTTCTGTCAAAAAAGGAAATGAAGAAATCATCAAGATTCTTTTAAATAAAGGAGCTGATATAAACGCTATGCAAGATGATTTAAAAACTCCACTACATATTGCATCTGGAGAGGCTAATACAGAGATTATTAAAATATTGTTAGAACACGGGGCCGACATTGATTCCACAATGAGAGGTGGCATCACACCACTTCATGTTTCTGTTCTGAGAAGCAATAGGGAAATTACCAGGATTCTGTTAAATAAAGGAGCTGATGTAAACGCTAAGCAAGTGAATTCAAGAACTGCACTGCACATTGCTACCGAAGTGGGTAATGAAGAGATTTTAAAACTCTTGTTAGAATATGGGGCCAACATTAATTCCAAAATGATGGGCAACGTAACAGCACTTCATATTTCTGTCCAGAAAAGAAATGAAGAAATAACCAGGATTCTCGTGAGTAAAGGAGCTGATGTAAACGCTAAACAAGTGGATTTAAGAACTGCACTACATATTGCATCTGGTCAGGGACAGACGGAGATTGTAAAAATATTAGCAGAAGGTGGTGCCAAAATTGATTCTATAATGAAAGCTGATATCAAACCATTTCACCTGCTTGTTCAAAGGGGAAATGTAGAAATGGCTAAAATTCTATTGAGTAAAGGAGTTGATGTAAACACTGCACAAGAAGATTTATGTTCTCTTCTACACATTTCAGCTCGTGAGGGTCATAAAGAGATAGTAAAAATACTACTGGAATGTGGTGCCAAGGTTAATTCTGTAATGAACGGAGGCATTACACCACTGCATTTGGCTGCTGAAAGAGACCACCCAGAAATTATCGAGTTTCTCCTTCAATTTGGTGCTGACATTAACTTTAGAGATGACAAAGGCAGAACAGCACTTATTATTGCTGTTCAACAACGACGTTTAACTTCTGTTGAAACTCTTCTGAAGTATGGCTCTGATATTAATATTACATGCATGAATAATCTTACACCTCTTGATTATGGTATAAGGCTTAGTCCCATGGGTCATACTAGATATTCCTTCTATATTGCTGAATATGCAACTTCGATTACTAATGTCCTTAAACTCCATATAATTAAAAGAAAAATGGCAAATTTGTACGTAAGTGAAAAAAATTTAAAATCATTCAGTGCATGGAATAAAAAATATCTTCAATATAATTGTGAAAATGAAATAACACGCATGATGCGTAAGAAGATTAGTAATCCTAATGTAACCTTCTACGATATTTTGACAAGAGATGTAAGTTCATTAGCAAAATATATGAGGAATGAAAATATAGTTCAGGTTTTAAAGTCAGAGGACTATAAAAGAGAATTTCCAATGTACGCAGATATGATACGATGTAATGTTATAAAAGGTGTGGAAAGAATAGAATTACTTAAAGAATGCAATGAAATTCTCCCTCTTCTTAAGAACTTTTCCAAGTTACCAGAATTATGTGTTGAAGAAATATTCAGTTACCTAAGCAACAAAGATGTAAAAATTTTTAAGGTTGCTTGTCAGCTTTTCGAGAGTTTATAAATCAAAAATAATTTTAATATCAATTGATATACAGTAAGAAAAGCTTCAGGTCATTCATAGAGAAACATGCGATCTGCATAAGCCTGTCTCACTCCTAGTTCTACTCATGACTTACATGAAGCTTTTCCTATTATATAGCTTTCTGACAAACTGCTATCAAAATTTTCTTCGCCCTCTGGAAAAAAGTTCTCAATTATTGTCGAGAATTCATCTTCTTTTGCAGTATTTTTTCCCGATGAATATAGCCATTAAAGTATTCATATCTAATGGAGAGAATTTTCCTCTTTTATATTTGGGTGATTCTCCAAATGTATTCACTTCCCCACAAGAAACAATTGTATATTTTAATCATTTAATGTAATTTTTATAAATTGTAACTTCAAAAGTTAGGTTTATTGTCCTGTCCCATGACTACTATAACTATTTTCATTCCTTCAACACTTAAAAAAATATTTAAAACTTAAAAACCAGTATTAAATCAATATTTTTTGAAAGCTATAAGGTTTCAGAAGATTTCTCCAAAATATAAAAAAACGGACTTATTTGCTTTTTATAGAAAAGAATTTAATTTTGTCCTTTGGTTGCTGGTTATTCCTATGGCCTGTTGAATAATAATATTCAATATTTTTAATATAGAAAGAGATATATTATAAGTACCCTGGTAAAAATTTCGGACTAATTTCGGATATTAAATACGGACAGAATATTACGGATTAGTCCGAAAATTGTACGAAAAAGGTCCGAAAATGATCCGCGCTAGTCTGATATTAATCGGAACGAAAACCTGAATCCGAAAACACTCCGATGTAATCCTAAATTTCTACGAATTGAGTCTGTAATTAGTCCGCAACAATCCGAATTTATGACCGGTGAAGAATTCTTCTAAAATAAGTACGGAATTATCAGAAATCAATATGTAAAGAATACGGAATCAGTCCGCAATAATCCGAATTTAATATAGTTAAAAAAACTTAATCCGTAAAATGTCCGAAGCAATCCGAACTCTGTAAGCAAGAAATCCGATATTAGTCCGCAACAATTTGAAATTAAGTGTTGCAAAATCCTATTCCGAAACAAGTACGAAAACTGTATGCAACGAATTCGGAAATTGTCTGCAACGATTGAGATTTAATCCAATTGAAAGGCATAATCCGAAATATGTATACAAAGAATCCGGTAATAGTCAGCGGCAATCCGAATAATATCCAATCAAAACACCCTAGTCCGAAAAGAAGTCTTATAATAATATGGAATTTGTAAATATATATATACAATCCACAGACAGTCCAAAACAATCCATATTTAATCCAAATTCAAACTATAACTATAATTTCGTATGACAAATACCTGACCAAAACCAGATTAATTCCGGACTTAATCGGACTATTTGCAAGTTGCGTATTATCAGACTAACTTCGGATTAGATCCGAATAATTCCGGATTCACTGGTTATACACAAACCGCATTTGGTTTGAATCTATCCGGACAAATTCCGAGCGACAAAAACCTATCCATGAGCAGACTGTTTCGGATTAGCTGCGGATTCACTGGTTAAACCAACCGGATTACTTCTGCATTTACTAGTTGCATATAATCTGACTAACTTCGGGCTAAATAGGACTAATTACGGATTCAATAGTTATAAAAAATGGTATTGATTTCAAACTTAATTCAGGGTGAAAAACACTACAATAAATCGTACTGTTGCGGACAAATTCCGGATTAGTCCGAAATCGGTCCGACTTTTTATTCAGGGTATTTACTTATGGTAAATAAAATATTTACTTTTGCAGTCAATTTGATTTTACAAATTTACTAGTATTATTAGTTATCTTGTTTCAATATTAAAATTAACACTGATGTGTTAGTTCCTTGTCATTTCTTTTCGTGGCACTTGATAAATTCTATTATGAATTTGAACTTCCATGCGAGCGTGGTATAGTGGTTAGTGTATTCGATTTCTGTGCGTTATAATGTTAGATAGGTGTAGGTTCGAATCCCCAAGCGTTAGAAATTTTAAGTGAATGTAAATAAAATTGCGATAGGTAAATCGAAAAATATGTTATTGAATGTTGCCATAAAGTAATAATAATTAATATGTGTAACTTGTATAATTATTTTTTTATTAACATTCACTAAATTGTCTGGACTAAATTTTGACTGTTTCGGACAAATTCCAGATTCACTAGTTAACCCTTTAACGACGAGATGTGCTACTTTTCAACATGAAATTCAATCTCTTACAATTAGTAGAAAAAAGCCATAAAAGTTTTTAAAAGTCCATACCCTACTATTTTTGGGGTCGCTCTTTCGAATGGTGTGATCAAAATTTTCAAAAAATGATATTTAACCCTTCTTTTTTCAAAAATACTAAAAAAAGTCAAGTTTTTTTAATGTAATTTTTTTCAAAAGAATTTTTTTCTGTGTCATAACGCTTTTCAAATAGAACAAAAAGTATCAAAAACGTGTTCCCGATAGTTGTACTTGAAAAATATTCATTTCTAAATTTTATTTTTTTCGATTTTGAATTTAAAATGGCGCTTAAAGGACAAAATTTTTTTCTTATTTTACGTAAGATGACAAACTTTTTCAAAATTGCTCAAATCTGATTGAAATTTGTTACTCAGAGGTTTTCGTGGTCGCTGATTACGAATTTGAAGTCTGATTTCAAAAATTCAAAATGGCGGATCCAATATGGCGGATGACTTTTTAAAAAATTGATCGGATTCGCTTGAAACTCGTTACTCGGGGGTTTTCGGGGTCGCTGATTACAAATCCGATGTTAGTTTTTAAAAATTCAAAATGGCGGATCCAATATGACAGATGACTTTTTTAAGATCTTAAAAAAGTCATCTGTCATATTGGATCCGCCATTTTGAATTTTGACAATCTGATATCAAATTCGTAATCAGCTACCCCAAAAATCCCCGAGTAACAAGATTCAAGCAAATCTGAACAATTTTTGTATTTCGTCCGCCATATTAGATCCGCCATTTTGAATTTTTGAAATCAGACTTCAAATTCGTAATCAGCGACCACGAAAACCCCTGAGTAACGAGTTTCAAGCGAATCCGATCAATTTTTTAAAAAGTCATCCGCCATATTGGATCCGCCATTTTGAATTTTTGAAATCAGACTTCAAATTCGTAATCAGCGACCACGAAAACCCCTGAGTAACAAATTTCAATCAGATTTGAGCTATTTTGAAAAAGTTTGTCATCTTACGTAAAATAAGAAAAAAATTTTGTCCTTCAAGCGCCATTTTAAATTCAAAATCGAAAAAAATAAAATTTAGAAATGAATATTTTTCAAGTACAACTATCGGGAACACGTTTTTGATACTTTTTGTTCTATTTGAAAAGCGTCATGACACAGAAAAAAATTCTTTTGAAAAAAATTACATTAAAAAAACTTGACTTTTTTTTAGTATTTTTGAAAAAAGAAGGGTTAAATATCATTTTTTGAAAATTTTGACCACACCATTCGAAAGAGCGACCCCAAAAATAGTAGGGTATGGACTTTTAAAAACTTTTATGGCTTTTTTCTACTAATTGTAAGAGATTGAATTTCATGTTGAAAAGTAGCACATCTCGTCGTTAAAGGGTTAAAATTAACTGATTAATGTCGGACTTCATCGGACCAACTCCGGATTTACTAGTTGTTCACAAACCGTATAGAGTTCGGATTTATTCGGATTAATTTCGGGTGACAAAAACCTGACCATAAACCGCATTGTTTCGGACAAATTTCGAATTAGTCCGAAATCTGTCCGGTTTTTTAACCAGGGTATCCTGATGATTAATCCGATTAACGCCTCTGTTGTTAATTTCAGATATAATTTTATGGAAAACATTTTTTTTTGCAATACGCAGTCATCATATCTACGAACATGATAAGGCATTTTAAGTTTACAAAAAATCGATTGCTATATTAAATAAAATATAAAGAAAAATATATTGTACACCAGTTTATCCATTCCATTTTTTCCAATAACCTTTTTTTCCACTAATTCTTTTTTCCAATCACGATTTTTTTACTAATTATTTTTTACATTTTTCAAATTGTTGAATGGTAAACTAAAGTCAACTTCAATTTGTTATTCAATTTGTTTAATGTCAAAATCGTGCAGTATCTACTATCTTTAGATCTTTTTAAAAATTCTAAATTTTGAGTAAAATGGTTGTGGATTTTGTGTACAGACAGCGGAACAAAAAATCCTTTTCTACACATAGATGGATTTCTTTTAACTAAAAGTGAAGAAAAAAAAGGTAGAATTTTTTGGAAGTGCCGAAAATATCTGGAATGTGCCGCGAATTGAGGAGTATCTTCGAGCCATCGGACATAATATAAAATTTTGAAAAATTGTTACATTATTTAATTACTTTTTGGAAAAAAAATTGGTAGTGGAATAATAATGGATTGGAAAAAATGTAGTGGAGAAAATAGTAGTGGAGGAATTGATTAGTGGAAAAAATGAATTGGAGAGAATAGAGTGGAAAAACTGACTCACTACCTATATTATATTCGTATTTTTTTGACATTAAACAAATTGAATAACAAATTGAAGTTGACTTTAGTTAACCATTCAACAATTTGAAAAATGTAAAAAATAATTAGTAAAAAAATTGTGATTGGAAAAAAAGGTTATTGGAAAAAAAATTAGTGGAAAAAAAGGTTATTGGAAAAAATGGAATGGATAAACTGGTGCACAATCATAAATGTAAAAGTAATTGATAAGCAGAATTTCCTTCTCACTTTAAGATTTTATTTTTTTAGTTGTAAAGTATAGTGTCATATTTTATGAAAATCTGTTGGATAACAATTGATTAAAATTTTTTAGTTCGTTATATTTTAAATTATAAATAAATGTTTCGAATTCCTGTAATGTAAGGTCATACAAGTATTAGTTATTACAGTCGTATTAATTAAAATGTATAATTATTATTTGAATGTATTATTCAAATAAATAATTGTCTAGAATTATGAATAAATTAATATTATACAATATTAAGAATACATTAATCTTGTGCAAAAAAATAAATAAATTGAAACAAAATATAAATATTGAAATTGACTTTTTAATTTCCTCTAGAAATTTTAAAATATTGTGTTAAAGTATTTAGTATATTAACTATTCAAATAATTACACTGTGTAACAAAAAAAAGTTGCCTGCACTTAGATAAAGACCTAGTACAAGTTGTAGGTCTATGCGGTAAAACTATGAACAATAGTATATGAGAAATTTCCCAAACACCCTCAAAATTTAATTTTAGTGTCAAAAAAACGTTTTTTGTATATTTATGTAAAGAATTACTCATAACTTCCTTTTGAAAAAAAAATTTAATTCAAATTGACGGAGTTACGTGAATTTTAAGATTTTAGAATTTTTTTGCTAAATTTGCAAATACTTTAAATTTGATGTGGAATTTACATTCAGGGCGCTTTAAATTTTGTTTTCACCAAATTTCATTGATTTACTAATTTTTTTTCAAAAAACAAAATTAGAAAAAAGTTTTAAACATTAGAAAAAGTTCTTTCCTTAATTTAAAAAAATTTTAAATGTGATTGAAAACTAAAAAAATTAATTAAATAATTTTACAATTGTTATTATTACTAAATCAATATCAAATATTTATCTTGTATTTAAAGAAGAAATTAAATTATAAAATTTTATACCATATTTCCCATTTTTCCATAATTTTTCAGAAAATTATTTGAAAATTTAGAATATTCTTCAATCGAAAATTGTGAAAGGAGAACAGTAAAATGTTGGTTATTTAAATTAAAAAGAGGAGAGCAGTTTACGAAGGATAAGAATTATTTATAGGATAGAAATTTGTAAAGAGTCTTTCCCAATAAATTTGAATAAGATAATTTTTTATTCCAAATACAATATGAATATATTCACTTACTATTAATTCTGATTAAATAATTAGTATATAAAAATTAGAGTTAATAAGTATAAAAATACCAAAATTAAATATTATTTCCTATTCTTCAGGAATAAAGAACTTCCATTAACTTCATTATCAATTTTTTAATTGATTTAGTTGTTCATTTATTTTTTACTATATTTTTAAATTGGTTAATTAACATTAATTTCACAAAAAAAAGTGTACCAATTTTTAAAGAACAGAAAAATTCATATAAATAGAGAAAAAATAATTTCGAAGAATCATTTGCGTAGTAATTTTCTATATTATAAAAAAACAGATCCGCCTATCTAAAATTCTTCCGCAACCTAAGTTTACTTATGTCAATAGGCTGACAAGCTTTAATTAAAATACTCAAGTCCTTGTCATTTAAATAACTAAGTATTATTTCACTATAGCATTGTAGTGACTCGGTGAAATTGTTGTATAAAACAGGAAAAATTTTATAACATTGGTCTAGTAAATCTCTTCTTTTCATACCCTTTATGAAATTACATATTATTATGTTGCTGTAAATTGGAAACTTTGTTTCGTAATCCAATGATTTTAGAGTTTGCACTATATTCTCATTTTTCATGTACATTGCTTATAAGCTATCTTTAGCCAATATGTCAAAGAATGAAATGTTAGTATTCTTAATCTTTTCATGCTTCAAGCGAAATATTTCTTCCTCACATTCTTGCTGAAAACCACTTCCAATTAGACTGTTACTCAAAAATAGTAGATTGTTTTTGCTTACAAATAAATTTGCTGTTTTTCTTGTAAATAAGTGGCAATCAATAACTTTACGAAATGTGCTAGGTACATAATTAGAATTAACTTCGGCTCCAAATTCAAGTAATATTTTTACTAACTCTTTATGACGATGTTGAATTGCATAGAGCAAGGCAGTACCTCCATAATTATTTATTACATTTACGTTAGCTCCTTTTTTCAAAAGTGTTTTACAAATTTTTATATTTTTATTTTGAGCAGAAAAATGAAGTGGTGTGTCGCCATTAATATTTGTACATTCAATTTCGGCACCAAATTCTATCAATGTTTTTACGACGTCTTGATGACCATGTTTAGTTGCAATATGCAATGCGGTGTTTGAATTCTTATCTTTAGTATTTATATCAGCGCCTCTATTCAAAAGTATTTTACAGATTTCCTTTCTATTTGTTTCAGCAGAAAGATGAAGCGGTGTCTCGCCATCAACAGTTTTAAAATTAACTTTGGCGCCAAAATCTAGTAATGTTTCTATAACCTCTTGATGGCCACATTTAGTTGCAATATGCAATGCGGTGTATGAATTCTTTTCCTTAGCATTTATATTAGCTCCTCTATTCAAAAGAATTTTACAGATTTCTTTTTCTTTTGTTACAGCAGAAAGATGAAGTGGGGTCTTGCCATAAATAGTTTTAGAATGAACTTTGGCGCCAAAATCTAGCAATAATTTTACAACTTCTTGATGACCAGATTCAGTTGCAAAATGCAATGCGGTGTATGAATTCTTATCCGTTTCATTTACATGAGCTCCTCTATTCAAAAGCATTTGACAGATTTCTTTTTTTTCTGTTCCAGCAGAAAGATGAAGTGGGGTCTTGCCATAAATAGTTTTAAAATGAACTTTGGCGCCAAAATCTAGCAATAATTTTACAACCTCTTGATGGCCATTTCTTGATGCAATGTGCAATGCTGTGTCTGATAAATGCTTTTGTTTAACATTTACATCAGCTCCGTTATTCAAGAGGATTTTGCACATTTCTTCATGTCCTCTGCTAGCAGAATAATAAAGTGGTGTTATTCCTCGACCGGGTATTTTAAAATGAATTTTAGCACCAAATTTTAGCAATACTTTTACAACCTCTACTCTTTGATACTCAATTGCAATGTGGAAAGCGGTTCTTGAATTCTTTTCCTTAGCATTCACATTTGCTCCTCTATTTAAAAGTATTTCACAGATTTCTTTTCTTCCTCTTTCAGCAGAAAAATGAAGTGCTGTACGTCCATCACCAGATTTAGAATCGACTGTAGCACCAAATTCCAGCAGCATTCTTACAAACTCTTTAGAAGCATTTTGAGAAGCCATGTGCAATGAGGTTTCTGAATTCCTTTTTTTAGCATTTACATTTGCTCCATTATTCAAAAGCATTTCACAGATTTTCATATTTCCTCTTTCAGCAGAAAGATGAAATGGTGTGTTGTCAGCATTATTTTTAAGATCAACCTTGGCCCTAAATTCTAGCAATAGTTGAACAATCTCTTCATGACCATTTTGAACTGCAATATGCAAAGCGGTTTCTTGATACCTATTTACTGTATTGACATCAGCTCCTTTATTCAAAAGAATTTTACAGATTTCCTTGTTTCCTGCTTTGGAACAAAGGTGAAGTGCTGTTATGGCATCATTATTTTTAGAATCAATGTTTGCACCAAATTCTAGCAATAATTTTACAACATCTTCAGATGCATAATGCAATGCAGTGTTTGATTCCCTATCCTTAGCATTCGCGTCAGCTCCTTTAATTAAAAGCATTTTACAAATTTGTGTATAACCTTTTTTAGCAGAAAGATGAAGTAATGTACAGCCATCATTTGTTTTCGAATCCATTTCGGCACCAAATTCTAACAATACTTTTACAACCTCTTCACAACCGATTTGAACTGCCAAGTGCAAGGCAGTGTACGAATTCCTATCCTTAGCATTCACAATTATATTAGGTTTCAATAGAACCTCAACTACCTTTGCAAGTCCACTTTCAGAAGCGTAATGAAGTGCTGTTCTATTATCCACATCTTTTAAATTCACATTAGCGCCCTTACTTAGAAGAATTGAAGCAATTTTTGCTTTAATATTATCATCATCAGAATCGTTTTTCATAGTTATGTAATGCAATGTTGTTCTTCTATACAAGTCAGTATAGTTAATATCAATATCATACTTCAGTAAGTCTTGGACAATTTTAAAACATCCTTTTTCAGCTGCAGAAACTAAATGGTAAGGATCTTTTGCATCTATGGGTTGGACATTAAAACCATATTCTACAAGAACGTGAGCAATCTTTTTATTTTCATCTCCATCTCCATTTAATGCAGTTATAAGTGAACTGCTATTGAATATATTATTAATGTCAGGATTATATTTTAATACATCCTCAACAATCATTAGGTTTTTCGATTTAACTGCATAGTGTAGTATGGTTTTACCAGTCATATCGTGATCATCAATTTTAATATTTTTTTGTAAAAGCTCCTTTACAATTTCTTTACCTCCAGACGACAAAGCATGATGAAGAGGAAGATTATTATGTAGAAACTCCTGCAACAAAAAATAAAGAGTATTTGGATTGAATGTTAAAATTCTCTTACATGTAAAAAATTATTCTTGATTGAATATCCATTTCATATGATGCAAGTCGACGAACTTCAAGTTATAGATTTACCTGTCACTAAAATATGTTATTCTACATAAAAAATAAAGAAACACGTATTTTTTATTTTTTTAAAAATCTAAGAAATTTTTCCAGGTTTTTAAAACGAAAATAATTCAAGAACATAAATAATTTCATTTTTAAATAAATATTTAATCATTATTATTTTTTTTATATATATAGAAATTAAGATTTTCAAAAATTTCAAATTTCAATAACATATAAGAATATTATTATAAAACATGAAGATATCACTCGGAGTAATCGCTTTCTTCATGTTTTATAATAATTAAAACTTGCTACTTTGTTACTGTAACTTCTTCAAAAATAATTTTCATCATTACGATTATTCATTTCTAGAAATTTCAACTAAAATTCTTCTTTAAGTCAATTTTTTTAATAATTTTTGAAAAAGTTCTTTGACAATTTTCAAATTTTTTTGTTTACAATTTAATTCTACGCAATTTTGATTATTCTGACATTCTTCAATTAAATATATTAGAAATTAAAAACTTCAAATAATTTCAATAGAAATTCCATTAAATTTTTTGAAAAAAATTAATTCTAAAAAATTCTTAATTAAAAGTATGAAAAGTTTAAATTTTCAAAGATTTTAATTTGAAGCCTTATTTTGAAAATTTCATTACTTCTAAAAATCCACGCTTTAATGCTTTCATTCACTACATTCACTACACATTCACTAAATTGTCTGGACTAAATTTTGACTGTTTCGGACAAATTCCAGATTCACTAGTTAAAATTAACTGATTAATGTCGGACTTCATCGGACCAACTCCGGATTTACTAGTTGTTCACAAACCGTATAGAGTTCGGATTTATTCGGATTAATAATTAGATTTCAAGAATAGACACAATTAACTTTAGAAAACAACAGTTTTCTAGGATTTCGATCAAAATTCCTTAACTTTTTCAGGTTTTTAAAAGGTTTATAAAATTCCCTGACATTTCCAGGTTTCCCAGGTTCTATTTGGTCTTAAATTTTTTTTTGCGGCAACGTGAAAACGTTGGAGACTTAAGTTTAATTATTTTTATCAAGAAAAGAGAATATTTATTTTATAAACTAAAATATTAAGCCTTTTTAATGTCATCAATGCTTTATTTATTTCTATTCGAAAATATAATTTTAAAAAATTTTCTTTTTACCTGAGGATTCATTTTACTACTATGTAGTTTCTTCTCAAATTTTCACGTTGAAGACTGTCTTTAATATTGTACAGTAGATTCCCTTTTTATAATTAAAAGATTGGTAAATTTCGAAGTATAGGTTTTCGCCGATTTTACGTCCACCGTTTTCATTTGTTTGGAACTCCTGCTTTCCATGCGGATCTGGTGTTTTTACTTTGTCTAATTTTTTTCACATTTGTCGCAAACCATATAATCAATCTAGAATAAATGTTTGCATGAATAATGTAAATCAGTTACAATTGAAATTTCATAATTTTATTTCCTAAAGAATTGATTCGGAAATGAATAAACCATAATAAACATAAAAAGTGAGGTTAAGTTTGTACTTGCATCACCCCAGTCCGACTCCTATGTATTTTGAAGGAAAAATATGTCAGCTTAGTGGTTTGCGTTTTCATGTGCCAAAAAGTAACACGTGATGGCGCTGTTCTCAACACTCGCTCAAAATTCACTAAAGCAATAGAAAAATATCATAGAAACGAATAAATTATTTGTTTTTATAATGAAATCTTGTTGTTAGTGATGTTAAAAATACACGATAAGAAATAATATTGTATTTTTAACTCATAAAAGATGATAGAACAATTGAATAATTAGTATGAAAGTACATAAATGTGTTGTACAATAAACTGATGACTTTCGTTTAAATCGTTTAAATTATCAGATAAACTGATTTATAATAAAAGTTAAAGGAAAGTCATAGATAAATAGTATATTTAAAATAAAGAAAACAAATTTAGATAATATAAATAGCATTAACCCTCCGTCACACACATGAGAAAATATTCCGACCTTACACACGTTCAGAGGGAATATCGCTCACCACATTGTAAAATAAGCAACATTACAACATAAACAAAGGAATCAACAAAAATTTAGTTTTAACACAAACTTACAAATATGTAGTAAATTATTCTAAATTATAAAATTAATCAAATTAATTTTCGGTCTCAAAAATAAAAATTAATTACACGAATGCACATCTTCAAAGAAATTCCACTCGACATGTAAAAATAATGTAACATTAACAAATAAGCAAAAAAATCATTAAACAATTTATTTTAATTATATTTATAATATAATTTTGTCATCAACCAACAGTGGAACAAAAAATGTTTTTAAAACTTGATTTTTTTATTTAACATAACCTCACTTTTTCGAGTTTCTTCTGGCTTTGAAGCTTCATAATTAAATATTAATTATGTTTAAACTAAATGTTTTTTTAGAAATGTGTTGAGGAGTAAATTGTCGAAAGGTATAGAAACTGATTTTATTTTGCAATGAGGAAAACAAAAGTTATTTAAAAAATACTGAAACCGTAGAGGGAATCTCTCCCTAGGTGTGTGACGGAGGGCTAACTTTGATCCATTTTTTTTATTTATTATTTGAGATGAAATTTTACTCAAGACAAAAACAAACATGAACGTATACAATGAATAAAAAATATAATATTAAATAAAAATTTAAAAGTTTTAAACTTTTTTTAAAATTTTTAAACTAAGGCAAGCTTTGCCGGCTACTTATTAAAAACATTTTCACTTTTTAAACAATATGCTCTTTTTACAACATTAAAATAGTTTTTAATGTTAATACTTTTTTTACTTTCACATTTTTTTATAAAATTTAGTTGAGATTTCTAACCGATTTCAACACAACAAATACAATAATGAATGAGGTAACGAATATTGCTGACGAGTAGTGAGTACTGCGCCATCTCGAGGAACTTTTTTGCACATTAAAGTGCAAACCACTAAGCTGACTACTGTAACGAGCGACTATTATCTCGCTCGAATAATTTCGATATATCAACTATCGAAATAAACGCGCTAGAATTGAATTATTAATTAATTTATAATTTTTAAATATTCTTCCCACGGTTTGAGGCAAAAATCTCTGAGACACAAACAGGAAATCTTTTGTATGTTTGTCAATAGAATATTGTCACGGTTTAATAAATTCCAAACTTTTAGTTTTTATATTAGCTACGAAGACATTTCTTAGAAATGTCGTAAATCAAGTAAAAGTTGGAAAAAGTAATCTCGAATTTCTTAAAGTCATAAAACCAAACCGTCAACAGTTATACAAAAAATAAAACATCTCAAGTGCCCTTTTCCATAGGACAATAGAACATGTGTTCAACATGCTTGGGACCGCAGGATTGCAATGGACTAAGTAAAAGAGATGAGTCACAAAAGTCTAGTTGAATAAGGATCTAAAATATTTAATAATAAATAGTACAAATAGAATTGTTAATATAATAATAATGATAATAATAATTATTATTATTATTATTATTTCGAATAATCATTTAGTGCGAATGTATTATTTGGATAATCTAAAACTACGTTGACGTTTATGTAATTAAATACATTTCATCTATATGTATATTATTAATGTAATTACTATATTGTGTGAGTGTCGTATGAAATATTCAATTTAAGTAAATAGTACATAACATTTTATAGATGATTAATAATATTATATTATTTGAATGTAGAGTATATTGCATGAGTATAGAGATGATCTCTCTTGAATGTGTGTGTGAGTATAGTTTCAATGTAGTGCAGAAAAGTGTTGGTGCAACGATGCTGTATGCTACAGCCAAGGAAATGCGCGTAGAATAACGCATGCGCATTTCCACAAAAATGGACTTTAGCGGAGAACCTCTCCGCGGAATGAATAGTTATAGTTAGTTCTAAGTTACTCTCTGACTTGAAAGGTTGTTTTCTAAACTCCTTAGCCAGTTTGTATTTAACGAATATTTTAATAAACAATAAAGGGGGGTTTTACTCACTCAAGAAAAACTAATTTCTCGAGTGGGCTTTCCTCCTTCCGTTAAACGGAATTAAACGTCTTTTAATTTAAATATTCCCGCTTCCTTCTTTAAGGATTTAATCAAGGTAGAATCCGGCGAATCATCGCGAACTATTAGAGTTACGTTATTAAAGGTAACGCGGCTCGTAACACTACTTTCTGGGAAAAACGGACAGGGGTGCTTGCATGGAAAAATAATTTAAAATTACAAAATTACTTATGGAGCTCTCACAGCTCTGCCTGCCTGCGCAGGCAGTAATTGGAGTAAGAGAGAAAATCAATTAGAGTGAAAGAGACAGTAAATTCAAATTTATATGCTGCCTACTAGCTGTGAGAGCGCCTTTACACGACTTATATACCTACACTACCTAGTTACACTATATTAGTAAAACTGGAATTTATTACTTCTACAAAGATATTTTTTCTTTATATGACTATCTAATAAATACTTTGACAGTAGAAATTCGCTCATAAACTTTAAATTTTGTAAGTAATCACAATTTAAAAATATATCAAATAAATAATAAATATCGTAACGGTAGCGTGTGGGGGAAGTGTCACAATATCACTGTAGAACGAAACGTAAACGTAAATTGTTTCGTCACGATCACGTTCCGTTCAAGGTGCTATTGTAGACTCAACCTTAGGTAGAAACACCTTTATGGTACGGTCACAGCTCGGCTGCCTGCCTGCCTGCCTGCAGGTCGTCATGGCAATACATAAGAGTAAGAGAGTCAGACAATTTAAATTATTCGTCTCCTCTCTCTTACTCTCGTGGCGGCTGCCTGCGCAGGCAGGCAGGCAGCCGAGGTGTGACCGTGCCATTAGAGCTGAGTGTGAAGACACCCTTACGAATCTGACAGTTGTGCTTCAGCCTTTACATGAGATTGCACCCTAAGTAATTTTTTTTGTATAAAAAAAATAGTCATCAAGCAAGGAAAAATTTATAACAGAAATTAGATTACTTTGCAAATTGTAAATATATATAAAATTCAATTAATTTATTAGTGAAGTTAAGATATTTTTAATATTCACATAATGGCTACTAAAAGTGTCAATGTGCTTTTACCAAACGGACATCGTCAAAACATAAAGGTTTCGCCAAATACCACTATTCTACAGGTAAAATTATTTCATTTTTAAAACGTTTAATTAATAGTAATTGTGCAAATTTTTAATATGCGTTTCATTTTTCTTATGTTATATATTAAAAAAGTTGTTATTTTACTTATAGTTGAATAATTAGTTCGGTTCCCAAATAATTCGAAATGTCAAATTCAAATGTGCACATACAAATATAAATTCGTCTTTAATAATAAATGTGACTTAAATTAATTTTGTAATCGTTTTTAAAAAACTCTAATATTTATAACTTGTAATTTAAAGGTTTAAATTTAAATATCAGTTTTTCGTATTTTTGAAAGAGCGACATACACAATTGGATTAATTAATGTAAATATTTCAATGTTATAGGTTCTTGATGAAGCTTGTCAAAAATATGGATTACAAGCAGAGAATTATGATATTAAGTAAGTAATTGTTCTTAAAATTCTAACAATTTTGATAAAGTGATCCCGGGTGAAAACTGTGAGAATATAATAAATAGCCTTATTAAAAACGTGTTAAATAATGAGCAGAAACAAAATTTTACATTTGATATCCATATGCAACCGATTTCTCGTATAAATTTCGTACAAATATGCAGTCAAATTTCATGTGGAATTTAAAAAAAAATCTTCATTTGCAAATTGAACGAAAATCGCCATAACTGAAGCTAATAAAAAATGGGAAATGTTTTAATTACTGCAGTAGAAATAATTTGATCCTAAAAAAGTGAATTAATAATTGTTTTAATCGGCATCTTAATGTATAATCAGTATAATTGAATCATGGAAGGTTTTAAATAATTATTTAATCATTTTGAAAAAATTGTATCAAATTACATATAGTAAATAATAAGTTTTTCTTTACATCCGCAGTAATTAACACATTCTAATAATTAAAAGCTATTAAAGATCTTTGTTAATTAACTTTTTGTCACAAACATTAAATTCTGTAATTATCTAATCAGGCATCACAGTTGGTCCCCTTTTGTCCCCTTTTACTGATCAGAAATAAAAATGTTTTTTATTTGTAAATATATTTCAATGTATGATCATAAAAATTACATTCAATTTTTGAATTTAGCACATTTTATTTTTTGTTCAGATTATTGACACCACAACAATATAAATTTTGTTTACAAAGTTTTAGTATATTTGGACTATTTGCTTTTAAATGGTTGCTTCACTTCAAATTCAAATATTTCTATAAAAATTTATGTAAAAGCTATCACACTAGGATCATTTGGAGGTTCATTAAATTTAGAATCAAATGGGCCAAGATATAACCAATTTAATAATGTAAATACGAAAATATAGTTATTTGATAAAACAAATGAATAGATTCGACGAATTTGCAATTTATATTTTTTAACAAATTTAGAGCTAGAGGAGTTAATTTATAGATTTTGTTTGAACTCAAGATTTTGGAATCGCTATTTTCACAAATACATAAATCTCTATCTTTGAAGAACTATATTTTCATATTTACATTATTATATTATTAAATTGGTTATATCTTGGCCCATATAATAGAAAAGTTTAAAAAAAATATTAAATATATGGGGCATTCCAGGCCAAATCGGAAATTATTTTGCTTTTGCATCTTAAATTTTTTTAAACATTTTCTTTCTTTTAGTACTCTTTGAAATGAGCTACTTTGATTTTTTTCAAATTTTTTTATAAAGCGGTTCAGGAGATACAGATTTATGAAAAATGACGTTTTTTACGTAAATTTTTTTTAAATGCTTATAACTCGGTCAAAAATTGATCAAATTGGACGTTTTGTAATGAAAAGTTTTGTTTTCAAGCGTAGTTTTTAATAAAAATATTTTTAAAAAATTTTAAAATAATTTACGATAAGATTTTAAAATTTTTAAAACAAAATTTCGTTTTTAACAATGTATGTATCGATCAATTTTTTCAAAATTTTTTGTAAGAAACTAGCACTAAATTAACGATTTTTAAGCCTTGCCCGACCGTGGGCAAACGATGAGATCTATTTATTTAAAAATTTTTAATTTTTATATACACAGTGAAAACGGTAGGCCTAATTTGTCATTTGACCAAATCACAATTTTACACAGAAAGAAGGTTAAGTTTGGAGAGACTCAGTCTGAAAACACATTTGCTGTGAAAAATTTGTGTGATTTTGTCAAATGGCAAGTTAGTCATTTGGCCACCACTGCGTATATAAAAATTAAAAATTTCAAAATAAATAGATCCCATCGTTTGCCCACGACAAGCCTTAAAAATTGTTAATTTAATGTTAGTTTTTTACAAAAAATTTTGAAAAAAATTGATCAATACATACATTGTTAAAAATGAAATTTTATTTTTAAAAATTTTTAAATCTTATCGTAAATTATTTAAAAATTTTTTAAAAATATTTTTATTAACCCCTTAACTGTTTGAAGAAAATACAACATGATTGTCCCAAAACGCCCAGCGGAATCTGATACTTTTTCAAATAGTATAATATATTTAAATTATAATTAATTATTCAATTATTTTCTAAAATATCAATAATGACCCTTATAATTTCTTATAATATTGATATAAAGAAAAATATCTATCAATTTATAAACAAATTATATTTATTTTGAGTGATAGTGAACACGACCCACGGGTGGGTCGGAAACAGTTATAGCCATACTTTTTCACGACCCACCCGTGGGTCGGAAACAGGGAACGGGTTAATAACTACGCGTGAAAACAAAACTTTTCATTATAAAAACGTATAATTTGATCAATTTTTGACCGAGTTATAAGCATTTAAAAAAAAATTTACGTAAAAATCTCATTTTTCAAAAATCTGTATCTCCTGAGCCGCTTTATGAAAAAATTTGAAAAATCAAGGTAACTCATTTCAAAGAGTGCTAAAAGAAAAAAAAGGTTTAAAAAAAATTTGAGATGCAAAAGCAAAATGATTTCCGATTTAGCCTAGAATGCCCCATAGGTAATGTAGGTAGAAAATATAAAATAAATAGATAGATAGGTAAATAATTTGTTATTAAATTTTTTAATACAACCGCAATACTGTTTGTTAATGTGCGAACAACTGTTTTCAATATTTTAAACTAATTTATTCTAGAAATTAATTTTTATTAATTATTTCAATCTATCTAAATTACGAAAGATATTTATCAAAGATTTAACCGTTTGCAACTGAATAGTCTTCCAATGGTGTTGATTACGATTTTTCTACATTATTGTGGTAAACAATAAGAAACACTGCAAAGAGAAGTATCTTAATTTCGGATGTTTTGGTTGTCACTTTTTAGTTATTTGAACTATCTTAGTTTAAGATGTTAAAAGTAGCTCGATAAACAATGCTTATTATGGGTCATAATTTGTAAAAATTATGTTTAATATCCATAGAATTCATTTTTGAGAATTATTTTATAAAATTTTTTGAATTTAACTTAGAATTTTAATTTTTAAGTTGAGTTGGACAGAAAAAAGGTTAGATTGACAGTTATGAAAATTTAATAAAAAAAAGCATGGAAATAATTTTTAGATAGGGGAAAGGTGTACGAGATGATCCCTTGGGGCAAGATGATCCTTTTCAATTTTGGAGAGCCTATTAGCGCCACCTTTTAGGCAAATACGGTAATACGTTGCCAATGACATACCTATGAATCAGTCAAACTGTCATGACAACACGCGTTATTAAAAAAATTCTATTGGAAAAAATAAAAATTTCATACTTTTGATCTAAGGAAAGCTTAACTTTGGGCTTAGATAACTTTTGTTGTAGTAGCTGAAATTCCATGTTTCTTGTACTCACGGCTTCAGTATATCTTCAACTAAGTGTTCTGATTGGTATTATGGAATAACAGAGCTCGTAGGTTAAGTTACGAACAAATTACAAAATAGTGGCATTTGGGGCAAGATGATCCCTCAATGGGTGTACAAGATGATCCCCCCTGATTCCCATGTATTTCGTCTCACCTCAAAGTGAATTTTCTAGTATTAATAAAAAATTTAATTTTTCTCGCTTCTTATATGTTTTTATCATGAAAACTAACTTATCTAAAACAAAAAGTTGACATCTACATCTATTTTGTTAATTTTCTTGTTGTAGACAATGCCTCGTAATTATAAAATAGGAAAACGATTCGTGGTGAGTGGTCAAAAGCGTTTATGGCCTAAATAAAGTATATTTAACATTGATACACTGATATTCCTTCAATATAGACTCCTTTTCCAATAATTGGGGAAGATAATCCTACGGATTATCTTGCCCATACCATGGGGATCATCTTGGACACCCCGGTGTCCAAGATGATCCTTTTGTAAGGTTTTAGAAAAATTAAATTTAACAGTAAAATATTAATTAGCTGCAAATATTTCAAATCAGGATAGTTAGATAGATTAATTATCTAGTAGTGCGTACAAAAAAAACTCGAATATGTTGATTTTTCTTTGAATAATAGGTTTCTTCCCTTAGGGGGATCATCTCGTACACCTTTCCCCTAATACAAATTTCTTGATTGATATTTGTTAAAAATAAGCTAATTTACTTATGTATAAATAGATTATTATGTAAACATACCCAAAGTAATAGATGAAAATTGATTTTAAAATTTACCTATGAAATGTCAAAAGTCACTACATTTTTCTAAAAAGTTTATAAATATTAAAAAATTTATTACTATTTAATGTAAAGTATTTTCAATGTACTTTCATAATATGTGCTAACTTTTTAATTTTATAATATAGAAATATGAAAAATTTTTACCTTTAATATTGTGTGTTTCATGATTTTCCGTGATTTTATTCACTTATTTCTTCTCAGGTGCAAGACTAAAAAATCCAATTTTTGTCTTAATATTTAAGTTTGAACTTCTTTTCCATTCTATTAAATTTTGGTAATGGAGAACGAGCTACTTTTCAGTTTAAATTTAGTTTAAAAAATCTGCTGAAAAAACGAATTTGTTGTTTAATATGCAAGTAGATTTTTGCAAGACTATATTAAGATAGCCAACTTCAGTGTTATAAAATTATCTGCATTTTAACCAACAAACTCGTTAGTCGGAGGTGTTTACAGTTGCTAAATTGATAAATTGAAAGATTTCGGCCGCCATATTTGATCCGCCATTTTGGATTTTTTAAATCAAAAAATGTTTGATTCAGTGACTACAAAAAACTTCCGAATAAAAATTTCTAGATAAATACGTATTAATTTTTAAAAATTTTCGTCACTATATTGAATCCGCCATTTTGAAATTTTAAAATCTGACATTGAATTTGGATTCAGTGACTACAAATATTGCTAATTTAAATTTTTTTAAAAACATTTTTGGACTTTTTTTGGCCTAAAACCGATTTTTTATTATACTACGAAGGGATTAAGATAATTTTAAAAAACTTGACGAAGTAACTTACTTTTCTAAAATGGAACAAATATTTTAATGACTGTTAACGAATAAAGCATATCGTCGGAGCTACTTTTCTTATAGAACGCCTTGATTTTATAATATCCAATTGGCGGGAAAGATTAAAAAAAATTATTCACTGATTGAAGCAAACCAAAGCTTATTCTCTACAGGGTGATGTTTTCTTCCATTTGAATTTAAGATGTTGCAAAAGAACTATTTTGACAAATTTTATAATAGGTTAACGTAGTCAAACAAAATTGACATTAAATGATTGGATTGACAGTGACAACATTTTTATATTATTTGTAATCAGTTTTATTTATAATAATACGTATTTTAATGGCTATATCATTACTGATTAATAAAACGAAAAAAATTTATTTCCCATTAGGTTATGGAAATCTTCAAAAAAGATTAACCAATCGTAAAAATTAAGTCACTTAACTTAACAGTAACAAAGTAAAACTGTGATTCCGAAGAGTAGTCTTTCTGAAATATAAGCTTTTTGTTACAAGAACTGATCCTCTCTCTTTTTTTTTAGTAAATATTGTTCTTATCATAGACCGAACATAAATATTTAAATGTGAAGTAAATTCGATAATTGTGTTGCTTTTATTTCTCTTCTGGCCATAAACTTATTACAAACGTTTTAAAATATTGGTTTAATTAATTTTTAAATTATCTTGACAGTACTCGTGTTTATTGTTAATAAATTGTGTAAATCTAGTTATAGGAATATTACTTTTTAAGAAAAAGTCCCATGCTTTAAAATATTACTTTCTGTTGAAAGCTTATTTTAATATAATAATCAAAAATACTAAATGTGATGGTTTAATTTCCAGTTTTTCATTATTTTATATTTTTAAATTGTCTTTGCATATCTTTTTTCGTAATAGATCCATTGTTAGAAAAACCATACATTCATTAAACTCTTTTAAATTAAATCGTTTTAAACTACTGCTCGAGAATTACTTACAGTTTAAATAGAGGTAAATTAAATTCTTTACTGTTAATGAAAAGAGAAAAGTACCTATTATTAATTATTAATGATGAAAACTTTGAAAATTCTTTCTGCGTTTCAACTATTTATTGAAAACCTATTGAATAAGTTATTAAAGACTTAAAGACTTAAATATTGTGATTAATTTAATTAATTATTTACTTTCAACAGAATATGTAGTCTTTAAGTTTGTCTTATGTTTTAGGAATTTAAATAAGGTACTGGATGTTAATTCAAGTTTCCGTTTCACAAACTTACCAAATAATGCACAACTGGAAATGGTACCATGTATAAAGAAGAGAGAGTTGTTAAATATCACGATTGGTCTTCAATTAGAAGATGGACATCGCCTAATGGGAGATTTCCAACCCAACACATTATTGAATGAAATTCTTCTTAGTCTAGCTCCCTCTGAATCTACCGAGACAGCTGTTGTAGTTTTCATGCATCAGGAGGTATATTAAATAGAAACTTGTTTATTATTATTATTATTTTTTAAACTGGGGAGACACTTTTCTCGAAATCTACCTGACCAATTTTCAAAAACCAAAGACTAAACAATGAACCTTCAAAATTTCACCTTTGAATTTTTTATGGGAGTAAATTGGACTAAACTTTATCATGTTTAGTTCTTTTTACTTGATTAAATCTAAACTTTGTAGTTTAGCATTTCTTCTTTCTTCTTCACTGATAATAACATCGAATTCGTTCATAACATATTTTGAACTCTATTTTTGAATAATTAAAATGATTGAAACTTTATTCAATTGTCTATAGATATCTGGAAAAGACTTAGAAAATACAACATTAAGATCCTTAGGACTTACTAAAGGAAAAGCCATGTTAAGGCTCTTACATCGTGATCCTAATAGCAAAAAAGAACAAGCTCACGTTTACATTCCTGCAAAGAAACCTGTATCCAAAGAAAATGATAATCCATCGACCTCTTCTTCATTTACAAAATTCATTTCAAATAAAATTATAGATCCAATTAATTCCATAAAAGCTGAAGTGTCGAAGCAAATAAAGGAGCATGATCTGCGAAAAGATCAAGAAAAAGAAACAGCAGGCTCTCAAAACAAATCCAGTCAGAAGATAAAAAATAACGAAAAAACTACTACAGCTGAAGTAAAAAAGACCCCCAAAGTAATTCAAAACATATTAAAGGATAGTTTAATTAATGTTGCATACGTAAGTTATTTTTAATTAAATATTTATATAATTCATCAAATAATGTTTATGAAAATAAATTCACACGATCCACACACATTAACGAACATATGTGTTGTTATATGTACAATTTTTGTCTATAAGAAGCGCTCAAGGACATTAGATTTACTTGAAAACTGAATAATTTTTCAGCTGGGAGAGAGAAACGCCCTTGTATTTAATCAGGCTGGAGCGTTGCCTATTTCTCAGGAAGATTTGCCTGATTCTTTCTTCGACTTAACAGTGGAGGATGCAAAAGTGCTACTAAGAGATGCAAAAAAATCAATTAATAGGCTGGAAGATTCTCCACTTTTAACTGAGGCGCTACGCGAAACAGAAAATAATAAGAAGAAGCTTGAGCATGTAAATAAGTACCACTGGGCTATTATTAGAATACAATTTCCTGATCAACTTGTTCTTCAAGGATTATTTCGTCCTGAAGAAACTGTTCAAGATATTAAAAATTTTGTTCGGAATTATTTAAAAAATCCTGAAAATGAGTTTGTGCTTTGTAAGTATGTTTTCATAACTCCTTTGTTTTTTATTGTATTGAAAAGCGTTAAAGAGAAAATCCATTTATTTTTGTACATAATTCATCAAAAAAAAATTATGAAAAAGGAATTTTTTAAATTGTCAAGGAGAAAGTTTTGAAAAAATTTTTATTTTAAGCTTACAATGTAAGGCTTGTAATGATCTTGTAATGAACTTGTCGAATATCTCATTTTTTTATAGATACGACTCCTCCTAAAACCGACTTGAATCCAAACTGTCGACTTATTGATGAAAATCTTGTACCTTCTGCAGTTATTTATTATTCTGGTCACAGTCCTCTTAAACCAGAATTAAAAAACAAGTTAACCGATCCATTAGTGGCTACTGTGGAAGCTATGAAAGCAAGGTAATATTAGTAATGACAAACAAGTTGTTAATTTCCTGACCAGGGTTGCCACAAATATTTAATTTTATTTTTCCCTGACTTTTCCCTGATTTCCAGAAAAAAATTTCACTTTTTCCCTGACCCTAAAGAATATTCTGATTCACTCTAAAAATTATTAGATACTCAAAAAAAATGTTCTATTACATTTATTTACAAACTTCTTTAATTGTAAAATTATTTAAAAACATCAATAACTTCTTTCTTAAATAAACATTTAATCATTATTTTTCTGTAGGAATTAAAATTCTTCAAAATATTCAAATTTAAACCTTTTTGAAATTCAACAACTTATAAGAATATTATTACAAAACATGAAGAAGACGATCTTCTTCATGTTTTGTAATAATTTAAATTGACATAAAATTTTTTAAAATAAGTTAATTATTTACAAAAATCCTAAAAAAATCCTTCGCAAGAATTCAATTATTTTTACAAGAAGTACAATTTCACAAAAAAAATTCAATTATTTAAAAAAATGTAATAAAATTAGTTGCAATAATTCAATTACTTTTATAAATAATAATAAATCGATTATTCGTTTATTCATTTTTAAAACAACTTTTATTAGAAAATTCTAAAAAAATTCAATTATTTAAATTAAAAAATAAATAATTTATTGAATAATTGAATGTTTATTAAAATTGAATTCTCATAAAGAATTTTATCAATAAAATTTTAAATAATTGAATTCGTTTGACAAATTTTAATAAAATTTTTAAGAATAATTACATTTATCGAGGAATTTGATTAAAATATTGTATAAAAAATAATTCATAAAAATAATAATTAAATAAATAATTAAAATTTTCATAAAATAATTGAATGTCGGAGAAAAATTTTATTATTTATATAAATAATTGAATTCTTACAACGAATTTTATTCAAGTTTATAAAAATAATTGAATTTCGGTGAAGAATTTTATTATTTATAAAAATAATTGAATTCTTAAAAAGAACTATGTATGTTAAATTTTTTTAAATAATTAAATTCTTGCGACGAATTTTATAAAAATATTTTTAAATAATTGATAATTTTTGAAAAATTTTATGAATTTTTGTATTTTAACTAATTGAATTCCTGTGAAAATTTTATTACTTATGAAATTAATTGAATTATTACAAAGAAATTTATTAAATATTTAATAATTGAATTCCTGTGGAATTTTGACAAGAATTTTATTAAAATTTGTAAAAATAATTGAATTTCGATGAATAATTTTATTATTTATAAAGATAATTGAAATTTTGCGAAGAATTTTTGTAACTTTTAAAAATAATTGAATTTCTGTAATCATTTGTAACTTTATCAAAATCCAAATTTTTTTAGTATTTTTAACTTAAATTCTTCTATTAATCTTGTATTTATGAAAATTGTAAAAATTATTTATAAAATAATTTGTAAGTCATAATTTTATGATAGTTTTTGAAAAATGAAGTTATTTAAAAAGAAATTATTGTCAGAAATTGAAAAAATTGAAGGTTTTGTATTAAAATTCGAGGTAATTTCATAATTTACGAGGCAAAAAGGAAAAAAATTCAGAGTTTTCTCATGAATTTTAAAAATTCAATTTTTTCCAGTACTTTTAGTAAAAATCCCTGACTTTTTCCTGATTTCCCTGACTTCCCTGACTTGTGACAACCCTGCTGACCATTTAGCTTCCTCATATGATAAACTGCCTAGGCAGTTGACATAATGATTTGATTGATTTCAAAAGTCATTTACCTAACTGCCCGCGGTTTTCAATAAATTTTTTGTTTATAGAAAAATTAAGAATCAAGAGACGTCAGAAATTAATGTTGTTTCGGAAGAAGCAAAAGAAACGTGTGTTGTAAGTGGTAATACTAGCATTGCGAGCATTGATGACTCTTCTGCAAAACCAGTACCAGGGACAAGTAAGCCTAACGAATTACCTCAACAGAAAATGCACACACCAACTTGGTTTAAAGGATTATTTAAATAATCTTCTTTAAAAATAATTGTACAAAACAATGCTGTTAAGAAACTTATATTATTAAAATTTACCAATCATTTTTAAGTTCTTTTGTTCTTTAGTAACACCGCCAATTTTATATTATTTATAATAAATTATCTTTAAATATTTCCGAGTATCACCTATTAACATTTTCCAAAAGAAAAAATTCAATAATGCCACAGTGTTATGGAGTGAATTTAAATTAAATTTTTGGGTAACTCAAATTTTGAAGTGGATTCTGTTTTAAGGTGGTATAAGAATGAAAATAAACGTAAAAAGAAAAAATCCACTTGGCGCTGTTATCGGCAGTGAAAATAATACTTTTGGTAGACTTTAAAACTCTGATTTTTACTTTTTTTTAGGAAAATAATTTTCTCATTCTAGCGATACATTTTAAAACAATAGTTTCCAGTAGATTTTGCAAGTAGTAAGTGTCAACTTTCAAGAAAAAACTTGAATGGAGAATACTAAAATTATGTTTCTTTGGAAATTTCACTGCAAAAAGAGATATCTTACAGTACCGTCCGAAATTGTCAGTCCACTCATTTTTAAAGGAATGAAAAAAAATTTTTAACATAAAATTCATGAAAACTAAAATTTTTTTTGGTTTATATTTTGAAAGAAGATAAAATTTTGAAAAGAATAAGACCTTACAGAAGTCATTTGGCCAACATTTGTAGAAGATATTCTTAAAAATCGTCATTTTCAATGTTTTACAAAAATTTGAATAACTTCTAAAATAATGAACGCTTTTTAATAATCTTAGGCTTATTTTAAATGTCTTTTTCTACGGAATAAGAATTACTTATAGGCAGAACTTCTCTGGTACTAGATTTGTGACTACCATACGACAGAGAAGATAAACGAGGCCGACACTTATTATCAAACATCAAACATTTCACTTTAATTTCTTTTATTGAAACAAGACCAAGAGAGAAACCGCGTACCTATAATTCTGTACAGATGCGTAGAGCTTTCAGCTGGCAAAACCTAAAAAAACAAATCAAACGAATTTGAAAAATACATTTATTTTCACTATAATAATCGACAGGTTAGTTTCGGTGACACCAAAGATAGCTGTTTGTTTTACTGTTTTGTTACAGTAGATAGGAAATGACAAAGTATATTTGTATTTCAATGATGACTAACACAACAAAATTATAGTTATCAACAATTTTTGGTAACTATATTAACAAAATTAAACAACAACTGATAATATTAACAAAATTAAATTGCACGGTTTATACAATGTAAAACAAACACATAAATGTCGGAGAAACAGAAGAGACGTAATCTTCAAGCGACCGGTACAACACCTTTCTTGTATTGTATTGCACATGTAATGAATATTTAAACAGTGAATTTATTATATTTTGTGCTTCAATACCGAACGCCACCACATTCTTCACAGATAAATTTTTTCATGACGTTTCTATGCGCCTGCCAAGTTTGGTTGTAGATACTCAAATCTATTCAATTCTGGTCACTACTCTTTTTAACAAATTGTATAATTTCGTCATTGATTTCAACACAATACGATCGGCCTGTGCTTTAAACCCTCTGCCATGTGACCCTACCCATGTGACCGTTTCGACCATTCTAAGGAATTATTAATAAAATTTTTATCGTCTAAGAAATCAATCTAGTTTTCTCGCCAGTTATTAACTAAGGTGAACAATGAATGTGCATATTATTACATAATATCTACTTCGACACAACATATGAGTCAAAAACGAAAGGGTATTCATAACTGAACCTCTTCCCCAAAATATTTTAGATTTCAAGTCACTAGTTTTCGGTACAACGGGAAAAAATGGGGCGTGTAAGCACCTTAAGAAAACGCTTGCGTAAAAATTGCATAACATGAGCGCAGCCAGTAATTATTAGTTGTTTTAATAATGCAATATTAATTGTCATTCTTACTAATCGTAAAAATGCCAATTTGATAAAGTAACGTAAACAATTTGTAAAGAATAGGTTAATTGTCTATTTTATTAAAAAACTAATATATAAAATTTATTGGTTCTCACATTAACCGTTTCAAATTTTTATTATTTCGTCTTTAACGCGGAAAAACGACTAAATTTCCAGTAATTCTTTTTAAAAGGGCACAATGTTTTTGTTTTACTGATACTATATACCTTTCTGACACCACACTGACAATAAGAAAATGTTTTGTTTAAAATTTTGTCAAAGTTGGTTAAAATGGCTACACATGGGCATTTTGAAAATGTTTAATATTTTCTTATGTGTGGTTATTGAAATACATTTTTGAAAGAGTATTCAATAAGTAATGTAAAGATCATTAGATCATTGATCATAAATTGATTTACTTTTTGTAACACTTTATGCTGTACTTGATTACATAGTTGCCTGCGTGTGTCACAGTTTGCCCAAAAGTTGGGTGAACTGAAGGTCCTGACCTCTTGACAGTATAGTTACCTGGTGGATCCATCAGTTCACCCAACTTTTGGGCAAACTGTGACACACGCAGGCAACTATGTAACCAAGTACAGCATAAAGTGTTACAAAAAGTAAATCAATTTATGATCAATGCGATCTAATGATCTTTACATTACTTATTGAATACTCTTTCAAAAATGTATTTCAATAACCACATAAGAAAATATTAATCATTTTCAAAATGCCCATGTGTAGCCATTTTTACCAACTTTGACAAAATTTTAAACAAAATATTTTCTCAGCGCAAGTTTTGAAGAATTATTACAAGGAAAGGAGACGCAAGAGTTGGTTTCAAGAGTTTGCACTGTTAATGCATGCAATCCTGCATGTCCTTTGTGATCAGTATAAGAAATCTATTGAACATCTGAGATGCTAAGTACATATCTACAGTCTATACATTACGTCTAAGACTTCGGTAAGACTACTTATTTCTTGATAGGCGCACCATCAAGAAATAAATGGTTAGATATCTAACCCTAACTGCATCTAGATATTCAGGATGTCCTAAGAATGTCCGGAAACTATTATATCCGCAGGATGTCCCAGGAATCGAATGTCCTGAGATATCTTAAGGACATCTTAGGGATATCCAAATTTCCGGATATGACTAGGACGTCCGTAGGATATCCTTAAATATCCTTTGCTGTTAGGGAAGTACTTGAAAATACGTCGATTTGACTAGCACTGGTCTGCTATTAGATTATTTCCTACAACAATTTCTGACATTCATAAAAATTCGCAGAAGACGTAATATGCACAATTCCTTGCTTCCTGACAGTGTCAATAGTGAAATAATTAGTATTGATTCAGCAATTTTCTCTACTTTGCTTACTTAAAAAAAGTTACAAACTATTAAATTTTATAAAATGTATGTAAAATTACAGTAAGTGACTGAATGAAAAATACAAAAGTCTATGAATAAGTCAACAACTTTGACATTAGACGTTGGTTAGACCTTCATTTCTTGCTGGGAAGTAAAATGGTGCTAAAGCAACTAACTTGTTTACGTTGACGTCTGCAACCAATATCAATTTTTCCAAAGGAAATGTCTTGGCTGATTTTTGGTTTTAAATAAAATGCACCTCAAATAGATTTAGATTTAGGTACATATTTAAAAAGTTTTGGGTCAATAAATTTAAATATTTCAAACTTTCATAATTTTTATTTTTTACAATAAATGAACGTCTATGTATATTATTATTATTAAAAATCTGCTGGAAGGATGCAGATAGCTATTTTGTTTTTTATCATACTTTTACTAAAGATATAAACAAATGGTCCTTCCACTTTCTATTTTTATCAGTCTACTACAGGTTCGCACTTTCAACAGCCTTATTAACTCCAGTAATTTCTTCTTCTCTCCTCTATTATTCAGCTTTTTACTGTCGTCAGTCTTTTAGCATATGAATAAAAATGCATTGAACCTTTAAGAGCAACTTCTTTTCAGATATAACATTGTATATTTGCTAATTCAATAGAATACATTAATACAGAATCCTATACATTTTTCAGTCGTATTTTTTAAATACTATATAGAGTAAGAAATACGAAACAATAAAAAAATTGTCATTAGTAAAACTTTAATATTAAAGGAGAAGATGAAAATCTTAATAATATTTAAATAATATATAATATTATATTTGATATATTATTATATAATATGTAATAATTGAATTAAATAATAATTCTTCGAAAGTTTCTAATTAATTTTTATTTTTAAGATTTTGCTATAATAAGAGCAATGTAAACTAAAAGTATACAATGGGATATTGCGAATTAAATTTCTGCTTTCTTTGAAAATCAAGCGATTGCAATCCTAATATAAATATACAGTACTTATTTCATCAGGTACTAAATCATTTATAAGAAGTTTAAAAATCTTCATCACTTCATAAAATTTCAAGGCTTGTCTTCTGAAGCATAAAGTTTAATAACTCTATGACTTGTAAAATTCGATCAATGTTAAACTTTCATCATAAATTAAGAGATGAACAACTTTTTTTAAGTACCACCTGATTCCTCTTGTGATATAGTACTTGATCTATTAGATTTCACATCTAGATCCATACTGAAAGGTTTAGATTGTTTTGGAGTCACTAGTAATGGTGAATCTTCAAAGCTACTGCCGCATTCTAAGGAGCTGTCACTGTAAACAAAACAACAACGTTTCTTTTAATTATTACTAATATTATTATTATATAAATTTACATATCTTGTAACATAATAAGTTAAAGACGGGAAAATCGTCAGCTCTGACGATTGTTAACGGGATTAAACCAAAATCAACCTAGTGTTGTTTTTCCTTATCCCACTCCTAATCTAATTCTCTTTTTCCCGTATTATTTATAACATTCAAGTGCTAAAATTCTTTCAATGTGGATTTACCTGAATATGCTTGTGCGATCACTCCAGTTTCTAGTTACGATACAGTTATCACCACTACATGAACGTCCACCGGAATTTGTGCAAGACTGACCAAGTAACGATACTTCTCCGTTTCTTTCCATCAAAGCTTCTGCTTGCATTTCATGGCAATTACATCTAAATTTAAAAAAATATTAAAATAAAATATTACATTACGTAAAAATTAATCTATTTTACATTTCTACATTCTGCACACTATAATTTTATAAGCATCTTGAGGCTTATTACAATTTATTACGATTTTTTTTTATTTAATCTAAAGTAAATATAAAATATGCATCGACTAAATGTTTAAGAAAATTCCAACATGGAAATCTATATGGAATCTTATGTGAACATTGATTATAATTCCTACGTTCATAAAGATATCTGGATGGGTTGCCATATCAAATCGTATATGAAATTGAAACATGATTTGAAGTAGGAATCAACTTGTAAACCAAACCTTTTTCTATGAAAAAATCCCTGTTAAATCCTATGGTAAATCCCTGGTTAAAATCTTAAATAAAACTTTTTAACGGTTACCTAATAGTTTTTAATTATTTATTTTCTATGTCAAATTCCACACAAAATCCTTTTAATGACCTTTGATGACGTTTAAGGGAATCATTAGTTGCGGAGTTAATGGACCTTTAATTAACTTGATTCCCTTAAACGGCATTAAAGGGAATTCAGAGTCTGGTTTTACGTGGTTACAGAGAATTTAATTGGATAGAAATTAACAACTTAACAATAGTAAAAGAAATTCATTACGATTGCACATGTATGTGAAGATGATCGTGTTCTTGTACATGAATTTTATAAAACATCGTCAGAAACTAGTTAACTTAAAGATGACAAGCGTGCTGCAGTAGCATTCATGATTGTGAGGTGATTTTAAGCGAATCTGACATCAAACATCCAAAGTTAAAAATAAGAAATCAAATATGTTAAACGATTTTTAAGAAATTGTTCTAATTTCATATTATGTTGCACATTCACACTGCACAAAAAAAGGCAGAAATCGTCCTATTTTAAAAAGAATTTTTTATGCCCAAATAAAGTAAGGACTTTCTAATATTCAATTTAAGCCTAATATGATTTGAACACATAACTAGACGTATTGAATCCACTGTATGAATTTCTGTCAAGAAAACACGAACATTTTAAAAAGCGTCCACTTTATGAAAATCTCCAATTAAAATTTTTAAAATCATTATCCATTTCATGAGAGGAAAAGGAATCTAAACCAATAATCAATTTAATAAAAAAAATTCGATTTTCGTAAAAAAAGTCGGATCTCCCTCATATAAAACCGAGATAAATTTATATCTTTTCTCATCTGTCATATATGTATATGAAATCTATAAATGCAGCTCCCAAATCACATCCGGCATTTTTATCAGGGTCGTATGCAAAAGAAAATTAACAAACCTGCACTCTTCAGGTTGCACGTAATTAAAAGTTTTTACTTTATCCTCTTCTTCTGATTGTGGAATTGTTTGAATTCGTTTTGGAATTCTTCGTTTTTCCGGAATCTCATCAAAATTAATCCAATTACTAGGTTGGACATTTAGTAACTTTAATGGTATCGATGGAGACTTTGGTGTATTGCTTATGTTTTTTTGAACTTTATCTTGAACTTTACCCGCAAATTCTGTGAAAGTGTTGGCCGACATTTTTCGATGGCTCTTTGTCTTACAACTTTCTCCTCTTGGTAAAAATATTTTCATCTTTTCGGCACATGGTTCGTCCAAAGATGTATGCATAACAAAATTGTCAAGTAGAGTTGGATTAATCGGTGTCGCCGATCGAGGTCTCTCAATGGGTACCGTTCTGAAATGAAATTAAATAAATTAAAGTGACGTGCAGTCGAAAAGTTTCATAAATGAATAATCAAACAGGGCAAGATTGAACTTCTTTGATGCCATAAGGCAAAAGTTTTAATTAACATTATCGCATTAATGTCTCCAGAACATAAAGTTAGATGACAAGCATAAAAGTAAAATGCCAATATAAAACTAGATATTTACAAGTGTGCAAGGGTCATGGGAATAACCGTTATTTTTAATTTATCAGGTGGAGCTTGTCTCTCTAGTATATACTTAACATACAAGTACTTTCTCCAATATGTTCCATTATGTTATCAAAAATAACATCTTTAGCGACGCATCTTATATATTACAGATTAAAAACCTATTCCTGCTTATTATTTATGTAATACAATGAATTATTAACAGAACATACCTCAACTCAAGTTGTCTTCCTCTAGAAGGTAACGTATTGACAGAACTGTCTTTCTCTTTAATTAGAGTTGCAGGTAAGATACAGTAATCTTCTTCAAAGCTTTCTTCATAAAATAAACTTTTCCCTTCATCAGAAGCTCCTTCGAAACCTCTTTCTGTTTTTTGTTTTAGAAACTCAATTTCGGAATCTTTTTCAGATTCGGAACTATTATGCTCTAATTCTAATTCATTACTTTCTTTTTGACTTTGATTTTGAAACTGTAAAGACATTTGATCTTGCTCATGAATAATTTGCTTCCTTCTTTGTATTTTTTGACAACTAACGTAAACAGATTCAATACTTTCCTCTGACGACACATCTATTCTTTCTTGAGGTTCCTTACATCTTCTCTTTACTCTTAAATTTCCTCTTTTCGTGGAACTAACATTAGGAGCAGATTTTCGGTCATCACAATCAGGTTTTATGTATTCATTGTATTCAATGTCTTTGGTGGTCGTTGAATTTTCCAAATAATTTGACGCTACTTGTTCTATGCATTGAGAAGATTTTTTAATCGGGCAGTGAGTATCAACTTCAATACTAAATTTAGCATTGTCAGTGGTATTGTCATTTTTATCTAATCTATGCTGTAAGTCATATTCGTCTAAAAGCTGTGTTGGACTTTCTACAGGCATTGATATGCTTTCGGAAGGTAAAACTTTTTCACTTTCATTATAGTTAGCAGAAGAGTACTGCATTGTATGTTGATTTTCTGTATAATTTTGAATTGACTTAAAAGACAATTCTTTATCATTTAAACACTTTGGAGTAGAATACTTAACTTTTTCATTATTATCTTCACTCTCTGAAGTGGCTTCAGAATTTTTCTTTCTTTCTTTCTTTCGAAAAATACTTAATGTGGAAGAAAACAGACTTTTACTTCTTGCCTCAATACTAACTGGTCGGTTTTGATCAGCACATAATTTTTCTCGACATTTATGAAACTTTTTTAGATTATCAAATGACCCCTTTCTTTTGACTGATGAATTCCGTCGAGTTTTAGAACAAACGCAAGGCGTTTGAGGCTCAGTGAATTCATTACCATGTTTTACCTTTAATAAAAATAAATATACTTTTAGTAATGCCGAATGTTTCAGTTAGAAATACAATAGATTTATACCGGAAATACTGAATAATATCCAATTAGGAAACGGATATTAATTTATGTTAAGTAATTAAAAAAGTGCAAATTAACACAAAAAATCAATGGTAACAATGTATAAATGAATATTTTCTACTTTACAACATATATTTAAACTAGATTAAATTAAAATTTTCTGTATATCTGTTTAAATATATCAACCTAGGTGCTAATGTAGTTCGGCCGCCAAAGTTTAAAGGTTGGCCTAACTTTGGCATGCAAAGCATAGTGGTTAGCGTATGAGACTTCGGAGCGTTTGAATGAGGGTTCAATCCCAGCGAGCGTTAAATATTTTTTAAACTGTACGCAGGGGAAAAAATCCACATTTTAAAATGTGGATTTTTAAGCGGCCATTTGTGTTTTCTCATTGACTAATACGTCAATCTTATAGACCTGAATAATCTACCCACTGTGCACGTACTGGAACAATTCTGGAACCGTTCTAGAACTGTTCTTTATTTCCATTAATTGTTCTACTAGAACAGTTCTAGAACGTGCACACTGGATATGTAGGAGAAACTAACTTTAAATTTTCCCAATAAGCATTTTCCAGTTAACAACATAATAAAGCAAATGAGTAAGATATTATTTTTGAAAAAGTACTATGACAATATAAAGCTTGATAAGAAAGTTGCGATACAAAGTGAATCGCGTTGAATATTATTAAATAGGTACTATAATGATTATGTTCTTTTAATAACGTAATGCCTTTTTATTTAATTTTAAATGAAAAAAACGCGGTATTAGAAATGAGAGGAAAAGGAAAGAATAATGTAAATGTATATATCGCTTAAATTCAATATTCCTTATTTAATCAAAATTGAACCAAAGAAATAAAAGAAAGTATTCCCAAGCTTTTGGATGTAAAAATCCAGGCTTAAAATTTATTAATTAATTAAATTTAAATATTTATCTAAAACAAAATTAGTAATATTATAATCATCTTTTAAACACAAATTTTTTTAGCTACTTCTTTACTAGAAAAAAAATATTCGACTTTCATTTTGGATCCGCCATTATAAATGTTGACACGTACAATCCAAGTTGAACATTGTATGACAATAATGTCTAAACATTGTCTGTAATTGTCATTCAAGTTTAATATTTAATATTTCCTCACGCATGCAGAAACTTTTTTTCTGCGCAATACAGGGAAATACAGAAAATTAATAACTTTGCAATAACACACACATGAAGACCAACACGAGATAAAACAAAATGTGCAAATAGAGACACTTAAGACATGGGAACTCAGCAAGCTAACAATTATTAAAATCAGTGAAAAATTTAGCCCAAATGAAATACAACACAATTAAATGCGTGTATCCTAAGCATATAAAAAAATTGAAAAATTTTAAAATAAAAATAACTTTTAGAAATAACTAATACTAGTGAAATTCTAAAAAATACGCTCGCTCTCAATGAATGTTAGTGTGGAACTATCCAAAATAAACATGATTATAAATAAATATACATGTTAATGAAGTTTCCTTCACGAATTACAGTTTAATTAACTAATTATAGTATAATTTTAATATCTAATTAATTGTTAACCATATTTTCGAACGGATGAGGGTATTAGGCGGAGTTAGTTCCCTATGAAAATTCAGATACGCCGGCGAAATTTTAGTACTCATTTTTTGAGGAATTTATCGCAAATTGTACTTCAGATAAATAATTATCCCACTTTCTTTGCTTTCCCCCTACGTTCTGTGCTGTGATTATTTTTATTGTCTTGTTGGTTCTCTCCACGGGATTACATTGCATTGCGAAGAGTAGACGGGAGTTCGTTGGTGTGTAATCCCGAAAATTTTGATTAATTCATTCTGTTTAATCCTTAGACGTTAACTGGGTTCTGTTGTCGTTTATTAAGACGTTTGGAGTTCCGTAACGTAAAAGAGTTTTTTTATTAAAAGCTTGAATTATCGTACGTGTTTTTGGTTCGTGTAAAGGGCAAAACTGGACCCATTTCATTAACTTATCTTGCATGACCAGTGTTCAACCGTAACCCGGTGAGTATGTGGCGCGAAACTGTTACAACGATTATGTAGTGTCTTTGTATTAAGATTTATCCTATGATTAAATAAAACAATGAAACATTTAAACTTTTAGAAAATAAAATTTTCACTTTTAGGGCCAGTTTTACCAACTCCGATTAAAAATTAATCAATGGTTAAATCCTTAACCGACCAATCATGATTGACTTTAATCATTGATTAACTTTTAATCGGAGTTGGTGAAACTGGCCCTTACAAAGTTAGGATTTTAAACATTATAGAATGAGAAGGATAATACTGCTTTTTAGAAAATATTACGATTCAATTTTCTTTCATTCAAAGGCAAAAAAATCTCGCATGTTGTACACATATAATAGGCAGAATGATATGCCAAAATGACGTTTACGTCCAAGTAATTTAAAACATAATTTGCACAACACTATCACCACCATTTCTAGTCCTACGATTTTACAACCAGTAAATATTTGAAGCCAGAAGAAGATTGGACTCAAGGACTGATAAGATCCATAGACACGTACTCCTATGGATGAGTCGCGTTGCAGGTAAATTTCAAAGAATGGTGCATGTGCCGGTAAAACGCGCCGTCTTTTACAGCGAACTTTAGATAATGATCCGGGTTTGCAAGAGTCGATTTTAATATATTTTTGTACCACTTACATTGATTGCAACCATTTTAACGATTGATGATCGGTCATCACCATGAATTCATTCACGGAGGGTGAATCTCAAAGGTTATTCAACCTTCGAGATAATAACGCATTATCGCAACGCCTATAAAACAACGGCTAAACATCCTTTTTCCGTTACCGAGTAATTTAGTTCGGTTTTGTTAAGGGTTCTACTGCGGCGTAAGCTATCACCACCTCCCTTCCGTCTATACTTTCAGTTAATACCGCGCCGAAACCGTATTTGCTGGCGTCGCGTCGGTTTGTAGACAAAAAGGAACTTAAAAATTGGGAACAGACAAAATTGGTTCAATGATTCGTAGGCGTCGTTATTTCTTTCGTACAATTCCACTTTGGTTTCTTTTTGACTAAAGTAGACAGTGGTTTTGAAAGCGTTAAGTAATCGGGAATGAAACGACGGTACCACGAAAGCATTCCTATAAAGCAGCGAAGTTCAGTAATATTTTTAGGTATTTTAAATTCGGTCATTGACTTAATTTTCTTGGTGTCTGTGTGAATGCCATTGCAATCAACCATGTGCCCTAAATAAGTAATTCGCGTTTTGGAAAATTCCGATTTCTTCGGATTAATTTTCAAATTAGCTACGAGTAACCGTTTCAGTACGCGCCTAACGTTTTTTTAGTTTTCGCTAACTGAATTTCCTCAAACAATTGTAACGGGAGAAATCAATTAATATATTTAAATCTTCTAATATCTCAACTTGCATCGTCTTCCCTCAATTTCAATTTTTACACACGCTGAACCAAATTACTCGATCTCTACACAACTATGAAACTAATAAACTCATCGAAGGGTAATTCCGCTGAGAAGATCTCGTTGCGATGCAGCAACCTCCAACTCCGGATTTTATTGTGAATTCTAGCGTTTACTTGTATCTAAATTCGAACACCTTTTTGGCGGGAAACAGACTCTCTATACTTCCAAATATACTTTCCCTACACATGACAAATTTCACAGAGTAAGTAACGAAACACTTCGTTACACAATAACGTCGACGAGATACACAAACGCCGAAGCTCCAAGTTCCGGGCACAAAACCTTTTCTACTACTCTTTGGAACCTCGCGGATGCCGAGTGTAAGCCAAAAGGCATCACCTTATAGTATTGAAAAAAACGTCTACCTGGAATTACGAAAGCGGTAATAGGTTACGGAAATCGTTACAAAAACTATATGATTTGTCCTTTTGATTGTTTAATAACAATTTTTACTTCTGTTATGCTGATGATATTTTTTATATGACCAAATTTACCCACTAAATTGGTTCAAAAAGAAGGATTAGGAACTTCAACACGGTCTATCTAATTCAGGAGAACTGCAACATAGCTCTATGAAATCAATTTAATTCGCATCAATCCTTTTTCGTTTACTGGGCACTGTACTTACCTTTATTCATTTGTTATTTCCATTTGAATGTAGAACTATTTCTAGAATCTTAGCGTCTGTAAACGTAAATTCTTTTTACTCTACTAAAACTTACCATTTTACTGATTAACATGGTAGAAATACAGTAGCGCTATCAAATTTTGCTTTTATCAGTTTTTAACAAATTTTCAGTTTCATTTCGAAATTGTCATTTTTATAATATGGGACACTCGTCGAAACGTCTCTACCGAATACTTTCTTTTTTACTATAGGTAAGTATTGGATATGTAATTTAACTGCTTACATACATATCATCTTATTAGCTGCTGTTACACAACACCGTTGATGATTATAAACTTCTGCAGAAGCATATTGTACAAGAATTTTGAACTGAGAAAATAAAGAGTCACTGATGCATATTTTATATCGTTTATTAAATCCATTTTGACCACTAGTAAGATCATTGATTAGATCAGTAATTTGCAAGATTCAACTGATTCGTTAGTTAAAAATAAATGTACGGATTGAATTATTAGAAATTTTACTAATTTAAATTTAGAAGGTACCCTGTAATATTACTTGTAACAAAACCACCAACAGATACTTTAATATTATAGTAACATTACTGTAATATTACAAATCTACAATGTTATATTACAGTTTTATCTATACGTAATATTTCTCGCTGCGAGAGTTCAGTAAAGGTAGAATATTTGCTGAGTCAGAAGTGACTTCTAACTCAGAAAAATGGTAATAATTTAAAAATCAAAAAATATATATTGTAAAAGATGCAATCAAAAAATATTTATTTAAGGAATTGATATTTTTATAATTGTTGATAATTATTTTTTGTGGTAATTTGCACTTTCAAACGCAACTTTATCCAAATTAGAATGTATTTTCAAGACGAGACATTAATTTTCAAATGCTCGCATGATGAGTAGTCGTTCGCTCATAACATTTGTCCAATTTCAGAAAGGCCCATAAAAATTACAAACAAATTTATAGTTTTTAATTAAAATAATAACTATACCTTGAATAAGGAAACAAAACTGTTTTTCTTAGAATCTTTTGAGTCTCCATCGGAATCTCTTATGGAACCACTGGTACCTCTTCTTAGTGTATGAAGATTATGCATTGAACTATATGAATCTCCAGTTGCTTTTAATAATTCATTTTCATTGTTTTCTTTTTGAATATCTTCTTGCACTTCTCTTCGAACAACACGCACCTGCAAAATTATTTTCCATAATAATTTATTATTCATAATTATTTTTAGAAGGTTTTATCTCTAAGTGTTTCTCATAATTCACAAATTTAAAAAGTATCAAATATCCTAATTACCTCTATATTAGCTTCTTCAAGTACTTTCTTTGTAATTTCCACTTCTCTTCTGAAAAATTCTTTTCGTTCCTCACGCCCACGTCTCCTAGGCTTGTCAAGAGGATCTGGTTTAAATTTGCCACCCATAGTTTGTACTTTTATGTCATTTGGAATTAAAGCTTTAGTAGTATCAGCTTCTCTTTCTAAAAGAATTTTCTCTATATCTTCTATTTCAATTTTTGTTGGTTCTAAATTATTAAACTGAGTTGGACTGTGACCGCAAAAAGATGTTTCCAAAAGACATTTATGTGGACTTGGTGACCTAATAATAAAATCATACTTTAGTTTACAGTTATTCAAAAAGCAAATATTTTATGTTAAAAATACTTAGAAAATCAAATAATATTTATCAATTATCACATTACGTTGATTAAAATAACACTTTTGTTAAAGATTTAATTTTTTAATATTTTTCAATTTTAAAACAGTTTTCCTGTGCTACAAGCAGATCGGATAGTGGGAAGGAAGGGGTTGATACAAAACGGTCTCAGTCTCTCTCTCTCTCTTCCGCTTTGTGTGGTTGAAAATTTTAGAGAAAACGACGTTGCGTAAATATTTCTATGTAGTTCTTAGGGTACAGTCTCATAAAACAAATTAATAGATGAGAGTTCAACTAATAAAAGTAGACTATTACAAGAAACTGTGTTCGATTGTCGAAAACCTTGTCTGATATTCCACTAATCTCCTCATGAGAATTCTTAAAGTCATCGGTATATTCAATAGTACCTTTCAGATGTTTAAGGTATCTTTTATATTTATATATTACTTCATATTCGTTTAAAAAGTAATAAAACATGTAACAAAGAAAAAGCAGGTGCTTTTTATTTTAAAAAGTAACCAACCCAAACGTCAACCAAAATGTCAACTAATAATATTTTCCAATATAATAATACCTCGAAGACACGTTTGATGCCACTGACATTTTTCCAGAATGCCCGGACCCTTGACTTCCAACTGATGACAGCCGCGAAGTTCTTCCACTTATATTCAGTAATATTATTTCTGAACAATTGCTATCTTTACGTTCTCTTTCCTGGGATTTCATTGAAATGCAGCATTCAGAACGGAGTTTATCTTCCTTCAATCTTTTCGTAGTTCGTTTAGCTTCTCTCTTAAAGTCTTGTTCATGAATTGGATCTGGCAGATCCAATTCTTCTGTAGAGGATCTTAAGTCTTGATCATCTTCCTTGTAATTTAATCTTATGTTACATCCATCAGGTGGTTCACCTCCTAAAAAGATTAATTTCTAAGTTAACTAAATATTATATGTAAGCTTTTTTAATTGATTTGAAAGCTGTTGCTTTAAAAATTTAACAGAAATTTAGAGAGCGGTATATCCATATTCAATGATGTAAAAAATATCCCCAGTATTTAATAATGGGCACCTTATTGACCAGCTGGGTTATATGGAGGAACTTAGTATGCACCGACACAGACAGGAAGTATAGAGTGACCATAATGCGACATTGTTACATAAAGCATAGCCGTATGCAATATGGGAGGTAGCTTATCTCTCTTGTTGCATAATGTACTATTATGTACCCAGTAATAAAGGAATTATTAGATAGGCATTTGACGAATTAAACCGGTTGATTAATTAGCTTTGTAATAAATCCAACTATCCTGCAATTTTTCTACACTTTATAAAATAAGAATAATTTGCTTGGATATTAGTATCACAGGAATTCTAAAGATTATTTGTTTAACTACTAGCGTGAAGCACCATCTGGTTATCAAAACCAGGAAGTAGACAGATAGTTTTTAGTTCAAACATGGAGGAATCACCTCAGGATTTCAACAATTCGTTAGATGTATTCAAGAAAATAAAAAATCATCGCAAAGTCTGCATCAAGAATGTGCAAATCAAATCGGCGAACTGAATTCAAGAAGGAGTGTAAGTATCAGTTTAGTGACATTTAGCCCGTCTGTGGTGAATGATCAACAAAGCAAATCTTTTTCACAAATAGATCTCCGGATGAAGGATGAGCAGATCTTTTGCCCAATTCGCCTTATGAGTTTTTTTTACTGACAATGAGTATCGTTTACAGTGATCCAATATGCCCAAAGAATATATCTCTTGATGAAATGATATTTATACGACATAAATATATTACTATCAATAAGTACCTGCAAGAAGTTCTCGTTCTGGTGAAGATTCCCTAGAGTTACAGCTATCTTCGTGATGGGATGAGCTACTTGCTCGACTTATATCAATTCTGGGTGTGCTTGAAGTTTGAAGAGAGCTTTTCGGATTAGAAGTTCCAGATCGACTTGTTCCAGACAATCGACCGAGGTGTTCTTCCTACGATTAAATGCACATAAATATAGTAAATTAATTTATCGAATAATGAGATAAGGTTGAAAGATTAAAAATATAATTTTTTAAACATTTTAGAGTTGAATGTAAAAGAACGTTAATTCTATCAATGTTTTTACCATTTACATACGCGTAAGCACTGGACATAAGATGTTTTTAATACGTCTTCTGGACATCTCTAAGATGACATATTTGTTCAATGTCTTAAAAAAACTAATTCAGTCGTGACCACTGGAAATATCTTTTTTATAAACTAAAAAATATGGTTTAACTGGTTTCCAATGGACTTTTGTTGCAGAATGTATGAGCCAAAGCAGAATAAAATCTCTAATTGTAAATCGTAAGCTTTACCGTAGCATAAAAAAGACAAAACCTATTTGTATCATTTTCTCTCTCACGTAAAAGTTGACTATTTACGATTAGAGGTGTTATTCTATGTTGGATCACTATTTTTCTTTGGTAAAGTGTTAAATGGAGTACCCTAGTTATAAATTTCAAAAAATTAATGATTTTTTGCATTTTATTAAATTATATGTTCTAAGAAGTATGTATGAACATTTCTAAGTTGATCCAGTGAAATTAGTGACCAAGCGTCAGCTGCACCTCACTATTTGTGTATTCCTCTTTCCTTTTCTTCGGTATTTCGGGTTTTTTCACCAGTTCTCACATCTCCACAGATTTTCAATGGAGTGTAGATGACAGTGAATAGGAAATCTCATTATAACTGTGAACGTAAAACACGAAGCATCGAGTGCTTCATCTTAGGCGCAAAAGGATGTTGAAACTTTAAATGAATTTTTCTCAAAATTACATGTTTGATGACTGATCACAATTATTTAAAAACTATTCAGTGTATATAGTTAAACTTTAAATGCATTTCCCTCAAAATTACATGTTTTATAAGACATAAGGTAAAGGTCCCAATTATGGGACAATTTACAATTTTGTCCCTATTATGAGACAGTATTACAAAAAATAAAATAAATGCAATTAAAATTGGTCATAAGAAATTTCTACTTATTTCAAAAAATTTTACACGTTAAAAGAATAATTATTTGTGTATAGCATTTAATTTAATAAGAAATGTTTATTTGCATTTTAGCTTTTAAATTAAGGTAAGCCAAGTTTTTCGTCAGACTACCGTCCCACATTAGGTGCACTTATTATTTGCTATCCCTATTATGAGACACACAGGAAATATACAGCAAACATAACCTCAAATATTTTCAGTTTTTTCGCATTAATTTTCTACCAGAAAAATTAGTTTTATAATTATTTTTTAAACCAGAATTTGTTTATTGTATTTTATTCTTTATAATTAATATTCAAATTATTAGGATAAGTCAATAGAATTCTAATTACTTATTGAATTAAATAAATGTCTCATAATAGGAACATTCATTATGGGACACCCGTACATACAGAAATCATAGTCCCATAATTAGTGCAGTGCAGAGTTTCATAATTTAATTAATATTATTTTTATTTCATGAAAAATAACCATTTTAGGGTCTAAATATTATTCATAACATATCAATCTTTCAATCTATACCCTAATTATTCATATTAACACTCCCGATTCCAAGAAATTTATCATAGAAATTTAGTTTAGCTTAAATAGCGTCCCATAATTGGTACTTTTACCTTATTCGTAATCAGCTACATTCGATTGGAAACTAGATAATCTTATAATAAATGTAAATCAATTTCATTTTTGCATTTCAAAAGAACTGTACTTGTGAAAGTAACCAGATTTCATTCATTTCATGAAGATGTCACAGCAATGTCTGATTACTGATAGAGTTCTTAATAACTTTTTTTTAATTAAAGCTTTTTGCGTTACGACTGATGTATCTTCCTAACTCTCGGAACACACCACTATATTTTTTTTTGATCATTTTTTTACAGCTTAATCACATTCAGACTGTTCATCCTATCAAATTAAAAAATTATTTAAAATATAGTTTAAATACTGTAGAAAAAGTTTGTAAAATTAAAATTTTTTCTTAAAAATATAAATAAAATACTTTTTGTGAAAAATCATATAGGGTCTGAGAAACCCCTAATGTGCTCCGAGGGTTCATATAAAATTTAGCATATTTTCAAAACAAGTCTATGTCACCGTACATGACTATTTAATGATAGGCTCAAAAACCGGCACTACCTTATATAAAGTAGACAAAAAATACTGGTTGTATATTTTAAAAAAGCATCATTTTTTACTTACATTATCTGCATCGTCAGTAAAATCTTCAAATGAAGCCATTGGGGCATGTCCAAGTTTGAAGTGATTGCTGTCTTCCTTAGATTCCATGTTTCAATTATTATAATTTTTGTAATAGTGAACAATTTGGTGGTTCATGACTTATTTTTAGTAACCGACTTGTTGTTAATTACGAATTTCGTTTTTCTAAAAGAAATTAATTTATTAATAACAAGAAGAATCAAAGTTCCGATAAGTATATTCAATAAAAAAAGCTTCATGTCAAACATAGAAAAGTATGGGATTCGTATAAGTTCGTATTTCTAGCTCTCATAGGGTATGACTGACAAGAAGCTTTTCCTACTTTGGTAGTATGTTACGGTCCACAATAAAACCTTAAAAATCACTTTTTTAACTAAAAATAATTGTTTGTTTAAAGGATGCAACAATTGCTCTAAATTGATCTGTACTTTCTAGACCCGTATTTAAAGAAAACTAGATAACTTTCGAGCGAAAATTGTCTATCTGAATATCAACCAAATTAAGACATGGACTCAATCCTAATAAAAAAAAGTATTTTAGAAGAGCGGAATTGTATTGGTGGTAACTTAAACTAAATGCGGTTTCGCGGGAAAACCGTATTGGAACGTTACGGTGAATTATTTTTGCGTAACGTAAATACTTTTTTCTCAAAACATTCGAGTTAAGATTTCTAAGAAAATTTAAAAACATTCAAGAACCCCAGCAGCACGTAATATTACAGCAATATTAAGAACACTGCCTTAACATTACCAATATTGCCTCAATGTTGTCAATGTTACTGGAACATTACGTGCTACTGGAAAACAGCTTAAGTGTTATGAATTTGTAATGATCTGATTTTTATTTACTGCAAACTCGCTCGCCAGATGGGGTCCGGGAACATTGTTAAATATAATAAATAATTGGGACTTTCAATTTAAAATACCCGTACATGCAAGAAACCATCGTTTCATAATGGGTACTAGTGCAGAGTTTCACAATTTAATTAATATTATTTTTATTTCATGAAAAATGGACGTTTTAGGGCTGAGGGACAGGGACAGAGATTATTTGAGGTCATCGAGCAGTCTTCAGATCTTACCACATTTAGAGTTTCGTTTTGAAAAGGACTCATACATTTTTAAATGTATGAAAATTTTCAATGAACGAATTTGGGATCAACTGAGACTTTTAAATATGTATAACTCAAGAGTTATTATTAAAAAAACTAAATATCTTATACCATTTGAGGGCCTCTGCCCTTTTTGTAAGTTAGAATCGGAAAATTTATTTCATATATTGACAATTAGTCCTTTGTATAATTCGATTAGATATAATAGGCGGAGAGCTAGCGACAGTTTTGGCCAAGGGATTTTTATAAGGCTCATACTTGGAGGATAGGTTCCTTCTTCACTCCTCTTTACAAAAGGTAAGTCTGGCAGTACACATGCCCTGCGTTTTCACATATGAGACAGTTTAATATGTAGAAAATTTATTTTCATATTTCTAAGTGCCAGACCTACTTGATATTAAATCTTTATGACTAAAAATCATAAAATATTACAGCCAGAACTGTCAACCCCTGCCAATGACGTGCCAGACTCGCTGTTTATTAAGAAATAATTATAGAATTTCAAGCGTCTTATGGGAGCGTGGAAGGGATGGCTCTAGAGTTAGGTAGTCAAATCGTCAAATGCGCCTATACTTCTTCTTCTTCTTCTTCTTTTTTAAAAAAAAATGTTTTGTTTGTTTGGCTTCGAAAAGTTAGGCCAATTCTCAGAACCATATTAAATGCGCCTATACATTCTATTAAGATAAAAAAACTCTCGAGCTGTCCTTTCCACGCGCCTTTCTCCTAGCGCGGAAGTATCCCCTTCCCTTAGCGGCTATCATTTTTCGTTCAAAATTTTGCAACTTTAATAATTTTTTTCATATATTTAGCAGGGGAATATCGGTCTATCATTTTAATGGTGACATATACCAGTGGAACACTACCTATGAAAAAAGACAGACTTATAAAAAACGCTTGAAATTTCATAATTATTTTTTAATAAACAACGAATCTGGCTCGTCATTGACAGGGGTTGACAGTTCTGGCAGTAATATTTTAATGAATTTTAGGCATGAAGGTTTAATATCAAGTAGGTCTGGCACTTAGAAATATGAAAATAAATTTTCTACATATTAAACTGTCTCGCATATGTGGAAACGCAAAGCATGTGTGCTGCCAGACTTACCTTTTGTAAAGAGGAGTGAAAAAGGAACCTATCCTCCAATTATATAAGCCTTATAAAAATCCCTTGACCAAAACTATCGCTAGCTCTTAGAATATAAGTATTCAGATTTGTTCCCAGACGTGGCAGATTTATCGAACAAATGATTGTTTAAATTCAACACCAATAATCCTTTCTTAATTAAAGGCTACATTCACGTGATAATCGATATATTAAAAATATGATAAGTAGAAATAAAGAGTATGAGTTTTTCATAAATTTATGTAATTTTGTAGTGTGTGATATCTTCAATTATTGTATAAAATCTTCGGACCTTTTGTAATTTGTAAATTATTCTTTATATATTAATTAGTCATATGATTATATTTCCGGCTTTAGAGCCCTACTGGAAAATCCTATATAAGTACCCAGGAAACAAAAACCTATTTGCTTGTTTTGAATCGGTCGAAAGCTCTCGTGAATCTGCATTCTTAAAAGGCGAAGGCAGATTAATTCTGATTATTTGCACTACTTATTGAATAGGACGTCAATAATTTGAATCGGGATAACAAACTTTTTATTATCCGATTCACAATGTGACATGAATCGGAGGTGGCGTCGAATGAGAATAGTATATGATAAAAATGTTTACAGATAAATAAATTAATATTATACTATTTTTCAAAATAAATGTTTTATTATTTACAAGTTCTTCTTTCACTTTCAATTCGCGTTTTTTCATTTCAAAATAAATTAAAAGGCACTACGTTATTAAAAGAACATAACCTTTATAGTACCTATTTAATAATATTTAACACGATTCAGTCTGTATCGAAACTTTCTTATTGAACTTTATATTTTCATACTGCCTTTTCAAAAATAATTTTACTCATTTGCTTTATTATGCTGTTAACTGGAAGATGCTTATTGGAAAAATTTAAGGTTAGCTTCTCTAACGTAGACTATTCAGGTGTATAAAATTGACGAATTAGTCAATGGGAAAACACAGATTCAAAAATGTCTGAAAAATATTCCGATTCAAATTTCCCGAAACCGATTAAAAGCAAATCGCTTAAATCCGCATTCTTAAAATGTCTCATTCACTAAAAGGCCTGATTAATAGGTTTTTTTCCCTAGGTACCTACAAGGAATCCTATAAGGATCCCATGTAAATTATTATAGGATTCTTTATAGGAACATATGTAAGTTCCTATCAAGAAATTTCCTGTAGGGAAAACATACTTTTTCCAATAGGGTTCTTTATAGATTCCTATAAGTCTCCTAAGGGAATGTAATAGGATATGACTTATAGTTTCCTATATAGAATCTTATGTGGAACCCTATAAGAGTAACCAACAAGAATTCATATACTTTCCTATAGGATCCTATATGGGTCAGACAATAAATTTTTTTTTAAATTTATAGAATTTATTCTTAACAATTTATTGTAACTTAGAATTATATAGAACTATTAACATTTCCCCAGTAAAAAAAGAAGTATTGAGTGGAGCGTTTAGGAATTGAGTGAAGCTCTGAGCCAATACGGATTCGAGTAAAAACCGTATTGGGACGTTTGACTCAATCTTTTTTTCATCCGCCGAATACGGTCTTATTTTAGCATTAAAATTAAAATCACATGAGCAGAGTACACATTATAAATTGAAAGCACAATTGTCCTAGAATGTAAAAATGCCGATTTAGATAAGAAACTGTGAATATTTTTTATTTTTTGTTAAAAATTGGTAAAAGCAAAGTTTGACAAGCGCGACTGATTTTACCATGTGAATAAATGAAGTGGCAAGTTTAAATGGACTAAAAGAAATCTTCTGTTACCGACAGAAAGTTCCTAGAAAACAATGAAATTTCATTGTTTTGTTGAATTTACCACAATTCTTTAGGAACTTTCTGTCGGTAAAAGTAGATTTTTTTTGTCCATTTCGTCCATTTAAACTTACCACTTCATTTATTCACATGGTAAATTCAGTTGCGCTTGTCAAACTTTGCTTTTACCAATTTTTAACAAAAAATAAAAAATATTCACAGTTTCTTATCTAAATCGGCATTTTTACATTCCAGGACAATTGTGCTTTCAATTTATAATGTGTACTCTGCTCATGTGATTTTAATTTTAATGCTAAAATAAGACCGTATTCGGCGGATGAAAAAAAGATTGAGTCAAACGTCCCAATACGGTTTTTACTCGAATCCGTATTGGCTCAGAGCTTCACTCAATTCCTAAACGCTCCACTCAATACTTCTTTTTTTACTGGGTCAGAGAAAGCTTAGAAAATAAATTTGGTGGGACGAGAATTCGAACCTGACATCGACAAACGCACAAGACTTACTAAACAACTACCTAACCAACTACGCAAAACGAGCTATTAATGTCAGCCAAAAAAAATCTTCCTCTTAAAATCTTCCGCATTTAATATGGCGTCAAATCTAAAGTAAAATTTAAAATTTTTTAGCAATATTCTTCATATTGCCGAAAAGTCAATGAATTCGCTTGAAATTAGTTACTCGGGGGTTTTTTGTGTCGCTGATTACGAATATGAACTTTATTTTCAAAAATTCAAAATGGCGGATCCAATATGGCGGACGAATTTTACAAAAATTCATCGAATTTACTTGAAACTTGTCCCACAGAGGTTTTTAGGGTTGCTAATTACGAATATGAAATTCATATTCAAAAATTAAAAATGGCGGATTCAATATGGCGGACTTATTTTTTAAATTGATCAAATTAACTTGAAACTTGATACTCAGGAGTTTTTGGGGTCGCTGATTACGAATATCAACTTTATTTTTAAAAATTCAAAATGGCGAATTCAATATGGCGAACGAGTTTTATAAAAATTCATCCAATTCACTTGAAACTTGTCCCACGGGGGTTTTTAGGGTCGTTGATTACGAATATGAAATTCATATTCAAAAATTAAAAATGGCGGACTTATTTTTTAAACTTGATCAAATTCACTTGAAACCTGTTACTCGGGGGTTTTTGGGGACGCTGATTACAAACCCCCGAGTTACAAGATTTAATCCAATAGAATGAAATTTAAAGTTTCTTGTCAACCATATTGAACATGCCATTTTGAAATTTTGAAAATTAATTTCATGTTTGTAATCAGCGACCCCAAAAACCCCCGAGTAACAAGTTTCATGTAAATTCGATGAATTTTTGTAAAACTCGTCCGCCATATTGAATCCGCCATTTTGAATATTTAAAAATGAAGTTGATATTCGTAACCAGCGATCCCAAAAACCCCCGAGTAACAAGTTTCAAGTGAATTTGATCAATTTAAGATATAAGTCCGCCATATTGAATTCGCCATTTTAAATTTTTAAAAATGAATTTCATATTCGTAATCAGCGACCCCAAAAACCCCTGAGTGACAAGTTTCAAGTGAATTCGATGAATTTTTGTAAAACTCGTCCGCCATATTAGATCCGCCATTTTGAATTTTTGAAAATAAAGTTCATATTCGTAATCAGCAACACCGAAAACCCCCGAGTAACAAAATTCAGGCGAATTCATTGACTTTTCGGCAATATGAAGAATATTGCCCAACATTTTTAAATTTTACATTAGATTTGACGCCATATTGGTCCGCCATCTTAAAATTTTTAATTCTACATTACTTTTCTCGAAAGTGTATATTTTTTATGCACCGATGGTTGAAAATAGAATTTTATTCTTACACTTTTTCAAGGTAAAAAAAATGTCAAATTTGAAAAAATGAATTTTTTTTGTTTTTTGACATTAAAACCGCCATATTTAATTTTGGTTTCGACGAAATTTATTTTTCACACCGGAATCGAAAAGAGCACATCCAAAACCTTTAGAAAATGTACCTCTGGTATAAATTGTCAACCGTTTTATTTATAATTACGTAGCTTGAAAATGACCAAAGAATTTTCACGAGTTGTTCGGTAATGGGTTAAGGTGCAATAGATATATGCTATATATCATATAGTATAATATAAATTCTTGTAGGTTATTCTTATAGGTTATTATTATTAATCACTGTATTAAAACCCACACGGCAATAATGACGTCTTTCCAGTGACCAAATTTTTAACTCGATCTATACGCACCATTCACAGTCTCCTAGTTGAGTCAGCTCACAGCTGCGCAAGGGACTTGCGCACTGTAACAGATCGAGTTATAGAATTGGGAGGTTCAATTATATAATCAAAAAAAATTATTTTACCTTCTACACGGAGAGAAAAATCTAGCTTTAATAGTATAACACTACCTATACTAATTTCGCATGACTATATAGTCACGCTTCAAACGCATGAATTCATACCCAAAAACCATGGGTCCACGCTTCACCATGGTTTTTCAGTATGTTTTCATGCGTTTGAAGCGTGACTATAGTCCATGCGAAATTAGTATAGGTAGTGTCATACTATTAAAGCTAGATTTTTCTCTCCGTGTATATATTGATAATTGCATTATTTACGCTTCCGGTTACGTATACTACCCACACAGCACCGAAACTTTCCTGAAAATTTATTAAAGATTTACTTGCAAACTTCGAAAAATTTACTTGCAAAGTTTAGTGAAAATTGTGTAAAGATTTAAATGTCCCACTTAAATAAATGTTTATAGTCAAATTTTCCTAAAAATTTAACTTAAAACTTTCCTGAACATTTAAATTAAATTTTCGACTTCTCTCTTATAAGCGAAAATGTAACTTAAAACTTTCCTGAAAATTTAAATTAAATTTTCGCCTATATACAGTAGGCGAAAATTTTTTTTAAATTTTCAGGAAAGTTTCACGCTAAACATTTATTGAAGTGGGACATTTAAATCTTTACAAAATTTTCACTAAACTTTTCAAGTAAATACTTCGAAGTTTGCAAGTAAATCTTTAATAAATTTTTAGGAAAGTTTCGGTGCTGTGTGGGTAATGGCGAGTAATGTCTGCACTATTTAGTTATCATAGAATTTTAAATAATGGTATTAAAACCCTGAAAAATTTGAAGAATTTTGAAATCAATAAAAACTGTAACAACCCTAAAAAACATCAGGATATTGAGGATAGTTTACCAGACGTCCTAAGGACATTTGGAATTTATTATATCCGGAGGATGTTCCAGGGACGTCCTGGGATATCCTAATTTCCAGATGATGTGACTAGGTCGTCTGTAGGATTTCCTAGAATATCCTTTGCTGCTAGGGAACCCTGTACAAGAACATTTTTAAATTCTGGAAACCAAAAGTTTCAAAATACTTGCACCAGAATATGCAGAAGATCATGTGAAATTTCCGATTACTTCTTCTTGTACAAGATCTTATAAAGGAATTTTCAGTAGGGTTCTTATCTCAGGATTTGATCGAAACAAATGTTTTTTTGTAGTGTTTTTGAAGTTAAGAAATTGTTTAAACAACTTATTGTTGTTAATAGACTTTAAATTTTTTCTTATTCGTTCAACTTTTCGTAAATATTTGTAATATGAGCACTAATACTTTTCATAACAAGGTGTAAAAAGTGCCCTTTTTAGCACCGCGTTATGAAAATGATTTAAGCTAAAAGTTGAAATAAAGTTACATTTAAATCGAAAAATTGTACAGCCTCACAACTGCCTGTCCTTAATTTGAATAAAAACTTTTGCAGATATTTTTAAAGCATGTTTAATGATAAGATTAAGATAAACCAAGTATGGAAGAATTTAATTTTTTTTAATAAATATTTATTGTTTTGCATTTTTATGCAAATTGTTAGAAATATTAATTGCAGTAATGCAAGAATCACAAACTTTTGAAGTAGATAATTATTTAATTTAATTAATTTATAATTTAGCTATAAATATTTTATTTACAATTGAATTTATCAATTTTTACATTTTAATAAATAAATTAAAAAGTAGTACAAATTTTCGTTATGTAATCTTGATCCTTTTTGATTGAAAGGTATAAAATGTCCTTTATAAAACTTTACAAAGAAAAGTTTTGCTTATCAATTAATATAGTTAAAATTGACCTATATTCCCCACATAACAATAAACTTAACCCTTGATTTGTCGTGAACTGAATAAGTCACCCGTATTTTCTATTTTAAACGTAATGACTCTAAAAATTAAACTTGCACATTTATTAATAATGATAATTTAAAATTATTTTATTGTTAAAGAATATTTTGTATTTTTTGTTAATAATTTATTACATTAAAATGTTGAATTTGTGAATTTACTAAATGGGACAAAATTGGTGAAAATTTAACCTCTTGGTTAAAATGTGTAATGAAATTTATTTGTCTTTCTACACGATATATTTTAATTTACATTTTAATGATTTTCGATAAGCATTTTAATTTGTACTTAGTTCACATAGCATGTGACATAAAAGATTTTTATTAGAAATTCTCACCTTAACTTATATTCATTGACCTGTTTTGTCTGGAAGATTCACTCGTAAAATTGACTATGCTTAATGTAGATCTGCTTCATAAATTGTTATGTTATGTCAGGTAGAGTTGTAAATAATTAGCGTTTTATTTTCTTGAGCACTAGTTTCTTGCCTGTCGATATTATTTGTATTACAATGAAGCCACCGTAAACTATTGCAGTGCCAACCGACACGCAATCGATCTGCGCAACCCTGTTGATGAAATCTCATGAGGGAAAAACTACAAGTTTCGCTCGATTTATGTATTCCCCATAATAGAAAAAATATTCAATAATTATCATCATATTAATCTAGTTATGTTATAAACCTAAAGATAATGGAATTTTTTATTTCTCTTTTTTATAAATTATAATTTAGTTATTTTACATTCTCCAGTAAAAACGAGAAATTTGAAAAAATTGAAAAGTTTGACGTTTCTAGAAAGCGCTAATTTATTCAATATTTTTTAAACTACATTTCCGTCTTATTCTGTTGGATTCTCGGCAGGGGTTAATTTAAACTTACAAATGAATTAAAATTAATTATATTCCTTTTTTCTGCTTTAGAAAATTTTATCATTTCTTAATAACTATTTTTAATTTAATGCAATAAGTTTGACAAACCGAAAATTGAAAGCAAATTCTAATTATTTCTACACTGAAAAAAAGATACAATACTGATATATATTTAAGAGAATGGTAACAGTAATCTATATAACTATATGTGATTGTCCACGAGAAAACACGGCTTAGCTTTCACAGGGCGAGTGATTGAAGTAGAAGCAGAACGAAGGAATGCATACAATATAACATCTTTAAAACGTTGTATTGTCAAAAGTAATTGACAATTCACTTTTGATTTTTGCATTTGAAAAAGCAATATAAAATCTATCGATTAGCATAAGAAACTCAAAATTGATTTTTTAGAGCTGAGCCGTGTTTTTTCGTGGACAGTCACATATATATATGACCTGGGTCTATGAAAAGGGACCTTACGTGCGAAAACAAGTTTTCGAGAAAACTGCAGTTAAAGTTTAACTCAGAAAAACCCTTGTAACTTTTTTAAATATTAATATTTTTTAATCAAGTTAGCCTTATTTCCTTTCCGTAAATTACAGTTTTAAAATAAAAAACATTCAAATAGTGAAATTTTTCTTTAAATAATTGTTTATATAAATTAAAAACAAACTCCCCAAACATAGAAAAAATAATCTAAGTTTTCTAACTAGCAACAATAAGTATAAATAAGTGACACATGTTTGTAAGGGTTTTCGAGGCCGCTGATTACGAATATGATGTTAAATTTACAATTTGATGATCGTTTTTAATAAAAAAGACAGTATATTAAGGTTTTTGAGGTCGCTGATTACGAATATGATGTCAGTTTTCAAAATTTTTTGGATGCACCTGAAACTCTCTACTCTGGGGTACCCATATTCTGTAGCTATTTACTCTAATATGTCGTTTAAACCCAATGGGAAATTTACAACTGGCGGAGTACTGCGCTAGCACTGGCAGTACTGGCAGCTACGCTGACAGACAGCACTGGCATAACTCTGGGATGATAACGCTGTCTAACGCTGGCGAAGTGCTGCCAGACAGCGCTGGAGCAGCACTGGACCAGTGCTGGCTGAGAATATTTACGCAATAAATGCCGTATTGTTATTAATTAGTCGTAAATTAATAATTATAAGTTATTTAACAACAAAATGGTAAATAATATTAATAAATAGTTATTATTCATAAAATATTTCTCTTCTTAAAGAAATTGTATTAAAGATGGAGACTAACAATGAATATAGTAAATGAAGTAGAAAAAAATTGTTTATAACATTTAAAAATTAAACAATAAACAATTACAGTAAGTGTGCATTAGATTTTCATATTTTAGTACATAGAAGGAATCCAATTATTAGATTCGGCTAAAAATTAAAATCTTTTCTGAATCAATTTTTCAAATACAGGGTGTCCAGCGATTCTTTAAAAAAAATTCAAGGACTTTTCAAGGTTTTCAAGGTGCAAAATAAATTTTTTCAAGGTCCATTTTTAGGGTACTAATTTTCAAAATATTTGTTATTTATAATCGAGTGTAATAGAGTAAGTTCTGTTTATAAGTTTTCCTCAATAAGTTTATTTCAAGTAAATTTTTACTTACTCTCTAAATTTAAATACTAATTTGATTTAGTGACTGACTTTTTTCTTTTGAAGAAGTAAATTTTACTAATAAATAATCATTTCTACTAATTTTTTAGTGAAATTTACTAATTAAAAAGCAAAAAGTCAGTAACTAATTAAAATTAATAAATATTTTCACTAATTAAAATTTAGGGAGTACTTATAAACAATTTTATAATTTCTACATACATACAATAGTTATTCATAAACAACTTTAAATACAATTTATTGATAAAATATTAGAAATATAAGGAACATAGATTTAAGAAACATCAATTAAAATTGTTTTTAAATAATTGAATTCTTTTGGAAATTTCGATTAAAAATAATTGATACACAAATTATTAAATTAAGAAAATTTTTTGAAAATACATTGAAATTTTGCAATGAGGTTTATTAAAATTTTTGAAAATAATTAAATTTTATTACTTTTGAAAATAATTAAATTACTGCAAAAAATATAATGCCAAATTTTAAAACGAATTTTATTAAATGAATATCTATTATTAAAATTTTTGAAAATAATTGAATTTTATTACTTTTGAAAATAATAATTGAATTACTTCGAAGAATTTAATGCCAAATTTTGAAACAATTGATTTTTGCGAAAAAATTTATGCAAATTCTATTTTAAATAATTGAATAAATGTAGAAAATTTTTTTTTAAATAATTGAAAGTTTCTGAAGAATATTTTAAAAACTTTTGTTTAATAATTAAATTCTTTCGTGAAATTTTATTAAAATAATAGAATATTGAAAACCATCGAAGAAAGAACATTTTTTTAAAATAATTTGAAAATTTGCCATGATTTTTATTAAAATTTTTAAAAGTATTTGAATTCTTTTGATGAATTCTATTATTTATATTAAATTATTGAATTTTGCAATGAATTTTATTAAAATTTCACAAAATAATTGAACTTTGTCGAAGATTATTGTTATTTACTTATAAAGATAATAATTGAAATGTTGACCAAAATTTTCATTTTGATTTTTTTAAAATAATAATTGAATTTTTGAGAAGAATGTAAAGAATTTTTAAAATAATTGAATTCTCGTGATTGATATTGTTATTTATGAAAATAATTGTATTTTGCAATGAATTTTATTAAAGTACCTGAATATAATTGAATTTCGGTGAAGAATTTTTATATTTATAAAGATAATTGAAATATTGACGAGAATTCAATTTAAAACATCAAGAAAATAAATCTCACTTTTATGAATTTTAATTTTTCAAGGTTTTGTCATAAAATTCAAGTACTTTTCAAGGTTTTCAAGGAGCAAAAAAAATTCAAGTACTTTTCAAGGTTTTCAAGGTTTTCAAGGTAGCTGGACACCCTGAAATAATTTACAAAGAGATGAGGTAAGAGAAATAGGTCTAAAACCTTTTCCACCTGGTTTGGGAATAAATAAAACAAAACCCTAGTATCTCTCCAACATGTGGGATATATAGAGCAAATAAACATTTCATTGAATATTTTAAATAAAAAATCTCGCATAAATCTTGGCAATTTCAGAATAAAATCATAAGATATACCGTCTAATCCTGGAGCAGAACCTTTCTTACAATCCAACAAAACACTATCAAATTCCAACTCAGAAAAGGGATTATTAAATTCTTCAAAGTCTCCTGCATCATCATTTAAAGGAATTGACTCATAATATGGGACGTCACTGCTAACCAATTCCGATCTTAGTTTTTGAAAATCTGCAGAGGAAAGATCATTGCAAATATTGGTGTGTGAAGGGGAATTTTTATTTAGGAAGATTACAGTCTTCCACGTTCTAGACATCCCCTCAGAAGGAGAGACAGAATCACAGAACGAGATAAAAGACCCCTTCTTTTTTCCCCTCAAAAACCACTTCACTATCTCTTTAAAACGGGTTCTAAGTTCCTCAGTTTGATTATTTATCTAATCCTTCCTTGCATTCCTACGTCTTTCTATTTGAATAGCGCAATCGTTATCCCACCAAAGTGGCTCAATTTTTCTTTTCCCGGAAAGTGATTGTGGCCTATAGGCACCATATTCAAAAACTGTGGATAAAAGTGAATCAATGAGTTTGTTATATATATAATCTGGTGGAGTTCCTCTATTTAAAGATTCCTCCAAATCACTGACTTGAGCTCTTAAAGGTTCCTCGATCTTCGACCAGTCCAAAATTTTAAAGTTAATTCTAGTAGAACTAGAACCAACATACTTATAGGACTTGGATCAAATTTTGAGATAACCAGCAGATAATCAGAACCATATAAATCACTTGTAACTTCAGCAAGTGCCTGAGCAATTAGCGTATCTGAAATTAATATTACATCGAGGTTATTATTCCTCCTACCAGCTCTATCCATACGTGTGGGTTCAGAATCATTAAGGGAGAAAAGAGAAAAAATATCGAATATCTCCATCAAATCAGAACCTCTAGGAGAATTAAAGGGGACGCATGATTATTCCCCAAATGTCATTTTTCCGAAATGTCATTTTACCGAACTGAACTTTTGCGAATAGTCATTTTTGCGAATTATCGATTTTCCGAAAAGACATTTTTGCGAATTGTCATTTTTACGAAAAGACATTTTTGTGAAATGTAATTTTTGCGAAAAGCCATTTTTGTGAAATGTCATTTTTACGATTAGTCATTTTTGCGAAAAGTCATTTTTACGAATTGCCATTTTTGCGAATTGTCATTTTTGTGAATCGCCATTTTTACGAATTGTCAATTTTCCGAAAAGTCATTTTTGCGAATTGTCATTTTTGCGAAAATTCCTATAGTGAATCTATATATGCATACAAGTTTACTATAGGAATTTTCGCAAAAATGACAATTCGCAAAAATGACTTTTCGGAAAATTGACAATTCGTAAAAATGGCGATTCGAAAAAAATGACAATTCGCAAAAATAGCTTTTCGCAAAAATGATAATTTGTAAAAATGACTTTTTGCAAAAATGGCAATTCGTAAAAATGACTTTTCGCAAAAATGACTATTCGCAAAAATGACAATTCGTAAAAATGTCGATTCGTAAAAATGGCGATTCGCAAAAGTGACAATTCCCAAAAATGTCAATTCGTAAAAATGACTATTCGCAAAAATGACAATTCGTAAAAATGTCGATTCGTAAAAATGGCGTTTCGCAAAAGTGACAATTCGCAAAAATGACATTTCGCAAAAATGAATAATCGTAAAAATGACATTTCACAAAAATGGCTTTTCGCAGAAATTACATTTCATAAAAATGTCTTTTCGTAAAAATGACAATTCGCAAAAATGTCTTTTCGGAAAATCGACAATTTGCAAAATTGGCTTTTCGTAAAAATGACTATTCGCAAAAGTGCAGTTCGGTAAAATGACATTTCGGAAAAATGACATTTGTATTCCAGGAGGGGCGTAAATAGAGATGACTGCTCTAGGACCATTCAAAGTTTGAATAGTTACACCCACAACATCAAAAAAAGGAGAGACAGCGGTTTTAAATTTAATTGTGTTGACCATGATCTCTTGTCTCACCAAAAGAACAGTACCACCACCGTGAGCATCTCGATCTGCTCTATATGTACAGTACTGTATATGTATTATCCTTTCTTAAAAAAGACATGGAGTGGAATGGTCGAATGTATCGAAAAGTATCGAAGTAAAGAATGGGCAATGAGAATGTAAAATCTTAATAGTTAATAGAAGGGTGTGTTTAAAATTGTTTGTACATGTGAAGGTGGCGCTGCACTCGTATGTTATTTAAAAAGAGCGCGAATATATAAATTTTATTTTTGTTAAGAGAAAGTACTCATAATAAATCTTATTTTGCATTGTCAAAAAAACGTCAACATTTCAAATATAAATAAGCAAATTATTAACTGAAAAAATTTGAATATTATTATTAATGAAATAATGGACTTGGACAATGGACATATAAATACTAGCACCGTAGACGGCCGCTTGCGGCCGTCGGAGGAGCTAGTAACCAAAAAATTCCCATGCTTTAAATTTATCTGACAACCAGGTTTCTGTGATGGACAAGATATCAACTTTATGTTGAAATAATAAGGCCTCTGTTTTCTACAGTTTCCCTCTCCACTGGCGAGAAAACTCATTAGACGGGTGGTCCAGGCAAATGCGAGTACTCCTAATTTTCAAGTCGCTCTGTAGGCGCAAAAATTTAGTATTAAGAAATGTTTGTAAGGAATGTTCTACGGTTGTAAAAACACTTGTATAGCCAAGATTGTAGGCTTAAGACGGGTGTATAAACAAATAAATAAAAAAAAATAAGGCCTCTATTTCTGTCTTTTTATTTACCACGCTGCATGCATTCCATGTGGCAAATATTAGACACCTCCCCTCCCTTTCCTCCTCAAGAAACATGTTAAAATTTGAATGGGGAAAAGAAAGAGAAAAAAAATGAAGAAAAGAGGCTTTTGTAGTAAACAAAATCAAATTAAAACAGAAAAATAATCATGCCTCAAATATATCACAGATAAAATAGAGAAAAACAAAAAACAAAGCAATAAAATAAAAGAAACAACTAAACAAAAAAACAAACAAAATAAAACAACAAAAACAGAAAAACCAGTAGAAATAAATAAATATGTAAAAGAAAAAAAACAAGATACATCTAAGAGGCTGGAAAACTGGGATTCATTAGAGTTCAAATTTTAGGGTCAGTATCGACCAAATCAATTAAGTCTTGAGCAGCAACCATATCTCTATCTGATCTACATTCAATACCCGTCTGTATACCACTCGGTCCTGACATGTCGTTCAAATTTGAAAAGGGGGTTATAGGTTGACCTTCAAGTTTCCGTTCACCTCCAACTATAGATAAATTTAGAGGATTCGAAACATCATCCCGTGAATCAGCCGCTCGTTTCAGAGCACTTCTAGCTCTTCTAGAAATATCCGGAGGACCACTGAAACACAGACATTCCAAAGCCTCCTCTCTATTGCAGTTATTTATATACCGGCATCTTAAGATTTCAAATTCAAAATTATGAATAGGGCAGTTGATATCCACAGCATCATGTGGACCACCACAGTTGGTGCACAACGGAATTTGATCTCTATATGGACAAATATTGTATCTGCGATTACCTGAACAGTGGGAGCAAACCGGATGCGTTGACCGACACTGATCAGCGATATGAGAGAATCTCTGACATCTAAAACACCGTGATGGTCTAGGGATAATAGGGGTAATAGTCAAAGCAAAATCCCCAACAAAAATGATTCTTGGAATAAAAGTAGAGCGAAATGAAAATTCAACTCTACTTGTAACTTCCAATTTATTGTTAAAGCAACGCTTAATAGCTATTACATTATTTCTGGTATCTGCATCCAGACCATCTCTCAACTCAGAAACAGATCTCGAAGTTGGGATATCATTACTAAATCCTCTTCGGCTTATTTGACTCTCGGGAATATAAGTTCTATATGCAATATTTAATTCAGAAGAATCAATCAAGGTGTTAGCATCTTTATAATTCTCACAAATGATCTAGATTTGGTTTTGACCACTTCTAAAAATTCGTTTAGGGCCTGAAATGACATATTCTATGAGATCAGAGGTGGCAAAAGGATCGTATTTGCCTAGAGCTTTTTTTGGATCTCGCGAGTCCATTAGAACAAAAAACGGGCCAATAGATTTTTCTGCATATCTGAAAAGACTATTCACATTCTCAGAAAATGATCAGTAATAAATTGGATTCTCCAACAGATCTTTGAGTTTCGACCTCCTATCAAGAGCAGATTCCTGCTCGTCAGAGAGGACCTCATCTTCATGATCCGCATGAGAATCCTCCTTATCAAGAGGATCATCAACACAATGTAGAATATCAGGATCACTCAACTTGCTAGACAATTCAGAAGGTTTTTCCCCATCGTCATGTGAGGTAGTTGGACAATTTCCAGATTGAGATTGAGTGGAAATAGAGGATTTTTTAATCTTATGAGGAGTATTAGAAGAACCAGAAGCATTAGGTGAAGAATAGTTCTCTGATTTAGTTAAAGATCGAGATCTCTTTTTTATCTCTCTCATTAGACTCTTCCACTTCCATTCTTCTATTATTACCATCATCCCCATTACCCAAACTGTTAGATTGAATATTGGTTTGTTGTTTTTGTTGTTGTTGTTGTATTTGAAGGAATTTCCTATCAGAGATTTTCTGGCCGAGAAATCCTCTTCCAACTCCTGACCTTCAGGTGTTTAAATTCGATCCATTCGAAGTTGAGGACATCTCACGTGTGTTCAGCAGATTCTTAGGAGGCATAGTAGTAAAATCTAAAAAAAAGTAACTAATCAACAAAAAAAACAACAAAAAATTAATAATTAAATAAGTAAAAAGGAAAAATGTTAGGATTGATATTATTATTAGAAAACAAAATCCAAAACAGATTCTAGCCTCATTAATATATTAGTAAAATAAATTTAACATAATAATAAAGAAGACAATTCAATAATTAAAATAAAATTAATAATCATAAAAAAAGGAATGTAAACTGGCAAATATCTTTTCTATAAATTGTTTAGATATAACAAAGTAAATAACACGAATTCAAAATAAAATAGCCAAGTGAAACCAAATATAGTAACAAGTATAATCAAAAGGGAAAATTAATTTAAGAAATAAGGAATTTATTTGAACGTGAGATAGGAAAGACAAGCAATAAAAGATAAATAAAGATCCAACCTCGAATTGTCAACAAATATTGTTTTTAGTGTTGACCTTTATACATACTTGTTTGGTGGAAAATAATTTCACTGGTTCTTGCAGAAGTTAGGGTGAAGTCCCATGGTAGCGTTTTGCGTTGCGTTTTGTAACTAGGCCATGAGTGCAAATAGAGCAAACATATATCTGTATCTCTCTCACACTCATGGCCTAGTTACAAAACGCAACGCAAAACGGTGCCATGGGACTCCACCCTTATGAACTCATATATTATTTAAAATTAAAACCAGAATTTATTGCACTGTTTCCTCATTTCATTTTAAATTTTCCTTTGATTTTCTCTTTACTTTTTATGTGAGGAGTAAATTATATAAAAATTAAAAGTTCAAAATATATAATAGTAGAACGGAACACTTAATAACTGAGTTTATCACACATGCACAACTTAATGAAAATTTTCAATTAAGTTTAAATTAATTAAACAAAAAAAACAAATCACAGGTAATTAATTCACAAAAATAAGAAGTACTTAATGAACATCGGAGGATCGGCGAGAATAATATCTCGCAATTCAGAAATTTACAGAGTAAGAAGAGTAGACGAAAAGACGTCTGTACTCTTCAACGGAAAAGGCGCGAATCCTGTGCTGTTCTTAATAGTATGTGCATCAGATGTTTCTCGTTTTCGTAAATCTGGTCAATTGCGAAATAGATGCAATCCCTATATAATTCATAAAATATTAATATTATATAAAAATACTTGATTACCAGATCATTTAAAGAAATAGTTAGATTTAGAGATAATGAATATTAATTGTTAAAAGCACTTTATTTTGTAAGAATTTGTTATATTACAAAATTTATTTTCAATTACAATAATAAAAAAAATGTATTAAAACTGATGTTAGAGGAACTTCCGTTTCATCGTAAAAATATAATAGTGAATCCTTTATTCAATGTATTTATTTTCAGCAAATCCTAGGCAGTTCTTCGTTAAATTTACTGATATGAACGACATTTTTCACATCATATAAAACCTAAAAAAATATTATTATTACACATTTTTTTAACTAATTGAGGGTGTGGATCGGATAACTGCCTGTAGGCATGGCCGAAAGGGACTATACCAGTCAGACATCAGTAAGAGGCCTAGAGGCGCTCACTATTGTCTGACTGGTATAGTCCCTTTCGGCCATGCGCTACAGGCAGTTATCCGTTCCATGCCCTCAATTATATTGGAGTCCGAGTATATGTGAAACAGACATAAACAATCAATACCGAACAGATAAATTCGTGTATTTATGTGCTTATCTTTTCTATTCTTTTATGTTAAAACTATTTCAGTTTGGATCCTTTGTTTTTTCACATGAAAGAGTAAATGAAAATATATCGAATAGTCGCATCACATTCTTGGATTCCAATAAATAACAAAATATTAGGTTACATTTTTCTGATTCAAAAAGATATGAGACATTCTAAATCGGTATTTGTATCCAAATAGCACGTAATGTTACATGTAATGTTAGTAAAACTGTCATCCTACTAGAATATTAAAATTAAAAAATTAATTACTAAATGAGTCCTTGAAATTAAATACAATATAAAGCATTACAATGTGTAATGCAATATTTTGTTATGTCAAAAAATGGTTGTTCAAAAAGGATTTATCCTTAGAATAATATTCAAATGATCGTTATGTGACAAAACTTAGAATGTTCATAAATAAAGTACAATTGACTGTATTTGAGACTTACTGGACTATCAATGTAGGATTCGCACAAGTAGCACCAAACAGACAGATCACTAAAGCTCAATGCAATAGGATGTTGTGTTTCTTGTGCATGTATTAAGGCATGTTTTTTAATATTTCGTGCACAAAGGACCGTATAGCATTTTAAGCAAATCCAATTTTCAGAGACACTGCTACATTCAGCACAAGGTTGATAAATATCAATATCACTTTCTGGTAGTTTATTTATTTCGCTTACATGCATACAATTCGTTTTGGGTACGATTGCAAACATGTCACCTTCAAAAAGACTCTGTAAATAAAATATCATTTTTACATATGTGCATATGTCACAAACATTTATGTTGACAAAATAAAACAAGATGGAGGATGCTCACAACATGAACATTTCGCTTCTTTATAACGATCAATAAAAAAATTAACTAAAGATTCCGAAAGTTGCAGTCAAGTTAATTTCAACTTTCAGGATCCCCTATTTTCGATCCTGTTTGGGAATAAACTTAAAAATTTATAAACTTCTATAATAAAAATGAAGTTAAATAATTATAGAAATTCATTCATTGCCAGCATATATGCAGCGGGTAGCTCAAAAAACGATTTTACAATTGATGTAACGAAATTTTTTGAGGATCTAAAATTGGACCAAATAAATTAGTAGCACCCTATTTTAAAAAGAAACTGGAATCAAAAGTAAATAAAGGTTTACATATAGCGCCAACAAACGGATTTATCAATAAGGTTTTGGTGTGATGACAAAAAAGAAGTTGTTAAGAAATATTTTGATTCGGTATTTTTGGATCATACACGCGTCATGGATATTCTTCAATGATTGAACGCTGCAGTGTAGGAATTCAACGTGTCTAAAATCATTCAGATTGGAATGGATGGTCGAAACGTTAATTTTAAAATTGTTAACGATTTACTTTTAGAATTAAAATAATCTTTAGATGATAATTTTTTGCCATTGAAAATGGACTGCTGTGGCCTTCAGTCGACTCATGGAGTATTGAAGGCTGGAATAAAAGCTACTAATTGGAAGTTATTAGAACTATTTTGTGCATTATACTACTTTTCAAAGATTGTCCTGCTCAACGACAAGATTACACGAAAATAATAGAATCTTTTGTTTTTTCCTTAAAATTTTGTGATGTACGATGGGTTGAGAATGGAAAAGTATGTGAAAGGGTTCTCAAAATGTTAGTTTCTTTAAGAATATGTACACTATCCTTATAGAAGAAATAAGAAAAGAGAAAGAGAAAAACGGCAAAAAAGAGAAGACTCGAAGAAGAAGAACACAAAATGATGCGAAAGTAGTCAATTTTTTGAATTTTTTTAAAATTTTAATCCTCCATCAATCCTTTCTTGGTTTTACATATATAAATCCCACAATTCTTCCAAAATTCCCCAGCGGTCCGTAGCTGACTTTTATTATAAGTATTCGTATTCACCTGGCCCATTCTGACTTTTTTCTTCTCTTTGTTTAAATGGCCTCTTGTTTAACAGGTAACCAGTTCAAAATAGAATATTGAGTAGATGATGGTCGGTTAACGTTAGGATAGTAAGGTCGAAACTTGTTTGATTATCATCCTTTATTAATTAAAGGATGATCATTTTTTAGATAAAATAGTTCTTTGAGATTCTTGAGTGTTTTTATTGTATCGGAGAGAATAAGGATATTATCCAGATTGGAAGAAATGGCATAGGTTGATGCTGAGTTCATAGCATACATTTCGCAGGTATCTATGTTGGAACGATGCCTCCTAGTCTTACACCAAAATTTACATTGGTCGTAAGCACCACGAAACTTGCACCAGAAGTACACTTTATAGGGTCAAAGGAACCATGCGTATTGTAGTGGTTTGATAGCATGTGAATAGATTGTAAACATAAAAAATATTTTTAAAAATATATAATATAAAATTTGAAATTGTCTAATAATATATTATAGTGTGGCACTTCGTTAGAGGACTATTATTTGTTGAACGGAGCAACATAAAAATATCCTCTGGGTATTGAGGCCCATATTTTGATCCTGAGTTCACCTAAATCCCAGGAAAATCTTTTCTCACAATCGTGCATCACCCCAAAAAGGAATTCGAGAGTCTTGATGAGTGAGGAGTAATTCTTTAATAGAAAATAACTATGTGACTTTCAGGTGTGATCGTAAACCCCAATTGGGGGTGGTACTCTTCTTTTAGTGAGACATACACTCACAGTGTCAATTATTAAAATACCTTCTAATGTAACTCAAAACATTGCTTGTGTCGGAACTGAGATAGCAACGGACCACGGCTATCTCCAAGTTATTTCAGCATATGCTCCCTTGGTATCAACATCTTACCAGACATATGGAAGCGCCTTATTGATAGTAGCTTTCGTGACATTAGCGAGACCTTGGAAGAATATGATGTGGTCCCACTTAATGACTCCGATCCTACTTATATTAGTGATGACGGCAGATTGGGAGGTGTCATTGACTTGTTATTCGTATTGACTTCTCTTTGTAAAAACTCAACAGCCGAAGTAACTGGACTAAATTATCTACTCTCATAGATTCCTATGCAGATAGATGTACTTCTAATGTTGATCCGTTAACGCTCAATTCTCTTGAACATGAATACTATGGTTTCGTTGAGGAAATCAGGTCCAACCTGGTGGAATCTGATGCTTATCTCCCTTCTTGCCTGCCAGTAATGCGGAAATCTGAACCCTTATGGTGGGACAGTGAGTGTGAAGCGGCAATCGAGAGAATGAGATAACCTCTCGTAAAAAATTTCTTTCATCCCAAACGCCCGAAAATAGACGTGAAGTCGGACTCATAGATAATGAAGTTGAAGGTTTCCTTAGATAAAAGAAGAAGCAGTCTTATGTTAAATTCTGCAACTCACTTAACCTCTCCATGTGTTCTTAAGAAATATGGACAAACATTAGTGCTTTCTCTACGTCAACTCAACCCCTACGAACAAGTACATATAATGATCAAAGTTTCAAGGAAGTTATTGACCTTCAAAATGAATTGATCCAGGAAAGGGCTGAGCAGTCAAACCTCCCACCTGTATCAGGAATCAACGATGACACGCATTATTGTAGGAAATTTATAGTTCCCAAATTCGAAAAATTCGCGGAATATTTGTAAACCCTAAATTACAGCTTAAGGTTTAATCATGTGATCTGTTGACGAGAGAATAGAAGAATGACGAGTGAATCAGTTGCTAAATTATCATGACCGTGACCACTTCTTCTTGAAATGTTGTAATATTTATTTTAATAAAGCTGCAGTTTAACGTACTTATTGGTATTATTTTATTAAAGTTTCAAAGTTATATAAAGAAGTGCATTTTAACTAGTAAATTCTACATTATAATGGCTCTTTCTCATCTGTTAAATTTTACACAGCTTTTGACTCAACTAAGAAAGAAACTGCACCTGGTCTTGATTTTGTTTCAAATGTCGTTCTTAAACATCTACCAATGAAAACTCGAAATTATCTCTTGTCCTTGTTCAATAGGTTTTTTTGTCTTCTTCATTTCCTTCAGCTTGGAGAGACACACATCTCTTACATCAGCAATCTGCAACTTGTTTGAACACCTAATATACAAATGTCTAGAACATTATGTTAAAATGAAAAATGGTACTCCAGTGCAGCAGTTTGGTTTCCGTAAAGGCAGATTAACTACTGGCTGTGTGTCTACACTTGATACGGACATACATCAAGGCTATATTAGAGGTAAACACACATTTGTTTTGTCAATTGACCTTGAAAAGGGACTTTTAGTAACATTCTACCTACGGCACTTTACAATAGATTGATTAAATTGCGTGCACCAAATAAGATAATAAATTTTGTTTCTTTTTTAGTTTACTCTAAAAATCTGTTTTTCTCATCCAACACTGAAAACTTGAAAACTTCATATATCGGAGTATCTGAAGGTGGTGTTCTATCTCCCTCCTTCTTTACTTATAATTAGCCATCAGTCAAATTTTTCAAATCGTTCCACCGACAAAAAACAATCGCAAGGAGAGCGATTTTCTAATAAATTTAATTATTTGTAACATATTATACACTGAATCGAAAGAGAATTTCATGAACTTTCTAGTGCAATTTTTATTTTTGAAAATTTCTCTCAATTTCGTAGAGAAATTCCTGTTTGAAAGTTTAAACTCTTAATATCTCAAAAAACCCCCTCCCCCGTCGATTTTTATGAAAATTATATGAAAATAAAGCTTAACTTTTCTAGTTTTTATTCCCGTATAATATATTATGGACATTTGATGGGATTAGTAGAAAAAAAATTGTTTAAAAAATGTGTTTTTGGAAACACATCAACTTCGTACCATTTGTCAAATTTTCCAAAAACACATTTTTTAAACAATTTTTTTTCTACTAATCCCATCAAATGTCCATAATATATTATACGGGAATAGAAACTAGAAAAGTTAAGCTTTATTTTCATATAATTTTCATAAAAATCGACGGGGGGGGTGTTTTGAAATATTAAGAGTTTAAACTTTCAAACAGGAATTTCTCTACGAAATTGAGAGAAATTTTAAAAAATAAAAATAGCACTAGAAAGTTCACGAAATTCTCTTTCGATTCAGTGTATAATATGTTACAAATAATTAAATTTATTAGAAAATCGCTCTCCTTGCGATTGTTTTTTGTCGGTGGAACGATTTTAAATGGAACGCCTCTATTATACATTAGATCTCACTCCTAAAGACTCTTTAGGAAGCTAAAGGAAACACGCAATTAAACCTTAAACCTTGGCTCGGTGAAGTAGGCCTTTCTATTTTACCAAGCAAAATACAGTTGGCAGTATTTTCAAGAGGTAAACAAAAATTCTATAATTTCTTTATAGATCATGACATATTAACAAAATAGCACGGTGTGCTACACAATTATCAACATCTAGTCTTGAATGTAGGGAAGAGAGGCCGAAGATTGTGACCATGCGACCTGCATACGATTTATGCGTCTTATGTCGTGCGTTATTTAAAGCTTGCGTCAATATAATTAAAGCAATTGAAGAAAAAAACAGTTGCAGCCCATGAAAACATGGAGCATCTACAAAAAGCTGCAAGTCAAATAGATTATTATAATGAATGGTGCCAAAAAGTCCAAAAGTACGATGAGTCCGAATATTTAGTTATATAAATGGATTTTACTCAGAATGTTAATTATTCATCTGGTCCACAACAAATTGGAACTACTTATTTTAAACCGGCAAGGAAATATGCCATTTTTGGAATTTGTAAAGAGAAACGCAACATTCAGTACAATTTTTTAAACGACAAAAGAGACTCAATTGGAAAAGGCCCAAACGCTGTTATTTTAATGCTCGATTACTATTTAAAAAAATTCATTCCACAAAGCATCTTATTCTTTTCGCCGATAATTGCTCTTCGCAAAATAAGAATAACGCTCTCATTCACTTTTTACAGTACGTTGCCGAAATAAATTGCTGTAAATATGTTAAATTAAACTTTCTTTCATCAGGACACTAAATTTTTCACAGATTGCTTATTTGGTGTTTTTAAGGGAAAGTACGCTGCAACAAATATTGATTGTTTTTCTGATATCTTGCAGTTTGTTACTAGCTCTTCACAAAGTGGTTGCAATGATACACATTTTAAACCGCAGCACGAAATATTAATGGGAATTTTAAAATTTGAATCATTTTGTCTTTATGTCAGAATCATCTGTGGTCTGTAGCGAAAGCAAACAAATTTCATTCACTTTACAGGATTCAGTAATTACAGAGCCAGAAACTGATGTCGAAATAATTTTACCTTCTGGTCTCACTGTAGAAAGAAAGTGGTATTTGTATAAACAAATTTAAGATCTATGTTTCGATAATTCCAAAATGGTTGAGGTGACACCAAAGCCAATTGTACCCGAAAAGTATGGAAATACAGTTTGATATTGACGACTTATTTACTTTATTGGTTCAGTATACCGCATGAATTGAAAATGTTCTACTTATCAATAATTGTTTAGTCATTTAAAAGCTTGGATTCAATCGAGTACTCGATACATCGAATCCGGCTATTGTATAATTCAACGTGTCAACCCATGTAGATTAATAGATTAAAGTATAAAAAAATTAAGATTTTTTACAAAAATCAATAAACTGCGGACGTCCACATAATTTAAATGAAATATAGAACATTTTAAATGAATCATTTATTTAAAAAAAATTAAATTTAAATGTTACCAACCAAGTTTAATAAGTAATGGTCGACTTTAATTAAAAAGTTTAAAATAATTATTTTTCACAAATTTTTTCCAAACTGAGAAATAGCTTGAAAAAAACTGAAAATCCTTTATGTTTCTTATTGGTTGACGTTACCCCTCAGGTTTAAAAGAATTTTACTTACTTGCATATTTTCAATCAATAAACTTTGTGGGTTCGACTGCTGAATCAGAATCTGACATGCGGAGTTTCCTTCTGCACATTCTACTTCACCACAAATATTTGATTCTTCTTCGGAAACTGTTGCTTTTAAATTGTGATTATCCAAAGATATTTTTTCAAATTCTTTTTCCAACAAGATTGTTGAATTCACAACTCGATCATTTCCATTACTTAAAATTAATTTTTCTTGCAACAATGTATCTGCAAGAATGTCTTCTTGTGGTAAAGAAACTTGATATTTTAGATTTGGCCAATACTTTTTTTGTATTTTTAAAACGTCTTTTATGGAAGTAAGAGCACTTGGACGTAGTGACTGATGAGATGCCAAAGAAATCAATGGATCACCCAGGAGCGCTTTATTGCACAAAGTCATTGCGTAAGAAATCGAATTGACGTTGTAACCTCCTTCCAGAATTAATATGATGCGCCCGTTGGCTAATGCCGATAACCAATGAGTCAAATGTCCATATAATTCGGGTGAGACGTGACAATCTAAAAACAAGTGCATCATTTTAAACATGACTGTGTAGAAAATACTGTATTTCATGAAAATTTTTCTTCAACCTGGATGGTCAGCCAGGCTGCAGTTAATTTAATGCTGATGAAACATTGCTGAAACGAAACTAAATTAAAAATTACTTTCGTTTTAGTTTTTAAAAAATCCAGAAACAAAAGTAAATGAATCAATTTAATATCGTGTCAACTCGGAACGAAATTAATTTCTGAATTTCACTTCATAAATTCACAACAGGAATATAACTATCAGAGTGGATAAATATGAAAATAAAAATATCTTACTTCCAATGGGATCACCAACACATGCATCAAATCCAGCGGACACCAAAATTAAATCTGGATTAAATTGATATGCAATAGGCATTACAACTTGTTGAAAGGCTGCAATATATTCTGAATCACCCATTCCTTTCTGGAAATCAACAAAAAATTATTTTTTTTCTCTAATAAAAAAAATGTGACAAGTTTTGTTTAAACAAAAAAATTGCAGAAGTATCTTTATTATAATTGTAACGGTTACAAGTTTAAATATTAGTTCTATCAAGGAGACTAGAAACAGAAAGTCCAACTTAATGGTCTGCTACATGTAAACAACACTGTACCACACAAAAAATACCTTTACAAGGGAAATTAAGAAAAGCTGTTTCTAAAGGCACTATTGAACGAAATTTACTCTTGTCAGGATAGACAGGATGAGGCTCACCGACTAATACAGAAAGTAGGAGATGTAAGTCCAAACTATTTACATAAAAAGGACACAATTATACATAGAAAGTCCCTAGGTATCAGTTCTTACAATATTTTTATAAATATCTTAACATTTAAGTATTGCGAAAAATACGAAGGTTCGATTAGAAACATTAGACTTTATGTTTCTTCCTTATATACATTCATCTTTATCAACAATTTTAAATGAATAAATACCTCATTCCATGGTATGTTGACATTGAACCCTTCTCCTTTTCCTTCACCCACAAAATCACTGTTTCCTTTCTCGGAATTGGGAAAAAACGAGCCATTGTCATATCGATGGATAGATATATATAACACATTTGGATCATCCTTAAATACTGATTGTGTACCATTTCCATGATGAACATCCCAATCAACAATGAGAATTCTAAACATAAAAAATGTTAAATAAGACTAGTTTACAAAATTAAAAAAAATTTTTGATCCGCTACATTTCACTGTCACTTCTTATGTAAAATTTTCTTCCGAATCTGAATATGAAGTCAAATATTAAGAAAGTAGAACAGTTTTCGAGATATAGGTAAATTTCAATTTTTTTTAGTTTCGACAAAAAGTGGATTCACTAATTTACCATTATTTCCGAATGTAGTCTATCGATTTCAATGTTCTTTGAAGCAAATTAAAGGTAATTAAATTTCCCATAAAAAAAGTATTTACAACATTTTTTAATTCGACTGACGGTTTAGGAACTATCTATAAATTTATTTGGAATTTCTCATTATTTTAAACCAAATTTTAGAAAATTATTGAGTTTGTTAGTTAATTTCGTCATAAAAAAAAGTGTTTACTTCGAGTTTTCTTTTTTGGTCGTCAAGGTATAATTTCTTGGAAAGAAAATAAGCCGTTGCCGATCAAAATTGAACTGAAAATATAGAAGATATAACTACTTAAGTAAAAATATAGAAATTTTAATCGGCAACGGCTTATTTTTTCCCTAAGAAATTGTACTTTGACGACCAAAAAAGAAAACCAGAAGTAAACGCGTTTTTTTATGACGTAATTAACCGAAAAAGTAAATAATATTTTAAAATTTTATTTAAAACTAGCTGTCGTACCCGTCTTCGACGGGTTGTAGTTTCTGATAATGCACTTAACAGTGTATCTACCAACCTAGAAAACCGGAAAATAGCCGGGAATTTGATTTGACAGGGAAAAAATAATAATTAGTTACTATTGTCTATTTCATTAGGAAAATAATACCATTTGAAACAGTGACCGACTTTTTATTATCAAATTAGTTATTTTTAACTAATTCAAATGCAGAAAACAATATTTCTCAATTTGTAGTACTTCAATCAATATAATGTATTAAAATCAATCTAAAATTTCCTCCAGTTTTTTGAGTTATAGTACAGTCTAATTCGAACTAATTGTATAGCAAGTAGATCCAGTTTTTCTCGGTTACATTAAATTCCCTGATATTTTACGTCTTTTCTGGTTGGTAGACACCCTGTTAAATGTATTATTAAAAAACACCCGTCGAATAAACCAGGAAAAATTTGGACAAATCCGAAAAATGTTTTAAACCAAAATAAACATCGTGTTTAACTTTTGTCTTTACATTAATCAAGATATCTCTAAAAGTTAAATCAGAGAGCCCACAAATACTATTGAATTAAGCTTCATAGCAATTGGTATCAATTATAATTTTTTCAATTTTTTGATATTCAAAACATTTTTATACTTACATCTTCGTTATAAGAAAGTATTTTTGAAAAATTATGCTAAAATGTGACTAAATAATATGTAATATTCAATTATATAAAGTTTAAAAGCTATCCATTGAAAAATGTAAAATTTAGAAATTTTCGATTTTTTAAAAATATTTTTATATTTCCATTTTAGTTACAAAGTATTATTTTTTGCAAAATTATGCTAAAATGTTAATAAATAACATGTAATACTCAACTATAGAAAGTTTAGAAGCAATCCATAAAAAAATATAAAATTTAGAAATTATTTGTGTTAAATAAATTCATTTATTAGAGTCAAGTATTTATTTAATTAATCCAATTAAGATTTATTTGATTTAACTAAATAAAATTATTTAAACGAAATAAATTTTTATTAGATCGAAATAAAAACTTTTAAATAAGATATTATATTACTATTAGGTATTAACGTAACTTACAATCATAGCCTTATCCGATTAAAAAATATTAACTTGAACGAAAGTTATGACATTTTTCCAAAAAATTCGAAAAATCAAAAAAATGCAAATTTTTTATCTTTTGTAAAATAAATGCAAAACTATCATTAGCTAACTTTTTCAGATAAATAAAACCCATTTCTACAATAAAATTTTTAAAAAAGACGTATTTGAAATTTTTTTTCGTTTTTTTAGATTAACTTTTTTCTAAGAAAATAGTGATTTTTAATCTTTAAGCAAGCTTTTCAGGAAAAGTTATTAAAGTTTTTTATTTAAAGATCAGTATGTTAAGTAAGAAATTTGCTACATTAAACCAAAATAATTAAGCTAAATGCCATAAAAAAGAAGAAAAAATGTTAAATTTTAAGAAATTCGGTTTTTTGAATTTTTGCTAATTTTCCATAATTTTAGATTTTTTACCGAAGGGTGGAGACTATTGAATAAGTAAAGTATTTTTTAAGAGCACAAAAATAATAAAGCTAAATGCCATAAAAAGAAGGAAAAATATTGAATTTTAAGAAATTCATTTTTTTGCATTTTTGCTATTTTTCCATAATTTTAGATTTTTTACCAAAGGGTGGAGATAACAAATTAGGTTAAGTATTTTTGAAGAGCCCAAAAATAATGAAGCCAAAAGCCATAAAAGAGAAGAAAAAATGTTGAATTTTAAGAAATTCCGTTTTTTGAATTTTTGCTAATTTTCCATAATTTTAGATTTTTTACCAAAGGGTGGAGACTATTAAATATAAGTAAAGTATTTTTGAAGAGTACAAAAATAATGAAGCTTAATGATATAAAAGAGAAGAAAAAAATGTTAAATTTTAAGAAATTCGGTTTCTCGAATTTTTGATAATTTTTGATTTTTTGCTAAAGGGTGGAGACTATTCAAATAGTATAATTATACTACCGAAATAGCTAATGGTTACTAATTATTAATTTTCCGGTGAAATTAAATTCCCGGGTATTTTTGATTTTCCAGATTGGTAGAAACATTGTTAAATGTATTGGTACAAACTAAAACCCGTCGAAGACGGGTACGACAGCTAGTGCTATATATTATCAAAATTTTTAAAATTCAAAATTAATCTTTTGAAATAATTAATGTCATCAATTTTACTTAAATTTGATACAGGGTTAATTTTAGTATTTTTTATTACAATTTAGTCATCAGAATGAAATTTGAGTTTTTCATTTTTTGATCATTAATTAATATAATATAATAGCAATTTTGAATTCTGTGCAATATACTGACAAAAGTCTCATATTAATTATATGGATATTGTTAATATTCTGACCTAATAGAATTTTTTTAAGAAAGTAAACTTATGATTTCAACAACAAATTTTTATTGTTGACCTAAGAAATACAACCGTATAAAAATTAATTACAAAAAAATTTCAATTTTTAAACTTTTAATTTTTAATTTTTCAATATTTAAATCTAACACTTTTTATTTGTTATTCAAAATTTTATTATTCTGACGATTAAATCTTCATAAGAAACACTAAAATTAACCCTGTACCAAGTTTAAGTACAATTCACTAAAGTATATGAAAAAACTAAAAATTTCGAATTTTTGAAAAAATGGCATAACTTTCGTCCATATTAATATTTTTTAATCTACTATCGCTAGGATTTTAAGTTAGGCTAATGCCTAAAAGACTGTCAAGTTTCACTTCAAACGATCGAACCGTTTTTCCGTGATACGCGGTCGAAAATTTGCGGACATACATACACACATACACACATATACACATACACACATATACACATACACACATAATTTTCTTAATAGTATTTTCGCATTCCTTAGAGTGTAAAAATAAGGAATATAATAGAAATTTTGAATTCTATGCAATGTACAGACAAAAGTCTGATTTTATTAATAAGGATAATGAGAAATTCCAAATAAATTTATAGATAGCTCGTAAACCGTCAGTCGAATTAAAAAAATGTTTTAATACTTTTTTATGGGAAATTTAATTACCTTTACTTTGCTTCAAAGAACATTGAAATCGATAGACTACATTCGGAAATAATGGTAAATTAGTGAATCCACTTTTTGTCGAAACTAAAATCTAATCTCGAAAACTGTTCTACTTTCTTAATATTTGACTTCATATTCAGATTCGGGAGAAAATTTTACATAAGAAATGACAGTGAAATGCAGCGGATCAAAATCTTTGTAAACTAGTGTAATTTACTTAGCACTACACTAGTGCTACACTGAAAAAGAAACGTTATTATACTAATCAGAATTCTTTACAATTTTGTTTAAAGAACATTTTTTCATATACATTTTTTTTACTTTCTTAACTTCTGTTTTTACTTTACAAGTTTTCTTAATGATTGCTGATACCGAAAGAGGTTTCTGTTGCTCTGGTCCAAAAATCCTGTGTAACTGATGTTTCGAATTTGATAGAAAGTAAAAAATAATTTGAAGTAAATAAGCTTACCTTTGAACTTTGTAATTATGAATTGCATATTTAGCAGCAATTGCAACATTATTAAAAATACAAAATCCGCAAGCAGCGTCCTTTTCAGCGTGGTGTCCAGGCGGTCTTATTATAGCAGTGCCGCTTTGACATTTATTACTTAGAACACTATCTACGACTTGAAGAAGTGATCCAGTGGCAATTCTTGCACTGATCCACGTATCAGGGTTAATGTAAACTGAATTAAATGCAGAAATTTTTTCGTCAACACTTGTTGTTTCCGCGACAGATGTTTGTTTTATCACATCAATATACTTTTTAGAATGGACTAATAATAAATCATCTTCAGTTGCCATTTTTCCCTATAAAGAAATAAATATTCGTTCATTAATTTCTCCCAATTGGAAAATAAATAACAAATTTTTCGAAAAAAATGCATAATGCACTTTAAATTTATTCTCCTTTCGGTAATTATAGTTTTGGTTTTAAATCAATTTTTCAGAAAATCAACCATTTTCTATTTCTTCACTATTCAAAATATTTAAACTATGAAACAATTATTTTACTTAAAACATATTTTCTCTAAACCAGGGCTCGAACCAGTGAAAGTATTTAAAAATACGGACTTTACGGACCAAAAATGAAAAATTACGGACCATTTACGGACCAATTACTGGCAAAAATATATAAGAGAACATTTTACTTAAAACTATAAATTAGATTTTTTCATAACTAAAAAACATGAAGATATCAATAACTCCGAGTCTTCGACTCGGAGCGATCGATTACTTCATGTTTTATAATAAATTAAAGATAGAGTGATAAAATCATTATCAATTCAATTATTATTTTCAAGAATTTTTAACTAAAATTCTTCTTAAAATCGATTATTTTTAATAATTTTCGAAAAAGTTTTTTGACAATTTTCAAATCCATTTCTTTACAATATTCAATTTTACGAAATTTCAATTATTTGTAAATTCTTCAATTAAATATGTATTAGAAAATAAAAACTTCAAATAATATAAAAAAAAATTCGCAATTAAAATTTCTCAAAAAAATTAATTACACAGAATTGTTACTTAGTTAAAAATATGAAAAATTCAAATTTTCAAAGATTTGAATCTGAAACCTTTTCAAAATTTAATTATTTCTAAAACTTTACGCTCTAATACTTTTAATATTCAATTATAATCTAAAATTTTAACTGAAATCCATTTTTAAATCAATTTTTATGAGAAAATTCTACGAGAATTTCATTATTTAAAAACAAAAAAAACAATTTATTGAATAATTACCTACATATGAATTATTACATTGAATTCTTTTAAAAAATTGTATCAAAATAATTGAATTCCTAATAAGAATTTTATTATTTGCCAAAAAAATTAAATACCGTAAGTGAGGCTAAATTCGCTCAATTTTTCAATTCTTTTTTAAATAACTTCGGGAAACGATGAAAATAAACATTGGCACTGAAAATATATAATCTTTAACCCTTTATCTTTCCTATTACTGCATAAAGAAATTGAAATATGTTGCAGAAAATTATTTATAAGCCGTTTTTTTGTGAGCGAATTTACCTTTAAATGATGGGTAAATTCGCTCACCATTATTATTCTGGCAAAATATATTATAATCTGCAAAAATGAAACTAAATATTCTTTAGAATCAATAAAGAAAAAAATTAAGAACAATATTCAAAGTTATTGGAATAAATATTTAATATTGTTTTATCAATAAGTAATTAGATTCAATCATTCAATCAAACGTACTCATAACCATAAAAAAACAAGGTTAAGTTTGACAGTTTAGTGCTTAAACCGTTTTAAATCGTTTAATTTTCAGTTATAAGAGTACTATTATTTCAAAAAATCGAATTATAAATTAAAGTAATTAACATACTTAAAATATCCAGGCCCAAACATCTTTTTTGTAGACTTATTTCCTGAGCGAATTTACACAACAAATTTGAATTTTTTTTTTTAATTGATTTTTTGCAGAATCTGTTTATTGCTTTAATTTTTGTGCTTTATGAATATCATGTTGGAGATACAGGAAATGTAATGTTCAGAAGTATTCAACTTAAAAATTTTGAAGTAAAGCTTTATTTCCTACTTTTTCATACTACTTGTTCAATATGAAAATTATTCACTTGTGTTTTAAATATAATTTCTACTGAAAGTTACCAATGAATTTGCTGCAAATAAATTTTAAATTAAAGTTTACCATTTATATTAACCAAAACAATTGTAAATCTTAAATATTTCTGTCTAAAAAGTATGTTAATCGAATTTTAAAAAATAGACATCGGTTGAGCGAATTTACCCTACATGAGCGAATTTAGCCTCACTTACGGTACCTGTAAAAATTTTATTATTTTTTGAAAATAATTAAAAGTTTGTGTAGAATTTTATTAATTTTTTTTAAATAATTGAATTCTTTTGGAAAATTTTAATAGAATAGTATAGATACCTATTAAAAATCATTGAATTGAGGAAAAATTTTTAAAATAATTGAAATTTTTCCAAGAATTTTATTAAAATTTTTGAAAATAATTGATATTTTGGAGAAGAATTTAATTACTTCTAAAGATAATTGAAATTTTGACGAGAATTTTTAAAAAATTTTGAACATAATTGAATTTTTGCGAAGAATTTTATTACTTTTGAAAATAATTGAATTCCTTCAATCATTTGTAATTTCTCTAAAATTATCCAAATTATATCGTATAATTTACGTACTTTAAGGACCTTTTTCAATCAAATTACGGACTTTACGGACCTTTTTTCAAAAAAACGGACTTTTACGGACTTCAAGCAAAGTTACGGACTTTTACGGGATTTACGGACCTAGTTCGAGCCCTGCGTAAACACAACTTGTGTATCACAATATCTATCTATGAAACTAAATGATATGCAATCTACTAAAAATTCTTAATAATATATATTATGTAACGCTGTCAAATTTGACATCTCTGAAATTCCTCGATCGTGATGTGGACGTAAAGTCAGTCTAAGATTAGTTGTTAGAGTGTCAATTCGTCTTCATAAATTTAATTTTTATTTTGATATTGTATTCGATCTCCGACTCTTAGCAAGTCTGTTCTTTTGAATAATAGAATAACTCTTTACATTTACTTATTTAGAATAAATGTGAGTTATGTGTGTAAACAAGTGTTTATTTATTTAACTTATTAATAGATAATAGATTCGTTCCCACTCCTAGTCGGCAAATTATTCAATTAAAATTCTTAAGGGGTTACACCACTTTGACCAGTTCAAAACATAAGCTTTTTTAACAATTTTTATTGAAGAATAGAAATTTTTTTAGGAAAATTAAATTACAGTAGGGTATTGTACTACTCTTGAACTACAAAAAAATATATACAAATTTCTTTTTTTTAAATTGTCGGTTTGACAGATGATATGTTAAAGTGCTTTAAAAATGTATCGCCATAAGGTAGACACTATAACTCGGTCCAGAATTAAGCTAGACCAAAAAGTAAAAATGCTTTAGTTTCTGTAGCTCAAAATCTAGCGAAATACGTATCCGTTTTAAAAAAAATTTATTTTTCGCAAAATGGCATCGATTTGAAGGAAAAAGTCCATATTTTTGCCTAAATTTCATTATTTAAAGTTGTCTAGAAAATTTAAATATTAATATTTCGAAAAATCCGTACGTATTTCGCTAGATAATTATATCACAAACAAAATAAAAAAGAACTAAGAGGATCGATTGAAATTTGTGGCATCCAGAGTGTCCACCGATTTTTAAAATACAGTTTTGAGAAAAACGCGTTTAAAGTTTTCATTACAATGTAAACGTTGGCGCGCGACCCTGCTTGAACAGTTCGAAAATTGTCTTTTTACTTGAGATATCGATATATAACAAATGACATATCATTTTGGTGACCATAAGGAGTATTTTAAGCAAAAAAAAATTTTTTCAATTTTTTGAAAATTTCAAAGTGGTGTAACCCCTTAATTCTAAACATTCTAATTAACTTCTAAATATGGCTTGTATTTTCTTGATATATTAGAGGAGCAGCCAGCAGGCGCTCAAAGAAATTAAAATAAGAAAGATCGCCTTTATAATTTTTCGCTACTAGAGTTGCTTTTCCCAATTCTGAATCCAGATAATTGATTACTTGAACCGGCGTGGAGACAGGTAATAATTACTTATTGTTATATTGCTTAATTTTTAAATAAAATAAGCTATATAAAAATATTATTTTCCACTATGAAAAGCGCATATTTATGTTTTCTATAAGAAAATGTATCATTTTGCCAGATCCTTCCCTATTAAAATCGTGCAAAAGATAAAAAGAAAAACTTACTTGAAGAATAAGACATCGTTTCAATATTCCATATTCTTGAAATTTGGCATAAATACTTGCAATTCTGCTAGGTTTTTCAGGATGAAAATCGTCAGAACTATCAAAATGTTTTAACATTCTGGAGTCATACACGACACAGAGTTTAAATTGTGCTTTATTTAAATTTGTACCTATAATAAATAAACAAATTCGTAAATGAGTTTTTAACATTCATATTATTTTTAAATAAATTTTTTGACAAATACAATTTTATGCACATTATTACTATTTTAATAGACGTTTCAAAAAACATTTAAGAAATATACTATTATATTATAAAATTTAAATTATACTTTACATTGTTTTAAAAAGCACAAGGCAGCTTGAATCTCAGCTTTTTTTTCCATACTTTGTACAGGATAACAATTTCTTGTTTCATACGTACTACTAGCAGGATTATTCGAATTGCTGAAAATCAAACATGACATAATGTAAAATATTATTAAAGGAAAGAAATTTATCATTCTCTCTCTAAAAATCTGGTCTAACATCTGGGGAATTTATCGCTGAAGAATAAATTAAGAAAAAAACGTAAAATTAAAAAGAATTATATAAAGAAAACAAATATGCAACAAATTTTTTTTCTTTAATAAATTATTAATAATCTGTGTAAAATAAAACTTTATTTAGCTTATGTACCTGAAAGCACATATCGGAATGTGTCTTTCTTCACAGTTTTCATTAGCTTCTTTTGAATAGAAACTGTAAGATCCTTGATAGTTGTAGCATTTCCAGAAAGATTTGTGAGTGTAAATTACATTTAAAATAGTCTCACGTACGCTATAACAAAAAATAAGTTTATATTATTATTATTATTTGAATTATTACCGAAACAAATAATCTCTCTTACATTTATGTTTGCATCACAAATTAATTTAATTGATGATAGTTTTGAAGTTACTCATATTTTTAATGCAAAACAGAAACTACATATTATGATCAATATTTTTGGTTTCATACCTATCAGATGGTTCTGCAATTGGAAGAAGTTGCGGACATGGATCCCCCAAAAGTGCTCGAAGCGTTAATGCAGCTCCTTCGGATAGTGATTCTAAACAATATCCACCCTAAAAATAATAATGTTAGAGTACAAATTTTATAACATTTAATCTAAAATAGGATTAATAGAGGATAATTTGAGGGGAATATTTATTTTATTTATTTTTTCATATTGTACTTCAAGAAACACTTAAATTTGATGCTGGTTACGCTATGACAGGGAAACCCAGTTGAAAGTTGATCATTTGTTATTAGAATTATAAAGAGTTTAGTAGGATTGTTCTTATTTTGACTGGTACTATCCCTTCCCAACCGCGCTCAGCGGCAGTTATAGAATTCAGGGGCTCAATTTATGAAAAATTTATTTTACATACTAATTAAACAGTTACTTATTTTATAAAAGTGTTTACAAAATAAAAAAGGCTTTCCTTTTAATTTTTAAAAATTTAGTAACCTAAATGTCTTAGCATTAAATACAATATTTCATTAGCATACCTCCAGTACAACAGCAACTTTTCCCTTTGCCAAACTCATCAAAGACCACAGTAAATGAGAGTAACAAGCTGGCGTAATCTTCATTTCTCCCTAAACACGAAAGAATATTTAAATTTTACGAATGTTTCCCCGGAATATCATAAGAGTTCCCTATCTTTTGATAGAGTTATTAAACAATTTAAAGAGTGTCATTTTCAGTGACTCCAAGAAAAAAAAATACTTTTTAATAAAAGGTTACAACTATTGAATCAAGTAGTATTTTTCTACACTATAGTAAAATATTAATCAAGGATCTTTTTAATGAATATTAATGATGATTGGAATTTCATTAACTGGTGTTAACAGCCAATCATAACTTCTTGTTAAAAAGATGCATTTTCACTAATTAATTAAAAATAAAAGAAAAATTAAAAGATCAGCCTATTTGTAAGAGGAATTATCTAACGGCAAAAAGATCAATACATTCATTTCCTCTAGAAGAATCGCTACCTTTTTCAGTTAATTTTCTAATAAGATCTCTCTATCATTTACTGATAGATATCATCAAAATTAATGTTTCTTTTATAATGTCAGTATTATTTTATATTTCACTTAAATAAAAGCCGTAAATTTTTAGTATGAATTTTAAGAATTTTTAGGTTTTTTGTACAGTTGATAAAAATTTGTTTAAAAGCTCTTGTATATTCGGTTTTCTAAACTTTTTGACTTAATTATACAAATCATTTTCTTCGTGAATTTTAAGTTCTTAACAGAAAAAAGAAAAACCTTTTCATCGCCAATGGCCGAATCATATCCAGCTGACACGATAATTAGTTCAGGAACAAACTAGGAAACAAAAAAAGTGAAATTATTTTACGTTACCTCTGGACAACCTAATGCAGCATCATATCCGGCAGAAACGATTACAACATCCGGTTGAAACTAAAGAAAATAAATAAAACAGTTTTCGAAAATGTTTTCAATAGATCTTTAAAAGTGTTTAATCCCTTCAGTGTCATGTTAGGAAATAAAAAAGATAAATATAAAATAAATGACACATGAAACGGAAATTTTAAAACTTGCTTGTACTTTCATAAAGCCTTTAATGACCTTTTTAAAATCTCTTATTAAATTCACGCTTAGAACTTAGAATATTATATTTTGATTTCTTTATTAAATAAACTGGATTTTCTTCTAATTTAGATTAAATATTTATTTTCAAAATGTCCAAGTTTCTTTTTAAAGTCTAGACTTAGATTTTGCATATTCGATTTGTTAATAATATTTTTATTTTACATTTATTATTTACGCTTTCTTAAATTATGTACAGTATTATTCGTAATTTGTGAACAGTTCATTGTTTCTTATTTACATGGCATTAACACTCAAGGGGTTAAAAAATAATAATGATACTTTAAAAGAAAGTAATATTTCAAATTCATTGCATTGCAGCTATTATATATTATTTCTCGCATGCAAGGTACATTGCTAGAATCCCTAAACCATCTCAAATTCTGAGTGAAATGTTTAAACAAAACTCAGTGCACTGCTGTCATTGATGAAAACAAAACAGGATTAATTCGATTTGACTTTTTCCAGTAGCTAAAGCTATAGTCATGTTCTTTGTTCCAATTTCTTTTACAAGTTCACTTGCTAATCTTGTGTCGGTTCGGGTCAATGTTCCTGTACATGGTCTTGTGCAACATCGTGTACACGATCTTGTACACGATTTTTCAGCTGGGCGGTGATTAGGAGATCGGATTTTAACTTGCTTGTCACTTACTTGCAGAGGTTCAAGTAGTCGCGACGTGATTTTCGACTAGCGTCAATTATCGAATTTTATTACTCAATATTTTATATTTTAATGTTTGATTTAGAGTTTATTTCTTTTTTATTAAGAAATAAGTTATTATTTGTTAATTGAGAGTTTTAAGTATTTTATTTATATTTTTATTTTGTGTTGTAAACGGTTGAGAGTGCCAAAGACGTTATAATTTGGTAGCGTCTCAACGGTTATTTATTTAAAAAGAAGGGTTCGTTGTTCAAAAGTTGTTTTTACGTCGCAGTTTGAAGAAGAGGAACTCCCCGATGAGATTTGTGGATATTTGCTGTGGTGAAGATAGTTTTTCGAATAACGGGTGGTGATGTAAATTTGTGATGTATTATTTTTAATGTAAAATTCTATATTGCAAATTCTACCCTTATAAAATTAAATTGTGCATTCTTACACTGCAATCTATAAATAATAAATAATTATACCCGTATAAGATTATATCTTTATTTAGTGAAACAACGACAAGATCTGGAAATAAACTGCGTGTCTTAATGATAATAATGTTTTTACTTTAATTCTTACCTCATATGCCATTGGTAACAGAAGTTGTTGAAATATGGCAATGTAGTCAGCGTTGGTCATGCCGACTTTATTTAGAGGAACATTAAAATTGTATCCTTCTCCAGGCCCTGATCCAGTGTAGTCGTAATTTGACTCCCGTAAGTTGGGCCAAAACTCACCATTTTCATATCTATGTATTGAGAAATAAACTACTCTGAAAAAAAAAAATTTCATATAAAGAAGAGTTAAGGTATTTATTCAGTTTTTTGTATTCGTTTAAATGAGTGCATAATATTTCTAAGAATATTTGAATGCTTGATTCTCCAATTAAATGAAATAAGTCTTATAGTTTTAATGTAAATTTTTTGACTTTATCACTCAGCAGTCTTGAGACTAACGATCATTCCAAGTCAGATTGGAAATAACAAAAACAAAAAGATGTTTTTTTTGTTATTCCAATTTGACTCGGAGTGATCGTTAATCTCAAAGTTTTATTCTTACTTGTTTTGTTTGATTAATTCAAGGACTTTGGAGTAAAAAGTAAGAAAAAATAAAATGTACGTCATCAAATGGGTGCATAGATTTTCTTGTTGATAATCATGCTATCTAAACTTATCTGCAATTGTTAAGTGTTTAAACTAACCTTGGATCATCATAAAACATTTGTTGTGTTGCTTGGCCATGATGTACGTCCCAGTCAACGATTAAGATTTTCTTTGCTAAATCCATTTGTAACACTTTTTCGCAAGCTATTGCAACGTTATTAAAAAAACAGTACCCACAATATTCCGCCTTCATCGCATGATGACCTGGCGGTCTGCAACAATTTTCAAAAAATCTTTTTTATCAAACAGAAAATTACTTAATATTAATCTAATTATTTATTGATTACAAAACAAATAAAAAGCATCTATTCAAATTTATATTGTTTTGATGTTTATGTTTTTTTACAATTCATTTATGATCCCTTATCAAATTTTGAAAGAACACACCCATCCAGCACATGCTTTCAATCCTCATTTTCATATCCGATTAACTTTGAACAACCTTTCTCACTTATCCATTCAATATTTAAACACACTCAGTCGCTTCCAAATTCTAAATCTTAACATTCTATTTCTTTCACTCTTCTTTCTAATCTTTAATAAATACTTCGGCATCTCACAGTAGTTCCAAATACCCAAATTTCGCCAAAAGTCGAAGAGAAAGTTTCTATTTAGGGATTTTCAATTTTGAATAGTGGCTCGTTTTGTTAAATTTTATCGAATTTTAATTTTGCAACATGGATTCTTCGGCTGAAAGGAAGTAAATTTACTGCATGTTAAAGAAATTAAATTAAATTTGATAATAATTTATTTATAGAAACATTTCAAATATTTTATTTTTTGGGTTTAGTTTTAAACAATGAAACTAAAAATTCCGAAAGTCTGAATCCACATAGTTTCCCACTATAAAATAATGTTTCTCTTAATTCAGGAGCTTTCCTCTATGATTGAAAAAAAAAGAACTGAAAATACCTGCTACAATCAGACACTGATATGTAAAGTAAAATGTTACCTTATAATTGCCATTCCATTTTGTATTTCTCCTTTACAAATGCTCGTTACAAGATTTACAGTCGATCCAACAGCTTTCAATGATTGTCTGTAAGTAGACTTTAAAACAGTTTTTAAATAAAAAATATCGTATACGTAAAATTCATCACTTAAATTAATTATACAAAAGAAATTTCTAAATTTATTAAAAATGTCGGTTGTGGCCGCATAAAGCAAATTTTTTACCGTATACATTTCAATTTTTGATGAAGTTTAAAATTAGTTTAGAAACATTTTTGAATAATGACAAAATCCTGTCATTCGACAAATTCTACAAATTTTCATGATGGTAAATTTAAAAATTCCACATTTTTAATAACAATCTTATAAACAATTTGAATTATTTATGTGTTCTATCCCTCCAATTGCAATAAGTGTTGTAATATTTTGTTAATGCAAAAAAAATACAAAAAATTACAAATTCAAGAAACGGTTAAAAGTATTTTTTTGATGTGTAGTGAACTACAGATTTTCATAAAAGTTTTAACATTTTAGAAAATCAATGAAATTTTTGAAACACAGTTGAACTGCTCTGATCCATTAGTACATAGTCATAACAATGTGATTAAAATTTTGTGAAATTATTTTTAAAAAATTGTAAAATTATTGAAACTTACTGGATGGAAGTAAACAGCATCATATTTGGAAGATAATTTTTCAAGTAAATCAACATTTTTTATGTTTTCGGTTAATTTAAGAAACTCTATTTGTTCCTTATTATGTTTTAATAACAGCTCATCTTCATCTGCCGATCTTGATTCTATTATTTTACATTTGTCTACTAAATGCAACTCGTTACATCGTTCCAGTACTTTCAGAAATCTTTCTGGACATTCAGGGTAGTTTTCATCCCACAGGCATTTATGATCAGCCATAGAGTGATCATAAACAAGGCCAGTGCTCAAACGTTGCAATACCTTTGAATTTATTGCATTATCGTATATATCATGAACTGGAGAATCATGATGAGTTTCTTTCTGTAATTTTTTCTTGTACACTGACTTTTTCTTGGCAGCCATTGTTACCAGAAGCAGACTTCCTAGAAAAAAGTTGAAAAAATTATCAAAACCGATTTTTTGAATAAGTATCTTTAGGTTGAGTAAAATTCTTAAACAGGATGAGAACTAGATAGAGACTCGGTAATATAGGCCAATCGGTGAGTACAAAATGTGCAAACAGAAAATGACGAAGTAATTCGAGGGCTCCATATAAGAGCACCATAGTTTGTTCTCGATTTCCGGTTACAAAAAATGGTATAAACAATCGTCAGTTTGAAAAATGTGCTTTTTAGATGAGCGTTGTTTCCGGTTACATTTTATGGGAAAAAGTTGTGGAGATCGAAAATAGCTTTCAAATGACGAGTTTTAAATTAAAAAAGGTTAATTAATTTAGTTGCAAATGAATTTAAACGATTAAAAATAGCACTTTTTTAATAACTTTGTTAATAATTATTGAATTTGTTTATAACTTACCAGGAATGTTCTCCTTGCGAAACTTAATAAATTTAAAAAAATTAAACTTGATCGGATAAATAGTTTATGAACAATTTTGGACCTGCCGATTTCATGTTTTCATCTTATATTGCTAAGATTACACGCAGTGCTACACGTTTGTGTTTACATATGTATCGATTTAGCAGTTCATTACACTAACTGTTAGGTATTAAAACAAAAATCCCTCTATTTTTAATCCTGATATTAAAAATCGCAACCAATCAAGGTATTAGTATTCACAGTATTTATATATTATAACATTTAAGATTCCATAAGTTTGATTCCGCCCACTTCTGCCGAAATTTTTTATATTGAGAAATGTTCATGAAGACGTCAGGTTTCAATATACTTAAAAGATTTTTGTTACTTTTCGAAATATTTTTCTTTAAAATGAGTACTCTGAGAGCCGAATCTACCTGGACAAAACTGTTTATTTAAATTTCCTTTATCCGAATTCTAACACCACTGCGTATCTATATGATTTTGAGGTCGATGATTACGAATCAACAGTCAGATTGTAAAAATTTAAAATGGCGGCTCCAATATGTCGGACATCAATTTAAAAAAAATTGCCGAATTTTAATGAAAATTAAAACTTGTGGGTTTTTGGGGTCGTCGATGACGAATATGCAGTTATAGATTTTAAAAATTTAAAATAGTAACACAAATATAGACAAATTTATTAAAAATAATGTTGGCCATATTGGATCCGCCATTTTTAGATTTTAAAATATAATTGTATATTCGTAATCAGCGACCCTAAAAAGCACTAAATTCTAATTTTTAATAATTTAAACAAATTTATTAAAATTAATGTCCGCCATATTGAAGTCGTTAATTTGAATTTTTAAAATTCAACTGCATATTCGTAATTGGAGACCCAAAAAAAACCTAAATCCTAATTTTTATTAAAATTAATTAATTTTTTTAAATTAATGTCCGCCATATTGGAGCCACCATTTTTAATTTTTAAAATCTGACTGTTGATTCGTAATCAGCGACCTCAAAATCATATAGATACGCAGTGGTGATAGAATTCGGATAAAGGAAATTTAAATTAAGAGTTTTGTCCAGATAGATTCGGCTCTCAGACTACACGCTCAAACACTCATAACTCCGTCAACTTCTGATCCAATTGACATGAAATTTCAACACAATATTCTGGAGATGTTATGCATTCACTTAAACAAATTTTTTAAAAGATGGAAAAAAAAATTTTACTCTTGCAGTGGGTCATCCTTACGTGCGGCGTTCGTCGACCAAAAATTCGCCACTGCTTGAAATAAATGCAATATAAAAGCACAAAAACCTTATATACAATTTCCTCAAAAAAATGCATGTATTGTACTATAATTGGTGCGAGTTTTAATGAAAAATATTAATATTAAGTTGTCAGGCATTTTTTTATAAAAAAACATACGTTTTTTTAACGTTCAAAATTTGTACACTAAGATAAAAAATAACATTTCTATTTAAGTGAAACGAAAGTTAGACTCCTTAAGATTATGAGAGAAGAAAAAAAAATTAAATCGGTAGGTTCAAAAGTGGAGAAATTCCGTTAAAAAATTACATACATGTTTTTAGTTAACAAATGAAATTGTTCATATAAACTATTTATCCGATAGAATTGATTTTTTTTAATTTATTAAGCTTCAAAAAGAGAATATTCCTAGTAAGTTATAAACAAATTCTATAATTATTAACAAATTACAGTGAAGGAGAATAAAACGAAAACATTCGGACAAATAGTTTTTAAAATTAGTTTACTCCAACGTTTCGAAATCTATATGATTTCCTCTTCAGGGAGCCAAAAAAATTAATAAATAAACAATCGTCAGAAGAAATAAAAATAAATTCACCCATCAAACGTCAGAGAAAACATAGAGTTTGGAGTCATAACTATAAAAGATTATAAAACCAATTTTGTAATAAATAAATAAAAACCGCTGCCAAGTTGTATATTTTTTTATAAATTTTGGTGCTCATTTCAAGAACACTTTGCTTCCTCATAGAGGTAATAATAACAGAAATATATGAATAACTTTTTATAAATATGGTAAAAGTGATTGAATTTTGAATCAATCAATGTATTTTTAAATACCCTACAAGATAGTTATAATAGTTTAATAGTTAAACAAAAATTTTCAAACAAAGAAGTTGAGTAAATGTCATTTTCCACAATTTTTGGTTTTTAAAATACCAATAATTTCGAAATTTATTATCGAATTAGGTTAAAAAAATAGGTCAATCGAAGCGTTTTTTAATGCTCTACAAGTTGGTTACGATAATTTTAACGTTAGTTCTACATTTTTCAACAAAATTTTCAAAAAAGTATTTTTTTCCAAAATTTTTGATTTTTAAAAGTTTAATATCTCCGGTTCATATGGACGAAAAATGTACAATTAGGGCTCAAAAGATGCGTCTAAAAAACTCTACAAAATTATGAAAAAACATTTATAGGTGTCCTAACATTTTTTTAAAGTTATGAACAAAAAACTTTTTTTTGGAAAATTAAAAATCCAAAAAAAATTTAGTTAAACTTTATTAATCTATCACAAAGTACTCTAATTTTATGTCCGCAGGTGTGATCTACAATTTAAAAAAAATTCAACCCAAAAGCTCTTCATGATTTCGAGATATTTATGAAAATGTGATGTTTACACACACACTCACACACACACACACACACACACACACATACGGAATGACATTTTTTAAAAATGTCATTTTTGAACTCCTGAGGTCAAATAACATAAAGATATGTCAAAAAATCGAACTCGAAAAATTTTGGTATTACAATACTTCCTCTATGAGGAAGTAATAATCATTAACATCATGGTTAAATAAATAAATTACACAAGAAAAAAAAAGTCTGACTCCGTTTACACCTTAAATTCATCCCATGTATTTCACATAAGTCTGTCCTTGTTTAATGGGGCTGACTCCGTTTACACCTTAAATTCATCCTCGAAAACAGGCTAAAAGTAAAACTTTTTTTTTAGTGTGTAACACTGATAAACATGGACATTATGATAACACACATTTATAATAACACACCACAAAAATTTTTTAAAAATACTTAAATAAATTAAAACAAAATAAATTAAAACTCTGCGTGTGAAGTCAAAATTAAAACATTTTTAATTTTAATTTTTTTGACTCCCTGAAGAGGAAATCATTTAGATTTCGAAACGTTGGAGTAAACTAATTTTAAAAACTATTTGTCCGAATGTAGTAAACTAATTAACCTTTTTATTTGGTACTGTACCTTTGGCTGAAAAAGGTATACGATAAAGTTTTTAATTTACTTGTCTTTATTAAAATATAATTGTTTGAAACGTAAAATATTTATTTTAAAATCATTTCAAATCGACACTTATTTACACGTACTTTTTGTATTGTACTACCTTATTCATATTTTACGTTTAAAACAATTTTATTTTTGCACTGAAAAAATGATATTTTAAATTCTGACATACTCGTGTTTTTAAGATATCTGATTTTAATATATATATATATATATATATATATATATATATATATATGAAATTAATTAATAATATTAATTATCAAAAGTACATGGTGCAGCACTTATATTTCAAGTTATTAAAATATGCGGCATATATGCTCAAACTGTATTGTGCTTTTTTGCAAACAAATAATTGGTATATTATTAGTGATTTGGCAACTTTAACCTTTAAAGTGCTATGCCGGTCTGACAGACCGCTATTAAAATTTTCTTTGCTTGTAACTTTTTTTCAAAGTATAATAAGAACTTGAACTTTTTAGTAGCTTCATATTTTATGAAAATCTGTTAGGAGACAACTTTTTCAAAAATTTTTATTCGTTAAATTTTGTAATATAAATAAATATTTGAAGTATAGCGGTCTGTGAGACCGGGGTTAGCTTTAAGTGAAAGTATATTCCAGTATATTCCCATGAGTGACGTCTGCGCAACTTGACGCGCAGCTAGTTCTACTGACAGTTCTCATAGACTGCATTTATAAAATAAATAAAATAAATAAATGCATAATACAGAAATGACTTTTTTTGTTAAAAAGTAAAAAATATTTATAATAGTTGTCTTTTAAAAATTATAAATGACTAAAAAACTGTCAAAAGGGAATAGCGGTCTGACAGACCGGGGTTAGCACTGAGCGTGATTTTTCAACACTTAGCACTTTAAAGGTTAATGGTTATTTTTTACCTGGATTTTATTTCGCACATTTTTTTTCTAATTTAAATATTCTGGTGCAAAATTGGTAAAAAAAACATACTTTTTTAAACTCTTATTGTAAAAAATGTATTATAGTTATTGCAAAAGTCCCTTTTGGATATTGCTACATATTACAAGAAAATTAAAAAATTTTTTGTGAATATTTTTAGTTTATTTTCGCAGCTGTAAGTGGCATCATCTGAAAGGTACTTTATATTCGGGGAGACTGTTTCCGGGCAACCTGTTTTATATAAATTAAAAATTTTAATGGGATTCTCTTCACAAGTATTTCTTCTAAACGAACCTGAAAAACAATTTTTTGTATACATTTTTCTCAAAAAATCTAAAAACCGCGTTTGACCGACGATTTGGCTAATATTAATTTAATTTTGATTGGCGTGGTGTTAAACGTGGCCTAGGGTGCCAAACCACCCCAGTTTTCCGTTTACGTTACAAAAAGTTAAGGTAAGTGAATATTTATGTTTGTTTGAAAAAATTATTCAGTAAATTGATCAAAAATAAACGCATAAATCGGAATATATCATCTTTAGGGTCTTGTGTGGTGATATTTCTAGTTAATTTTTTTTTATTTATCTCTGTTATTTTCTCGGAAGTAACAAAAGAACTAGTGTCCGGCGAGTTAGCCCTCAAGGCTGGGTAACTTCAGACACCTTATAATTTTTTGTGTTATTTAAAATTATTTTGAATAATTATATATTATTTAAGTATTTTTGTTTTAACAAGAAATTTTTGAAATTAGGTTATTGAAATTATTGTCAATTTTATGTCAATAAATAGTAGATTAAATTTCAAAAAAGAAATAGCTTTTACCTCACCTATATGTTCGTTTAGTAATGAGTTTTTTTTCACAAAGTTCAATAACTTTCAAAAATCTCTTCCAACTAAATTAATTTTTTTCTTAAATTTCTTTGATTATTTTTATTTCTCAACTGTCATAATAATGTTCCTTGAATTTTCTGTTAGACAATAGAAATGCTAAATCCTTATAAAAACTAAGTATTAGGTAGAATGGAAATAGAAAAAAAATTAACAGAAATGTACAAATGTCTGAAGTTAGCCTCCTGTCCGGAGTTACCCTATTTGACGGTATCATTGTTATTTAATGTTTTTATATGAAAATTAATTTGTTTATTTTTCTAACAAAATTCGAATCATGATTTTGTAAAATAAAAAACAAAAAAATTATTATAAAATTATGATTTGAAATTAGTTAGAAAAATCAACAAATGAATTTTCATATAAAAAAATTGAATAACAATAGCTTATATTTAGCCTTTTCAACCTAAAAACAAAGTCTGTCTTTCATTATTTTTCTAATTTGCAAGTCAACAAATACACCTAAAAATCTTTTAAAACATTAATTAATTTTCTATTAATTCTAGTGAAATAGGGCTTGTTGAATGCAGAATACTATTTAATATCTCAATGGGAGAAAAAATGTTTGACATAATATTAATTTCAAACTGTAATCAGTTGACGAAACATTATCAAAAAAAGTCGATTTTTAAACTTTCTTGGCACTATTCTTCCATAAATATTAATTTCAACCCAAAACCTTTAAAAAGAAATACTTTGGAAATCGGTTGTGAAATAAACATATTACGAGGATTTTTGTACAGGAACGCAGAAAAAAATGGTTTTTTGGTCTAAAATGAAAATTTTAGGGTGTTTCGGTAATTTAATGTATACCATTTTTTCATTTTTTTTTAAACCAAAAACGCCTAATAGGTTCTATAAGAAGATTGTTTAATTTTTTTTTGTAACATAGTGTAGTTAAATTGTTAATTGATAATTAAATATTTTTTTGCATACAACTAATAAAAAAATATGGGGACGATTTATCGTTCATGAATAAATTTTTATGAGATAAATTTCGAGCCGGTCTCAAAAAGATTTGATTTTTATTATTACTATGAATAAAAATAATCTTTAAAGTATTTTTTGAGAATATAACCCATGAAAATGAAATGTAGAATCACGTAATCTGGGCGTCACATGATTTTAATAAATACTCGATAAAAGACAAAATTGAATACTGTCAAACTCAAACCCACACACTCACAGTTATCTCAATGAGGAAGGTGGTGGTCGATTTTTATAATTGTAAGATTAAATTTCCCGACAAAACAAATTGAAAGTTTAACACTTCACAAGTAATCGTTACACTTCTTCCAACTTATCCGCAAAATTGAAACTCAACACGTTAAGTACTTTGAGAGAATAACTTGACTGAATATTTACGATATTTACATACGTAGAACCACGTGACTCACCGCAGTCACATGCCCTTTTAGGGAAGTAAACACTTGAAAAAATTAAACAACTTTTCTTCTCACAATAAAAAACTGCCTAAAAGAATTAAAATATATGTAACACTTTTATATTGTTATTTAAAAATCCTGTCAATTGCAACTTATTAATTAATGACAAATAAAATGAAATGTTGATAACCTAAAGTAAACAGAATGTTTAAAAAGAATTAATCTAAATTTGAATATTACTTATTGTTGATTGTCAACACCTATCAGTTCTTTTGTGTCAAGTGCGATAATGCATCGAAGTGGTGTGAGAACGACTGAATTCGACAGAAATCTTTTTCTTCTCAGTTGATTCAATGAATTAGGTCAATTCTTGAAAACATGACTGAAATACAGAACGTGTTTGGCAGCCAACAAAAATTGAATGCTTTGTTTACATCAGAAAGTATACAGTTAACATAGATGCAGAGTAGAAATTGGTTAAAGGTGCTTGCACACCTTACTTTTTGACAAGCGGAGGCGCCTAGGGTACGGCTACACGGCTTTTGAAAAACCATTCTTGACCTTCTCTCTCCTATGACATAGGCATAAGTTTGTCTCACTCTACATTTTCCGTTTCTGGAAAAAGTAAGAAAATGTAGAGTGAGACAAACTTATGCCTCTGTCATAGGAGAGAGAAGGATAATGGTTGTTTTTCCGTTTTTCCAAAAGTCATAAGGTGCAATCCCATTTTAAGCAGACAACGTAAAGCAAAACAAAAATTTCACGAGTGCAAGAGAGACAGTCAGATATCACTATCCTTTCCACTCTCATTAAATTCTGCTTTGCATTACGTTTTCTGCTCTGTCATAGGAGAGAGAAAGACAAGTAGATTTTTAAAAAATATCTTGACTGTGATAATTATTTGTTGTGAAATGACCTTAAGTACAATTTTTGAGTGCTTAATATTTAAGTTTGTTTAAGTCAAAAAAATACTTGGCCTAAATTAATAAAAAATAAGAAGAATATGGGAGATAAAGGTAATGTTTTTGATATGTATTTCTTAAAAGCTTCTGTGTTGTTATTATTATTATTTTCACTACTACTTTTACTATAGTATTATTAGTATCATTAGTATTATATTATTTTTAATATTTTTCTTATTGTTTTATTATTATTATTATATAATTTTTGTTACCTTTGAAAAAATGATAAATGAGTACAATAAAAAGGTGTTTCTGCTTATCGCACTTAAACTTGCACTAGCAAATTAAAAAAATTGATTTCTTATTTCAATATTGCTGAATAATGACAATATTTTTGCAATGTTCTATGATTTTTAAGTGTTTATCTGTAGTACAATTTTTTTAAGTATGTGTTTTATTTAAAGTTTTTCGATACTAATAAGAACTGGATATTTTTGTTGTCAGTTTTGCAAACCACATAACCCTGATTTAAATCGTTAAAAATGAATTCTGATTGGCTAATTAGAGGTTTGAACCTGTACTTGGATTTGTAAAACAAGTACACAACTGATAAACTGTCATTCATATAAGATAAACTGTATTTATTAATAATTTATAAGATACCGGTTAAGAAAAGCAAGATTTGGAAAAATTGCATATTATTTTTAATAAGTGAATTTCAACCCACAGAGCATTGCTTTATGTCATGGATTTAAATAAATGTAAACAACAAAATTTCTAGTAAATTTAAAATAATTAAAATTATCCTAGATTTTTAAAAAGTTTTAAATTATTTTATTTCCTTTGAAACATTATTTCATAATTATTTAAAATACCTGCCATCAAAATATAGGTACTCAACACTTTTTAAAAAAAAATTTTTCTACTAAAAGGCAGCTTATATTCTATTAGATCTATATAGATCAGATTTTGTAAAATTTCTAATCCTATCTGACGACATTAATTTTCCACTTCCAATTCAGTAAGAGATCGATTAAAATATAATACATACATGGGCTATTCCATATGTATGAGATTTATAGAGATTTTTTAAAATTCGCTTAAAAAAATTTTTTTCTCATTCTTATAGAAAAATATGAAATACCCACATTATTTTTATTTTTGTTTAATTATTTTCGATTTATGAATTTTCGAAATTTTGGATTTGTAAATGTAGACCTATAGGGTAAGTGTACTAATTCCTGCGGTATTTTGGTCAAGACGTCTTTTAACTATAAAATATAATTTTTATATTGATCAAATTGAACTTATGTCTTATTAAATTTGTAGTTTGTGTTATTAAGATATGTTTACAATAAATAACATCTCTAAAATATAATTTATTTTAATAAATTTAATGAATTAAAAATAATATTCAATGCGTTTAATTCTGCGCGTTTGAGTCAGTTGCTGCGCATCAGTTGCTGCGCGAATTCAATTCCTGTGGGTCAGTTTCTGCGCATAATTTCGTGTTTACTATGAAATCAAAATGGGACAATGATTTTAATCAATGTTTAATTGAATAGAATATAAATTTATTAAAAATAAATATATATCATATATTAACAAAAGTAACAAATAATTTCTGAATTATCACATTTTTGAAACATTTAGTTAAAACTTAATAACAGAATTCTTCCTTAATTAATAATTTATGTATTTATTAAATTTTCTTTAGTTTTTCCTCCATAATCTTCATTTTTTCTTTCATTTTCATAATTTTTTCTTGCTCTTTTTCAAAATAGATAGTCTATTGTAACCAGTCTTAGTTGATTTTCTGAGGGCGCAGAAATTAAATCAAGCCCAAATTCTGTGTTAATTACTACTCTTAAAAATAAAATATAATAACAGACAAAAATAAAGTAAAGTTTAATTTTTCTTTTAAAACAAGGTTTTCTTTATCTAAAATCATCATAATAATAACCACTTTAAGTCTAAAAACAATAATAAAGCCTTTTTTATGTAGGTATTTTTGCACCGCCAGCAAAGTTAGCAATAAAAATAAATAAAACCTTGAACACGTCAACTTTTAATTAAAATAAAATACATAAATATTATGTTTTGGTATATACTTCCTATATCTATTTTAAAACTTACATCGTTAAGTAATTTTTTAAAAAAATTTCAAAATTATTTGTGCCCTGAACAAATGTATTCACTTAAATTATTAAAATGCCGCAGAAACTGAAGCACCCGCAGCAATTGACGCACTTACCCTATTCAGTAGCTTATAAGTCTGAAAATATTGAGTTTAGAAAAAAGTTGTCAAAGAATGAAAATTTTAGTTTTCTTTCAACTTTTAAGAAATGTAAAAACAAAATTTTTTATTTTTTATTAAAAAAAAATATTTTTTTTTATAAACAAATTATTTTTTTATTTTTTCACAAAAATCATGTGCAAGCCTCACATTTAGTAAATTTACAATTTACTTTTGAAAAGTGAATTGTAAAAAAATAATTAAAAAAATTTTTTTAAAATCGGGTCCAAAGTTAAAAAAAATTAATTTGTTTATTAAAAAAAAAATTTATTCCTAATTAATGCTATAACAAAAATTGACTCATATTTTTTAATTTTGTCAATTTAGTTAATAAATAATAAATTGTGTTTGCGAAGCAAAGTATTAGTAATGAGTTGAAATGACTAAGTGATTAATTGCGTATGGTGAAAAGAGGGGATAAAGGGGGGAAATCAGGTGTGATGGCCCTTACGAGCAATTTTGAGAGTTCTGAGTTAGTCTCTCGCAAGAACGAATGATAACAGCACTTTATATTTGACGACAAATTTATTTTAATTTAATTAATTGTAATTGTGACCCAGGTGTAACAAATTGTCTACATTTACCCCAAGAATTTGAAAACTTGGGGTAAATATAAACAGAACTTCAATAGCCCAGTCGCCCTATGAAAAAAGTTGTCATTTTCTGCCAAAATTGATACTTCACTTTTGACTGTGGATTGATATATATAATTTGGGGTGATAGTATATGAATGTGTTTATGTTTCCCACTCGAGATTTTTTTAGCAGTTCGTTATAAACAATGCCAAAAGGTGTCGAAAAACAGTTTGTTGATGATCGTTCTTTCCCATGAAATTTTGGAGAAAAAAGTTGTTATTGAAAGTTATAAAGCTCGGAAATACCTGTGAAATAACGGGTCTTAAATTAAAATTGGTTCATTTACTTGCAAATGAATTAAAAATGGCTATCTTTTAATTGTTTAATAATTCGTACAAAAGTTAATAAATTCTTTTAATATTCTCCAAAACTATACCTCTAGGAACCCTTAAAAAGTGTGCCAAAACTGGATCCGATCGGATAAAAGATTTACGAAAAATTTCATTTATTAACTAAAAACATGGTTTTTTAAAATGAAATTTCTACATTTTTGGTCGAATGAAAATTAATTTTTTTTGTCTTGTTCTGTTCATGAGCCAAGATATCGTTTTAAAGGTATTTTACTTCTGGTTTAGTAAGGAAACGAAATTTTCTGTTTATTACTTTTGTTTTATTAAATATTGAATATTTAGTTTATATCTCAAGTGTGAATCCCTTAACAGTTTTCGAAATTTTAACCCGCCTTCCCCTTAAAGCGTTACATAATTTCTGCATGGACCCTAATAAAATTAGATTAGTCTTTTGTTTCAACATCCAGTCAGAAATGAAAATTGAATAATCTTTTATTTCAATCAATGGAAATGAACGAAATGTAGAGTAGATTTTTGTTTTAATACCAAATAAGAAATTAAATTCAAATTGACTTTAGTTTCAATAATTTTTCAATAATTATTATCTATTCTAAATCAGAAGTAAAAACACCTTTAAAACGATGAAAGCCTTCTCATAAACAAATAATCAGCATTAATTAAGTATAAGGAAAGAATTAGTAACTTGACCGAAAAATGATTGACCATTTCTTAACCATAAAATGTCAACTTCGTAATTATAAACCTTATAATACTGCTCTAATAAACAAAATATCTGCATGCACAAAAATCTTTAAAATTAAAAGTTACCTAAAGCGTAGTGTCATTTAAGTGAAATAAATTATAAAAAAATATACTCGATGTTAATTTCGAAAAATTAATTATAAAGAAGGCCGGCTTATTACCATCTAAATGATAATGATAATATTACAATCTTTGCATAGCTGTGAAAATAAGAAAATTGTTTAATTATCTACTTTTAATGATTACTTGTTGATTTTTCTTTCTGATGATTTCCCGTAGACATCAATGTAAAGAAAGCGTCCCTGGGAAAAGCGTGCTTACCAGTATGTACGAGACAATTTCCGACCTGAATGTAGAGGATTTATTGACGCATCTGGACTCCATAAGTACCTGGAGCTTTAAACAATGCATGGACTTATAAAATTGTGAACATTTTTAAATATCATCTGAATATTTAATTATGATCATGAAGAAGCATCCTGATCTGTTTAATAGACATGATCATTGTGTAAAACTGATATGAATGATTCTAACACACTTAAAGTGAAATATGGATTCAACTGTCATCCACTCCTAGTAAGTTGGAAAATCAATTTGAAGAACTAACATTGTTACTGTTTAAATGGAAATTAATCCTTTTTTCTTCAGTAATGTTAAAAAGTAATTTTATTTTTAAGGAATGGCTTTGACTAGTCACAAGTAACGATCGTAACGAAGAATCAAGTTTTTTCGTAAAAAAATTTCAGTTGCCAGTTTTAATTTAAATCATTATATTATTATTTATTAAATACAATTGGTAACTAAGAAGCATCTGTTAAACACTGTTTGCAGACTTTGGTTTTTGTAATATTCTTTCTTTTAAATGAAACATATGCACAAACAAATTTATTTCTTAATGTCAATACAATATTCGCAAATTGAAATGTACTTTAAACATTAAAACTACTGGAATTGTTTGTTTTAAGTTGATAACGTCGTAATGTGTTTTAATCCTTGAGAATGTAAAATGTAATTAAGAATGTTTTTCTATAGAATTTTTGAATTGTATTTATATCAATGTTTTTAATACATAATTTCACATTTTTTTCAAATTTATGATGTACTTATTTCTCCTATTCCTGACATTGATGCATTTTTTAAAAACAGTATTAAATAATAATTTCACCTCTTTTTTCAACTTTGTTTTTGCCAATTTGAATATTTTATGGATATCCACGCCGCGAGGAAGAAAAAGATTATCTTAGAACATCTCAGAGATATCCTGAATATGATGAGGGTGTTATGAGGGTCACACCGATGGGTACTACGAATGTACCTAAACTATCATTCTAATACCGATAAAAAAGACTAACTTTTCGATACAGATAAGTAATAGTCTAATGTTTTCTTAAATTCTAAGAATTAACCTAACTGTCAAAGAGCAATTTTTTAGAAAAGTAAATTCAAATTTTGTATCGGTTAATTAAATTAAAAAATACTAATAAAATTAATAAGAAAAAAATGAAACACTTACAATGAGTAACAAAATGTTAGATCCTTATTCATTTTCATCATGCAGTTAGTCTTCTTGCATCGGTAACGAAAAGATAGTTTACTATTCGTTGATATATTCCTTTTCTTAATTTTTTAATCTACTCATGATATAAAAACTTCCTAAACCTTTTAATACCTTTCATACTTTATTCAACATTTTCGATATATATTTTTAAATTATTCGCATGCTTTATCAGTGTTAACCATTTAATTTTTGTAATTTTGTGAAATTTATATTACGAGTCCTTTGCTCATTCAGTTTCCGAAATGACACTATAAAGACTTCAGGTAACTTTTATCTTTAATACCCTACTAAAAATTCTTATATGGAATCATACGTGAGGTCTTATATAAAACCCCTAAAATCAATGTACGAATCCACAATTACTTTTATATAAAAGCACATTTCACATATGATTTCATAAAATACTAACTGTCATACCCACCTTCGACGGGTTTTATTTCCTAAATAGTTAATTTCGAAATTTCGTCTATAAATTAATCAAAACCCTTCCTAAATAGATTCACCCGTTTTTAAGTGATGCCCGGATAGAATTTTGGGGAGTAATATATTACATACTTAGAACGGCAGATGCTTCAATTTGTTTCTTTTATTTAAAAGATGTTGATTTATAGTTAAAAAAAATTAGTTGATGATGTTATGCCTAGCCTAATAATTAATGATGAATACGCAGATCCAAATTAATCAAAACATCTAAACCAATTTAGTTCAAACATAGCTCAAAATACTCAGGACACTTGCCGCTATCGCATGTCATACCTCCAATATTAAAAACAAAGAATTAATAACACAGCAGCATTAACACTACTTTTGTGTTCTGAGTATTTTGAGCTTTGTTTCAGATGAATTGGTTTAGATGTTTTGTTTTCGAGATAAATCACACCCGCAGTGATTGTTTTGGATCTGTAGCAATCACCAAATATATGACTAGGCATAGCAACAACATCAGCTAATTTTCTTTGAAAGCATAAAGTCAACATCTTTTAAATAAAAAAAATTGCTTTATTATCTGTCTAAGATTTTGAGAAATACAGGTATTTAAAAAGTCACTTCCTTTATTCGAGATATTTTATTAACAAACTGTCCCATTAAGGGACTGTCAAATTCGAATCAGCTAAAAGCTTCAATAGAAAAGTCCAATTGACTTTGACACCCCCTTAAAGTGTACCTAATATTCACTTTTCTAGACCATAATATATCTAATAGTTAACGTAATTCTCTCTCATGTGTTTTGTCAGAACATCATGTTCACTTCAGTGGAGGATGCAGTGTTGGAAAAGAGAATAACATAATTCTTCAACCACAACGACATGGACACATCGATGCTCACCTAGGTTTCTTACAGCTTTACCATAGGTAATTATTATTTATTATTTCTATGAAATTTCGAGTAAATTAACCAACATTATAATTTAACATTCTATACAGTAGTTTTTAAAATTTTCTCTGAACGGCGAGGATTACTTTAGTTTGAACCTTCTTCCAAATTAGAAACGTTCAATAAGCACTGAGGTTTAATTATATATTCATGTATTTTCACTTTAAAATTAATAACCTAACATTTTTTTAAAGTTATGGGCAAAAAACGTTCTTTTGCAAACTTAAAAATACAAAAAAATATAGTTAAACTTCATGAATCGTTCTGAAAAAACTCTCATTTTATGTCCACACGTGAGACCTACAATTTAAAAAAAATTGAAGCCTACAGCTCTTTCTGGTTCTGAGATATTGAGACAAATGTAATTTATTAGTTACATCAAAATTCGTTTTATTTTCAGATATCAAATAGAGTTTTCTATCCCATGGAATACTTGCATTCATGGAGAGAAAAATGAGCCTCCAATATTCACTGGCAATCTGAATCCTCATTGTCGAACAATAGATTTAAGTGTAGAAAGAGACAATCTTAGGTACCGATCAATATAATATGAATTTCAAAAATAATTTTTAAAAGTTGCTTAAAGTTCACTGCCACGTAAACATTTAAATATCCTAGTTCAATAAGTGTTTAGCATGGAAAATTTAAATCACATTTTTGCCTAGATTACTCTTTTATAAAAAATTCTTCTTTTTTTCAGGTTAAAAGTAGAGCTTTTCGCTTACAAGGAAAAAATATTGAAAGAAGAAGTGCAAATAACATGTTGCCCAAACGGAGCACCTTTATCAGTATTTCTGAATGCTCGGGTTATTGGGAAAAATAAAGGCTCACCATTATTAAGGAACGGTATTCGAAGCATAGCTGTAGAATGTGACGATGATGAAGACGAAAGTTCAGATTAAAAAATTGTAAATTTAGATTTACATTAAGCATTATTATAAATATGTACAAAAAATCATTCTTAGGGACCAAATAAATCAATTTTTACAAAAATATTGAACAAAATTTAATTTAAAAATCTGTATAGTGATCAAAAAATTACGTATTTATGAGCTTTTTATAAATATTTTATATAATTCTTTCAACTTGATTAAGTTCAAAAACTGAAAGTTTTTGGTTCGACGGCCGAAAACACAATCTTTTTAAATACTTCACAGGGCGACCAAAGTATTTTAATTTAACCAAATTACACGATAATTGTGTGACCTTTACTTTTCTGAAGAGTAAAAAATTAATGTTTTTTAAAAAAAGCTTATCATTACACTTGTAAAATTGTAAATTTTTTAAATTGCTGAAATCATTATGTGGTGATATTAAAAATATTTTCAACATTAGAATAATTGTAAATTATTTTTTAGTAATGATAATGAATAATGTCTTATGAAATAACTAGCTGTCGTACCCGTCTTCGACGGGTTTTAGTTTCTACCAATACATTTAAGTTTCTACCAATCTGGAAAATCAGGAAATAGCTAGGGAATTTAATTTGACCGGAAAAAAATAATAATTAGTTACCATTATAGCTATTTTAGTAGGAAAATATTACTATTTGAATCAGTGATTGACTTTTCGTTATCAAATTAGTTATTTTAACCAATTCAAATGCAGAGAACAATATTTATCAATTTGTAGTACTTTAATTAATGTATTAAAAAAATTAAATTTTCCATACAGTTTTTGGAGTTATAGTAGAGTCTAATTGGAACTAATTGTATCGCAAGTAGACCCTACGTTACGACTGCTAAAACCTAACATAAGACCTAAATTTTAGGCTGAAAGTAGGGCTTAAATTTTGACTCGGGTCTGTTTTCATAAATATTATACATCAATAAAAATTGAAGTAAAAAGCAATTTTTTAAAAGCGAATTAATATAATGAAACTTTTTCTTAATTTGATAGGAAAATTCCCGGTTCGGCATATTCCCAGCTTTTTACAGTTTTTCCCGTTTGGTAGATACCCAGTTAAATGTATTAGTATAAACAGAAAACTGTACGACAGCAAGTAATACAATCTATATTTATATGAACTTAAGAAACAGTATTTTCATAAAATAAGTAAATTTTTATAGCCATTTGTAGATTTATTTATGGATAAAATCAAGTAAATTTAAATTTGACAAAAAAGAGATAAACCGTGAAAAGTTTGGACAAAGCAGGGAATTTTGTTAAACAAAAATAGACACCGTGTTAACTTTTGTCTTTACATTGCTCAAAACATCTCTTAAAGTTAAATCTAGAGTTAAAATGAAAAAACGTTTTAACATGTAAGTTTTTGCCTAGTGGCATAATATGCTTGTATTGTATCACAGGTGACTTACAATTCTTGACATCCTGCGAAATCATTTTAATCATAAAAAATTTCCATTTTCAATATTTCTGAACTTCTTGAAAATATTAGATTGATTTGATAAATAATTTTGAATTGCACTATTTTGACATCAAAATATTAATCAGAGACTCCAAAAATACTACTGAATTATACTTTATACTTCATATAGTAATTAGTATCGATTTTTTGATATATTGAAAATTTTTTTATATTTCTTGTAGGATAGTATTTTTTGCAAAATTATGATAAAATCTGACTAAATAACATATAATATTCATTTTTAGAAAGTTTAAAAGCTATCCATTAAAAATTGTGAAATTTGGAAATTTTCCATTTTTCAAGTTTTTGAAAATATTTTTATATTTACATCTTAGTTGTAGAATAGTATTTTTTGAAAAATTATGCTAACATGTAATACTCAAATATAGAAAGTTTAAAAGCAATCCATAAAAAAATGTGAAATTTTGAAATTTTCGATTTTTTGAAAACATTTTTATACTTACATATTAGTTATAGGACTTTATTTTTTGCAAAGTTATGCTATAATGTGACTAAATAACATATAATACTCAAGTATATAAACTTCAAAAGCAATCCATGAAAAATAAAAAATTTTGAAATTTTCGATTTTTTGAATTTTTTGAAAAAATTGAATATCTCCCGTTCTAATTAATATTTTTTAAATCTGTAAATTTATAAACCTTCCTTGGGTCAATACCTAATAACCTACCAAGTTGGACTTAAATCGATTCACATGTTTTTGTGTGATTGGGGTACAAAGTTTTTGTGACAGACAAACATACATACATACATACATACATACATACATACATACATACATACATACATACATACATACATTAAATTTTTTAAGAACATTTTTGGAATCTCTGATGTCCATAATAACTAATCATGTTAACATTTTGAAGTTTTAAGCAATGTACAGACAGACATCTGATTTTATTAATAAGGATTGGCAAGTTTTTTAATCTTCGAAAAGATGACTGAAACTTTTATGTTTTATGATATTTTTGAACATAATTTTTTTCATGTTGCTATTATAAAGTCAAAAATGAGTGTACACACTTTGGAGTCATATTAAAAACTTTTTGCGGTGCTATATACTTTTTAAAACAGATATTTGAACATTTTGCCTTTGGTTTCATAAAAAACAGAAAGGTGTTACATGAGTAGACACTCATGAGGTCGGTCCATTTATGGACACATTACCCTAATTAATTTTGGTTAGAAATGAATTACAATATGGTGTAAAAAACTATAAAATATATTAAATTCACATACACTACAATAATTTAAATTTTACACTATAATTAAAAATTAATATTATAAATATTAACTTTCTTCATGTGGTTATACTTTAAACTAGCTTCAAAACGATTACACAGAGACTATTGGATGTGGAGTCCAAAATAATAATTACATCAATACTTATTTTTATCAAATCGAGTTGTAAATAACACTGTCGGACAAAAATGAATCTTTTTCTGCCCTTAAATAATTCTGATCACTTTCGATAGATTTTGTTTCGTAGATTACGAATTTGCGAATAAAAATAAATGCCCTGTCATGTCAATTTTTTGAAAAAATTAGTGTTAAAAAGTGAAAAAAGCATATTTTTTAAGATTCGTAATCAGCGTGATAAAATCTTTCGAAAGTAACAAGAATTATTCAAGGGGCAAAATCATTGTCGAACAGTGTGCTTTCGGAAACCATTTTTCATTTTGTCTGTTTTAACGAATGATTAAAAAAGAAATAAAGAATCAAGATGGCTTACGAAATCAGGTAATTTCCACGTGATTTCAGATTTCAATCGGAATTACTTCGGTCAATAGAGGAATATAAGTAATAATTACGCATATTTATCTATTGTCCGCCGGTTAATTAACTGCCTATCCCTATTAAAAATTATCACATGATTTACTACATACAAAATCATATGTGACAGGGAAAGTTAAAAGACACCTACGGGTCGAAAAAATCAATTTTCACGAATCCGAACAAATTAAAAAGGTTTGTCCGCCATATTGGATCCGCCAATTTGAATTTTGAAAAACAAACATCGGGTTCGTAATCAGCGACCTCGAAAACCCCCGCGTGACAAGTTTTAATCCATTAAAACTTTCAGAAGCATCAAAATCAACTTCAAGGAGGAAAATGAAAATTCACATTTCGGACTGAGTATATAAAACAATTTGAATGATTTATATCATCGTAGGAAGAAATATTAAATTTTAGTTCTGTATCCCAAAAAGTTTAGTAACGATTTTCAATTAAGATTACACTTGAATCTTGATATAACGAGAAGTATGGTAAACTATGTGGTAATTTTTAGTAGGGTAGGCGTTTATAATATTATAATAATATTAAAATATTTTACCATTTCATTATATACATAATCACCAAACATTTTTACGATGGACTTAATTGGACTGCAGTTCATGTCTGAATAAATTAATGTGCCTGTAATGTGGACACTCTCGCTTTGCCTTCTGCGCCACCCGTAATACAAATTCCTGATTGGTTATTGTTCGACCAATTGCAACATAATGTTCCTTTATGTCCTCCTAATTGCAAAACCTTTCCCGGATTTGATGGTGGTACCTACAGGCAATTCCAATTATTTTACTACTTATACACAATGAAAGATTATCATAATTTTTAACATATCTCTAGAATTTTCATAGTTTATACTATCGCTCATTATAATGTTTCAAGTAATAAAGATTGGATCCGCCATTTTGAAATTTGACGTATTAGAGAGAATCTGACGACAAATTCGAATTCTTATACTTGCCTTGCAAATGATTCCGCCACTTTGCGTACAAAGTAACATATTACTGCCACTTTGATCAAAGCAGAATATTTTTCCTCGAACAAGATTCTTTTCAATTTTGGCTTTAGACTCCCAGAGCACTTTACTGGTTTGATTTAAGCTTCTTTGACACAGTTTACCATCCTCGCTTAATGTACAAATGTTTGTAAAATCATTCACTAGTTCTATATCAATAACAGGATTAGAATAACAATTAAAATTATCAATAACTTCGTTTCGTCTGAGGTCGTGAATCAACACGTTGCCATTAGAAAGACCCGTGATTAGTAACTGTCCATTGTGATTAAAGGTCGAACAGAGGGCATTTAAATTCTTCTCCATTGGAAGACTTCGTTCAACTTTTTTTGTTTTAATATCGTACAAAAGCAGTCTTCCTTCATTGGAATCTGACAATGAGACAATAAAATTGGACTCTGCAGGATTGCAAATTAATTTAAGAACACGCGATCCTTCATGTTGAATTTTCCAAATTGTCTTGATGTCACGTGTATCGTGTAATTGAATTAGGCCATGATTGTCTCCGTGTATGAAGTAACGTTCATTTTTTGAAATCCAATCTAAGGATGTAACTGCTTTATTGAAATTTACAGCCGATGCAGAGAATGTGGCTATTGTTCTGTAAAGGTGCGATGAATTTTTAAATTAAATATTTTCCATTTCATCTACGAAGCGGCAGTATTCTTTAAACTGTATCCGCAAGAAAACTTGGCAGAAATCTTACAAATGCTTTCAAAATTTTTAATTTAAAAACCCAGAAATTAACCAGAATTAAGCGAAAAGTGAATCGACAGATTTGAAAAATACTGACATAGCTTCAAGAGTAGAGGGAATAATTCGATAAAAATACTCACAAATTTATATTTAGTTTCATTCATTGGTATATCAACTTACTTTGGTGTAGGAGTCGGTACCCAGACCTTGATAACTCCATCAGCATCTCCTGTTGCTACACAGGACCCATTGGTATTACATTTGCATTGAAGAATTGAAGTTTTATGTTCTAAGTATTCTTCCTATAAAATTTTTAATAGAAAACTATATTGTTTAGTGTTCTTGAAGACATACATACTTAAAAGTGCACGATAAATAAAAAAAATTACTTGTGTCAAAAGAGAATAATTGATGTCTATTTTTTCTTTAATTTTCTTCTCAGCGTCCACAGATGAATCTCTCTTTCTAGTAAGCCTTGAATCACAACTTATACTTCTTTTACTAATTACTTCTGATTTACTCAAAGATGTCAATCTTCCTTTCATATTTGTTCGCTTAGTAATAGCGATTTCAGAATCACCCAGCTTCTTCACATTTGGTTGAGACTTTCTGTTTAAAATTGGACTAGATCCTCCACCTATGTTTCTAATTAAACTCTTCAACGATTTAGGATTGTCGAGCAAAGGGGATTCTCTGAAAATTTGTTAATTCTTAATACCGTTTTAATAGGGTTTCTACCGGGTATGGAAATAATTGTAATACGAACTGGGCAATAATATAAAAGTCATCCATAATTGGAAGTTGTTGAGGAGTCGAACCAGAATTTACGTCTACCAAACTTTCCCCTTTCGTCAGTTCACTTAATATTTGTCTCAAAGCATCATTTTCTTCTTGTAATCTTTTAAATTTATTCGTATCTTCATCGATTGTAAGTAATGTTGGTAAATGCATGTACTGAAAAATATAAAATGTACAATTTTTCATTATTCTTCTTTTATAGACAAATCCATATTAATTTTATAACGTCATAAAATCGAGAATTCCGGAAGGACCCTTGGATGTTTTATCAATAAAAATTTCCACTTCTTCTATTTCAGTGAAACGAGTTAAATCTTCAAACAAAAAAGCTTCATCTCGTGATTACCGCAAATACAACGGTATATGGGTGTGAAAAACTTATTGCACCCATATCAGATCACCAAAAAAGTGTTAAAAGTTTAATTTAAGCTGACGAATTGTTTCAAGTTTTATACTCAACCCATCAAGCAGTTGGGCATGGCGGTAGGGACAAAATGTTGAAGGAATTAAATTTAAAGTATAAAAATATCACTCAAGCACAAATAAAACTATTTTTAGAATTGTGTGAAAACATAAAAGTGAAAAAAAACGAATTGTCGTCAAACCGATCATTTCGTCTGATTTTAACAGCAGGTGCCAAGTTGACTTAATTGATTACCAATCTCAAGCAGACGGACAATATAAATTTTTGCTTGCGCTACGTTTTATTTTTTTACTCCGAATTCCTTTGAGATCCCAAGATGAAACTTACAGGACATGTAAAGCACATTTGTCCTAACATTTAGTAAAATTTAAAAAAAAAATCGAAGATGATGTTTTTTCAAAAACAGATTTTTAATTTTTCAAAATTTCAAAAAAAAAAAAATTTTAGAATTTTTTTTTTATATTAATTTTAACTTAAAATATACTTAAAACCAAAGAAATCCTTTTTTCAAAATCCAAAATCGGTTAATTAGAATCAAAGTTATAGCACTTTAAAAAAAAGACACAAATTTTGAAAATGCCATATTTTTGGTAATTTTCAAAATTTTGAAAAAATATTTGGTGGAGTTGTTTATCACTGTAAAAGTAATAAATTTACAAAAGTACAGCCAAATCCCAACATGTCATGTCATGAAAATTAGTGTGTTGAACTGACGTGGAATCCACCTATTAATGAACTAAGAATATTTTGCAACAGAAAACTTGTTCATTATCTCTCGTTTGGTTTTCTTATAATAAAACAATACGTAAAAAAATAAGGTAAAAAATGTAAGAACTTACTATTTTTTGACAACTATTTTTGTTCATAAACTAGGTTACCAATTGTTAACGCTTTTTAACCCCCCCCCCCCCCTCGTTACCATTGCGTTAAATGCAATTTTATATATTTGTGGACTAAATTGGCAACGTAGATTATGGATCTTTTATAAATAATTGTGTGAAATATAATAAAAGACATTAATTTAAAGGCAGTTTACAAAGGAAGTGAAAAGTAAAAATTTTAACTAAAGATTTAGTAATTTAAAAATGATGAAATATGTTATCACTTACTTGAAAAATTGTAGCGATAAAATTATGTAACGAAACTAGCATAGTTTCTTGCCAGTGACGACTGAAGTAAACGGAATAAATTGGATTATCTTCTGGATTTTTTACAAACGGCAACGCTATAAGATAATTATAAATCAATTAGTAACTTGAGAAATGTAAATGACTTAAAAAAGGACTACGCATAACATACATTGAAAAAGAACTTTTGGTCAAATTAATTAAAACTTTCAGAAGACTCAGAGTGAAGTTCCAAGTAAGCAGAAAGCGTAAAATTGAAAGCAGAATTTTATGAGTGCAAGAGAGATAGTTAGATAGCACTATCTTTTTTACGCTCATGAAATTTTGCTTTCGGTTTCAAGCTTTCTGTTTACTTTTAGTGGGTAAACGAACTCGTCAATTGACATTTTTCAGGGCTCGAAGCAGTGAAAGTATTTAAAAATACGGACTTTACGGACCAAAAATTAAAAATTACGGACCATTTACGGACCAACTGACAAAAATAGAATCAGTCCGAATCAAATAAGAGAACATTTTACTTAAAACTAAAAATTCCATTTTTCATAACTATAAAACATGAAGAAATTGATAACTCCGAGTCTTCGACACGAAGTCATCGATTTCTTTATGTTTCATAATAATAGATTAATAAAATTATTAATAAAAATAATTTTTAATGATTCAATTCATTATCAATTCAATTATTATTTTTAAAAATTTTCGAAAAAGTTTTTTGACAATTTCCAAATTCATTTCTTTACAATATTCAATTTTACGAAATTTTAATTATTCGTAAATTCTTTAATTAAATAAATATTAGAAAATAGAAACTGAAAATAATATTAAAAAAACTCAATTAAACTTTTTCAAAAAAATTAATTACAAAATTCAATTATTTTTTTAAATTCACGCTATATTGCTTTTAATATTCAATTATTATCTAAAATTTTAACTGAAATTCATTTTTATTAAATGAAAATCAATTTTTATTAGAAAATTTTACTAGAATTTAATTATTTAAATACAAATTTAAATGTAAAAATGCAAATAAATAATTTATTGAATAATTGAACGTTTCTTAAAATTCAATTCCCATAAAAAATCGTTATCAACAAATTTTCAAATAATTGAATTCTATCAACGAATTTTAATAAAATTTTTAAGGATTATTACATTTTTCGACAAAATTCGATTAAAATTGTATTAAAAATAATTGAATTTCTGCATTGAATTTTATTGTTTATGAAAATAATTGAATTCTTGCGAAGAAAATTTTATTAAAATTTTCAGAAATAATTAAATTCTTGTAAAAAATTAACAGGAATTCAATTATTTTTAAAATTTTAATAAAATTCTTGGCATAAATTAAAAATAACAAAATTCTTAGCAGATCTTCAATTACTTTTAGAAATTTTAATAAAAATTTTTCGCAAGAATTTCAATATTTTCGTAAAATAATAAAAATTTTTGCAGAAATTCAAATATTTTAGAAAATTTTAATAAAAATTTTTCCCAAGAATTCAATTATTTTCAAAAATATCAAAATTTTAGCAGAAATTCAAACATTTTAAAAAGTTTTGATAAAATTTTTTTTTGGTAGAAATTTAATTATCTTTAATACAATTTTAAGAAATGTCTTGATAAAATTCAATTATTTTTTAAAATTTGAATGAAATTCTTCAAAAGAATTCAATTATTATAAAAATCTAAGACTTTAACTGAAATCTATTTTTAAATCAATGTTTATGAGAAAATTCTACCAGTATTCAATTATTTAAATACAAATAAAATGCAAATAAATAATTTATTGAATAATTGAATGTTTCTTGGAATTCAATTCCTATTAAAAATTTTATCAACAAATTTTTAAATAATTAAATTCTTTGGACGAATTTTAATAAAATTTTTAAGAATTTTTTCGAGGAATTCGATTAAAATTCTAATGAAAATAATTGAATTCTCCTAAAAAGAATTTTATTACTTTTGAAAGTAATTGAAATTTTGCAATGGATTTTATTAAAATTTTTGAAAATAATTGAATATTATTCCTTAAAAAAATAATTGAATTCGTGTGATAAATATTGTTAATTATGAAAATGATTGAAATTTTTTAATGAATTTTATTAAAATTTTTGAAAATAATTGAATTTTATCGAAGAATTTTGCTATTTATTTATAAAGATAATTGAGATTTTGACCATTTTTTTAGATTTTTTGAAAATAATTGAATTTCAGAGAAGAATTTTAATATTTCTAAAGATAATTGAAATTTTGACGAGAATTGTTAGAAATTTTTGAACATAATTGAATTTTTGCGAAGAATTTTATTACATTTAAAAATAATTGGCTTTCTGCAATCATTTGTAATTTCTTTAAATGAAATTACGGACTTTATGGACCTTTTTTCAATAAAACGGACTATTACGGACTTGGAGCAAAGTTACGGACTTTTTCAGGATTTACGGACCTACTTCGAGCTCTGCATTTTGTTATAAAAATCAATTTTTTTTCAGAATTACATTTTAACAATAATTCAATAAAGTAACGTCACATTCAGATGAAGGGAAAAAAATTTAATATTTTTTTAAAGATTAAGTTGAAAGAAAAAAATTGAAATACTAAAGTGTCCATCTTTGAGAAAAAAAAATTTTTAAATTTTAATTTCAACTTTTTAGATATTTCCATTGTAGATGTGTAGAAATTTCCAACAAATTTCATGTACCATATTATTTTCTATCTTCTGATATTGAGGGAGAAAACGCGTTCGAAAAGTGCACTGTTTTTCAAAACATTAAATTTCAATAATTCATAACTTCTGTAATTTTCATGAAATCTCAAAATAAAAAAATACGTATTCATTTTTTTCGATGCAGAATATAAAAAAATATTTATAAAATGTCATTGCACATTCTGAGCAAGTAATAAATTGGTTTAATTGGCCACATACCAAACCATTCCTTCCATTCCATTTGTCCTTGTAATTCAGATGCCATTTTGACAAAAAACTCTTGAATGCGATCTTGCTTGTTGTTGACTGCAGCGTTAATAAGGTACATTTTTAGTACTGAATTTTCCAACTTTTTTATTCCCGGTATAAAATGATTTTCCAATCTTATAAACATTCTTCTGTCTAAATGCCCCCATAGTTCGCGCAGAGACAAAAGCTCATAATTGTAAATATGCTGCATTAGTTGGTCAACAATTTTGTCAACCTAAAAAAAGACGTTAAATAAACTCCAGTGTAAAGTATTCATTTATTAACTTAAGTTACCATTTTATTAATTTATCGTTATTTTTCATGAAAAATTCAATGTCATAATAAAAAGATTTTGCAAAATTTTTACAAAAAAAGACAGCAAAAACAACATAAAAAATTGTATAAAAAAATACTAGTAATTAATGAATAGTTTTTAAAATAAGCTATAAATGTTTTTTTGTTCGCTTTGGATGTAAAAGAATCAAGAAGAATTTATTTTATATTACTGACTCACCCGAAAACCTTTTTCCTTTTCCATTTTTAATTCATTATCAAATGATTTTAATGTTTGAGTGAACCCCCTAAAGAGGAGATATTCTTTAATCAATTCATCGACATATTGCACGTGCGACATTATTTATCTACAACTTAAATTATAGAAAAAACATGAAATTCAGATATTTTCTGAATTGAATACTCCAAGTATTGTAAACAGTTTATTTTTGTCAGATATTATTTTTGGTTTGGTTAGGTCGGGCCTAACCTTCCTTCAATTCCTTAAAGGTTAACGCACAATTGATTCTCGAAAACAGTTGTGCGTTGGAAAGCAGTATGTAAGCACCTTTAGATTCAAAACAAATGCTTTTGACAAGTATTGTAGAAATAGCCTAATGCAGCCTAATGATAAAAAAGGACAGAGTGTTTCTGACATTTTCTATCCCAGTTGCTGCATTCGATCCTGCATCGACTCTTCTATATCAAACTAATTCATGGACATTTTTAGTAAACTTGTAAAGGATTTTCGGAGCGTCTTCTTTTTAAGACTGTAATGACAAAAATACAATTCAACTGCAGACATAATGCAAAACATTAAAAGAATCAGTGAAATAGGTTGATTATACATTCGCTTAAAGCTTACGAAAGAAACTGAAAATTTTTCAGTACCTTTTTTCTCCAAGTATACTTTCAAACAATGTCAGACTGCTATAAAATGGGCCTCGGTGGCTCCAAAACTGCGGATCCCGAAGGTCCCGTTGAAACTGAAAATGTGCCTGCGAACGAAACTGTCACTGCGATAGAGTCCGAAAATGTTGATCAATTAAGCAGCACCAACATTGAAGGAACTTCGGAAAGTGAGGAATTAAATACAGCGGACATTATTACTGAAACGTCGGAATCGCAGGGTGTATCTGCTAGCGATTCCACTCTCGAAAGTGAAATTGACGCTCTTTCTAAAATAATAACAGACGCAAAAGAGGAGGTAAACAAGAGTACGGCAGATTTTAATGAAGATGAAAAGTGTGCTAACGAAATGGACATTGAGGACAATTTTAACGATGCTTGTATCGACACAATTGTGGAAACAAAATCGGACAGTGAGCAAGGTATTACTGAACCTGAGAAGAAGGAAAAAAGTGAAGAATTTCAAGAAGAGGAATCTCGAGAGGAGAATAGTAAAAATACCCTAATTAGTAAGTAAACTTTGTATAGCATTTCACATGAGAAAACTCATCAATTATTTATTTACAGACAAATTTTTAAAAATTTATTGTAACATTTTGTAGGAATAATTTCAATTTTATGAGAATCAAGAAACGAAAACATTTTCTTATCAAATTTTTACATTCATTGTAAACAGAACTGCAATGATTTAAATCTTGCTATCTAAATGATGATTTAAATAAAATATAATAATTATTAGACTACCGGTCAAAATTGAGAGATTACCCATTTTCAGATCAGGCGAATGAAAAACATTTTAAAACATAAACTGTATGGAAACTAAAATTTTTTTCTTTTTATTTTTTGAATGATAAAATTTTGAAAAGAACAAGATATTTTAGAAGTAGTTTGGTCAATAATAATTTATTTAAATATTTTTAAAAAATCGTCATTTTCAATGTTTTACAAAAATTTGAATAACTTCAAAAAAAAATGAACGCTTTTTAATGATGTTAGACTTATTTTAAAGGTCATTTTCTACAGTATGAAAATTACTCATAGACATTAACGTGTAATTTTTTTCTTAGAAAATGCAGGTCGTCAAAGTTAGACAAAAAATTGAAGAAATTTGAAATTACATTCTCATCACATGAGAAGGTATTAGTTTTTTTTGTACTAATAACTATTCTAGAAAATATATAAAACATGATATGGTGTAGATTTTTCAAGAGAATTTAATAAAAAAATATGTTTGAATTTTAAAAATTATTTTTCTGTTAATAAGATTGTTTCAAATTTTTTGAATTTTTGGTCCAAGTTTGAAGACTTGTATTTTCTAAGAAAAAAATTACACTTTTATGCCTGTAACTAATTCTCATTCTGTAGAAAATAAGCTTAAGATCATTGTAAAACATTAAAAATGATTTTTTAAAAATATCTAAATAAATACTGACCAAATGACTTCTGTAAGGTCTTATGCTATCCAAAATTATATCATCTTTTAAAACATTAAAACATATACCGAAAAAAATTTTAATTTTCATAAATTTTATGTTTCAAAACTTTACTCATTCCACGAATATAAAAACTTTTATAAATGTCAATTTAGTTTTTTATATATATTTTATATATTTTTATGTTTTTTTTATTTAGACTCTTTTGTATAATATTTGATAAACAGGCATTGGCCGTTCATATAAATAAATATAGCTTATTGGACATGATTTAAATTGTAAATTTGAATTTACTTTTTTTATAATAAAAGTTCTCAACACATTCAAAGCAATGCAGAATATTAAATAATTTAAAAATTTGCTAATCAGGGAAAATGAAAAATTAGTCAGGGAATTCTGAAAATAAAATTTTGCAGCCATCCTATTATTATTAATTTTATAATTTTTAAGATTAAAAAAACCAACTATACTTAAAAATAAATATTAAAAAAATGATTTAAATAAAAAAAATCATGATTTTTATCAGCCCTGATTGTAAAATATGAAATTGGAGTTCAAAAGTGATAAAAATCTTATTTGTTTTAAAAATGACTAAATTTATTGATATAAATTCATGCGAGCAATTAAAGATATAAAATTTTGGACGAAATATAATTCCAAAAATCATTCATCCAAATGAATTTAATTAAATTTTAGTCGATCCAAATCTTAAACTACTAAAGCTTTAAGAGTTGATAATAAACTACAATTGATTGAAATTACAATACATTAATCAATTTACAAATTATAAGGGGAAAGGAGCAGTTGCAAAATCCCAATGAAATATGCCTATTTATAGATACAATTTTTTCAGCTCCAAATCATTATTTTTCATCAAACTTTTTTTCTGATGATTTTATATACAATGGACAAAAATCTGATCGTTCGAGAAAGCCAAATTTTTACTTTTGAATTTTCTGTGCAATTTTTTTCAAACCGAACGATCAGATTACAGTCCATTAATGTACAAGTATTTTAAAAAAAGAGAACCATATCCGTTAAGTACCTAGTTTTTGAGAAAATTGTACCTAAGTGTGGAAAAATGAAAAAATTTTGCTTTATTATATCTTTTTTGTAAACATTTCAGAGTTAATTTGAAAAAGAAAGATAAAGAATTGAAGGTTTTTGGTTTTTTAAAATCGGTACGGTAGTTTTCGAGAAAAGTGTCTCCCCATTTTCAAATGTATAATCTTTCTTAAATGGCTATAACATTCCTATATAGGGTCAATTGGGGTAAATGTAAACGGAATATCTATTTTTCACCAAGAACATTAGTTTTTTTTGTTAAAAGGTAAAACGGACGGATTTTTTTTGTATGAACTTGTTACTAGAGTTCCCTAGAAAAATTTGATGAGGTACAAAAAAATATTGATGCACCTGAATCGCCTAAAACTGACTGTTTACATTTACCCCGAGATTTTGAAATTTTCCTAAAATTCGGGGTAAATGTAAACACCACTGTAGTTAAGCGAGGTTTAAGAAACAAGTTATTTCAAGTATACTACTGTTTTAAGGGATGGAAAAACTGATAAAAATTCGATCAAATTTGCTTGAATCTGGCTACTAGGGGGTTTTTGAGGTCGCTGAATACGAATTTGAAGTCAAATTTTAAATTTTCAAAATGGCGAACGAACCTAAAAATATTTTTAAAAATTGATCAAATTTTCAAAAAAAAATTTTTTTTTTTATCAAATTTTTTTTTTCAAAGAGGACCTAATTTCCTTTTCTATGTAAAACATTGCCAAATTAATGAAATTGTGAAATAGAAGCAAATTTATTCAATTATTTTCTTTTAAAATGTAGTTCAAGTTCTGTTTACATTTACCCCGAGTTTTCGAATTCTTGGGGTAAATGTAAACACTTAATTATTTATTAACTAAATTGACGAAAATCAGAAATCAAAGTCAATTTTTGTCAGGGCATTAATAAGGAAGAATTACATATTTTTGTTTGATTTTTAAATTAATTTTTATGCAAATGCGAGACAAAATACTGAAACAGTAAAATTTTGATTTTCAATCTTTTTTGCATTAAAAAATAACTTACACTATGGCATTGCCAATTGTCAAAATAAAATATTGGCAATTTTACTCAGAACATCTTGTAGGTGAGCTGAGGTAAAAATATTGACGTCGTACTTATTTTTTAATTTGTAAATTTAGCTGAAACATCTACTGTTTACATTTACCCCTTGTTTACATTTACCCCAAATGACCCTAATAAAAAAATTTATAAAAAAGATATATCGAAAACACTTTAATGATAGAATCAATTATTTTTACATTTTGTATTTTTTGAAATCTTATCTTAATACTTTAAAATAATTATTTTACAATAAAAAGTTAAGTATAATTGGCATATATAAAGTTTTAATTTTACCAATGATTCGAAAACAGTTTGAAAATTATATTCATGTCGTGGACTTTTTTTTTGCTTTTTTGAGAAGAAATTTGTTTATTATGTTGAGAAAGCTAAATGGTCATGAAATGAGCAACTTGGTAGTTGCTATTGTTTATGAGATGTAAATAATTAAAAATTTTCTTAATATTAAAATTATTTTCTATGAAAGACTCCAAAACAAAGAAATTTAAATATTAATACATTGTTAATATAAGTTTTAACACATTTTAATTTGTTGTTTAGTATATTTTGTGTCCCTATTTTGCCTCTTTTTTAAAAAAAACTCCCCTTTTCACCGTTTTTGAAGATAAAAGGTACTGCGATGCCTAACATGGGCAAATTTGAAAAAAATAAAAATTTGTTTGGTAATTTTTTAACCTCTGTCATATTTTCTAAAATTTGCAAAAAAATTTAAACTTATATCATCATTTTAGTCTCATCTTTAATTTAAGGCCCAAAAAGTTTTAAAAAAATCTTATTCGGTTCACGAGATATCATTTTAAACGTCCGAGAATGTTTTTTGATAAATGCATTGAGTTAGTCAGTTTTATATGGTTTTCGACTAAAAATGCTTGGACTACTTCGCTGTGACAATCAACATCAGTGAAAATTTGAGTCAGTTCCCTTTTTCTCACAGCGAACTTGTAAGCTGTATCCTTATTTCAACTTTAACCAAGTTTTTATACGGGTTAGGTCATTTTAAAATTTGAGCCACTGTGCCAATTTTGGCTTGAGATTTAATTATTATTTAATTGTTTGTTTTATTCCATTTATTTCAGATATTCCAGATGAGAGTTCAGAGACAGTGAATATTCAAAGTAGCACTCCCATTTCTGAAGAATCAACAAACGAAAATATTCAGGATGTACAGAATGATTCTCCAAACCCCTTTGTTAGTGCAACTGATGAATCTGACAACAAGAATAATTCAAACGTATCCACTGTTAGTAATTTAAATAATAGTTTACTAATGATTGGCGAAGCATATATTTCAGAAGACTCCCAAGGTTCAGATTACGAAAATCCTATCCAAAGCGAAACGACTAAAACAGTAGATAGTAAAACGGAATTAATTCAGAATGTGGCTTCTGATGACAAAGAGGAGGATATTTTGGATAAATGTACTGCAGAAACTGTTGATGAAAATGTGGATTCGACAGAAATAATTACAGCCGATGAAATTAGGAATGTTGACGAACCTGAGGTAAGCGAATGCCCAACCACACCGAAAGATGCAGCGGATCCCGAGGCACCCATCGAAAGTAATTCTACAAATGAAGCTGACGCTACAGAAAATGTGTCAAGTCCAACTGTGACTGATGTTCAATCTGTTGAATTAATTGAATCAATTGAATCAATTGAACCCTTACCGGATATTTCGACAAAGTTAAATTTGTCTGACAGTGAACAGAATGAAGAACTTTCTTCTACTTCTCCAAAAGAAGAATCAAACGTGTCCCTAAAAGAAATCAAAGATTCAAATTTAAAATTCTCTGACAGTGAACAGAATGAAGAACTTTCTTCTACTTCTCCAAAAGAAGAATCAAACGTGTCCCTAAAAGAAATCAAAGATTCAAATTCAAATTTGTCTGACAGTGAACAGAATGAAGAACTTTCTTCTACTTCTCCAAAAGAAGAATCAAACGTGTCCCTAGAAGAAATCAAAGATTCAAATAAAATTTGCTCTGAAGAAGATGATATTACATTACAATTGGCTGCGGACGGAAATTCACAAGACTTGATTACAGAAACTAATCAAGTACTACCTGGAGATGAGGCAGAAGAAATTCAAAGCACAGATGAAGTGCCCACTACTAACGACTGTAGTGATTCAACATTTGATGACAAATTACAAGAGTCTTCAGATAATTTACAAGAGTTAAATAATGCAGCTGCAGATGTTTGCAATGTAGAAACTGTGGACGATGAAAATTTGAATTCAAAACAGGACTTTGGTGCAAAAAGTGACGAAGAAGAAAAAACGGACATTGTTCTCAAATTCATAGATGAAGAAAAGCCAAATGATCTAGAAGATGAGAATCCATCTGATGTAAATAGTGAAGAAATTCAACATTCTGAAGAGAAGGTCGAATCATTAGACATTACTGAAAATATGGACATTTCTGTTAAAACATTATTAACTGACGAAATGGAAAAAAATGAAAATTCTGTAGATATTTTGAATACGGAGATTAGTACAGAAAATGTTATTAGCGATAATCAAAATGAAGATAATGAAGAAACAATTTTTACATCTCTTGGCGATGTATTGCAATTAGAAGAAGCTGATGACTCAGAGAGTAAAGAGGAAAAATGCGACGCTCCTTGTGAAAATGATATTCAAGAAACTGAAGAAATACCTCAAGTGGAAGAAGTTTCAAGTTCAGATTTGCCAAAATCTGATGACAAATTGGAAGAAAATGAAACTGCAGTCATACAAAGTCCTGAAATTGAAACTCAATTAGAAAATCAACCCCCTGAAGAAGAAACAATAGAAATTTTCGAAGATACTCAGAATGATTTCAAGTTTGAAGAAAATGCTTCGCCTGAAAATAAATCTAAAGATATTGACAGTGCCTGTGATCCCGAATCTATTTTTGCAAACACTGATGTTTCTGAATTAGAATCTGCAGTTAAATTTCTACAAGAATCTGAAGAACAAATTACAGACTCATCCCTTGAACTTGCACCAAAAATGAAAGTAAATGTTGATAAAAAATTATCAGAACAGGAAAACTTTTTTATTTCTGAAAAAATGACTAATGAATCTAATTTAGAAATAGTTTCAAGTATTGAGTCTATTATAGAAAGTTCTATTGCGATTTCAGAAGCTGAAATCATTTCTGAAGCGGCGAAATTGGAAAGTGAACGAAAAGCTACTCAGAGTTCGATTGCAATTTCAGAACCTGCGAAATTGGAAAATGAACATAAAGCTACTCAGAGTTCGATTGCAACTGCACAAGCTGCGAAATTGGAAAGTGAACGAAAAGCTACTCAAAGTTCGATTGCAATTTCAGAAGCTGAAATTATTTCTGAAGCTGCAAAGTTAGAAAGTGAGCGCAAAGTAAAATTGTCGGAGGAAAATCCTAAAACAGAGGTAAATTCCACTGAATCTTCTTCAACCGAGTCAGAAAGTCAAAACATAAATGAAGAATCTGCATTGAGGACTTCGGAAGTGCCATTTTCTTTCAAAACATCAGTTTTGGAGGAGCGACTGAAAGAACCGCCGAAAATAGTAATTCCCAATCAGGATGTGGTGAAAACATGCGACTCGTCTCCAGCGTCGAAATCAAGTCTATTGATTCAAAAAGATGCGAAGCAAACCTATTCGAAAGTTGAATGTTCTATCAAAGCACCCGAGAAAGTGGAGAATTCGAGGAAAGACGAAAAAACCGATTCGGAGAATGTTGGATCACCTAGAATAATTTTGAAGATTGCAAAGTCTGCAATAACAGATTGCGGCGAACCGAAATCGCCAAAGAGTCCCAAGGTGCGATCTGCGGCAAATTCTCCAAATCCAGACGACAGCCCGGGTCAAAAGTTAGGTAAAATAAAGTTAAAGTTATCTAAAAGTGGACATCTCTCTATTGTGTCTAATGAAAATGTGGAGGAAGTCTCTCATCGCTTTACGGAAAGCGAGAATAGACCAACTCTGTCTCCTCTTGGCATGAAGATTAAACTGTCAAAATCTGGCGAGGCTTCAGTGATTCAGGCAGAAAAGGTCGAGGACGATGAAAAAGTTGAACAGAAACCTGAGGAAGGTAAGAAGCCCGAATGTGCACTTGGTATGAAGATTAAGTTAACCAAGTTTGGTGATGCATCAATAGTATCGCAAGATTTAAAAGAAAGTTTGCCCAAAAGCAAAGAAAAGTCAGAAACAGCTCCGGAAGTATCGAAGAAGAGTGAAGCCTCTCTAGGTATGAAACTGAAACTATCGAAAACGGGAGACGTTTCAATTGTGCCTTCGGAGAAACAGGAGCCTCAGCAAGAGTTAACAAGGCGGACTGAATCTCCTCTTGGAATGAAGATTAAACTATTGAAAGGCGGCGATGCATCTATTGTTTCGTCAGATTGTTCCGAAGAGGCGAAAGTAATTCCAATTGTAAGTGACAAAAGAGACATTACAGAAAGTGATAAATTTAGAAGTGAATCCCCAGTTGGCATGAAAATAAAATTGGCCAAAACTAAAGGTGGATCGGCAATTGTTTTAGTCGACAGCACAGAGGAAAGAACGGAAAAATTAGACGTTCCGGATAATACTTCGAAACGAACGGAATCTACACTAGGTATGAAAATAAAATTATCTAAATCCGGAGATGCATCCATTATACATCAAGAAGTTCCCGAAGTTACTACCGAATCAGCGAAGCAAAAAGAGGTTTCAGAAACTGCTGCAAGTGTACCGGCGAAACCCACAGATTCTCTCGGCATGACTATTAAAGTATCGAAGACAGGCGAGGCAACAATATTGCACTGCAAATCTGCTGATTTATCAGAAAAATTGGATCACTCCGAGGAATCTAAAGGTAAAGAACATTCAGAAACGCTTAAAACTGTCGAGTCGTCAAGTTCAATGAAAATAAAATTAGTAAAAACCAGCGATTCTCCTACAGTGCAACATGAGATTATCACCGAAACTGAATCAACAAACACTGAATCTTGTAAATCAGAAAAGGAACCAATTCTGGAAATAAAGTCTCCTCAAACAGCGAAAGTGAAGCATGCGAGACTCAAGGAATTAACTTCCGCGGATCCGGAGAGAAAAGAAAAACAAAAGACTACTAAAGACTCAGGTAAACGACCTGAGGAACATTCCTTAGAAATGAAAATTAAATTGTCGAAAACCGGTCATCCTACAATTGTAACATGCGAAAGTCACTCAGATCCCTCTTCCAGCAAAATTAAGGAAACATTTGATACGCAAACCAATTTGCCCTACAAATTTCATGAGGCTAAGAAGGAAGAAGTATATTCCTTCGCATCGCAGAATAAGGAATCCGAAGTTATGATCGAATCGCCAAATTCACAAGTTCCCAAAAAAGATGTTTCGAAAGAGATCTGTCACAAGCGGAAAGATATTAGTTTTTGTCCATCCGAACCAAAGAAGCTCAAGTTTGAAACGAATTTAAGTAACATGTTACCTGAAGTTACAATCCAACCTGTGGCATCGAAGCAACAGAAACGAATAATCCTCGAGTCAAGCAGCACCACTCCGCTTGAAAAAATAAAGATAAATCAAGAAATTAGCATAACGGAAATTAAATCAAAGGTTAGCATCAAACCCTTACCAACAAGTAGCGTCGCTGAAGAGAAAGTGATTAATAAAATGTTCACTTCATCTCCTACGAGTTCAGACTGTGAAATTATTGAGCACAGACCCGAATTGGTTATTGTTAACGAAAACTCAAATTCCAGCCAGGATGTTGTTATAATAGAAGAAGTTCCTTCAGTTCGAATGTTAGAAGTTAAAATACCAAAGAAAAGAGGCCGGCCACGAAGAAACGACACAACATCAAGATTCGTGGAACCAATTCAAATTATGTTACCTCGGGATCCTCTTGCTTTAGATGACGCCTCATCGCTTTCTCAGGAACCGAAGGAAAATGAAAGACCTAGAAGAACTTGCAGAAGTCAGAAAAGTTATGCGCCACCCAAGAGAGGAAGAGGAGGGCGAGGTTGGTTATACACTTTAATTTATTTCAGGGGCCGATAGTAAAATTGATTTAAAATAATAACGGGAGCAAAAGTGGAATAAGTGACCCATTTTTGCTTCCACATTTGCTCCCATTATTATTATAAACCACTTTTACTATCAGCTCCTCATTTTTGTTCTTCCTTAAGGATTGTCATTAAGGTGGTCTTGCACGTTTAGAACTTTAAAAAAGTCTTACAATAAGAAATATTTATTTTATTAAAATAAAAAGACATTTAAAAAAGACGTAGTATACAATAATGATAAAATTTTTCAATATTTACATTCTAAAAATTTTATTCACCTCGATGACAATTCTATTTGTTAGCATGAATATAAAATGCAGGGTTGCCACAAAGTCTGGAAATCCTGGAAAATCTGAAAATAGTATGAAATTTAAAAAATATTTCTGGAATTTTTACTGTTTTTCAAAATTTTTTAAAAAATATTGATTTAAAAATACAGGCTTCGCTACTATATTTGGATTCTTGTTTTAGATTAGTGACACTAAAAGTAACTTTTAGTGTCTTTCTATTTTTTAAATTTGGACCACTTTAAATCCGCTACAAGTTGAAATAAAAAAATTATTCTCTGAAAATTTTTTAAAAATTCAATTATTTAAAAACAAATTTTAATAAAATTCTTTGCAAGATTACAATTATTTTAAATACAATTTCAAATGAATTATGTTAAATTTATGTATGGGAAATGTAAGAGAAAAAAAGTCATACATATGACATCAATAAATCTATCTATCACATCTACAATATTTTAATTTTCTTAAAAATTTTCTTAAAATTCTTTGAAAAATTTTAATTATTTTTCAAATTTCAATAAAATACTTAACAAGAATTCAATTTTAAAAAATAATAAATTATTCAATAAATTGTAATTTAAAAAATAATTTAATTTCAAAAAGCTTTTACATTGAAATTATTTAAAATATTAATTCCTGTGGAGAAAAATATTTAATTATTTATTTAACAAAAAGTATTAAAGTTGTAAATAAATTGATTTGTGAAATTATAAAAAGAATTAGTTCACTTTTTGCCATGTGGAGATCGAGGGCAATTTTTTGTCTTCAATATCATGATTTTGCATAGTGTATTTTAGTTTATTTAATTTTTTTCAAAATCTAAAAATAAAAAACAAAATTTATACAACAAAATTTTTAAAAATCAAAATTTTAATTAAATTTACTTTACTGAAATAAATTCTTTTAATGTGAACAAAATTAATTATTTATTTTATAAAACAACATGTACCTAATAAAATAAAATTCTGAAGAGGGAACTGGAGCCAGTTCCGAAACGTCAAAGTTGAATATTTTTTAATTGACATGTCTTTTTGGAGATCGTTTCCAACATTCAAAATATTTAATAAATAAGAACGTAATCAAAAAGAAGGCAAAGATCTATATATGTTATTAAAAAAAATTAGTCTTTTGAAAAATTGTAATTAAAGTTGTTGTTAAAAAAAAATTATTCAATTCTTGTACATAAATTAAAAAGATTAAAAATATCCAGTTAGTTGAAAATTTTGTCTAATTTAACTAAAATACCTCAATTTTATATTTTAAAAAATTTTGTTTTTGTACTTTTAAAAATTATTTTTAAATATATAATGGTATTTTTAAAGAATTCTAACAAAAAATATGGAAAATAATTTCCAAAAAAAAGGAAAAGAATAAAAAAAAAGTAAATATTTTTTATTGAAATCAGAAAAAAATAAGAAGAATACTTAATCTTTTGAATTGATTAAAACTGGATTTTTTTAGTCGTCAAATTTAATATTTTGATAGCTTTTTTTACTACCTTTTTCAGTCTTAATGTACTTTTATAAAATTAATTATCGAGTGTGAAGCCTGAAATTAAAAAATGTTCTTATCTTATCATCATATAAAAATCTTTACCAAGACTTTGGTCCCGAAACTCATGAAGAATTTCAATAAAGACTCATGAAGATTAATTTCAAATTTCTTGAAAGAAATTGAAATTAATTTTCAGGAAATTGTCGGTGCTTGTTATATGTTATTTAAATTGCATTTAATCTTGTAAAAATTTTTTTTCAATTTAATTATTTTTGTAGGTCGAGGAAAAAGAAAACTTGATAACACTGAAATGTTACTACACAAAAAGTCAAGAGTTGAACAAGATTTAACTGCTATTGAAAAATCCACAATGAGTATCATTGCAATAGATAGACCGCAAAAGAAAATTGAAAAAATGAAAGAAAAATTATGTGATATTCCTATGCCTTCCACGGTGACGCTAATTAAGGATGTTTCTGAAAGTTTGCCAAGTAATTTAGAGAAGATATCTGAAAAAATGTCTATTTCGAATTACAATAAAGAGGAATTGGGAACTTCGAATGATAATGATAAGAATAATGCAATGATAAATGATCATCAGAATTGGCTGACGCCTACTTCGAAGAAAGTTTCTGAGCCTTCTTCCACCCGCAATGAATCTATTTCAACAGTTCAAGTTATAGACGAGGAAACAAGAATGAGTGCAGAATCTGGATCGAGATCACAAACACCAGCCAGAAATATAACAGGTATGTTTATTTATAGTTTATTTAAGAGGAAGTCAAAAATTATAAAATCTCACACGTAACATAAGTAAAGTCGTTATTCTTTCTAAAGCAAGATCACTAGAAAAATGTAGCGCAGAAAAAAATATAAAATTAAACTTTTATTTCAAAAGTTTTTTTCATTATTATTTAAAAAAAATTAATTTAAACTCTTCATTTACACTTTTGTGCTTTAAATTATACTTATGAAAGTCCTTTTTCTGTAACTTACAATTTCCTTTCCTATGGTAGCGTTTTGCGTCGCGTTTTGTTACTAGTGCAAATATAGCGAACATATATCTCCATCTCTCTCACACTAATGGCCAAGTTGCAAAACGCTACCATGGGACTCTACCCTGAGGTGTCATAGAGGTGATTAAACCGATTAAACATTATTTGATTTTTAAAAAAACATTTTTAGGCCAACGCACAACTGCTTCGCGAACGTCGTCCGCGAATGCAAGGCATGAGTTAGAAAAGGAAAGAGATATATTTGTGACTTTTTCTATCTCATGCATCTCGTTCGCGAACCTATTGTTTGTTTCTTGTAAAAGTAAACCTCAATTCACTGTTGAAATAAGGCCGAATTTTCAAGTAGAGCTAAATGCCATTATTAAATTCATTTGAATTTTATATAGCGTAAAGGGTACAGTGACCCAAACTCTTATATTTTGAGGTTATCTTCTCACAGAGTATAGTAATATTAAGTATATTGAAATATATTTTAATAACGCTTTGTTCTACAATATTATATCCTTTTCTCTCAACAATAATTTACACCTTACAAACATATTAACTTGAGAAAGTGTAATGAGTATTAAAGTTGATTTATTCTACTTATTTTGCAGCCTCCGAGACAGTTATAAACGAAGAATCTCAAGGTAGTGTCCTGAGTACAGCAACTACAGAATCTGAAAGAGTAAAAGTTAAAAACCGACGAATGGAAATTAATTTCGATCCTGATGAGGGTTCATTCACAGTCGACAAGATTGCTGAATACGAATGGCCCGTTGACAGGAAAGGTGAAACTTTCATGGTGCAAGAGCAAATTTCGCAATACTTGGGAGTGAAGTCGTTCAAGAGAAAATATCCAGATTTAAAACGCAGAATAGTGGACATGGAGGAAAGGAATTACTTGAGAGAAAATGCTTTAGTTAGTGAAGCAATGTGTGACATGGGTAAATAGAAAATAAACTTTATTTAAAACATTCATGGACTTAGGAAATATAGAGATGCCGCAGAAAAATACGCGGTAGTCAAGAAATGTTTTTGGTTTGCGCTATCTCTATATTTCTTATCCCCATAAAAAGATCCTTTGTATAACATTTACAAGATGAGGGCCACTTTTATCTAAATGCAGCATAAAGTTGTTGATTTCTGTACTTTGAGAAACTACAACAGGGTTGCCACAGATCAGGGAATTCAGGGAAAAGTCAGGGATTTTTATTAAAAGTACTGGAAAACATTCAAATTTTAGAATTTATAAGAAAATTATAAATTTTTGTGTCTTTTTGTTTGCCTTATAAACTATAAAATTTCCACGAATTCTAAAATAACTTACAATTTTTTCTACTTCTAACAATAATTTATTTTAAACGACTTAATTCTATTGAAGAACTGCCATAAAGTTATTACTTATAAATCATTTAATGAAGTATTTTTTTTTAATTTTAATTTAAATTCTGTTGAAATTAGTTTCAATTTTAAATATTTTAACGCAATTCTTTGAAAGAATTCAACTATCTTAATAAATATTAAAATTCTTTCCAGAAATTCAATTATTTTCAAAAATTGTTTAAAAAATTCTCGTCAACATTTCAATTATCTTTATAAATAGCAAAATTCTTCGCTAAAATTCAATTATATTCAGGAATTTTTATAAAATTCATTGTAAAATTCAATTATTTTCCTAAATAACAATATTCATAACAACAATTCAACTGTTTTCAAAAGTAATAAAAATTAATTATTTTCAAAAATTTTAATAATATTTATGGCAAAATTTCAATTGTATTTTCAAAAAATGTTCTTAATTCCATGCTTTTCAATATTCTACTATATTTTAATTAAATTTCCCAAAAGAATTCAATTATTAAACAAAAAGTTTGATGTTTAAAAATTTGGCATTAAATTCTTCGCAGTAATTCAATTATTTTCATAAATTTTAAAATTCTTTTCAGGGATTTAATTATTTTCATAAATAATAAAATCATTCGGAGGAAGTCAATTATTTTTATAAATAACAATACTCATCACAAAAATTTAATTATTTTCAAAAGAAATAGAATTTAATTAGTTTCAAAAATCTTAATAAAATTCATTGCAAAATTTCAATTATTTTCAAAAATTTTAATAAAATTCATTACAAAATTTTAATTATTTTCAAAAATTTTTCTTAATTCCATGCTTTTAAATATTCTACTATTTTAATAAATAGTAGATTACTCTAAAAATGTAATTATTCTTAAAAATTTCATTAAAATTTGTCGAAAAAATTTAATTATTTAAAAATTTGTTGATAAAATTGCTTTGAAAATTAATTTCAGTTAAAGTTCTAGATAATAATTGAATTTTGGAGAAGTAACTAATAAATGCAATTTTTAGAAGTAAGTGAATTTTGTAAAGGTTTCAAATTAAAATCTTTGAAAATTTGAATTTTTCATACCTTTAATTGAAAATTCTATGGAATTAATTTTTTTCAAAAAGCTTAATCGAAGTTTCGTAAAATTGAATTGTAAACAAATGAATTTGAAAATTATCAAAAATTATTGAAAATAATTGACTTAAGGCGGTTTCAAAGTCGATTGGATTGTTGCATTGAGCTTTAATGGGAAAGTCGCATCGACTTTGACATCTCCTTAAAGAAGAATTTTATTTAAAAATTGTAGAAAATAATAATTGAATTTTTTGTGATTTATATAAGAAAATTTTTGTTATAATTATTTTTCAGTATACACAATAAATTCTGAGGAGGGGTTTGAGTCAACTCCGAAACGTCAAACATGGTGTTTGAATGAACACACTTTTGATTATTATTGTCCTTTTGTGTTCGTCTTATTTTCAATTAATAATTAAATTGAAATTATGAAAATAATTTTGAAGAAGTTAGAGTAACAAAATTCTTATAATATGAAATAATGATTTTATCAATCGGTCATCTTTAATTATTATAATTGTTAGAATTAGAAATTTTGAAAATCTTAGTTTCCAAGGAAAAATAATGATTAAATATTTATTTAAAAATGAAATTATTGGTGTTTTCGATTAATTTTATATTTAAGGAAATTCATAAATAAATGTAATGGGACATTTTTTTTAGTATCAGAAAGAGTGAATCAGAATATTCTTTAGGGTCAGAGAATAAGTCAAAATTTTTTTTAGAAATCAAGAAAAAGTCAGGAAAAAATAAAATAAAATTTTAGTGGCAAGTCTGTTTAACATTTATTTATTGAATGACCATTATTTCTACATACTTAATGATGATTTTGTTTCTTTACAGGACTTACTGCTTTACCTAGTTCAGAAGTTTTGGACATTATGTGTAGCGACTTTCCTGATCAGTATGAAGAGTATCGTAAGCATATGCGTGAGAAACAAGTTAAAGAACATTCTAAGAAGCAGAAGGAGCTAACGGCAGCAGCAAATGCAGAGAGAAATAGAATAGATCTTGCAGAAATGGCGATGCAGTCTGCCCTATCGTGGAATGTTAATTTAAACAGAGCTCGCAATGATAACAGAAAATCAAGTTTAGACTTGCAAACTTTTACCATTCATTTGCCTAAGAAGGAACCAAAAGTTGAAGCGGATCGTCCTTCGAGCTACTATCCTGTTGCTCTTATTCCCGGACAGTTCACTGATTATTACCGAGAATACACGCCTGCCGAGTTGAGATATTATCCTCTAAATACAGTTTTATATGGACCTATGAAACCCAACGAGCAAAAATTCGACAGTCAGTCGGAAGGGTCTCAGAGTGATAGCGACAGTGACTCTTCATCTGATGATTCAAGGTATAATTTCACTAATTTATTTTAAACACTAAATTTATCATAGGAATGTTAAAAAGTCAGATTAATTAATCAATTTTGTAAACTGTAGGTTATGAATGAAATAATAACTGTGGTTCTACACAATTTTGTCAACAGAAAAACTAAACTTTTCTTCAAATGTATTACTATCAAAATCAATAAATTTACGTATGTAAATATGACTAATTTCAAGTGTGGATAGAAAGAAAGATTATTATAAATAGTAAACAATAACAATTGAGTTAAGAGAATTAAAGTTGAAATTATATTTTTAGTTCATCATCTAGCGATGGAACCCAAGGAACAGAAGCTTCTCAGTCCACAATGGATGACGTTGACATGGAATTGGTATTACAAAAGACTGAAGGAAAATCAGTCAAATTAATTTGTTAATAAATTTATTGGATAAATTTGTATAAAGTTGAATATCGTCGATGATAAGTTTCCAATTATTTTTTCTAATGTAAAAATTAATAGGTTTATAGTAATAAAATCTTTGTCATATTACAATTAAATTTTTTAATATCATGTATGATTTTTATATACCATATTTTAAAAAGAATGTTTAATAGAAGTTATTAATTAAAAATTTTTCTTAAAGAGAAAATAATAAATTGAACGATAAATTGTTTTATTAAATATTTAATTGTTAAGGTATAATTTTAATATTGCCAGCGCTTTCTATTTAGGTGCTGACTCTCATTTCTAGAATTTTTAACTATTATTCTTTAAATCAATTTTTTTAAAAAAATTTTTAAAAAAGTTATTTGAGAATTTTTAAATTAAACTTTTTGAAAAAATTAATTCTACATAATTATTAATTAAAAGTGTGGAAAATTCAGAGTTTCAAAGTTTTTAATTTGAATCATTTTTAAAATTCAATTATTTTTAAAAATTCACGGTATAATGCTTTCAATATTTAATATTTGAGAGGAAAATAGTAACTATGCTAATTTTTTCCATTCATTTCTCTAAAAACTGAAAGTTTTGTTAGAAAATCGTGATTAAAAAATAAACATGATGTAAAACTTTTAACTTTTTTTTTAATAATTGAGATTTTGTTAAAAAATTGTGTTAAAAAAATTAAAATATGGAAATTTTTTACAAAACAAACTAAAAGCTTTGTAAAGAAATTGTGATTGACAAATCGTTTTTTTGCCTTTATTTTATAAAAATCTTTGAATTCTGTTTTATTTTCAATTAAAAATTGTGATTAATAAATTTAATTTATAAACATTTTTTTTCTTCATTTTTTAAAAAACTTGGAATTTTTTTTAATATTTTCAAATAGGTAAAAAGAAATTATTTCCTTAAAAAAGCAAAATTTTCTAAAAGAAATTAATGTTTAAAAAGGGATAAAAATTCCTGAAGTGGACCTTCATATTTTTTTGAGTAAGCAATATAAATGATACCCAAAAATAATTAATAAGACTTTCAAACGATTTTTAAAAATTTTAATTTACTTAAAAGTTATAAACTATTAAACTCTTTGGTACCGTTTTAGAAAAAATTCAATATCTTAAACTTATCTAAACGGATTTTAACAAAATTTATTTTATATAGAATGATTAGGATACGTACTTTCGAGAAATGTATAGAATATAAATAGAAAGTGTATTTCGTTTAAACAAATTATATTTTCAATTAATTTTATAAATAAACAATTATCTTCGTCGATTTTGCTTATTAGTTTTATATAATCATGAAGAATCCATGATTTGTAGAACATTAATTTTTATTTCTATAAAAATAGAAAGTATACCAAATAAACAAATTGGTACATTTATCAACCGTCGCCAGAAAAATAATCTGATTTGCTCTATTTAGAATTTTTCTTTACATTCTGTTTTGCAAACTCTGGAAAATATTGAGAATTGTATTTTTGGTAATTATTTGATGGTTCAGGCTGAATTGGCTTGGAAATGCCTTGCAATTTCTGTAATAACGTTTCAGTTTTAAGCTTTTCTCTTTGCTCTCGTAACAATCTTTTAGCTCTCAATTGATCTAGGCTACTTTTTCCATCAGTTCCCTTAGAGGAAGTAGACTCCAATTTTCTTCTTTTATTTGCAGTTGAATTAGCTTGTGCTTCATTGATCTTATTACCTTTGCTACCTTTGTCTAACTGCTTTAAATATTTATTCATGCTGTAAATTGGATCTTCATAGGATTTTCTCTTCTTTTCTATTTTGTTGTCTGTTACTTGTGATTCGGTTTGACGATCCTTATTGTACCAACTAGTTTCTCCTTTCAGTTCTTGAGTATCTTGGCCAAGATATGTCAAATAACCAATTTTCTTCTCATACTCTTCTTTTTCCTCTCTCTTTTCCTTTTCATTTTGTTTATTACCCTTCTCGTAATCGAGTTTTCCTTCTTCCAAGTCAGAGAAGAAATTAATGTTTTTTTCATTTTTAACAGAAGTACTGGTATTCTTTACCTTTCCATCATACTTTTTTCTAGCTTCCTGGCGTAGAAATTCAATTTGCGCTTCTCTTTCCTGAAATAATATTCATATTTTATTGTCACCAATTAATATTAAGTAGTAAAAAATAAAAAGATAATTAAATTCTTACAGCCTTCTGAATTCGTGCTTTCTTTTCACTCTCTTCTTTTGCCGCATTCGCTTCATCCCGTCTAACTCTTGCTATATTGTCCTTGGTACGTACATGCCATCTGAAATATAGTTATTTCATAAATAAATGAGTCTTTTGCTTTCTCAAAGCAAACTTTGTAGTGATGTCGATTTTACAATTTCTTAGAATCAATTATTTTTACAAATTTTCAAGTGTGGTATATATATTTCGACAAAAGGAAGGCTTAAATTTTTTAAGTGTATTATGGTCACGAATATTTAAAATGAGACACAAGGATTTCCAAAAATATCTAAAAAATCTTTTTTTATCAATTTTTTAATTTTTGAAAAAAGATTGATTTTTATATTTTTTGAAATAACTTTTCTGTTTATTGAAATTTTAATTGATTCTTGTCAAAATTATATTTCTGGTACGAAAATAAATCGATTGATGTATATAAAGTATTTTATCAATATTTATAAAATTAGTGGCTATTTTTATTTTTAACAAAAAATTCGTATTTTTTGAAATCTTATCTTAACACTTTGAAATAATTATTCAATAATAAAAATTTTGCTATCGACATAAAACTTTAATTACACCAATGATTTGAAAACAGTTTGAAAATTGTAATCATGTCTTGGACTTATTTGCTTTTTTAAGAAGACATTTGTTTATTATATTGAGGAAGCTAAATGGTCATGAAATGAACAAATTGTTTTAAATCGATTTTAAAAAAAAATAATTTACCTTTTTTTGGGTAAAGATATTCATTTTAAACAATTAAATGTTTTCCAATGGTCCTCATGTATTTATTTTTATTCATGAAATGAACAAATTGTTTTAAATCGATTTTAAAAGAAAATAATTTACCTTTTCTTGGGTAAGATATTCATTTTAAACAATTAAATGTTTTCCAATGGTCCTCATGTATTTATTTTTGTAACTTCTCGTGTCTATAAACTGTCAGGAATTGTTTTCCTCTTTATGTGACATTTTCACAGCAGACAGCAAAACAAACTACTAAGGGTCAAAACATAATTTAATAAGGCCAAATCAGAGAATACATTTTTGAAGCCCTAAGCACAACTGCTTCGCGAAAGCAAAGTGTGAGTTAGAAAAGGATAGATATATATTTGTGTCCTTTTCTATCTCATGCTTCACGTTCAACTTGCCTTTTGGACGTATTGTAGAAGGTCCTTTACCACTGAATTGAAGTCGACTTCCTGTCCTGGTAGGCCTTTTTCTCACGCGTGCGCATTATACATCTGATTTGTTTATGTTGACAACATGTAAAATATGTTTTGGTGTTTATGTTTCTTGTATTGTTTATTTCTGTAAAAAACTTATTTAAAATTTACTTAAATATATCATTTTAACATTATAATGGTACGTAAATGTATTTATTGCGGAGAGCCACAAGTAGCAGATGTTGATCGTTCCTTTCACAAGTATGTAAACTGATTTAAAGTATACTATAGTATGGTTATGGAGACGCATGATTTTCCCCTAAACGACAAATGGTCGAATGTTCAAATGGTCGAATACCAAGTAGTCGAATCGTTAACTGGTCGAATGCTAAAAACATCGAATGCTAAAAACGTCGAATGTTCAAAATATCGAATCGTCAATTTGTCGAATGATCAAAACGTCGAATTCTCAAATGGTCGAATGCTAAAAACATCGAATCGTCAAATGGTCGAATGCTCAAAAGGTCGAATCGTCAAATGGTCGAATGCTAAAAACATCGAATTCTCAAATGGTCGAATGTTCAAAACGTCGAATCGTCATTTAGTCGAATGCTAAAAACGTCGAATCGTCAAATAGTCGAATGTTCAAAAGGTCGAATCGTCAAATGGTCGAATACTCAAAAGGTCGAATCGTCAAATAGTCGAATGCTAAAAACGTCGAATTCTCAAATGGTCGAATGTTCAAAACGTCGAATTCTCAAATGGTCGAATGCTCAAAACGTCGAATCCTCAAATGGTCGAATGCTCAAAACGTCGAATTCTCAAATGGTCGAATGCTCAAAACGTCGAATCATCAAAAATTCGACGTTTTGAGCATTCGACCATTTGACGATTCGACGTTTTTAGCATTCGACCATTTGAGCATTCGACCTTTTGAGCATTCGACCATTTGACGATTCGATGTTTTTAGCATTCGACCATTTGAAGATTCGACGTTTTTAGCATTCGACCAAATGACGATTCGACGTTTTGAACATTCGACCATTTGAGAATTCGATGTTTTTAGCATTCGACCATTTGACGATTCGACGTTTTGAACATTCGACTATTTGAGAATTCGATGTTTTTAGCATTCGACCATTTGAGCATTCGACCTTTTGAGCATTCGACCATTTGAGCATTCGACGTATTGAGCATTCGACCATTTGACGATTCGACGTTTTTAGCATTCGACCAAATGACGATTCGACGTTTTGAACATTCGATCAATTGATGAGTCGATGTTTTGAACATTCGACGTTTTGACTATTCGATGTTTCTAGCATTCGACCAGTTAACGATTCGACTACTTGGTATTCGACCATTTGAACATTCGACCACTTGGCGTTTAGGGGAAAATCATGCGTCTCTGGTTATGTTATTGTGTAAATCAAATGTTTATTTCACTGATAAGTATATTTATGTATTTCATTATAATTTAAAGAACTATATTTAATTTATATACAATTATTTTTACAAGGTTTCCATGGAATGATGAGAAACTGCTAGAAAAATGGATTGAAAATATTAAATTAGGGCCGAACTTCAAGCCCAGTAAATTAGCTCGATTATGCTCAGATCATTTTGAGGAAGAATGCCTTTCAAAAGAAATCAAAGGAACTCTATTATCAGGAAGTATCCCTACAAAATTTAAAACTTATAAATCCAGCTGCATTTATTGTCATGAAGTAAAAGGAGTTAATAAAAAAAGGTCCTATCGTAAGTAAGTGTTTATGTATTCATATATATAAGCATAAATATTAAAAATGTTTTTTTTATTATTTCTGCTATTATTTAATACAAATGCTTAAGTCTACAAATGCTTTTTAATTACACAAAAATATGAATAATAAAGTAATGTATTTAATCCGTATGTATATTAATTATATTTTTAAAAAAATGTTATTTAGTAAAGTGTATGTTTAATAATTTGTTAAACAATAATTATATTTTTTATTATAACAGATTTCCTTTTGAAAATCCTATACTATTACAAAAATGGTTATCTGCAATGAATCTGAAAGATGTGAAAGTAACAAAAAGAAGTCTTTTGTGCAGTGATCATTTTGAAAACACTTGCTTCAGAAAAACAGGAAAGCATTTAATTCTAAAATCTGATGCTGTTCCATCTTTATTTGCAAGGAGTAATGGTAAAATAATTTATATTTTTATCATTATTATGTCAATTAGCTTAAGGTATTTGAGAGTGATACCTTATAAATAATGTTTTACAGATGTTGAAACACATAATGCTCAGAAAAGTTTTAATACGATATTAAATAATAATAATATATGCAACAAAAGAAAAAATTTACCGAATGGCTTACGAATTCCAAAATTATTAAAATTAACAGATTTTGAGAATAACAACATTATGGAAAACGTATTACTTTCATTCGAAAAAGATAAATCTCTAGGTAAGTTTGTTAGTTTATAAAACAAAAAACGTCTTTCCAAAAAATACAATTCATTTACATTTATTAGTAATGGTTTATTTATTTATAAAGCTTAAACAAAACTGACAAGAACTTAGCTACACTTTCACAAAAAATCAATTCAACTGAAGACAGTTTTTAAAATTTATAGAAGCAAATGTTGTTAAAAAAAGTTTTTGATTCATTTGTGCATTAAAATATTTTTAAAGATTATTAATTTAATTTATTAATATTTATACTACCAATGAAAAATCTAAATAATATTTTAAATCAATACTGTTGTATATTAATTTATTTTTAAAGAAATGTAGTAAGACAGTTTCATTATATAATTTCTTAATACTTTTCACATTTTTGGTCCATAGATTCTGACAGCCCATTACTACCAACATGTTCTAGTGGATCAACAGAAGGTTCTAATAGCACATTACCACCAACGAACTCTGGTACATCAACACAAACTAGTTTTGCAATTGCAAATAATTTTGGTAAGTCAATTTTTGTCAATGCATATTAAGACGCTGTTTACTTTAAAATTAATGTTACGTATTTACAAACATTTGTCACCAGAAACACCTAATGCAAATCAATGTCATCAAATTTATAAAGAACATAATTATGACAGTTCGCCGAGGTCATTAAAAAGAAAATTAGAGAAAAACCGAAGTATTATTTCTACTTTAAGAAATGTATCCCGTATTCAAAAGCAGAAAATTACACGTTTAAAGAAACGTGTATCATCTTTAACACAATTGGTACATAAAATTCGAAAAGGAAAATTAGTTCCACAATTTGATCTAAAATGTTTGGATACGATTGCTGAAGATGACGTGAAAGAATCTGGTAAAACCTTAAGTTCAGAAATTAATTTATTTGGTATATTTTTACAGGGGAAATTAACTTAAAATGCTTTTATTTTACAGTTACAACAACACTTAAAGGAAGAGAAACTTGCGTCCACTGATATTGCTGTAGCAGAAAATCATATACATTTATACAGCTATCCAAAGAATTATACTAGGTTTTTAAAAGTATGGTATAAATTTAAATTTTGATATGTATAACACAAATTTTATTAATAAAGTTTTTGTATTATTTTGTTACATAATTAAGAACCTCTCTTTTTATTTCAAATAATTTTATTCACATAGTTTCGATAAATTGTTTTTAAATGATTATTTTTATAACCACGATTTAAAAAATAATTATTAGAAATTGTTATTAAAAAAATAATTTCTTTATCCTTGTGTAGTGACTTCACATGAAAATTATTGTTCTTTAGTGTGAAAAGTACACAATCTCATACTTATTTTTCTACTTTTGAATTTACCCGTTACAAAATGAGAAACTGGCCTAAATGGCAGCCAACGTCCGGCTTTAAGAATAGGTATGTTCTCGTTGCCTGCACTTCTTAAGGCCAACGCAGAATAGATCTGTAAACCGGAACCGCAATCGTAAGCGTGACCGTAAGAATGAGTTAAAGAAGGATAGGTATATTGTTTATCCTTCTCTAACTCATTCTTACGCTTATGCTGATTCTACACTTACCCAGCGCTCCGCTTTTCCGTGGCGCTTTGCGTGAGATAGAAAAAGACAGAGACAATCTCTATCTTTTTCTGTCTCACGCGAAGCGCCACGTAAAAGCGGAGCGCTGCGTAAGTGCAGAATCAGCATGACGGTTACGATTGCGGTTCCGGTTACAGATCTATTCTGCGTTGGCCTTAAAGGCCAACCGTAAGCGTAAGAATGAGTTAGAGAAGGATAAACAATATACCTATCCTTCTTTAACTCATTCTTACGGTAACGCTTACGATTGCGGTTCTGGTTACAGATCTATTCTGCGTTGGCCTTTACACTTTAACACCTAACCTGCACTATGCTGTTTTCTTTGCCGGATGTGACGCAATTTTACCATACATTTCGCTACACTTTCTGCACCTACTCTTGAGGTGGTGTAAAAGTTACAATTAGGGTGAAGTCCCATGGCAGCGTTTTGCGTTGCGTTGTAATGAGAGAGAATGCAGCAAACGTATATTTGCATCTTTTTCTCTCCCATTACGACGCAACGCAAAACGCTGTCATGGGACTCCACCCTTAGTGCAGGCAACGAAAACATACCTAATAGAAACATTACGGGAATCGTAATTGTAACTGCAATCGTAGGAATGAGTTAGAGAAGGATAAACAATACATATATCCTTCTCTATCTCATTCTTCCAGTTGCGGCGGTTACGATTTCGGTAACGTTTTTATTCTCCTAACGGAACGTAAGCGTAATGAAACAATATATTACTTAGCATTGTTATAGCAATACGTCAACCGTAAGCAGAAAATCATGAGAATAAAGAGAACAACAATATTCACCAATCTCTTTTGCACTCATGATTTTCTGCTTCCGGTCGACGTATTCTGCTCACATGGGATCGCACACTAAGGCCGCAGTCCCATGGCAGCGTTTTGCGTTGCGTTGTAATGAGAGAGAATGCAGCAAACGTATATTTGCGTCTTTTTCTCTCCCATTACGACGCAACGCAAAACGCTGTCATGGGACTCCACCCTTAGGGTACGGTCACACGACTTTGGAAAAACCATTCTTGTCTTTCTCTCTCCTATGACATAGGCATAAGTTTGTCTCACTCTACATTTTACGGTTTTTGGAAAAAGTAAGAAAATGTAGAGTGAGACAAACTTATGCCTATGTCATAGGAGAGAGAAAGACAAGAATGGTTTATCCAAAAGTCGTGTGACCGTACCCTTACGATACGTTCTATTCAAGGTGCTATTGTGGACTCAACCTTAAGGCCTAAGCACGACTTTCACAAACGAGAGGCATGAGATAGACAAGGACACAAATATATCTCTGTCCTTTTCTAACTCATGCTTTGCGTTCGCGAACGACTTTCGTAAAAATCACCATTCTACGAATTGACAATTCGACTACTTGCTTTTCGACTATTTGTCCTTATTTCCTTATTACTTCTTGATACTACAATCGTGGTCATAAAAAAGTAATGAAAAATATGATCACATTCTATAACCTTAAAATATATGTTTTTTAGGCCTAAGCACAACTGCTTCGCGAACACTAAACATGGGCTAGAAAAGGATAGAAATATATTTGTATCTTTTTCTATCTCATTCTTCACGTTAGCGAACCAATTCTACGTTGACCTTTAAAGATTCTAACTATCTTAAAATTAATATTTGCCGTAACTAATATATAAAAAAATATTTTTTAAACTAAAATGTTTACATTAATTATTTTGGTTCACATTTAATGTATATACTTAAAATTTTTTATTTAGAAATAATCGCATTGTTAAACTATCAAACCAGCAACACTCCCTTAAGCCCTAGTAAAAAAGATATGTTTATCTTTTTCGTATTAAAGAGATTTTCTAGTTAGTCCACATGCCACCAGTACCTTTGCCAGATCTAGGTAAATTGCCTTAGGTTTAAATGAATTAAATATGTATATAAATATAAATTAAAAATATGAAAAGTACGCCCACCTAAAAAGCAAACGATTTATAGGTTATGTTTGTATCAGATTTATCTTGATGAAAAGTACCTTTCTAAAATTATATAAATTTGAAACCCGTTTGTAATAAATATTTTTGATGTAAATGAAAACTTGAATGTTAATAATTTGTAGAAGTAATTATTTTTCTTTCTGCATTTTTATTAAAAAAGTTATAAGCATAACCTAAAATTTTGTGCTTCTTAGGTATTGGAGCGCTTCATATTTAATTATCAAAATGTAAATGCCACTGAAAAATTAAATAGAAAAAAATTGTTTATTGATATGTTAACGGAAATTTTCAAAATGATAATTGACATTAATATTTAAATTAAAGTAGAATATAAAGAATTAGGAAATACATTATTTTGAAAATAAAATACGCTCTGCTTTGTTCAATACAATCGTGCAGCAACGAATTAAGAGAGAAAAAGGATTTTATTTAAATTTGTAACTCTTTTACGTTTTCAAGAAAACTAGAGACAAGCAGAAGCAGGAAGCAGGTAGTAGATTATTGATTTCAGTGGTTACGCGTTACGGAATGAGAAGACGGCGCGAAGGCGTCTCCGACACCACAGCGAGTGCATTGTAGAAGTAGCATGAAGTGCACGCTTTTATGTCTATATCCTTGTCTCGCGCTCGAGTTCCCGTGTATGAAACAAGGACATCGGAGTGTGTGTTTTGTGAGTATATATTTAATTTCTAAGTATGAAAAGCGATATTGGGAGACGACTTTTGCGAATGCAGTGCACGCGATAAAAAAGAGTGGTGAAATATATGCGCCCTTTTCTACCGCTTGCGATGATGTTCGCAAACTAGTTTCCCGAATCTATTCAGCGTTGGTCTTCTGGGTAAGGCCCTTCCTCAATATGGCGGGTGTAAATGTTTAACGTTTGATTGGTTGACTTCGGGTTGACTTATTTTTACCTGCGCGTTGTTGAATCCAGTATTTTCTGATTAGTGAATACATAATACTCGCTTGTATGGAAGTTGCAAATTAAAGGCTCGTTTCTTTAAGGGAATTTCGCTTGGCTAGTGCCAAGCGTTGAGAGCTTGGCCTGTGGTGGTCCATCGCGGCGTGGATTGCTGTGCAACGCGTCGGACAGACCCGAGAATCTGTCATGGATGCCTGCTTTCTTTAGAGCTGCATTATCCGTCTATTCGGTCTATTCTTTATTGCAAACGCTCGCCATTTACAATGGCAGACGGTTATTGTGTTGTGCATTGAGTTCTTTTTTCCTTTAACCCATTGGATGAATTTCAGTGTGACAACAAGTGCTTATTTCTTGTCATAGTTTTAGTATTTTTGTGCAATTGTTAATCTGTACCGGTTATTTATTTGTCAATTAAATGAAACCAGAGCCGTGGCTGTAATGCGAGCAGTAGAGTGAGCAAAAGTGATCAAAAGCAACTTCTTATAATTGTAGCCAGTGCTGTTAGCCGCGGCTGTGCTGCCTCTGCCGCTTCGTCGTTTCGTCCTACTATGCAGGCCGACGCTCCGAGGAAATTTAAATTTCTTACTTGAGCTTTCCAACATTTCTTTATGGGAATTTTCACTCGATCAGTGCGGACATCTTAGAAATTTCTCCACTATGTTTACAAGCACTTAGTCAGCGTTGCTTTCATGGACATCATTAGATGTGAGTACAAAACAATTACAATACTTGTTTTCTAATTGCCACCAACAAAGCATTACACGCCGGGAGAACCATTTGCAGTTGCATCTCTCTTGATAAATGCCAATTTAGCTGCAATCGAGTAAATAACAGTTTTACATAAATGCATGGATCTAAAACTCGAGTAGAATGTCAAAATTTCTTGCTATTTTAACCTAAAAAATTGGCGGAAAATCAGCTAAAGCGCATCCATCATTACTAACAGAAATTTTTGCTGGGTTGCAATGTTTACAGGGATCACAGACTGTCACTCATTCATCTTTTTTAAATTCTGTCACCTTTGTGATTTCCAATAAAATCAGTTTTTTTAAAAAGTTTTTCCATGTTCTAATTTCTAAAAAATATTATCTAATGAGGTTTGATTTCTTTAATTTAATTTCAATTTAATTTTTCTAAATTTTGTTGTCAAATTCTAAAAATTTTCTATTCATTTTTTAAAAATTATTTTTATTCATTATTTTTAAATGAATTTAGTTACTAAAGATGAAAATTTCCTTCCTTGCTAACAATAAGCTCGATAAGCATTTTTTAGTCGAATTCATAAACTTGAAATTGAAAAAAAGTAATTGACTTTAACATAAAAAAGCTTGTTTGCAATTTCAAATTAAATCACATAAATTACATTTACAGGCCTCGAATATTATGTTTTTCAACTTTTTTCGACTATTTTCAAAGTCTTTTTCGACTTTTCTTCCAAATATTGCAAAAAATACCATATTTTTAGTATAAAATGTAATTTATTTCGATTTTTATAATGTGAAAAATAACTATGAGCAAATCTTTAAAAAATGATTTTCGAATCATTTTTCTGATTCTTTTTTCAAAATATACAATTAAAAAGATTTTGAATATTTGAAATTTTGTAAAATTTAATTGAAAATCAACTTTTGAAGAATTTTGATTGCAAATTTTAAAAATTGATTTCTCAAAAATTTTAATGAAAAATCTTCAAAAGTAAATTTAAAATTGAAAATGATTGAAAATTAGCTTCTAAAAATTGTATTAAAATATTTTTGAAGAAAGCAGTTCTTAGAATTTTTTCATTCTAATTTTTTAAAATTTGATTATTTTATTTAATTCCAATATTTTCAGTTACATATTTCCGCAAATTCAAATACATACGAAAAATAATAACATTAAAATTCTTTAGAATTTTTTTTTAAATTTTAAAGAAAATCATGTTTAAAATTTGTAATTAAAAGTCTTTAAAAAATTAAATTAAATATATCTAAGATTCTTACACGGGCTAAGCTAAATTTATATTAAATATAAAATTTACTTCTTTTACAGTTAATAACTTTAAAAAAAACATAGGCAGTTACAGTTACAATTATTATAAAAAATTGAATTTTTGTATTTAAATAATTGAATTCTCGAGGAGTTTTCGGAAAATTATTATAAACAATTGATTTAGTGAAGAAGTATAATTATTAATTGTAGAAAGTAATTGATTTGTTAGTAGATATTGATCTTCATTAGAAAAATTGGAAATTGAATTTGTTTGCAAAAAAATTTAAGAAAATATATAACTTTCCTTAGAAAAAATATTTTTAGAAATTCATTTCATTAAAAACACAAGTTTTGAAAAATGTGTTTCTATTCAGTTTATGCAACTATTTAACTACTATTTTAAAGGGAGTGTATAATTATACCAATATTTTCAACGGTATCAAGAAAATATTTTAAACATTCCATAAAATTATTTTTATTGTAATTTTTTTGAGGAATTCAATGATCATAAAATATTTTGTCCCTTTAATTAGAAAAAATAAACAAATTAATATTGTATTATAATAATATATTATACATATTTTTATATTTATACTGTAAGAAAAGCTTCATGTCAGTCATTGGGAAGCTTGCATTCTACATAAGTCTGCCTCACTCCCACTCATGGGCTATGACTGATATGTATCTTTTTCTACTGTATTATAAATTTCGCTTAAAAATGTTTTCTATGCTTTGCATTTGAAAAATTGTTTTTTCACTTAATATTTATAAAAAATATACTTAAATGAAAAATGAATTTACAATTACATAGAAACTTTATTGTTAGCGTATTTATTGTTAACTTTATTGTTAACTTTATTGTTAGCGTATCCCTAATTGAAGATAACACATTGAAATATTACAAAAATGTAACTATATTAAAACTAATGTTGCTGGTCCAATTTTTTTAAAAGCTAATTGGGTCAGAATTCGTGTAATTTTCACAAAAAATAAAAAGTACCTATTTTTTTTTAATCGAAATGTTAAAAAAACATTTCTATTTGGCCTTAGGAATTCGCCCAATAAAGAACGGAAAAATTTTTTTTTATAAAAGTTATTGCAAAATGAATTTTTTTCAACTTTTTAAACAAAATTTAATTCCTCCTAAATGAATTAATCGATGTAAATGAACTAAGCTGGAATATAAAGGGGATAAAATATAGTTTCGTTTAGAATTAGAAAATTTTTAAAAAGTTTATTTTTTAATACCTAATTATTTAATACATTTTTTATAAACAATGCTTTTATGCTTTTCAGAATTAAAACATTATTTTCAACTGCGAAATGAACATAACACTGTCGAATTAACATTTGCATTCAATTATATAACCATAAAAATAATCAAAAACTAAGTGTAGCGCTGGTACACTACACCGCGCCAATATAATTTTCATTATAACTTTTAAAATAATAATTGTCGCTCCTAAATTTTCTCAACAGATTTTTATTCCCGATAGTTTTAATTGTATGTTGAGATTTTTTTCTAATTTTTAAAAGGTGCAGAACATTAAAAAAAATAAATTGTTTATAAATAGTTTAGTAAAATTAAAAAATAAACTTTTTAAAAATTTTCTAATTTTAAACAAAAGTATACTTTATCCCCTTTATATTCCCGCTTGGTTCATTTAAATCGGTTTATTCATTTAGGAGAAATACAATTTTGTTTAAAAAGTTGCAAAAAAATTCAATTTGCAATAACTTTTATAAAAAAAAAAGTTTTTTTTGTTCTATGGTGGACACATTCTTAAGACCAAATAGAAATGTTTTTTCAAAATTTCGATTTAAAAAAAAATACTTTTTATTTTTTGTGAAAATTTTACGAATTCTGACCCAAGACAAAGTTCAGATTTGCAGGACTTGTGTTATTTGGCAAAAATAAAAATTAAAAAAAAATAATATTAATTTTCTCATATTGTTTATGATTTTTTAAAAAAAGTAATACAATTTTTGAAATCCTGAGAAAATGTTAGCTCAGTTTAAAAAAAGAATGATCGAAATTTGTTTATTTGTTCTAAAGTTATAGCAATTTTAAAAAATTTGACAACTTGAAGCGAATTCTGTCGCGCGCGGCTGCCGCATCTCTCCGAATTCTCCCACTCCATCGTCGCGATCGAGTTAAATAGTAAACTCTACTTTCACTCGATTTTTCATTATCAAAACATTTGTTGAAATGTTTGCAAATTTTTTAACGAATAATATAACTAATAAACTAATAAATTATCGAAGAACCAAGTAAAAATATTAATAAACAAATACGTAAGATTTTTTTTAAATAAAATTTTCTCCCACCTCTTTAATGCTAGGTTAAACATTTTTTTTTAAATTTACAGAATTGAATTGAACAATTTAGTTCGGGAGTATTTCATATGTTTCATGTTGTGGCGAGTGACGCGCTCTATGCGTTCGGCCGCTGGCAACTTTAAACATTCACCATTTCAACATTAATTAATCATCGGCACAATAATTTTCTAAAAAACTTTTTTTACCATAATGAACAATTTTCTCATTGGAAGTTCTCTGTTGTTTGAAATTTGCAACGAAATTTCCTATAAGGATATACCTATGTATTCAAAATTTTTTAATTTAGAAGTTGAATCTTGAGTGTCTAGATGACTTAGATTTCGGCCGAGAAAAATTTACGTCCTAGATTACAAATCTGGACTTCGTTGTCCAAAATTCAAAATACGGATCCAGTATAACCAACAACAACAAAGAAGAGAAATTTAAAAACCTACCTATTTCGTCTCTGACGTTTTTAGATTTAGGCCAGTTGACTGAATTTTGAAACTTTTCATTCATGATATTAGATATATTATCTTACTATTCATTTAGTGATGATTCTAAATTAATTATTTCTACTATTCTGTAGGTACAGCAGATTGAGGAATCCTTAAGAATTCCATGTTTACACAAACACAGCAAACAAATAGCTTTACTCAAACGGAACAAAGAAATTCAAACTACAGCAGCCAACGACAGGTATTGTACAATTTTCATTATTTATTTATTTTTATTATTATATTATTTATTCACAATATGAAAAGTTTGAGAATTCAACATGTTGTCCAGAAATTAACTACAGTTCTTCTCGAAAGGCTTTAAATAATTTTTCAACTTACGGTTCTGCAGCATTTAACGTTTTTTCCCATACCCTCAATTGTTGCATAACTCTTGAACAAAATGCATCAGCCATTCGAGAAGAAATTGAGATGTATTTAAAATAAATTTGCATGACTATCTATTTATGTAAAGTTTAAATGAATAAAAAGAGACTGTCTGTTACAGCCAACCCAACACTCAACAATGTTTGACCCACAACAAATTCAGCAGCAGCAAACTGCTCAGGGGCAAGCATCACAACAGCAGGCCCAGCAAATGTACGTGACAGAAAAGAAGGAAGACAAGTCGCAGCAGCAATCGACTACTGCGGAGTTTCCCTTCTACTACAATGTGAATATGCTTCAAAAGGTTCAATCAAACACCGTGAGCACAATTGGACAAATTACAACCGATGACAAAGGATGCTACCGCTTCGACGTGCAGCCTGTGGGGTACAACACATTGTTGAATCAAATGAGCATAGCGGCTGCAACAAACTCAACCTTTAAATGTGACATTTGTGGTTTGGTTTTCGGTCACATGACATTGCTTAATCATCACAAACGAATTCACAACACAACTCCCAGTAATCTACAGCAGCAACCTCAGCAGGTCATAGTGCAAACGCCCACAACCGTCACAGTTTCAACAACTCCTGAAAGACCCTACACTTGTGACGTTTGTGGCGCTTGTTTTATTTTACCGGGGGAATTGAAGAGTCACAAAACAAACACGCATCAAAAACCGAAGGTGCAAATATGTGAGGACTGCGGAAGTGAAGATGCTTGTGAGCATCATCCTACTAAAGTTAAAAAAAGTAAGTCGATTTTCATCATTTTCATACAATTCTTTTCTGTTTTATGATAATACTTTGTTTGAAATATATGTCTCACATACTTTGTCAAGTCCGTGCAGGAGGCACTTGACGAATTTTCATTCAAAAGCAGTCACCAAGTTCTTTTCTGTAATCGATTGAATTTTATTAAAGTAAGAGTTTAACCCTCCTACGGTTTAATTAACTGTCAGAAATCGGTATCAAATTGGTTCAATTTGCCCTGCATAAAAAATGTTATAAGTCAACATGGTTTAAAAGTTTTTTGGTTCTGTGATTACGAATCCACTGTTTATCTCTGTAAATGCAAAATGGCGGATCCATTATGGCCGATGTTTAAAAGAATTTAATTTATCGAATTTGCTTGAAAATTGATTTTCGGAGTTTTCTGGGTTCAGGGTGGCCGCAAGTCAGAAAAAACTGCAAATCAGGGAAAAGTAAGGAAATTTTTAAAAGTTCTTCAAAAGTCAGGGAATTTTTATCGAAAGAAACCACAAATTAAAAAAACTTTGATACATATTTTCAATTCAGTTTTTTTATGTAGACATTTTTGTAATGTAGCTCATTATAATGGTGCCGTCACATTTTTCATAAGTTTGAACGTTCTTACGGACATAATAAGATTTTGTTAACAAACAATTTTTAACTATCTTATTTTTCCTTTATAAATAAAATTGTTACTTAAAAAGCATTATAAACGTTTTAATCAGCAATGAAGAATATTAAATAATTCAAAAATTTGTTAGTCAAGGAAAAGTCGGGAAATTTTTAAAATAAAATTTTGCGGCCACCATGTAAGTTGCTGATTACAGAGTGTCTAGCGTACGGGAATTTCGGGGGTTATTAGCAATTGCACGTTAAATTTCAGTACACATATTAGGGGCCGTACACATAATACGTCACGCGATTTTGACCATTTTTAACCCCTCCCTCCCCCTATATCACACTTCGTCACAAATCTTGAACCCCCCTCCCCCTACGTCACGTCACACACGTAAATTTCACTGTAAATTTTATACATTGGACAATATATATTATATCTTACACTCTAAATTATTGAATCAGTTAAAAATACCTGATTTAGAAGCAAAAAGTCAGTCACTAATTCAAATAGTAATATTTTTTTTCTGACAATTAGTTGAAAATAACTGATGTTTCAATACAATTGTTTTTGATTGATTCAATTAGTCACGTTTAACTACCTACATAGCACCGAAACTTTCCTAAAAATTTACTAAAGATTTACTCGCAAGCTTCGAAATATTTAAATGCAAAGTTTAGTGAAAATTGTGTAAAGATTTAAATATCCCACTTCAATAAATGTTTAGCGCGAAACTTTCCTAAAAATTTAACTTAAATTTTCACGAAAGTATAGTCGAAAATGCAATTCAAATGTTCAGGAAAGTTTCAAGCTATATTTTTAAGAAAATTTGACGATAGACATTTATTGGAGTGAGAAATCTAAATCTTTACACAATTTTAAAATAAACTTTGCAAGTAAATTTTTCGAATTATGCAAGCAAATCTTTAACATACAATATTTAGAAAAATTTCGGTGTTTTGTGGATAATTTTTCGGTTATTTTTAATTGATTCAGAAGCAAAAAGTCAGTCACTACTGATTGTCAGTTAAAACCATGATTTTTAACTGATTCAAATTAAGAGAATATATTATTTATCATATTATAAATAATATGCCAATAGATGTTAAACAGGTACATAATAGATATTAAATAGTTTAAAGCATTTTTAACTTGTTTTATTTAGAAAAAGTGACATTGTCACATATAATTTCTTATAATCTTTGAATTTAAAAGATTGTGACGTAACACATGAGTTCACCCCCCCCCTCCCCCATGTCACACTTAGTCACAATTCTCAGACCCCCTGCCTCCCCCTAGCCGCGTGACGTATTATGTGTACGGCCCCTTAAGTTTAGATAAAAGTATTTTTTATTCTTTATGTAAAGACAAAAAATAAACATAGGTATTTTTTCAATTTGGGTACGATTATTTTTAATTTTCATTACATGTTTTTAAATAAAGAACAAAAACAACGTCTATTGACTTTTTAAAATCGATTTTCTTACTATTTCTTTATTAAAGCACTAATATTTTAATATTATAGTAATTGATGTATGTTTTTAAAAATAAATCCGAGAATATTTTATTTTCCGGCCTGGGAATTTGAAAATCATAATTCGCTAGACAAACCGTAGGGAGGTTAAAATGTCTTAGGAAAAACTTGGTTTTATATTTTGCCTGTTTTATACCTTATTTCTTAAACACAATAAATATTTCCTGTAATTAATTACTTTAAATTCCTAGAATTTTTGTTTAACTAAATTTTAATATAGTCAATATTTTTAAAACGAATTCATTCTTTATCAATTCTAACTCTTTGTCGTCTCTATTTATTGTCAAATTATTATTTAACGGAATCTTTTTTGAGAAGAATTGATACTTATTCAAATTTTAAAATGGGATTTTTTTCACCAAAACTTAATTTATCAGAAGTTTTATGTTAACGATTTATCTTAAAATTACAAAATTCATTCAGGGTGACACACCTCACCCACGAAATAGTATAAGGAGACTTAACGACTATGTAAAGTTAAAGAAAACTTGGCCCATCAAGTCTCCTTATACTACTTCGTAACCTATCCAATTCTGAATATGTTTCCTTCGGGCAAGCTTATTTTTAAGTTGAAAATGAGTTTTTGAACCAAGAAAGGAAGTAAGAAAATTGTTTGCATGACGGGATAATTTAAATCTTTCACTAATTACTGGTTATAAACATATTTCACTTAACTCGTTATGCTAACAGTTTTGCAACTTGGTTTCTTGATAGCTTTCTTGGTTAAAAAAACTCATTCCAACCTAGAAAACTGCTTGCCCGACGACTCTTGTCCTGAGTCTCTATAGCTCTTCTTTCAAGAAAAGAACCACAGGAAAATGAGCCAACTATTGGCAATAGCCACTTCTTTAAGAAAGAAATATCCTACAATCTGTTGGCGGTTTTTCTACCTTCCCACACCTCCAATATTTAGGATCTTCAGCAAGACTTATTTTGTCCTATGAATTCTTATGCGTTGCTACTTATGCAGTACGACGTTCGTGCAACCAAAGCACTTCTAACACGGCTTTTGAGTATAGCCGCGAACCACGTTCATTTACTTGAGAGTCTCTAGTAAGGGAAATTGATTGTTTCCCTCCATAAAGTCCATCTATCCAGTATATTCAGCTTCTGCTCTAACAATTCGAGTAAGACTTTTAGGTTTTAATTAGATAGTTTGTAAATGATATGAATATTTATAAATTAAAATTGTTGACTTAAGCGAACCTTGATCCATAAAGAAAAAATTTAATTTCTGTATTAAAAAATGTAGATACTAGTTATTCACCGTCCGACACGATTTTGCACACATGAACGAACCAAGGAATTTCGGAAACTAGAGCCAAAAAAAGATTGAGTCGTTTATGGTTTTTAGGGGTAAAAACAACCCTTCTTAAACAGAAGGTAACCAATTGAAGGGCTGGATGCAATAAGGGAACAAACGCGAGCCATTTTGAATTTATAAAATCTGACTTCAGATCTGTTATTAGCGACCCCAAAAACCCTTATAAATACGAAGATTTATAAAAATCAAAAAATTATTGGGCAATATTCGATATGTTGATTTTTCTTATGGGTTGGTTTTTAAATAAGGGTTGGGGTAAAAAATTGAAAATGGTAGTCTGTAAAAAGATATTACACCTATTCAACGATTAATTTTTCAAAAATTGAAATTTTTTTAGTTTTATTCATATTTTTTTAAATAAATCGAAATAGGGGTAGTTTTGAAGTTGAAAGTTGGACCTGAAATATTAGTAAGGGTATGTTTAATGGTCCCAATAACGTTCAAACCATTTTTGAATAAAAATTTCCCATTTTTCTAAATTTTTTGCAAGACAATTGGGTCTCGAAAAACGGCCAGAGACGGGTATCTTTTTTTTGGCTCTATGTTCCGAAAATCCTTGGTTCGTTCATAGGTGCAAAAAAAAATTTAATTTTGTCGAACGGTGTTATTTTGAGGTTATGGTTATAAAGTCCTAAATCTTTGATGAAAAATGTAACTAATTATGAAAATTATTTTTTAGCCTATGTAATATAAAATTTAATTTACCATTTTAATAATTTAAAATGAGACTTCAATAGGCTCATTAATGGTCAAGCGACAGTTTTATGTACCAATAATTAGCCGCATAAATTTCAACTGTAAAAATTATTGTAAGTTGTACTTTTTTATTTTCAAGAATTTCAAAAATTGTTCAGCTACTTTGCTTATACCGAAAAACCCAATATTTTGAAAATTGAGGCTCCGGATCTTAAAAGGGCACTTTCCGCATTGATTTTAAATGGTAAAAGTGCCCTTTCAAGATCCGGAGCCTCAATTATTATCTTAACACTAAATTATTTTTTCCTTAGCTCCAAGCTGAGAAATACAATATGGATATTATAATACTGATTCAAACATTTCATCCCTATTAGAATTAAAAACTAATTCTTGTAGTACATTATTTATAGAATGCTTATTACTAAAATTGGGACAATTTATAATAATATTTTGTTGACCTCACATGGGTAGCTTAATAATAAATAAAATTCAAGTTAGTGGCCTGCAACTGGGACTTTTACCTCTTTTCTGCCCCTGATTTTGCGCGGCTCAAAAGCACAGATGCTGAGCTGAAGTTCTTTTAATAAAATAAGTAAACCTTAATTTCAACTTGGTTAATATTTCAATTTTGTTGAATGCTGTCGCCACAGCATTCAATCTATCGTCCTGTCGGAATAATAATCTTAATCATAATCTAACGTTTCAAATATAAAACACGCACTTATTTTATATTGATGCTTTTGTTTACGTTGCACATGCAAATAGACTGTAAATGACGTAGCGCACTGAAGGAGTTTCCAACTGTGAAAAAAGGATGCACTTGAGAAAATTAGGCACTTCGGAACCTTAAACTTGCAAAACATCACAACGATTTATTCGAATTATTATTTTTTTAAACTAGTGTTCATCAATAATTACGTTTATTAAAATATTACTCCCCTTTTTCATTGTTTATTTGAACTATGACATTTTTAACATAATTCTGTTGTGTATTTGGTGGGTCGCGTGAATAAGTTCCTAACTTCATTAAATAGAATTTCCATTTGACAGAATTTTGCTATTTAGCATTTTCAATTCTTTGAATTAGTATTTGATAGGATTTCCGATGAAGCGAATTCTCATATTACGTAAATTTCATCTCATAATCAAATGAGAATTTTGCTAAATTTGAATTAAATGAGGATTCTTTTAAAATAAAATGTTGTGTTCATTTTTCATGTCACTGAATAAACTTCCTATGAGTAGTTGTTCTGCTTTTGAGGAAATTGTGTAAAATTTGTGTCAAATTCAGTCAAATGAAAATTGTAATTGATGGGGCTTATTTATGTGTGTTATTTTGTTCATGAGTCGTAAACGTTGTTACTTTTTCAATAGACTTCCCCTCACTTGTTCATAAATGACTTTGAAACTGATAATATTTTTAAATTTAGCAATCAAACCAGGACATCATCCAGTTAAACGAAGGGGAGTTACGAGTGTCACAAAATGTCATAAATGCAATGGGACTGGAATAATTTTCATTGGTGAGTGAATTTTTGCCAAATATGCAGTAGGCGCTCCTCCAGTGCCCGATTCCCTAAGTGCCTGCAATCCTCAAATGCTCCATTTTTCCACACCCGTAAACTCCCCAAGTGCCCTACAGATCTCGCCTACAGTGTCTGTGCAGGACAAAGCAGTGGAAACGTGTAGAATCATTACCATTACCCCAAGCAGTGTGGGCAGAAAAGTCAAAGAGGCATTTAGGGCGAGTGCTGGTATCAATTGGGCACTTAAGGAGCGTCTACTGAAGCACTTCTTCGTTTTCTACTTTCTACACCTAATGCATCCCCGCGTAATGCACTATTTTCCTATTTCAAATTTGGCTTATTTTGCTAATGAAACACGTAACCGGGTTAAAAGCTTTCCAAGCGCAAGTTACACTCGTGCAAAAGAAATGTACTTTCATTCAAAAGACTAATTTCTTTCTTCTACCTAAACAAATCTTCTATTTTCCTTCCCCGATGACTTGAGTTCATTACTAATGCTTCAGCTTAAGATAAAAGCCAAAACAATGGTTGAATAATAAATAAATTCAATGGACTTTCGTGTACTTAAGTTTTAATTCGAACTTTTGCAGCATGCCTGTACAGTACAAAATTAAAAACCGTTCTAACGGAATTAAAATATTTAATAATGAATCATTAAGAATACTAGAATGAGGGAGACAAAGTGTTGGGGTTCGGTAAAGTTAGAGAATTATTTAATAGTATAACAGGGTGGCCACTGACCGGGAAATCCGAGAATTATTCTGGATTTCTATACACCGGAAAAAAGCCATGGTTTAAAAAAAACCGGGAATTATGACATTTACAGACAAAATCATTGAATCTATTAAATAAAGACCCCAAAAACGTGTTTTTGAAGGTTTTCAGTATTTTCTTTCTCTTTAAGGGGTCTTACCCACTTTAGACTTGCTAAAAAAGGATATTTTTGTATTTTTTTTTCTTGCACTTCGAGAGTGTATTTATTTATGTGTAGAACCTCACATGTCAATATTTACAATTTAAACCTGAAAAAAAATTACAAAATAGCCTTTCTGGCGCGTCTAAAGTGGGTAGACCCCTTAACCTGACATGCTAGAAACTTCTACAGTCTTAAATTAAAGTTTAAATCCTGCACTACAAGACCCATATCCGTAAAACGAAAAAAAATAAAATTGTTTTTTTTAAAATGGGGTTAAATCTTTAATGCCAGACTTTTTAATCCTTTAAACGACTGACTTTTTTAAAGTAGCGCAATTTTCGTTATATTCTGTGCACTTTTTGCTCTCACCGACTGGCCTATTATCGGTTTTCCAAGTATGAAGAAATTCGTTCAAACATGCACAAAATTTGACCGTTACTTTCATGTCTTAGACCTTTAACAACTCATATCATATTTAAGGAGTTACTCACAGTTTGATAAATAGTTTATTCTTAGCGATTTTTATAATAGAATTTATAACTTTCTAGTTAATTTAAAAGTCCAAACCTTAAGGAAATTAATATAAAAATTTGTAACTCTAGGAGGTAAGCAGAATAGTCAAAACCAACCGGAAAAGCCTTTCCACTGTAACGTTTGCGATGGGACTTTTTCAAGATATTCTTCTCTTTGGTCTCACAAGCGACTTCATTCAGGAGATAAACCGTTTAAATGTGAAGTTTGTGGCTTGGCTTTTGCAAAAGGTAACATTTGGTTAAACGCATCAAGTATACGTACGAAGTATACGAGTATTTAATAATTTGTTTTTTGGATATTTTCAGCGGCTTACTTAAAAAACCACGGTAGAGTTCACACTGGAGAAAAGCCATTCAAGTGTGGTGTTTGTGGTATGCAATTCTCTCAAAGTCCTCATCTCAAAAATCACGAAAGAATACATTCTGGAGAACGGCCGTACCAGTGTGAAGTGTGCGAGAAAACTTTTGCACGACATTCAACATTGTGGAATCATCGTAGAATTCACACTGGAGAGAAGCCATATCGGTGTAATATTTGTGGTTCTGCTTTCAATCAAGCAACACACTTAAAAAATCACGCAAAGGTTCACACTGGAGAAAAACCACACAGGTAAGATTTTTCATTTTCATATTTACGTTTGTCCTAATTATTGATTTCGACAATATTTGTGAACGTCCACATGAGAAGGGCCCATTTTGTCGGTTCTAGTTTTCGAGATAATCGTAATTTTCAAAAATTTTCCTCAAGTGATTTTCAATATTTATTATTTTAATAACATTTTCCAAAAGAATTCAATTATTTTTAAAAAAAATTTGATTAAATTCTACGCAAACATTTAATTATTTTTATAAAATAATAAAAATTTCACAGGAATTCAATTATTTACAAATTTTTTTATAAATTTCTTCGCAATAATTCAATTATTTTCATAAATAATAAAACTTTTACAAAGATTCAATTATTTTCGTAAGGGAGCGTTCATAAACTACGTAGCATGCTAAGGGGGAGGGGGGGGGGGTTCAGCAAAAGTCTACGCTAGTCTACGTGGGGGGAGGGGGGGAGATAGACTCTTACTACGTAGTTAATACATATAAGCTAAAATTAATTTTGCAAACTCACTACCCGTCGCCATTGTTAAATGTTGCTACACTGCAAAAAGAGGTGTCTTATTTTGAGACGTTTTTAGTGTCTTAGACACCAAAAACGTCTTAATTTAAGACGTTTTTGGTGTCTAAGACACTAAAAACGTCTCAAAATAAGACACCTCTTTTTGCAGTGTATATGCCAAGAATAAAATATTTTATTCAGAATATTTGACATTGTTTTTAATTTAATTTTTAATTGTTTTTAATGCGAATATAGTTAAATTGAAAAAAAACTACGTAACACACGGGGGGGGGGAGGGGGGTTCAGCAAAAGTCTACGTTAGTCTACGCAGGGGGAGGGGGGGGTCAAAAAATGACCAAAATAGGTCTACGTAGTTTATGAACGCTCCCTAAATACTAGAATTCTTTTTAAGAAAATGAATTTCATTATAAAAATTTTAGATTATAATTGAATATTAAAAGCACTACCTATAGCGTGAATTTTTAGAATTAATTTTTTTGAAAACTTTTATTTTGAATTTTATTATTTTCATAAATAATAAAACTCATCGTAGAATTTTAATTATTTTCAATACAATTTTAATCGAATTTCTCGAAAAATGTAATTATTCTTTTAAATTTTATTAAAATTCGTCGAAAGAATTCAATATTTATTTAAAAATTTGTTAATAAATTTCTTTATGGGAATTAAATTCTGAGAAACATTAACTCATTCAATAAATTATTTATTTTTGTATTTAAATAATTGAATTCCAGTAGAATTTTCTAATGAAAATTGATTGAAAAATGAATTTCAATTAAAATTTTAGATAATTGAATATTAAAAGTAATATAGCGTGAATTTTTAGAAATAATTGAATTTTTAAAAAGTTTCAAATTAAAATCTTTGAAAATCAGAATTTTGCATATTTTTAACTAACAATTCAGTGGAATGAATTTTTTTGAAAATGTTTAATTGCCGATTTTTTTAAAAGTATTTGAAGTTTCTATTTTATTGTATAGGTATATTTAATTGAAAAATTTCCAAAAATTGAAATTTTGTAAAATTAAATTGTAAACAAGTGAATTTGAAAATTTTCAAAGAATTTTTTAAAAAATTTTCAACATAATGGATTTATAGAAGAATTTTAGATAAAAACACTAAAAAAATTGAATTTTAGAGAAAGTAAAATTCTTCACAGAGATATAATTATGTTCAAAAATAACAAAATTCTTTTTAGGGATTTAATTATTTTCATAAATAATAAAACTCGTCGCAGAATTTCAAATATGTTTAATACAATTTTAATCAAATTTCTTGAAAAATGTAATTATTCATAAAAATTTTATTAAAATTTGTCAAAGAACTCAATTATTTAGAAATTTGTTGATATAATAAATTATTTATTTTTGTATAGGGTAAACCAGACAGTAGTCGGCCACCTGAAGCAATCTTTTTAATTAACACTGTTTTAAAAGTGCAATTCTTATTTTTTTCGAATTTTTTTATGTGATATTGTTCCTTATGATCACACAAAACTATGAAACCAATCATTTTTATGTTAAAAAAAATTTTTATTCGTTAAAAAAATAAGTAAATAAACAAATAAAAATCCGACAGTAATCGGCCACTTAAAAAAGCTTTCAAAAACCGTCCAAAAATTCTTATTTTCTATTACAAAAGTTTAGATTTGTTTATGATCACCTTAGAAATGATTAAGAACAAACAAAATATTTTTATCTCATACGGTTTTATAGCTATTTAAAATTAAAAAGTGTCCGACTACTGTCTGGTTTACCCTATTTAATAATTGAATTCTAGTAAAATTTTTTGATAAAAATTGATTTAAAACTGAATTTCAGTTTAAATTTTAGATAATAATTGAATATTAAAAGCAATATAGCGTGAATTTTAAGAAATAATTAAATTTTGAAATTAATTTCAAAAGTTTTTAAATTTAAATTTTTTTTATATTATTTGAAGTTTTTATTTTCTAATATATATTTAATTGAAGAATTTACTAATAATTGAAATTTCGTAAAATTAAATCATTATTGCAAACAAATGGATTTGAAAATTGTCAAAGAACTTTTTCGAAAATTATTAAAAATAATTCACTGAAAGAAGAATTTTAGTTATAGACTCTTGAAAATAATAATTTAATTGAAATGATAAAAATAATTTTGAAGAACTACAATATTCTTATAAAATAAGAATTTTTTGGTCAGTGATAAGTCAGGGAATTTCTATAAATTTAGATAAAAATAAAAATTTTTTGTTAATTAAAAATTTGTTTAATCTAACAAAACTTGAAAGAATTTTATTACCGTTTGTTTCTATCATTATATAATAATTTATTGTTAAATATGACAATTACGATATTTTGGTCCCAAGAAAGCAGAAATAAAATCCTTGTTAGGCACCCTGTTTTAAGTAAAATATCCTCTTATTTGACTCGAATTGGTAATAATTTTGAAATACTTGAACTGGTTTATGCTAAAGAGCATTTTGTATTTGTTTCAGGTGTGACATTTGCGAAATAGGATTTTCAGATCGCTTCGCACTGAAGCGGCATCGAGCGATCCACGAGAAGTATGGCCAAACAGCACGTAATCAAAACGCCAACAGCAGTAGTAATGCTCCTCAAGCGAACACGAGTAACCAGCAGCAACAAGCTCAATCCCAGCAAGGCCAGCAAGTAGTTGTAGTTAATGCTACAACGCCCGTCTCTGTGAGTCAAGGTCAAGGACAAACGGTGATGCTTGACGACGTCTACAAATGTCAGGTGGCCTTTCCGGAGCCTAAGTGATTTCATTAATATTCGCCTATGTAAAATTGATGGATTTATTAAAATTTTTAACCTTTTATATCCGATAATAAAATTTATGGAGTTTACGGATTTCCTATCCATGTTAAGATGGCGTAGATCAATGAACACGGATTTAGTGGACATTACTGTAAAATGTAAAATGTGATCGTGCACATTGGTGAAATAGGTGATAGTAATTTACGATTTGGTGATTTAAAGACAAAACATTATTCTTTTCGACAGATAATTATGTACGACAATGAATATTCATGGATTTGGTTTTAAGGACTGCATCGCTTCCAACATATTGACCTGTAGTGACTTAAACTCCAAACTGCCATCGAAAATTGATGGAATATTTTGTGAATTCTTACCAATGAAATAACTAATAAATTACAATTTTTCATTGGATTTTTATGAAATGAATTCCAAAAATTTTATTTTTCTAAGAGATTTCAATTATCAGAATTTAAATTCATAACAGATTTTCTTTTGTTCTGAAAACTAGTAAATATAGGCTGCTAAATTTTCTTTCAATGAAAGCTAATTGAGTATTGCATTTTTTTTTTCATTTTTTTCTTTTTTCATTTCTATGCGGTAGGGTACCAGGATATAAAACTTTTTTAATATGTTGACTTGAACAGCGTCTAGTGATACGAAAATTGAGACTTTTGATTCTGTAATACGTTCAATGCTTGGATGGAAGGCAGACAAGTGAGCCAAATATTAAAGAACAAGAATTATATTTTTATTAAACAACTTGAATTTTTTCAAAAAAATTTTCAAAAATTTGTATTAAATAATTAACAAAAAAAAGTAGATAAACGATTGAATGTCGAGTGATTTGGGAAGATATTAAAAAATGTATAGTGCCGATTTAAAACATACAATACGCAAAAAAATCAAACTATACTTTTATTATATTTATTTTTCAAGAATTTTTTCTGCCAACTGCCTCTTTATCGTCTGTTCCATTATCGAAACGTATTAAAAAATTGGAAGGCTTAATTGATATTTTTGAAAAATAAACAAATACAAATTTTTTTTAAAACAAATATTTAAAGGTTCAATGAAAAAAAGATTTTCCACTGAACTAGACGCAATCCTACACTGCGTTGTTGGAAATTTTTCTATTTATTGAATGGGAATTTTTTCCAAATTTTATAAGATTTTTAGTCATAGTTTGTCCTAATCTAATGTAAATAGTTCAAATTAAATAAAAAAAGCATCTCTAACATATAAATGATAAATTATATCCTCACAAATGATAGTTTATTTAAAAATTAATGTCATTATTAGAAATAGAACTAAGAACAAATTTTTTATTAGCGAAAGAATTAATTTAACAAAAAATATGACTTCTTTTGAAATAACGAAGAAAACTTTCTTTTAAAAAGTCAAGAACGGGATCAAGCGCCCATTTTATATACACAAAAAGCGAAAAACGATGTTGACAATTTAAATAGAAACTAAGAAAAATGTTTTATTAACAGAAAAAAACGAGATAAACTGTTATTTTGAAATTATATCAAATGCGCACATTTTCCCTAAACACTAATTGTGCAAACATTTTCAACTTGAAGACAAAGTTAGAAAATATTTTTGCACTATTGAAGTGATGTACTCAATGCAAAAAAGTTGTTTGTTTTTAAAAGAATTATGAATTAAATGTTTAACTTCGAAATCGAGCAATATGTTGACCTATGTGCAGCGTTTTTTAAAACTATTTTCTCAAGTTCTGCAACAATTTCCTTTATAATTTCAAAAATTTTTAAAAACATTTCATTTTGTAATTAAAAAAATGATAACTTTGAAAAATTGGCGCTTGACCTCTTTTGTCATACCAACCTTCATTAATTTATCCTTTTTAATGTTAATGTATAAAAAACAAAGTTATGTTGAACAGAAATATTTATAATTTATGTTGTGAAAAATTAACTCTTCTAAAGCGGGATGAATTCTAAATACTTTAATTTATTGCAAATTTACCACCTTAAATAAAAATCGGGAAATTGATAGATGATGGTGAACGATATAAAAAAAATAAATAAATTTCATCGACATTCTACAATACAAGGTAATTGCAGAACAGGTAAATATCCGGGAATTAAATTTAACTGGGAAAAACTAATAATTAGTTACTACATATTAGCTATTTCATTAGGAAAATATTACTATTTGAATCAGCGACTGACTGACAGTACTTCAATTAATGTATATTAAAAATTAATCCTAAATTTCCACCAGCTTTTGGAGTCAAAGTAGAGTCTAATTTGAAATAATTGTGTCGCAATTAGACCCTATACGTTTTGACTGCTAAAAATCTAAATAAAACCTTATGTTGTAGGCTGAAAGTAGGGCTTAAATTTTGACCCGGGTCTGTTTACATAAATATATTTAGGGTGGCCACATGTCAGTAATTAAGTCAGGAAAATTAAGAAAGTTGAGAATTTTTTCAACTTACATATATTTTTAAAAAATTGCGACTTTTTCGACTTTTCTTTCAAATATTCCAATAAAATCCCACATTTTTTAGTATTTAAAATGCAATTTATTTCAATTTTTATAGTGCGAGAAAAACTATAAACAAATCTATCAGAAATTAATTTTGAATAATTTTTCCAATTAAATTTTCGAAATATAGGTACAATTAAAAAGATTTTGAATAATCCATTATAATTCCGTCGGGAATTATCGGTACGGCTGCACGCGCACGGCCCAAAAACATACCAATCTTTAAATCACGAATTTTTTGTAAATACAAATGTCAATAAATTAACAAAACGTACACGGAGAAAATGTAGAAGCACTGAGTACTTTTTCTCACAGCACTGATTACTGTGTGGATTAAAAAATTAACTTTGGAAGTTGTGAATGATATTCGCGCATAGCAGTCACTACTGTGAAGAAAGTATTGATACTTTTCTTGACAGTTATCAGAATTTTGACGTACATTAGTAAACAACAAAGTATTCAAAGATGTGAATATAGTAATGAATGTTTTGCTCGAAGTGGTGAATGATTTCTTCACAGCTCTCAGTACTGCGTAAAATTATTTTTGAAAATTAGTAGATAAAAGAACGCTTAACCTTGAATTATAAAATAGATAATTTCAAACAAATGCTTAAGACCAGTTTAATCAATTAAATGATTAATATCTACTTTTAAAAATATGTATTCTTGTTTGACGATACTTTTATAATTTAACGAAAATTACGCTTTATTAAGGGTTAAGAACAATAAGCTTTTTAAAGAAAATGGCAGAGTTATGTAACTGTTATTTAATAAAATAAGTAATGTTTTTTAAAACCATTATTTTAGAAGAATGTCCATAACTTATTGTTTTTTTTTAAATTAAATTTTTACCCACATAGCACCATAGTATGAGGTAAGGTTATGTTGAGTACTAATCGTAAGGCACATAAGGTTACACAATATTGCTGCGGTAGACCTGAGGTGAACTAAAAACTTCCGCCATGGAGGTAAGGTTACATGTTAGGGTGTGGTGAGTATATATGATAAGGCCATGGTAACCTTACACGTTAAGGTTAAGGTAACCTTACACGTTAAGGTTGAGGTAACGTCACATGTTAAGGTTGAGGTAAGGTTACATGTCAAGGTTGAGGTAAGGTAATTATTAAGTTGTAAGGTTGAGGTAACCCTGCTGGAAGTAAATAGATAGAAACCTTTTCTCTTTTAATCCCTTTTTATTGCTAATATAGAAAGAGATATGAATAATGTATAACTTTTAATCTCTTACCTATACTTCTTTATGCCTTTCTATTCCTACCTTTATCAACTTGTTCGCTATTTCTTTTAATCACCTTTTTTGAATAACTTTTAATAGCCATTTTAAACCCTTCTATCTCTTTTTATACACAATCTTATTACAACTTGTTGTTATCCCTTTCAATCACCTTTTCTCTATTACTTTTAAAATCCTGTCTATTTCCTTGTATCTCTTTCAATGTTAGACCTTATAGACACTATTCTTTATACCTATTAATAACCTATTCTCAATACCTTTTAATAACCTGTCTATAAACTTCTATCTCTTTTTATGACAGAAGTTCTCGATACTTTTCTTTCTCCACATTTATAACCTTTTCTTAATAACTATTGATATCCTATTTATACCCTTCCATCGCTTTTTATGTAGGATCTTATTAACACTTATTTATTACCATTATTCCCATTATTGAGATAGAAAAAGATAGAAATGCGAGACTGCAAAACTATAAACCTTTTTTATTCCTTTTTATCATTCTTCTTTTCCGAATGTTATTCTTTTAATCTTCTTTCAATCCCATATTCTATCTCCTATTACTTTATTTAGAAGAGATAGGGATAGTTAAGAATATGGGGATTTGAGGAGATATAATAAGATTATCTCTTCTAATCTACTATAGTATATCCCTTTCTATATACATACTCATAAACTTATACGCGCATGCGTCGATCTTTCCAGCTGTTATGTGTCATGGCGTCGGGTCAGTAGATCTGTAGATCAGAAAGCGTGTGTTATGCACTGTGCGATTGTACGTTTTTGTTTGAGTTTATAACTTCCATATTTTTATAGTTTATTGTAAATATATTTAACCAATAAATGTTTATCAGTAATAGACAACCAAAATTAGTTTTAAACTCACAAAGCATCGAAACTTTTCTAAAAATGTATTAAAGATTTACTTGCAAATTTTTTATAGTTAATCGTAATGAATTAGAACAACACGATTAAGAAACTAAATTAACAACAATAGAGAAAGTTTTTAATTGAAATTAATCGATTTCTTCTATAAGGGGTATCTCCTTTTTTACTTTTCTTTGGATGGATGTGAAAATGGATAGAGGAAGACAGAAATGTATGAATAGAAAGAGATTGAAAAGTTCTATCTTCTTTAATTCACCACTTTGCATCCCCAATTTTTTATCTCTTTCTATATATTTTTTTCTATATATTTCTATATCTAAAACTGTATATAAAGAGATTAGAAGGGATAAAAAGAGATATAAATATAAAGTTATAGAAAGAGATAAAAAAATTGTATCTCTTTTAAGTATCCATTTTGCATCTCCAAACTATTATATCTTCTAATCTTTTTTTATCCCCCTTTTTTAATCTCTTTGTATCTCTTTACTTCCAGCAGGGAAGGTTAAGGTAAGGTTGTGATAAATTTACCAGTTATGGAAAATATTGAAAAAATAATTAATAAATAAATATTCAATTAAAAAGTTAGTTTGTTGCTCTTCTCTATTTTGGAAACCTGACATGAAGCAGAAAATTTTGAAAACAAATTTGGGGGGAATGGGATTCGAACCCGGGATCGACGCGCATAAACCTATCATTCTAACTAACTGAGCTAAGTAGAGAACTGGCAGAAGGAAAATTAATGATGCCTTTAAGGTGAACCAAGAAGATGATTAACTCCTTAAAGGCAATATTAATTTTCCTTCTACCAGTTCTCTACTTAGCTCAGTTAGTTAGAATGATAGGTTTATGCGCGTCGATCCCGGGTTCAAATCCCAGTCCCCCCAAATTTGTTTTCAAAATTTTCTGCTTCATGTCAGGTTTCCAAAATAGAGAGGAGCAACAAACTAACTTTTTAATTGAATATTTATTTATTAATTATTTTTTCAATATTTTCCATAACTGGTAAATTTATCACAACCTTACCTTAACCTTACCTCAACCTTACAACTTAATAATTACCTTACCTCAACCTTGACATGTAACCTTACCTCAACCTTAACATGTAACGTTACCTCAACCTTAACGTGTAAGGTTACATCAACCTTAACGTGTAAGGTTACCTTAACCTTAACGTGTAAGGTTACCATGGCCTTATCATATATACTCACCACACCCTAACATGTAACCTTACCTCCATGGCGGAAGTTTTTAGTTCACCTCAGGTCTACCGCAGCAATATTGTGTAACCTTATGTGCCTTACGATTAGTACTCAACATAACCTTACCTCATACTATTGTGCTATGTGGGTATATTCATAAGAAATAAGTATTTATTAATTTAATTATTTCAAGTTATAATTTTAACTTATATTAGAACAAATTTCAGAGTTTTTAGATTCTTTGACATGTTTTAAGTAATATTTAAATTTTATATCAATTGAATATTAATTGTTCGAATAAGTAAATAAAAAAATATAGATATAAGTTTAATTAAAATAGGCATTTTCTATAGTATACCAATTTAAAAAAACAGTATAAGATTTAAATTTTATAGTTGAAATTATAAGCAAATCCAAATGATAATTTTAATAATTTAAAAATTTCATTACAAAAAGGAGTCTTATTTTAAGGTAGAACAGCAGCCTTGTTTTAAGATACAACATTTAATTCAAAGCTTTGACAACGACAACAAATTGTAAAGTGTATTTTTCCTATTTCAAAACAAACGTCCTTTTGTTTTTTAATATTGAAAAATAATTTTACGCAGTACTGAGAGCTGTGAAAAAATCATTCACTACTTCGAGCAAAACATATTCATTACTATATTCACATCTTTGAATACTTTGTTGTTTACTAATGTGCGCCAAAATTCTGATAACTGTCAATAAAAGTAGCAATTACTTTCGTCACAGTAGTGACTACTATGCGAATATCATTCAGAACTTCCAAAGTTAATTTTTTAATCCACACAGTAATCAGTGCTGTGAGAAGAAGTACTTAGTGCTTCTACATTTTCTATATCGTATTCGAAAGATTATTAAATTCTACGATTTGAATCCGTTCAAAATCGACTAATGCTCGGTCATTTATAATGATATCTCGCGAACTTATTAAGATTTTTGAACTCTTTTGGCCTTAAATTAAAAATATGAGACTTGAATAATCACACCTATGTAAGTTTTAAATTTTTTCTGCAATTTTTAAAAAATATGCAAGAGTTGAGAAAATTTCCAAAAAATTTTTATTTTTGTCAAATTTGTCGATTGCTGCAATCTTTGTATTAATTAAAATTTTCAGTTATGTATATTAGTCGTAGAATTTAATAATCTTTCGAATGGTATATTTGTTAATTTTCTGATATTTGTATTTACAAAAAAAATCGTGATTTCAAGATTGGTATGTTTTTGGGCCGTACCGATAATTCCCGACAGTAGTGTAGATATATAATAATTAAAAAGCAATTCATAAAAAAATATAAAATTTGGAAATTTTCGATTTTCTCAATTTTTCAAAAACATTTTTATACTCACATCTTAGTTGTAGGAAATTATTTTTTGCAAAATTATGCTAAAATGTGACTAAATAACATGTAATACTCAATTATAAAAAGTTTAAAAGCAGTTTTTAAAAAAATGTAAAATTTAAAAAATTTTCATTTTTGGAAAAAATTGAATATCTCCTGATGTTCTAATTAATATTTTTCAAATTTGTAAATTTATAAATCTAACTTGGGTTAGATCTAACTTGGGTCAAGATCTAAATACTCTGCCTATTTTGGTTTCAAACGGTTCAGCCGTTTTCAATGGATGATGATGGTGATCAACTCCAATTATATTGTCTCTATTTTTTTCTGAAATCTACAAGTGAAAATATATGGGTGATTCTCCAAAAAACCTCATTTTGCATGTTGTCAAGATTTTCTCAATAATTATAATCATTTGGGAAAATACCAAGTCATATTTCACTATTTTATCACTTTTTCTAAATGTTCTGCAAGAGAAAGTTGTAAAATTTTATTGTTTAATGCATTTTAAAAATATTTTACCACCTCAAAATCGATTTTCTAACCTGTCATCTAAGTGCTTTTCATTTTTTCAATACGTAAAACAATTATTTAAAACATGAAAAGTGATACTTTATCAATTTTTTCTAAAAGTTATGATATTTAAGAACAATTTTCTAAAATATGAATAAAATATGTCGTGTAGTTTTTTTAAATATAGAAAATGAAATTTGTCATGTACATAGTACCGCGTCATTCCTCTCACTCATTGAATATTATCTAATATTTTTGCTGTGGGTAGAGATATTGATTAATAATTATTGCGATCAATATTTAAATTAAAATCTCTAATATTAATATCTTAAGTTACTTTTTAAAAAATGTCATTATTTTGGGTTAAAAAAATTAAAATTGAGACATAAGCAGAGATTTACAACCTAAAGCGTCATTCCTCTCACCCCTAATAAAAACAATATAAATATATATAAATTGATGGCAATTTTTTTTCACATACAGTTATCCTTTATGAACATGATAGGGCATTCTAAGCTGGAGGAAAATTATTTGTCAATTAAATAAAATTAAAAAATGTTTAAATCGTCATTCCTCTCACCCGTCATTCCTCTCACTTTTTTTAATAAAAATTAAAAATTGATATGATTGTCGGTTGTTTACAAACTGTCAGTGAAAAGTGAACCTAAAATGTATGAAAAATAATTTTTGACAATTATTAAAAAAGATTTTTGATAACTGTAAGTATTTCAAAATCTATAAAATTTATAGATAATATTAATAAACTATAATTATTAAATAATTTTTTGTAAATAGAAAAATACATATAATAAAAAACGCCGGCGCCAAATTTTAACCTCTTAATTTTTTTGTAAATTTTAATTTAAAATATATACTTTAAAAGCTAAAAGTTATCATGATCATGCTATATAGAGGTAGTAGATTTTTGAAAGCTCAATATAATTGACTGCATTAATCCATAAATAATAATTTTTTTTCTTTTCTGTTTGTAACTCACAAAAAGGAGTATTTCGGGAGAATCACCCATATATAAGAATGCCAAATTGCATTCAGTTAGGTTAATTTTTAGAATCGAAGTTAATATATTTTTTTCAAAAAATAGCAATATTGACTATTAAATTAAATCAATTGTGTCTCGATAATAGGTGAGTACTAAGTTTTTAAATTTAATGTTTTCTTAGATGTATAAGGTGCGTTAGTTATTCGTAAAGAAAGCGTGTTACTTACGATATTTTTTATTCCTTATATATATGCATAAAGGCGATTTCAGATAGACGACAGGAAGCTGTTATTTTTGCCCAAGGGAGAAAATAAAGTCGGCGACTTTCAAAGAAACCTTTTTCTGACTACTATAATGCAGGTAATATTATGTTTCAACTATTTTTGTTTCTTAAAAATGCAAAACACATTATTTGTTCCAAATAATTTATTTACTAAATTTTTAGTTATTTTTAAATATTATGTATCTATAAATTAAAATTACAGACTACGTCGTATAATTTTATTATATATCCTAAAAGGCACATTACACTCACAAGACTTTTCGAACTTTATCACATACTTTTAAATTAACATTCTTAAACAACGAATAAAATTATAATTATATAAATACAAAAAAGAAAATTAAGACCATGTTAAGAAGAAGCAGTGCCAACGCTTTTGATTTATTAAAAATATCGTTTTTAAGAATTTGTGCCTACTAAAATTCGGAGATTCGATGGCAGCAAAAGATTAAAAATCTATCCTTTATTCAAGACATTATTTAATTGTTTTCTACAAATGCACCATTGTTTAGATCTAATTTGCAGAAAACATTTATTTTCATTGCAGTTATGAATATATTGTTTATAATCAACAATTTTTTGTGGTTCTGCTTCTCTTAGACACGTATTAATTTCACAATATAGTTGATAGCCGAAAGTAAACTATATGAAATAAATTTTTACCAATTTCTTGCAATTTGAAAAAAACAATTTTTGATATAATATTAACGATTTCGATGTTACAATTTCTCTTATATATACAAGAGTTCCGATGATTCCGTTTTCCTTACATTCGAAATTTACTCTTATATTCTAATAATCTTTCACGTCACAAATTATTGCCATCGACAGCACCTTAAAACCCTTAAAAAATAGTGGGGAATGAAAATGATACATTTCAAACGTTTACTCATCCATTGCGGAAAATAATACGTATTTCTATCAACACATTAATTGAATATTTTCAATATTCAATATCACTTTAATGGTTAACTAAATTTTCTTCGAAATGAGCAGAAGTACGAAAAATGTATTGAGAATTTGAATCGTTTTAAAATAGAAATTTCTTCCTTTAGAAAATTTTTTAGTTTCCCTCACTTTTTTGAGATATGATCGGCATTGAAGCTTAATAATATTAAAGATTCATTAAACTTAAACTAAAAGTTTATAACATAATTTTGAATATAAAGTTTGACATCTATGTAAACTAAGTGAATCACAAATAATAGATTTTCCTTTCTGGCGAAAGTGATAAGTTTATTAAAAACAGTTTTTAAAAAACTAGTAAAAAAATTTGTTCAAAGGCTTTGAATGACACGGAAAAAAAGTTTTATTTCAAAATGTAAGTCAGTGTATTGAATTCGTTCTGTTCAAGATTAACGGTTTTATCAGTGACACTATTTATATTTTGTAGTAAATCTCAAATAGCCCAAATTCAAGAAAGACAGAAATAAAGATTGAAATAAATTTTCTTACCCTGAAATAACTAGAAATCAAAATTTAATAATAAAAAATATACAATATATAAATTTTATAATGTGTTAACAAAAATTGCTGTATTTTTCCATCAAGAAAATGAAATAACGCTTCATCAGTTCCACATTTGTTCAATAGTATCAAATGCATGCAGAATTTGTTATTCGGATTTTTAAATTTTTGCAGTAACAATATTCGGATAAAAGCGAATAGAATCTCAGTAAAAAGTTATATTTTTACAAAAACTTATAGTATATGTACATGAAGTATATGAATCTGAATTTCCATGTAGGACACTAATAGCAGCCAAAAATAATTGATTAACAATTTTCGAAACTTTAAGTTATAACTTTAGTTAAAAGTTTCTTCAAAGTTTCACTTTCTTAAGTATTAAGAAAAATAACATTTTTTACGAATTAAATCTTTGGCAAAAGTAAAATCCTACATTGGAATCGACCAAATAATACTCTAAATTTACTGAGCATTTATTGCCTATATTTCTCTTACAAATGGAAATCTCTTTTAACTGAAAGCATAAAATTGATGAATAATAAATATGTAATATTGTAGAAGACTACAAAAATTTAATGTTCTTTACGTGCACTCAACTATTTAACAAATGCAATACTAAAGCATGAAAGATGTTTTTGTGACACGTTAGAGCCGATTCCACAAATCCATCAATTTAATAAACGTTTCTTTTGAGGTATCCAATTGGCGAGGGATTTTTGAAACCGGATTCTAACAAAATAAAAAACGCTTTAATAATTAATGGCAAGAATCATTGACGTAATACATTTGTCACTGCTGAGTCTCATTTGTTGCTTTTACTGATTCTAAATTACTCTTGTTTTCCTTAACATCTTTGTCCGGATTGTCCCACACCTGCCGTTTGCCAGAAGCAAATATTAGATAAAACGTTGCACAGACGATGTAAACTCCTGCTGACAACATAAATACAATTCTCCATTTTGCTTGAGTAGGCTAAAACAAAAAAATGTTTCTGTTAAAACCTTAATCGTAAATGTGAAAATATAAAATGATTTAACGTCGTAAATATAAAGATTTTTAAATTACAAGCACACATTTTATTTATAGATAATTATGTTAAATAAATTTAAACAAATAAAAAAAAAATTTTAATTTAAATAAATTAAAATTAATAAATTAATTAAATTTAAATAAATTTAAAAATCGTAATTTTTCATGTGAATCGTTTTTCTTTAGTGCTAAAAGAATTGTAATTAAAAACTTCTAACGAAAATTTTTTTCTCAAAAGTTCATTATTTAAAATGACAAAATATATGACGACTACTAAAGCTTTAGATAAATGCAGGTCGATTATTTTAATAACAAAAGTTGTTAAAAAATTGTATATTTAACGTTTTTAAATGCTTTATTTGGAATAAATTTTTAGCGTTTATAAATAACTAGCTAATGTTACGCGCGAAACATGATATTCAATTCATTATTATTATACAAATTACAAAATTTTTTATTTTCAAATATAAATTTTTAAATAATTTCATAATCAAAATTTTTAAAATAGTGCATTTTAAAAATTTATAATAATAAGTGTATTAAGTACATAATTAATTATTATTATTGTTTAAATTTTCAAAAATTTTAATATAATTCTTCGCAAGCATTCAATTATTTTTATAAATAGTAAAGTTTTTTGCAAAAATTCAATTAATTCCAACAAAATTTTAGTAAAATTTCACGAGAGAATTCAATTTTTTTCTTAATTCGTTATAAAATTTTTCATAAGAATTAAATTTATTTTCTAAAATTTTAATAAATCTTTCGAAACAATTCAGTTTTTTTATAATAAAAATTTTCGAAGGAATCCAATTATTTTCTAAAATTTTTATAAATCTTTCAAAACAATTCAATTATTTTTATAAGTAGTAAAATTAATCGCAAAAATTGCTTTATTTTTTAAAAATAATATTTTTCTCAGGAATTCAATTATTTTCAATACAATTTTAATAAACTTTAAAAATCAAACATTTCATTATAATTATTAACAGACACGATTATTTTAAAAAGTTGAAAAAATTCTTTGTTTAATTCAATTATTTTGAAAAATTTTAATTAAAATTATTCAAAAAACTACATTATTTAAAAAAAAACTTAAAGAAATTCTTAAAAAAAATTTCATTATTAACAAAAGCTCTAAAAATTTAAAGAAATATTTTGAAAGGAAAATTTAATTATAGTCAAAATCTCTAATAGTATTTATTTTTCGAAAGAATTTAATAATTTTCATATTTTAATAAAATTCCTGGAATTAATTAAATTATTTTATAAAATTGTAATAAAATTTTAAGGAGGACTTAATTATTTTTCACAAAATTTTAATAAAAATTAATAATTAAATGTTTAATTTCAATTGTTATGAAACGTTATTATTTTAAAAACTGGAAAGAAATTATCCATAAATTTCAATTACTTTCAAAATTTTCAATTAAATTTAATAAAGAAACTTCATTATAAAAAAAATCACGTTTCAACACAATGGAGTAAATATTATTTTATATTTGTAAAATTTGACTTTTTAAGTTCATGAAAGATTTCTTAATTCACAAGAAGAGTATAAAAATTATAAATTTTATAAACTTTTTTCGTTTGAAAAGACATTAGAAATTTTAATAAAATGTGAAAAAATGTCATATGAGATGCAGACTGTATAGGATTGGACTATACTATAGTTTTTTATAATCCATTCCAAATTTATAAAAATTAATTAAAAAATAAGAAATAGAGGTAGCTTATACACAAAAGGATCTGAAAGTTTTATTAGTTTTTTACGTCACAAAAGAATAATAGTGTCAACCTTAAAACATTTAAAATATAATGTTGAAAAATTGTATTACCTGACCAACAATAATGTATCCTGCTGTAATAGGTGCTAGGAGTCCAGCGAGATTTGCCAGACAGTTTGTGAATGACATTAAAACTCCAGCGAACCTTGGCGAAATGTCCAAGTGATTTACTTTGAATCCAGAATATATTCCACCATTCAATCCCACTCCAACAGTTAGAATAGCCACTGTGAGCCAAGGATCACATCCAGTGTACGAGGCTGCGATTAAGGCGAATGCTGGTCCATACTGTCCGATAGCGTTAACAATTTTACGAGTTTTCGTGTGATCAAGTTTGTTACTGGATATAACCCAATCAGCAATGTGAGATATTACCATTGAAAATATCCACATGGCTAAGTACGGCAGAGAAGACACTGTGCCGTTCTGAAAACATTTCAGAGGAATCATTTCAAAGCGGCTTGCAGAAAATACGAAAATAAAGTTTGACTAAAGTAAAGATAAAATTGGGTTGCACTTGCACAAAATTAAATATAATTTTATAATGTAAAACTTTTAATAAAATTCTTTACCGATTTAATATTGAAATGAAGAATTTGTTTCATGAATGTCGGTAGTTCGGTCATTAAAGTTTCATAACCATAATTTTGACCCATGTGTGCGATCAAAATGGCCCAGAAAGGTAAAGATGTGACGATCGATTTCCAAGGGACTGGCGGTGACTGAAAGAGGAAAAATATAATAATATTAACAAAGATAATATATTAATTTATTTATAAACTCGTCTTATTCCTTTATAACGAGTTATTATAGTTTGAAGAGTTCAGCTTCATGGCATTATAATCTAAAGGCGTTTGTACACCTCCACGGATCTGAATCTGTTTCTGTCGGGCAAGCAGTTCTCTAAGTTGGAAAGAGTTTTCGAACAAAAATTTATATTTATTTATCGAACATACATATCAGACTACGGCTTTAACCACAAACACAACATTAAAATACTTTTACATAAAAATGTTTTAACAAATGGTAAATTTCCCTTTTTACTTACTGTAGCTCCTGCCGGACCCCAGAGGGAACTGAGGATATATTTCTTTTCCTCATCAGAAATACGTGGATGTTGTTCTGGATCTTCATGTACCATAATCAAGAATGCTATGCACCATATCGTTCCAACCGCACCGAAGACGTAAAATATTGAAGGCCATCCACCGTCAAATCCATATTCAGAAAGTAGTCCACTCAAGGGCATAGATATCACAGTGCCGAATTGGGCTCCTAAAGTAACATAAATTAGAAGAGTACCGTTAATATGCATGTTATTTATATTTGCAATCTCCAAGTTAAGTGGATCCCTAATTTCTGTAGATGCCTGTGAATTTCTAAGATTTTAGAATGCCGCTGGAAACATCGGCAACATCAGTTCCACTGTGGCAGTGTGGCATCGCTTCTGTTGGACAGTGTAAGCAGTGTAAGCAGTTCTTAAATTACCTGGTTTATTTGACGAAATGCTGAAGCCCATTTAGTCAAAATAAAAAATTGTAAGCTCTGTATTAACGTAACAAACGAACAAACCAAAACTATAGAACAAAACAAAGTAGGGAAATTAAATCAGAATCCACAATCGTAGGGGGAAATTAAGCCTGCTTGTTCTGCAACATATGGGTCCAGAGGAATCCCAAAATTCTGAAATTTCCTCTCCCAGACCTGGATCTTCGATGTTCTGCTTCTCGATTTTGTTCCCATGGAATCATGCACGCAAAACAGAAACCTGGGGAGATACGACCCCATTGCTGTGGGTAAATTAATAGGCAGTGTGATACAGGAAAATAGGAGAATCTTCAATAGCGGTAGAAACCAAATAAAAATTTGGTGTGAAGAGAGAAGTGATGCGAACCTACTTTTCTCTTCTGAGGCGTTAACCGGAAAAAGCTACCGAACTTTCAGACGTTATTGAAAATATGGATCCTGAAGAAAAAGAACTGATCATTACTGCAAAAAGAAGAATAAACAGAAGATAAAAACAATATTCGGACATAATTGTTATAACTTTTAACACTACATTTATACCCAGATTTATCTTCGCATAGAGTTAGAATCTTTGGCACTTCTAGTATCAGTAATGCAGAGCAACCTCAACAAATTGTGAACACTGTGCTGAGAAACATTTTTCCGATGCTTGTACTAACCCCCTACTTACTAGTAAACGTTATAATTGCTCTGAAGCTCATAATGCATCTTCCAGAGATTGTCAAGTGTACAAATTTGAATTTCAAATCATGAGGCACTGATACATTGGAAACCTTTCAAAAAAAGATTCGCGTATTAAATTATACAATTTGGGATGGACAAACCCAAGAAGATTCTCGATTACTGACACTTCCTCTAGTGAAGCTGGAAACGAACCGCAGGAAGATAAGACACCTCCTGAAGACCTTGTTAAAGAGCCTCCCCAAAAGAGACGAGATCCTCTTGAGAAGTTACAAGATGGAGATTCAGATCATTCTAGTGATGCAATGGAAACAACTTAGCAGGAAGGAATCTTTGTACGTGAGAAATCCTTTAATGTATATGTGCAAGCGTAGTCCCATTCAATCAGAAAGCTTATACCGAAGCAGTATTTCGTGAATACAAGAAGGATAGTCGGATGGCTCTTTCTTGTTCACTCTCATAAAATACTCCTTTCGGTTTTGCGCTCTCTGCTCACATGGGATCGAACCCTTTAGTCAGTAACCGTATTTGGATGTTGCTTACCTTGAATGCTTTCTTTTTCAATCCATTCGATCTGTACTCAGTGTGTACTTTAAGGGTTAATAATTATTGGAAAGATCGGGGTATTGTAGAGTATAAACCCGGTAAGAGGAGGTTGATTAAAATAGATTAAAATGTATACAAATATCGCTAAATTCTGAATCATTTCAATGACAAACTTATGTCATTTTTGAACTTCCATGTTTTAATTCCTTTAAAGATAATTCATCTGCACACATTTATATTCTATTTAATTCGGTATACATTTTACTTCTTATTGGGTAATTAGAATTGAAAACAATTTTATTCTGTTTAATACCATAAAATTTGTAATCATTAGAATTTCATTTATGACTTAAATATTGCTGACACTTTAATTCGTTTTAATGAAAAGCAAATAAAATGCATTAAAATGACTGCATATATGGTCAAAATTCAATATGCTTTTAATGCCAAACCAATGTCATTTTTAAAAATTTTGTGTAAACATTTTAATCTATTTTAATCAACCTCTTCTTACCGGGAAATTATCTGCACTGTACAGTGTAAGCTTTCGAATCTTATATATATAATCTGGCAAACTTACATATGATGTGTGGATACTGATATTTCACAAAGGAATCCAGTTAAGTATGTATTACGAAAATAAAAAGTAATTAAAATTAATTATTAAATAAACAAGAATTTTAAGGACCAATCGAATTAATTTATTCTTTTAATTTTTTGTTAAGGGAAAATTACTTTTTGATTGGTTTTCCCTCACTTTTCTCTATTTTATATTTTTCGAGATGATATACCATTTAAAATTTTTAATTCATGATTCAACGACTTTTAAGACCTGACTTAACGTGTATCAATATCTTAAACTAATTTTTAGATAAGTAAAATTTGAAGAAAAACATACCAGCATAGACGAAAGCTCCCATTCGACTTCTCTCATTAGGTGGAATCCACTTGGCCAACATAGCGTGCGTACATGGCACGATCGGACCCTGCAATAGGGATAATCCATTCCTAGGGGGAGGAAATATACCCGAACAATAAAAAATCGTTCACACTTCATAAATTACATACAAGTCCTTTAGTATTACAAACATATTCTTAAAACGTGATGGTGAAGTAAACAGTACTAAATATGTAGGTGGTTAAGAAACATATTTGTCTTTGAAGAGGCATTCAAACTTTCTTAAAACTCACGTGCCTCCTTCAAAGATGTAATTTAAACAACTAAAAGCCTTTTTTGAAAGAAAATATGTTCCTTTTTCTGAAGAAAACTTTCAAAGACAAATAATATTTCCCTGCCCCTTGGAAAAATATTAATATTAACTGAAATGTAATTAATTAAATGTCGCATCAAGCATCTAAACATACAAAATGTTAACCAACAATTTAAAGATTCTGCGAAGTTAACTTTTCCCTGATCGTTTACTTTAGATGTTCTGAATTGCAGTTTTATCACTGCTTAGGGTAGGATGACTTCAGACCCCGGATCAAGAAACTCGATTAGTTTTTTGATCCAGGGACTAAAATATAATTCATTTATACTCAATACTAAAAACTTTACACTTCTACTTTCTAGTGATGAAAAGATATAATCTGGGTCCGAAAGTCTATGTCCATAAACAATAGGTATGATTGCTTGCCATAATAAATATCCGTTTAAATTTAGATTTACAGATTACCTCTTCCTAGCACCAGAAAATGAAACATTGATTAAATCAATTGATTCCACCAGTGTTTTCAGTTTTGTGAACTGCAGATATTCCATTTTGAAAATTGTAAAACTGTGGTATAATCGGCTAAAAACATACTCAACTTTTAAACAAAACTTTTTCCTTTTTTTTGAACAATTGTTGTCTATCAACATTTTCTATGATATTAAAAATTTTAAATACGTTTGAAGTATAGAGAATTATTATTCAATAACTAAAGCATATTCCAAAAATTTATTGAAGTTGATTTAATGAAAACTTTTGAAGAAATAAAGTTGAAAAGTAAGAAAGGTCACCTAGTAATTTAAAAAAATTTGTTTCCTTTTTCTAGAATTACAACACTTCGAAAATCATGAAGCATCCGAAACATACATTCAACAATAGGATTGGATAATTGTTTGTCAGAATAATTTCACATAAACTTTATTTGTGATAAACCTACTGAAACTTAAACTAACGGTAATGAAGTTTGTATCATCAAATAATATATGAATTAGCTCAAGTTAGAAAGAATTCAAATTGAGATAAATGACAAATAATAGTGAAATAAGATTTATGGAAAACAGAATAAAATGATTTGATTTCTGTTATAGTTAATGATAATAAATCCTAATTAGTGATGCATGTCGAGCAGATTTGTCATTTGTTTTTTCGTATATTCTCTGAATCCCGCATTAAATGATTTTATTGTATTTAAAAAAATTCCTGAAACTTACAAAGTATTTGACCTTCTAAAATAGACGTCTTCCTTAAATAAAATAAATATTTACTTAGATTAAACAAACTTTATTTAGAATAATCTTAAAATAATATTTATACAACAAAATAAAGTATTTGATTCTAATACAATTTTTTTTCTGAGTATTATAAAATTGAGATAAAATTATAAAATTCAATTATGTTGACTATTTGTTCGAATTTTGTCGATCGAGAATCGCGCGACATGCAACACTAACTTTTAGTTCATACAGACAGCTGCTTTCTTAACTAGGATAACATTTAGTTCTGTATCGTTTTTATATCAATATCGGAGTGAAAATTATACTTTCTTTTGCCTGCGCCAAATAAGAATTGTGGCAAATGATGTTTATGTTAATTTGTACATCAAGAAAGTTTGCTTTCAATTGAGATTTTGATAATATTCATGTGCCTCAACATTTAGAGAATAGTAATTTTAAATTTATCAGAGCTGTATTAACATCAGAGATATAAGATTTCAAATAACGATTTCACTTTGATTCTTAAGCATATTTAAAAAGTCGCGTTTTGAAATATCACTTAAATCTCATCTAATTTGAAACTTACTATTAGAACAACATACGGTATTACTTGAAATACTACATTTTTGCAAAGAAAGTGGAAAAGTTTTTATGACCAAGTTAAAGTATAAATTTTTGAATTTACTTCATCAATACCATGCTTTCTTATAAAAATTTCTTTATTTCATAGTTGCGAAACTTTTTTATCATTTTAAAGATTTTATCACAAGTGGGACAATAAAAGTTTATTATATAGAATTAAGGTAAATGCTGCGGATGGAAAAGATTGGCTAGAGTTTCGAAGATTAAGAAAGTGACTCAAGTTGTAATAATATTTATATTTGTTTTGCTATATTTGTATAAAAATGAATAATTTTAATTTGGGTGATAGCCACAATGAAGCAAGCAATTAGTGCTCTAATAAAATGAGACAAAGGTAGCGAAGAGGAGGATGCCGTGGTGTCCAACAACAAGTTGTCATTGTCTTTGTCAAAAAGCTTTCATACTTAGGCCTGGCGAAGTATAATATAGTCAATATACCTACTTTGGACGAAGGACGAGCCTGAATCTCTACCATACAGATTATTTTTTAAAACTTGGCTTTTCAAAATGAAAACAATAACAAAACATCAAATACTTTAAAGGATAATTTTGGATTCGCCAAACTCAAAAATCAGTAATGGTAATTAATAGCTCGGTGATGGATGACGTACATTCTGATGTAAATGATGACGTTTTTGAAGGTAGTCCAAAAGCAGCACTACTTCATAATATTAATAATTATGTTTTAATTCCTATAGCACATTCTACAGAACTTAAAAAATCTTTCAAAGTAATGCTATTAATTTTATATATTGAAATATTAGCCTTGAGCGTCTTATATTAATGGCATGATTCATCATTCAAAATAAACAGCTTCTCGCATGCAATTAGATTCAGGTAAATTCAAATCTCTCTCAATAAAATTTGAAGAAATTTAAAACATAAAAAGGGTATTTTAATTGTGATAGATTGTTGCTTGGAAAGCATAATAAACGCGCTCTCAAGAAGGTACCTAAGAAGCAAACGATTTATAGATTATGTTTGTGTTAGACTTTTCTTGATTGGAAGTTTTTTTTAATTATATAAATTTGAAACCAGTTTTTACTGAATATTTTGAATGTAACAAAGACTTGAACATCAATAACAGGTAATAGTAATTGATTCTCTTTCTGTTTTTTTAATCCAAAAATAGTAAACATAATCTAACATTTTTTGCTTCTTAGGTACCTTTCTTGGGTGTCTAAGATGGATGTTAAACGCCAAAATTGTATCTGACGTTTTAATCAAATAGAAGAAGGAACTTAATCCAAATGAGAGTAACGAGAGTATTGTAGGATCAAAATATACGAAAAGGAAGACCACCCTTTTAAAAACAAAGGTGGCGCTTGATACCCACAAATTGGTTTGATATCACCATGAAGAAGAGGCTTAGCAATAGTCTTGGCAGGAAATTACCCAGTTAAATGGTGTGGATTTTAGAGGGTCGATCCAGCTAATGACAAGGATGATCAAACATACTGATCTGCATACAGTCCTTGGCTTTATTTATGTTGTTTTATTGTAAGATGAGTTCATTAACACTGTATAACAATTACAAGCTTCGCATCCATTAGTTAATAAAAATTCTCATTAGTTAATAATAAATAGCTATCGAAAAATTAAATTTGACGAATAAAAATCAACTTAAAACGTAAAGATCATGACAATTTTATTTGCGATAATGTTATAGAAAAATAAATCTAAAAAAATGATTCTATAAATATTTGTGACGCACTGACTCACAAAAATTACTTATGACTAATCTAAAAGACGATTAACGTGTAACTTCTTCTTTGAAATATGCAAGCAGTAAAAGTTAAACTACATAAATTCTGAAAGAAATATTACATCTTTTTTTTCTGACAACAAAATTTTATATTTAAAAAATATATTTTAAGTAACTTTCATGGAAAATCTAAATAATACTTTTATACATTTTAACAGCGGTTAAAAACGGTGCTTAAAAATGTTAAGTCTAACAAATTATGTAACTTGTAAAATAATTAATGTTTTGTACTTCCAATTAAAGTTTTTTTATCAACAATTAAAGTTTTAATAGAATAAAATTTGAATTGAGTGAAGTTTAAATCAACAAACTGTATTGTAGTTTAACTGACAAACAAATAATATCTCAGCTTTAGTCCAATAAATAAAACCAGCGACTGTAATTACAGGGAAAGTAAACTTTAGTTAAGATAACTTTATTTTTAAATTAGGAAAACTTTCAAAGTGACGAGTTGATTGGGAATAAACAGGGAAAGTCTGGAAAAATCAGGGGTGTAGATACTATGAGTTAGAACCCTTTTTAAATATCTTGTCCAGTTAAATTGTTAGTACCCATTTCATTCCGAGCGATAGCAGAAAGTGGAATAGTGGATGACCATCGCGGCCAAATGAATATTTGTCATAAACTCGCTGGATTCACTTTTACGTTACCAGTCAAGTGCAAACTTTACATTTTTTCACATGTTCATTCAACACAATAACTTGTGCTAATTCATTTAAGAAAAACATTTAAAAAAAACTTTTGCAATTAAAAACTTTCTTTGTATAATCGAGATATATTCATTTATAAATATAAATAAATTGTTTCATAAAACTTACCTCTCCCAGGCCTTGGATAAATCGTACAATCATCAGCCAGTAGAAGCCCCAATGCGCCGATATTGGAACCAGCAAACCAAACACAGAGTTGATTAGCATTCCAATACCAAGAAAGTATTTAGATCCATAGCGCTTAGCAAGGATCCCGAAAGGTATTTGCGTTATAACGTAACCGTAAAAGAATGAACTGAGTAGGTAGCCTTGCATCTTGCTATCCCATACGTATTCTCCATCGCTACTGCTCTATAAAAATACAAGAATATTAGTATCGGAATTTGCACACATTTTAGTAGTTTTTTATTTTTTTAAATTTATAAATAAGAAGTCAATTCTATAAAAAGATTCGTCAAAATAAATAGTGGCCACCCCGGCCCTCTAAAGGTTAAAAGTATAGTTCCGTCAAACTACAACATCCACAATCAAATATCCAAAAATTTTTTATACCAGAATTTAGGGCTATTTTTGGGGTTGTTTTAGGCCTCTTCAGAAATACATTTTCAGAATTCCAAAAATCATTCCTTTCTTGAAAACAACCCCTTTCTTCAACACGACAAATATAAAATATCCAAGATCTTTAAAAAGAGTAGGTTATTTCAATAAAGCTTAAAAAATTGAATCAATTTGGAGAAGAAATTACGCAAATATGTGAAGCTTAGATATTTTGTATTTTTGTGTTAAAGAAAGGGATGCTTTTTGAAGTTCGGGAAATGTATTTTTGAAGAGGCCTAAAAAACCCAAAAATATAACCTGTTGATTTTTTCTTAATTCTTGTATTTTGAGAGTAGGTGCTAGCTTGACGTAAGGGGACCTCTTAAACGTGCTTTTCTTTTTTCATCGGTACCTCATTGAATTAACAATGATTTTACGATTTATCATTTTTGCCGAGTTTATACATGAATTTTAAAAGTCTCTGCGTCTTTATTTTCATGTGTAAAGTGTATACTGAGAGTCCATACTAACAGATATATTTACTAGAGTCTGTACGATTTCAGTTTCAATTTCTTTTATGGGAACTTAAGTATAAAAATTGAAAAAGATGGACATTTCATATAAAATTTTTGTAAAATATGACATCACCTCATGCTTTCTATCATTGGTGTTTGTTTATATATTAGGCGAAGCTTTTAATACACGCTCGGAGAGATAAGAATGGTTTGTTTTTTTTGTTACACATAAATTGATTTTTCGATTCAAAAATTTTTGTGACATTTTGTACTTTAATCGGTACACTTATATCTACATTTTTTATCTTGAATAGGTACACATTGTTGAAACCATATATTCGTTTATCATTCAAAAATGATATGGCTAATATTGTTTTTTAAGGATATTTTACTGACTTTCAAAAATTGTGTCATAGACCCCAAAATAAACACCACTCATCTTCAATTTCTTCATTTTATTTTATTTAAATTTAACCCTTCTTTAAAGCTATTAGGAGTCTCGTAAATGACATTTTTTCTTTTTCCACCTGTCTTGACTCTATTAGAAGTTATCTGATGTAGTTTTAATCCACATTTGTGATTTTAATATATTCTTTTATTTTAAGGGGACGTTCATAAACTACGTAGACCAATTTTTTGGAAATTTTAACCCCCCATGAAGACGCAATTACATGTATTAGCGCCATTTTTTCCTCTTATGGTAGACAATTTCTTAACCCCCCCCCCCCCTCCCCCTAGACGTGCTACGTAGTTTATGAACGTTCCCTTAAAAAATCAATTTTTGTAGGGTGTGGAATATATTTTATATCTAAGTCTGTTGATGGATTTATTGTTTGACAAGAATTCGATGAAAATAATTGTCTATTGTAGGCTCAGTCTTAAGAATTTTAAGCCAGGCGGTGTAAACAAGTTCAGTAGTAAGCTAAATGTACACCCAAATGCATATATGCTGTCCTTTCGGGTTGACAGTTTTTTTAAATGTCGTGCTAAGATTTTTAAAATTCCGTCAGACCAAAAACACAGCATGTATGCATTTGGGTGAATAATCATTATACAAATCATTATACAGTAGAGACCCTATTATCCGGGACTAATGGAGGTAGGCACCTATCCGGATAATCGAATAAAGTACAAAATAAGCGAATTTTCGATTTTTAATTTTAGGTATTTATTTACATATGTATTTAAATTCTTATTTAACTGAAACGAAATAAAACTCATAAAATCAACATTAATAAATGTTTAGTTAGAAATATTTCCAAAAATTTACATAAACATTTTCTTAAAATCATTAAAATACACTAAAACTAACGTTTCGTGTGAAAATTCAAAACTTATGGTATTAAATGCTTATAAACTTTAAAATTAAAAACAAAAAAATATTTCAAATTTGTCCGGATAATGGGGTTTCTACTGTGGTATATACCTATATATTATACAGTTTTTTATGGTGATAAAAAATAAAACAAGAAAAATATCTGGATAGCACAGATTTCGTAAAGCGTAATATTCAATAATATTGAAAAATTAAAAATCATACTTACATTTTCGGTCGAATTACTACTTCTGTCATCACCACATTCGTTTGTGTATTCAATATGACTTTCTGTAATTGCCGTGTGATTCACCATCGCTACTATAGCTACTGACATATTTGTTCTCATTATGTAGGCATTGGCCATGCCCAGGAAGAGCATGAATGTGACTACGTGACGTGTCCCCACCATTGCTGAAAAATATTAAATATATACTATTAATAAATAATAAGTTTTACGTTTTAAAAATCTAATATCAATTTGTTAGCTTTTACAATAACTAGCGTCCCGTTCGCGTTTTATTCTGTTCAGGGTTTGACGCTTTTACTCCGTCTATAATATTGACACTTTTGTGCCTTTGGAATAAAAAATATCGTAAGTTGAGAGTCCACTCATGCAAAAAAATCACCTTAAACAAATAGTTGGTTTTGTTCGTTTTGTTCCTTTGTTGGAAAGTCTCTGAAATTTCTAGGTTATGTGAAATGACGTGAAAGGTAAACAAACATTTTCTAACAAATTTTTTTCTATATACTTTTTACAAAATTTTTCAGTCGCCAGTAGAGGGCAGAAGCCTGCAGAGCGAGCACAATGTCTCAGCTGTCAAATATGGTTTGCATTACATTAAGCCTAACGCAGAATAAAAACGTAACGTGAACGTAAGCATGCGATAGAAAAGGACAAACCTACTTCTGTCCTTTTCTATCTCATGCTTGCGTTCGCTTCCCGTTTTATTCTGCTCAGGCCTTTTAATCTAAACTTTTCATTTTACAACCGCGTTTCTGTATGGATTTAATTTCAATTATTGTAATTTAGGAGATACTAACTAGTGGTTCGTTGACAGATTTTGTAAAAAGTGTCTGTGAAACTTTGGGTTTCACTCATTGGGTTGCATGGTGAAACTACATGCGTTTTGTGTGTTTTTATAGGTTAATTAATAAAAATGCATTGATTAAAGCACAAATTGACAAATTCTTTTCCCTAAAATTATTGTCATGTTTGTATAGTTTAGTCAATGTTTAAAGTAATAATTATTTATGCTTGAATCAATGGATTTTTATTAATTTAACCTATAAAAATACGACATGTACTGCGGACAGTAATCGACAGAGCGATAGTCGAGGCCGTCGAGGAGGCGCGTGGTCATCCATTCAAGTCAACCGTACTCAAGTGAGCTTAACCACAATCGGATTAATCATGTACGTATGTTTATTTAGCTTATTAACTCTACACATTTAGATAATCGATTATAGTTTTACACGGAAAGAAAAGTACACCAATTTTGCATAGGACACAAAATTCCAAAAGTTTCATTCGCTTATTTGACTAGAAATAACGAACTTCAATGAAAAAATGAAATAAAGTTAATGTATTCTTCACAAACTGTAAGGGAAAGGTAGTTCGTAAAAACTGAAAAGTTAAGGTACAAGTTCACGAAAAAGTCGTGAACTGTTGTAATCGCAACTTTCAGTAGTATGCGCAGATCGTAATGCGCATGACACATGGCTGATCAAGCATTCATTATTCAGTCGGTGTTTACATTCAGGCGATTCAGGCACAGACCAGTCTTTGGTTCAAGACATTCAAGTCATTTTTTAGATACAAGTGTATTGTTTTTTGTATTTATACTGAATATTATTGTAGGATAGTTTTATTTGTGAAACATAAATAGTTGATAAAATAAATTAAATATATAGAATGTTTGGAACTGGTATTTCAGTGCTTATATAGTTGAGAGTTCACGAACTTTGACGAACAGTGTTTGCTAATTTTGAAGAACTTTGTGTCCCATCCAAAAGTGATGTACTAATTCACGATATAGTTTCATTACGTATTTTCCATGTAGAGAATTAATTTAACTGAAAATATTAGTCTTATGTGACGTTTAATTATTAAATAATCTAAAAATGGTGTCTTATAAAATACCCAGTAAAAAAATAAATAAAATAAAATTTCGATGGTCTCTGAAATTTATAAGTTACGTGCGACCTACAGTTATCGCCGTCATCGCCCGCCTACATTACTGTGATGGTATTTCCCAGCACTTTGCAACCGCGTTTCTGCATTGATTAAAAAAATTGATTGGATTTATAGGTAATGAAGAAGTTTCGTTTCGATGATTAGTGAGCAGATTTTCTAAAAAGTGCCTGTGTGCAGAAACAAACTTGTTCGAAAATGATTGTTTACCATTTTCACGTCATTTAAACCGGCCAGTGCCGCATTTGTTGGGTGATAACTGTTTATCGAACATAATCTAGAAATTTCAGAAACCACCGAACACCGTTAATATTATGTCTTATAATTCTAATTAATTTAACTAATAAAAACAGCTGTGCTGCTTTGTTGCACTCATGAAATTCTTCTTTCGGGTTTAAGCTTCTGCTAACATGGGAGGACTGTACTACTCCATGAGTTTTTAAGTTAAACCGAATACAAAAATTATAATGGAGCATTTTAAAAATTCATAATATCATTAAGGCAGCAGAAGTCTGTCAAAGAAGACTAGAAACAGGAGGACCGACTCAATAAGTAGTGAGGTACGTGATGGTTTGGTTTTATGAAATAGACAAATAAGTTGCAAGTCGTAATAAACTGATATGTGCACATTGCCTACGGGTGGTAACGAGAAAATAAATATTCATGTTGCCGAGGCATTGTATGTACATAGAAATCAGCGTTAATATTTATGCTGAATTACCACCAGGTGGTAAATGCTTTTGCAAATAAAAGTTAGCCTGTACAAAAGTTGAACGAGTTGAACTACCTTTCCTGTCTTTATAGCCTTCTTGAGTCCTTAAATAAAACAAAGGATTTTTCTACTTAAAAATGTTCCGAAGTATTATAAAATTATTGACCCAAAACATTTTTTAAGAAATATACAAAAGAAAAAAAGTAATATCACTTTTTATGACCGTGTCTTAATCCAGTGTAGTATGAACTTGTTTACACCGCAGAGGGTAAAGTAGGGAAAAATAAATTAAGCTGGGGAAGCTGAGGAACTGTTCAATTTGTGCCTGCGCAGCGCAATATTTCATTGCTGAAAATAGTGCTGCGCAAACGCGAATTTAACTGTTTCTCCAGCTTAATTTACCCTCTACGGTGTAAATAACTTTACACGCTTTATTCTCAAAAACACATTTCTGAAACTGGGGAGACACTTTTCTCGAAACCTACCGAGCCGATTTTAAAAAAACCATTCGATTCTTTATCTAAAAAACTAAACAAACTTTTAAAAATTCACATTTTTAACCCATATTATTTTCAATAGGGATGAATTACCTTCAAAAACACAGCAGTTTTTTGTTGAGAGAAATGAGTATTAAAATTTTTAATACATTAAAAAAATCATTTTTAGGTCTTGTTGAATCGGAAAATTACAGCTGCGAAATTAAACCAAAAATACTTAAAAAATTAAGTAATTTATTTTAACTCACTAAGTATTTAACTATTTAATTACAAAATAATATTATTTAATTTTACAAAAATAGTACATTGTACAACTAGTGGCGAAAGTGTGATTTTTCGAGAGTGAAGTTTGCGGCTCGAGCGTAGCGAGAGCAGCAATCACTCGAGAAAAATCATTCTTTCACCACGAGTTGTGCACTACGTTTTCTCCAACGCCTTGCGAGGAAAGGTTTCTTCGTGAGTTTCGTATAATTTTAATTAAAAATGTTCTTATGTTTAATATAATAAAAGACGAATGTTTTGAGTGGGGAAGAAGTTAGATACAAAATAAATCTCGGTCAAAGAACAAGAAAAAAGAATAAATTCATGATTTACTTTCACCACGCCAAATTTTACTTTCGCCACGCTCTTCAGAGCAGTTGAGAAAAGTTCTACTTTCGCCACACTTTTCTACCAAGAAAAGTACTCCTTTCAGAGCAAGTGTTGGAGAAAAGAATTTTTTTTGCAATAATGTACTTTTTTACATTACAATTTTAAAATATTGTTTCTTAATAATTCTACACCAGAAAGTACCCTTAATTTTTTCGTCTTTTCATTCTGAATTAAAAAAATTAAATGTTTATGACAAGATGAACATTGAGATGTTTGATATTTTGACTTAATATTTATTAAAAATATTTTTTTATTTTTACAAATTTAAATTCTCGATTTTAAGGTCGAAATATTGTAAGTACCTAATGGTGTTTTTTTAGAAGAATTGTAATGAATTTTATAAAGCTATTAATATTAACTAATATTTCTGAGCATACGGTTGTATCAATAGTGAATGTCTTGAGAAAACTTTTGTTCTGATCAGGGAAGAAATTATAATATAATAATAAGGAATAAATTAACACGGATTTCTAGTTATTATAGCAAGGACTTTGTTGCGAATTACATATAGGATTCCTAGTAAAATATTAAAATAAAATTTCAAGGCAAAATGGCAAATCAGTTGGCAAAATTCCTATCCTGTCTCATTTAAACAATAATGATCTCTATCACATATATTAAAAAAACACTTTATGCGGTCATTATGCAATGAAAGATTTATGCTGTAACGACACATAAATCATTTATGCAACATTATGCGTCTTAAAAATGTGTGTAAGGTGAAAAATAAAATGTATATGTTAGTTAAAATACTCTATTAGAAATGGAAATATTTTTTCTCAATGACCTCAATGACTTTAGAGCATCAATTATAAAAAAGAAATGTATTATCGAGAATTTTGGCTCTAAATTTATGCTATAATAGGATGGGGTGGACCCGACCCAGTAAACATTTTGGGCCGTAGAATTTTTAAATTGGGCCTTATAGAAGTGGATAATATTACTTAAATCTTATAGTCTGCCACAATTCTATGTTTTAAATAGTTTGTTATAATATTCAAGTTTGGTGAAGCAAGCGATTGAAAAAATTCGAGTTTATGCGATTTTCAAAAATGGTGGGGTGAAGCCGACATTTCTGATTTTTTTATGATAAAATGCTGGTATGTATATTATTTTAATTTTTTTCAATTGTAAATGAAAAGACAAACATTTTAATGTATAATACAAAAGCTTATCCAAGTCTTCCAATTTGTAGGCAGCAACAACTCGTCGAATTACATTTTCATCACGTCTTGGAATTTACAGTTCTTAAAAGCATATACCTTTGTTCTAAAAATTATTAAATATAACTTTAAATATACTAAGAAGCTAAATAGAATTGGAGATTTTTGATAAATTTACAAAAAAATATGTACACAAC